GCGCGCGCCTCTATTTCCTAAGACCCCGAACTAAGGCTAGTTCGTATAGGGGGAAGGAGGTAATTATAAGGGCCGTATAAGAGCCCTTATAATAATAGGATTAATAGAGGTAGCTAGATTAACTAACCTTAGAGAAGGGAGTGTAATATAACCTAACTACTTAGCGTAGGCTTAGCGTATGCATAACTCCTACGTATAGCGCACATTCAACCTACAAGAATTAGTCTTATCTCTAATCGAGTAATTACGGGTGTCTAATACATTACTACATCTTTACCCTTATACTAACTGTATTTGCTACGTAGATAAGAGCGTATAGAACGAACGGTATAGCTAGCGTAAGTACGGTTAGTCTAAGAAAGGCGTTAACTATATAGATAGCTAGCTATAGGACCGTAGTGTTCGGTAGATCGAATACACAATAGCTAGAAAGTACCTACTACATTAACCATGTCCTTTATGTATCACTTCGGCTTCAGCTTCAGCGCTAAATGTAGGCACCCAGGCAACTGTCGTTACGCTCACATCGCAATCCATTCATTGTCCTTGTCGTTGACACCAAACCTTCGCCCTGGTGTCTCGGAACGAGGGGTGTGCTGTAGAGCGACCTGTCTCCCCCAGTAACGTAACGTGCCTCCAAAAGTGTATTTCTCCTAGTCTGAATCTGCCACCCAAGGCACAAATCCAATTACCATTCTTGATGCTCCCCGGTCGTTGCTCGTGGTTCGGTGGCTGCTCGTGGTGTCAGTATGGGGRGTTGCTCCAAGTTGTGGGATGTGAAGTGTGAAGTGTGAGGTGTAAATTACCTTTTCACCGAAACCCGATGCCAAGGATCGCATCATCCTTCCATGGCCACATCGCCTTGAGTGCCATCAGCATCAGCATCAGCATCCGCTTGTTGGACGGCGTTGGGCGTGCGCAATCGAGCCATCGACTCTTCCTCCAACCACTGCTTCTTGATAGTCGAGGCGACCCATTCTCTGATGGCATCCAACGTGTCTCGATCGATGTACTTGAGCTCAATGGTCTCCTGCCGAGCGACATACAGAGCGGCATAATAGCACACAAGCAGACCGCCGACCTCCCAGTCGTGGGGATACGGATCCGCCATCAATCTGCCGGCAAAGTGGACGTCCGATAGCTTGCGGAGCCAGACCTCTGCCATGGTGCGCACGTCGCCGCCGCACTGCGGTGCATCTGGTTTCCAAACGTAGATGCACGGCTCCTCACGGGCTGGGAGCTCGGCCACGACGAGCGCAAAGTGTCCCCCCAACTGCACAGGAACGATCATGGCATGAAAGAGATCAAACGTGAGTGGCGTCGCYCCGTGACCCCGTGCTCGGCCCAGCCATGTGCGCTCCTCATCGTCGGCTGCATCGCCCGCATCATGCTGCGCCTGCGCCTGCGCCTGCTCCTGCTCCTGTTCATTGCGAAGCGTGGACTCGGCATTCATGAGGAACATTCTCCTTGTCGCTTCTTTCGTCGCCATGTATCGGCGCAGGATCTCCATGAAGGCGTCAACGACGTTCTCGGTCAGTGGCCGCGTGCTCGCATCGCCAGCTCCACGCCCGAGCCCATGCATGTCCGTTGGCGACAGCGACCGACCAGTCATCATCTTGACTTCGCAATCGGAGTTGAGCCACGCTTGAAGCTCTTCAAGTTCCTTGTGGGTGCACAGGCCCATATGGTGTGGGTATGTTTTGTCCTTCGCCCGCTTCACCCCCTCGCGACCCGACCGCGACCTCGCTTCTGCTTCACTCAGTTGTTTCYCGTTTGGGCGAAATGCCTCGGTAACCCAGGCAATATCCTCGAGTGAAGCGTTTGCTCCCTCCGGACGCTGCTGGAACGTACGGGCAGCGGCGATGTCAAAGTTGTCTCCTGGAGTACGCTTCTGCGAGGGGCGATCGTGTGGTGGCGCCGTGGTCGGGATGAAGCTTGACTTTCCTTTGCCTTCGATGCGAATGCTGCTCTCCCCGAGCAGAGGAGTGGGCATGTTGACGAGCGAGCCAGGCGGGAAAGGAAAGCGTCGATCTGCATGGAATCGCGGACAGCCTGTAGATTTCAGCGGACCTGAGAAAAGGTGTCTGTCAACCACGAAGAGATCGATCGTCTTGCCCGGAGACTTTGCGCTCTTAATCTCAGCGCCATAGGCAGTCTCGATGCGCACGCGGACCGGGTCACCAGTGGGCAACTTCTCGAGCAGCCATTGGAATTCTGCGACGAGCATGGTGGTGATTCTTTGGGCGATGGGTTGGAATGCCTGATGCAGAATCAGGTGTTTGGGGTAAGCTTGACCAGCGACATTTCTTCTTTACTTTCCGCCAGCTTACGTTTTCCTGCACGTGCAGCCCAGCTAAGCGAGCACGTTTGTTTGCTCCCTCACCCCCACCTCTCACTTCTTCTTCCTCCAGCATCTCCTTCAATAGCCACCCTAAGCAGGCTCACTTCAAGGGGATAAACGATGCATGCCGAGCAGAGAGCGGCGTCTGAGGAAAGCATCGGGTATCTTGATTCGTATTCAACGGCGTCTTCTGAGCCGACTTACAGTCACGCCTAGATAGATAGATTCAAGCAGGTGCGCTTTTGCCAGACATACTGAGCGAGGCGGTCACACAGTTCCAAGCTCCCTTACATTTCGATCCGCCCTGCTAAAGCTGAGCGTCCTCGCTGTTTATGAGAGAGCTTCAGAGCAGGGAGCTCGTTTCCAATAAAACCAAATGAAAGCCCAACTCTGTCGGCGCACTTTGCGCTTTGCTCACCTCATCTCAACACGAAGATAAAGTTGGACGATCGCCAGTCTCTTGTGCCTTGGATCGAGATGACACTTGACGACCTCGAGAATACCCTGTCATGTTGAAGCTTCTTAGAGGCATGAAAARTCCTTCTGGAATGGAGAGCGATCTCTTCAATCCAGGCGTATCGAGCGATTGACCACGAGACTAATGCGTGAAAGATCGAATGACTTCCAACACAAACTGTTTTGAACCCATGAACCAGCCAACTTTTGACAACGACTACAGTAACAGCATCATGGAATAAGGGTAGTACTCTCACATGCGTACCCCTCAAGAACAACTCCAAACAAAGCTTCTTCGTTATTCACCCTCGCTTTCACATCTTTGGGCAACGGGTCCGTGCACTGCCAGAAAACATTGAGAAGTCGATGTTACAGCGGCCTCAGCAGTTGACATTGCTATCTGCGTCTCTCCCAGCAAAGACGAAAGCAAGTTACGCGGAGAGCTCTCGAAAATGAATCGTCCTAGAACATCACCAAAACTGCAGCCACAACAATCCCGAACCTACTCAAAAACGTCCAATCCCTATAGCTTCCGCATATTCAATGTCGCTCATCTTATCCAAATACTCCGCTTCCCTCATCCCCCAAATCCTGCATCCCGCCTCTAAAGCCGCAATCGTCGCTCGATGCACTTCAAGAACTTCCTCATCGCCGGTCATAGTCGAATTGAGATCTTCAGACTGACTGCTGCTGCTGTAGCAAACGTGGCATTGATATGGCTCTTTGATGATGCATTTTTCGAGTCCCATGCAGAGTGTATGCTGAATGCGTGTGCAGAAGGCACAGTAGAGAGTCCAGTCTTTGGGTGCAATGGCTGGTGGATCTTCCTGTTGGCAGATACAGCCTTTGCCTGCATCGATTGGAATAGGGGTCTGTGTTGAAGACATTCGGAAAACTGCTGTTGGAAAGGGGTTATTGAGCAGATGGATGGGTTTGAGCAAGAAGGAAGAAGGGTAAAGTACTTTTGAGGAAAAGATCCTCTTGTTTGCATAAGAAGCAAACCTGTCTTTCCAGGAGAATGGCATGAGGGCAATCTGAGGAGTATCTAGAAGACTCTCCATCCTTAGCAATTAATGACGCTACCTYTGCCTCACTCCCTACCACAAACACTCCTCCAAAGCCTCGACATCACCACGGCTGCAACCATGAAAAAGGCGCACAAAGCGCATCATCATTCGCCGCTTCGTTACAACGCGCATCGTCGCATAGTGCGTCTTTGATATATGTTCATTATCATGCCAAGACGCTGGGGAATAGAGACATGCGTATAGGGCTAGTAACTAAAGACAACAGGCCTGTGGGCCGTATCTGTCATCGATATGTCTTCCTGTTAGGCTGGCTCGATAGACAGTGTGTGGCCTTCACCATTAAGAGCTCGACGTCCCTCACACTGGGCTGCCAGCACACAAACATCATATGGCTTCCAGAGTTAGGAGCTTGATGGTTTCCCTTGTCCACGACGCGATGATCAAGTGACGCCGACTGCGATCCAGCATACCTTAGTACACATCCGAATCCTCACTTCCACTACCATCATCGCCACTACCATCATCGCCATCACCGTCATCGCCATCACCGTCATCGCCATCACCATCACCGCCATCACCATCATCACCATCACCATCGTCTGCTCCCCAGTTGTCGTCGCCCTCATCGGCATCGTCGCCCTCATCGGCGCTGTATCCGCGGCCGTCATCATTATCCTCATCGGGAGAGTCATCATGCTGTTGCCCTGGCGGGGGTGGAGGCCTACCCCGAATCATGCGTCGCAACCTGCGACCAAGAAGTCTAATGAGGTCAAGGTCGTCCCTCTCGGCAGCTGGGATGAGATAGTCGTTCCAAACCCCAATCACCAGCGACCAGGTTGAGTATCTGGTAAGATCGAGGGCAAGCTGCTTCAATAAGTTGGCGCTCTCTTCGTGATCATCGACATCTGCAATGAGATTGTGCGGCACATAGAACAGTGGCATGTCAAGGGTGGCCTTCGCCCAAGAATCCTTCCTATTGTAGAACACGGACAACCAGCCGTTGAACTGCTCACCGTCCTCTTGGCGATTGTTCCGATTTGCCAACACAGGCTGACGTCCTTGACCTCGCAGGGCTTTCTGTACATGCCAATGCTGTCTCCGTTGGCCTCGAAGCGCGTCGTTGGCAATGAGCGAGATATCGGACAAGGTCCACAGCTGTTCCTGGGTAGCGATGAACGAGCGATTGATAGCGGGGTAGTTGTCCAAATTGTTCACGTCGAGAAGCGCAGTGTGGTTGTTCAAAGGAACCTCTACGATCTTGTTTCGATCCTTGGCCCGCCCCGTGGTTTTCCACAGCTTCTGCTGTCCGCAGTAAAGGGCTCGATCGATAAGATGGGGACTCTTCTCGAACAGCTCACCATGGTCATCCCAATCCGTCAAGAGCCACAATGCAGTAATGCTGCACGCCTCCGGCGACGGAAAGAATGTCTTGGTTCCACGGCCCGCGTCGTAGGCGTTCTGCAGTTGTTGAAATAGTTCTTTGCCTGCATCTTGCTCAGCGCGTGGCCACTCCATCCTCGGCGGGCGTTCAAGCAGGTCCATAGCTTGACAAAACTTAACAGCCGTATCCCAGCACTGATAAAACTCCTCGATCAGCATGGCTTCAACTCTTGTGATGCTTCTGCCATTCGCATGTACATCTCCATCCAAAGACTCGGCACGAATCAGCGCTGCGCACTCTTTCGCCTTGCGCGTCAATGTCTCGCGGAATGTTGCAGTCATAAGTCCCCCGACCTCATAATCTGCGGCGGTGGTGAATTGACTAGGTCCTTTCCAGCCATCAGCCCAAATGCGACGGAGCACTCCTCCTTCGCGCGTGAGGGAGAACCAGACAGCGCCATCTCCTTGGGAGACGMCCACCCCAGTCACGAACGGATGTTTGAATCTCTCGCTCCGAAGCTCGGCTTGGATCCTGTCATACTACGCACCGTCAGTTGAAGTGATGTGGAATCAAGTTTGCCACTCACGGTTTCTTCACGATACAATTGCTGCTCGGCCGCGTTCCGTGGAGCAGGTTGGCGTGGTCTCTTCTCCTTCCGCGGGCGATTCGCCTTCCGCACGCCAGATTGCCTCGCTGACATGTTGGAGTGTTGGTAATGCGTTGTCTCAAATGAACATCGAAGCCGGTCTTCTCAAGTTTGATGGTTGGATGAGTTGAGTTGAGTTGGTGGTTTGAGTAACCTGGTGCGAAGGAAGGCAGGCGACGAGAGAAAGGACAGCGCAAGAAACCAAATTCACTTGTCTTGTGAAGCAAGTATGTAGATGTGAAGCAAGCTAGAAGCGGCACGTGCGCGGGGGAGATGTCTGTGAATATATGAAACCGCTGCCCACCTTACCTACTCTGGTTTTCTTCACCTGCTATCGCACCAGGCAAACTATCCACTCCTTCTCAAACGACCGGCCAACCAGCTATTCACCAACAACATGCTCGTTGCGGAGGGAAAATGGCTGCTCACGACGCTGACCCCAGATCACGAGAGTCACAAGCGTATCAAGACGGCGGACCTAGGTCCTCCGCGAAGAGCGCTGTCCGGCATTCCATCCAGATCGTCGTCTTTCCCATCGAGCGCGCTGCTGGACATTCCACCTGAGGACGATAGCATCCTGCGAGGAACTCCCGGATGATTGCAAGCAGTTCTCCCATAGTCGCACCTTCCTCGATGAATACGTGTCTCATTCGGATCCGGATCTGCGTCGTTGGTTCGATGAATGTCCAGACGGTGTTCCGAGTCTTTCAACAAGTAAGATGTCTATGTAGCTTGCCTGATAAGGTAAGCTGAGGCCGATCTCAGATCGTCCGGCGATGCAAAGAGGGCAGATCTGATCTCATCTCTCACCACAAATCGTCGGGAACGTCAAGGTCTTCCGAGGGATCGCTAACGCTGTGCTATACAGTGTCAAAATCTAGATTTAGTCTGCCAAGGTAATGTCAATAGGTCTCATCAGGTGCTGTAGGTGCCCATCTGAGATACTCTCCTCCAGCTAGGAATGCTCACAGCACCACCCACTCATCTTCTCCCCCCAGTCCCTCCTCCTCCTCCTCCTCCTCCAACTCGATGGCTATTTATCGATCATCCCACTCGACCGCATTCATCCCCGCTCGTCTAGTAGTTCATCATATCCCGACCGAACAATGCCCTCTTAGACCAATCCATAGCCAGCAGACATCTCGTTCGCAGACTCACTGACTGCGCGAAGTAGATGCTGCGCCACAAATAGACAGCCACCAGCCCGCCTCCAAAGTTCCATCCTCCAAAATCGAAGATTGCAGCATTCCCGATATATGCCAAGCTGCCCATATGCCGGTAACTGAACGCTTTGTACGCTGCCTCATCCAAATCCCCATCAACCATCTCATTCAATCGAAACGCGTCCTCTGCCCTAGCCAACYTGTTCAGCTTCCTACCCAGGTACTCTCCTTGCTGATTCGCCCTTTGAGCAGTAGCAGGTAAACTCGTGAGTTTACTGTCAATCTGCTTCAACAACTCATTGAGTTCTCCAAAGTCCAACAGTCCGCTCTTATCTTTGTCGTAATCTTCGAWGAGCTTCCCAAGCCGTCTCAAGTGATCTGAAGCTTGAGGGAAACGAGCCTTGACGCGTTTGGCAACCGAACACCATTGTGGGTAGGAGATCTTCATTGTTTCAGGATCCTTCCCTTGCTCCCACGCAAGAGTGCGAAGATAGGAAACGATGTGTTCCGAGACATTGTTTTGGACTGTGCTGCAGTCACCAATAGCATAAACATCTCCAAGAGGAGCGCCCGACAGCCGAAGGTGAGTGTCCGTCTCAAGGGCATGTACGTTGGTCTGAGTGGGGATCTTGTTGGCGATGGTTTTGCAAAAGTCGGTTTGGGAGACACCGGTCGACCACAAACAGAAGCCCATGGGAAGCTCTTTGGTGACGGTGGTGCCTTCGAGGGTCTTCTGAGTGAAGATGATCTTGTCGGCTTGAACTTCTTTGACGCGGGCATTGGTTTGGACGTCGACGTTGTCGTGGGCAAGTCTTTCTTCGGCGTATTTACTGAGAGCTTCATCGTAGGTGTTGAGGATGTGACCGCGGGATTGGATGACGTGAACGGAGATTTCATTCCGGAGGAGACGAGGATAGTACCGGTTGAGGTCTTCATTCAGCATGTCGTAGAGTTCGGCGGCGAATTCCACTCCTGTAGGACCGCCTCCAGATACGACGAAAGACAACAGCCGACGACGTTCCTCATCCGGAGTGGTTGGGAGACACGCCGTCTCGAGATTGCCAATGACTGCATTGCGGATGCGGCGGGCGTCACTGATGTCCTTGAGGAAGTGGCAGTGCTCCAGTCCTTGAACGCCGTGTGGGTTGGTGGTGGATCCTACCCCGATGACCAATTTGTCGTACGGGAGATAATATCGTTGCTTCTCTCCATTCGGGCCTTCACTCTCCAATTCCAGCAGCTTTTCACTAAAATCAATGTCCACGGCAGCGGATTTCAAGAAATGCCCCTTGACCCGCTTGACAATCTTGCGTACCGGCTCCACCAGACTGCGCAGTTCCAGCGTCCCGACAGTTGCGGAAGGAAGCATTGGCGTGAAGAGGAAGTGATTTGAGGGAGAGACAACAGTAACATGGTATTCCCCAGGAATGAGTTGCTTCAGCAAAGCCACACTGCCCCATCCAGTCCCCAATATCACCAATTTCGGCTTATGCTTCTGTTCAGCCATTTGCTCATCTTCGTTGTCATCCACTAGATATTCCACAATCGGCAGATTCTTTGGTCCTCCTCGTCGTGGGTTCAATGCCATTTCCGACACGGACAACTCAGCACTATCCGGTTCGTCCCTGTAGGTGGAAGCATCGTAAATGAAGAACCCCACCACCAATCCTCCACTGATCAGGATGAACAGGCCTAGCGAGGCCAATGCCTTGTAGGTGTAGCGAACAATGCAGCCATGCTGTGCAGGGGGTGAGAGTTTTGTGGAGGCGAATCGGATGGAGGGGATTGAATGTCGAATTGATGGGATTGATGGACGGATCGAAGGATGCGGTCTGGTGAAGTGGCGGATCGATTGTCGCTGGACATTATTTCTCGTGGCATTGATGCAAGATTGTCGCGTGAGAAGCAAGCTTTGGGAGCGTCGCGTTGCTCCYGATCGGAGGTGCAGAGAGGAGAGCATCGTGTTGAGGAGATCTTCAGCGCATTGGTGGAGGGAGGATTGTTCAGAGCAACAAGAGTAGGAAGGGATTTTCCAACACCCAATGCCGCTTCAACGAGGGAAAAGCAGTAAATCCAACGCCTGCGACACACAACCCGGTCACCTGCATCGATGGAAGTTGCTTCGGAAGGCGGCATCTCGCGGATCCTTGCMGGGCTGCCCTTGCCCTTCACAGCTTGCCCGCCCGCCGCGTGAGGAAAGCTCGGACGGTAACGACGTCAGCGTGGAAATCTTTCACATGTGAGTCGGGTGCCACAATCCTTCACTATCAAACTATAATCCCATCAAGAACCAACACCACCAAACCAAGCCCAACATGCCAGCCGAGAAGATCACAACCATCTCTCCCTTCACCAACAAACCTGTTGTGGAGCACCATGGCCCAACAGACGAGGAGTTCCTTCAACTCCCCAAAAAGGCCCAAGCCGCCTATCTCCAGTGGCGCAAAACATCCCTCTCCCACCGTCAGGGAATCGTGAAGAAAGCCCTTCAACTTCTTGAATCAAAGAAAGATGCTCTCGGTCATGAGATCACAGAGCAAATGGGCCGCCCAATCTCATACACAGCTGGAGAAGTCTCGACCGCCGTCATGCGAGGCGAATATCTTCTCAAGATCAGCGATGCTGCGCTGGCAGATACCCCTGGAGAACCTCAGGAAGGATTCAAACGTTTCATCAGAAAGACTCCCGTTGGGCCTGTTCTCATCCTTTTCGCTTGGAACTACCCATATCTCATCCTTGCCAACTCACTCATTCCTGCTTTGTTGGCTGGAAACTCGGTCATCTTGAAGCCTTCGCCACAGACCCCTACGATCGCAAGCCATATTCGGGAGATCTTCATTGAAGCCGGATTGCCCCAGGATGTGATCCAGACGTTTCACTGTGGAGACTTCTCCAAGATCCCACCCTTGATCCAGTCTCCTGAGATTCAACTCGTCTGCTTCACCGGCTCTGTTGAAGGCGGCCTTGCCGTTCAAAAGGCCGCAGCAGGTCGTGTAGATTGCCGCGTGGGCCTGGAACTTGGAGGAAAGGATCCAGCATACATCCGTCCCGACGTCGATATTGCCTGGGCAGCAGCAGAAATCGTCGACGGAGCAATCTTCAACTCCGGAYAGAGTTGCTGTTCGCTAGAGCGAATCTACGTCCACGCTTCTATTCACGATGAATTTGTGAAGGCTGTACAGAAGGTTCTTCAAGGTTACAAGGTCGGAGATCCTTTCCAGAAGGACACGCAGATTGGACCTGTAGTCAGCAAAGCCGCGCTCAAGAGAATTCAATCCCACATCGACTCTGCCATTGCAGCAGGAGCGAAAGATGCTACCCCTGAGAACCCTACATTCAAGTCTTTCCCCGAAGGAGGAAACTTTATCCGGCCTACACTCCTTACCAACGTCAAGCAAGACATGGCTGTGATGCAGGAGGAGACTTTCGGGCCTGTCATCCCTGTTCTCGCAGTTCAGTCCGACGAAGAAGCCGTCAAACTCATGAACGACAGTTCTTTCGGTCTAACAGCGAGCATCTGGACAAAGGATGTCACGAAAGGACATGCCCTTGCAGAGGATGTTGAAGCTGGGACGGTCTTTGTGAACCGATGTGATTACCCTGCTCCGGATCTCGCGTGGATCGGATGGAAGGAGAGTGGAAAGGGGCAGACTTTGAGTGGGTTTGGGTTTGAGCAGTTTGTGAGGCTGAAGAGCTTGCATTTCAAGGATTATCCGGAAGGAAAGTAGAGGAGGAGCAGATGATAGGTTTGTGGGGAGTAGGGCTGCTATTGCTGACAATGATGCAAATAGAGGATATTTGAAAGAAATCCAAACGCCAATGTCGTTGAGTTCTGTGTAGCAACTATGATGCTCCCAGCACCGTTGCACTGCTTTTCTGCCACGCTCATCCTTACCGCCATCATGATCAATCTGCAAGCGGTCTCCTGCTGGAAGATCTCCCGCTCAGAGTCGCTATCGGTGCCTCGACAATTCCCTATCGACGGGACTCCTCTACCCGCCGACTCTCACACCTCATCTCCGACGTCGAGTTGGAGGCCGCGCCGGAGTGCTTAGTCGGTCCATCGCCGCCTCGTACCTCTCTCGAGCTTGCCGTTGCTGCTGCAGCGCTTCCTGGATTCTCGCCACATGATCCGGCGTGGCTTCTGGTCGTGGTATAGTTACAGGACGCCTACCCGCATCCCATGGAAATCTGGCTCTGTCGAGATCCGCGAGGCGATCTGCCATCGATCTCGGTTGCCGCTGACCAGCTGCTGGATCCCGTACACTGGACCAGTTGAATTTTCGCTTGCAGTGCAGACCTAAACCACACCCATATCAGCTTCATAATATTTACACGAAGAGGGGGGCGGGAGAACATACAAACAACGTGATCACAACCTGACATCAGTTCCAACTTGCTGCCGCACTTCTTGTTTGGACACGTCTTGTAGGTTCCATCCACCAATTTTTTCGAAGCTGCTTCCTCTGCTCTTCTACGCGAGTCTCCATGGATACTGTCCTGATAATCTTCACAAGACTTTCCGGTGTGCATGGGAACCTCACAAGCCAAACAGAAAACAAAGTCGCAGGCCTCGCAGGTGAAGATCACATCCTCGTCGTTGTCGCCGAGGAAGTTTCCAGATTTGCAGGTCGCTGATGGACAAGCGAAGTAGGCCTTGTCTTGCTTCAGGTAGGAGGCTGTTGCCTGCGCCGCGAGACTACAAACAGTTAGCATGGTCCTGGAGAGGTGAACGGGGGAGTGAGGAAGAGAAGATACATCGGTTCAATCGCCCTCTCGAACCGCTCGTCCAACACGGCAATCTCGCCATACGTGAGAACCTGTCCACAACTATCTTGCGGACACGTCAGTTTATCCCAAGCCTTCCTCTCGATTTCCGTATGCAGATGGCGTTCCCAGCACGATGTGCAGACTGTGTGGTTGCGAGCACCTCCATGCGGCGAGGTTGGGATAGCGTGAGCGGGAACCGTATCGTAACAGATCGAGCATTCTTGTTCTTTCTTCTGTGCCACGATAGCCCTTYCAGCTGACAGGGAGGCTTCCCAACACCGGCGACAGATTGCTCCTCCAAAGGCCGCCAGCGATTGAGTATCCTGCTTGGCATCGATGAAGGCATCTTTCGACTTGGTTTCGTCGCAACTCATACATGTGGAAGTTTTGATGGCGGAAGTGAATGGGAGATATTTCCTATCCCGCTCGGACGCAGGGCTGAAGATCGGCTTGTCTTCATCGTCGCCACTGTCGTTCTGAGTGAAGTCGATGACTTCGATGGTTCGCTTCCGCTTCTTCATAGGTGGAAGGGCACTACCATCACCATCGAGATCGATCACTTCTTGACCGCCTTCTTCAACTTCTCGCTTGAATGTCGTATAGCCGCGCTTGCGACTAGGAGGCTGCTGCCGATTGAAGCTCATGGTTGCGTTGTAGACTTGAGCGAGGAGTTTTGTGATGATGTTGTTGTTGTTAGGAGTGAGGATGCAAGTGTGTGGAAGATGAGTGTGAGCGCGCAAGTGTAGAACACGAGTCGTCGCGATTAACGACGACTCTTGCTCGGAGTAGGATGCGGGAAGTGTACAAGTAGACTTTAGCACTACCTTGCAGCATCACCCTGAAATGGTGAGGATTGTTTGAACAGACATGAGGGAGGTGGAGGAGATTTACATGGACAGCCAGTTAGTGAAGAACTGGAATTTCAGTAAAAGACAAGTCACGGAAACGTGAGGAACGTAAAGGGGGGATGGAAACAGAAGCATGGGTGGCACATGTGAATGATGACGCTTTTCGTAACGCGAGGCAGCATAGGAGTAACGCTAGAGGTGTCGTTAAAAACGGCATAAGGCCTCGCTCTCTACAGGCTCGACGATTCTAGGTCTACTAGAATCCTTGCTACAAGCAGAGTAGCACGTTGATTAATCGAGAGAGCGTTGGCGATCGTTTCTAGAAGCCCCCTCTTAAATTTATATGTATATACATACAGAGCTGTCGAGATGAGGATTGTTCATTAGGACAAGACATCCTTATTCATCCCTATAATGTACTAAGGCCTCGCTCTCTATAGGCTCGACGATTTTAGGTCTGCTAGAATCCTTACTACTAGTAGAGTGGCACGTTAATTAACCGAGAGAGCAGTTCGGGGCGCTACTCTTGTTGATGATTTCTCATATCGACAGCTCTGTACATATATACATATAAACTTGAGAGGAGGCTTCCAGAAGGATCGCCAACAAAAGGGCGATTACTTCTCTAGACAGCGTCTTGTTACGGGAGATGGTGAACAGAGGCTCAGAGAAAGTTTCGTCAATAAAAAGAGCAAACTTTTTTTCGAATGTGACGAGATGAGGTAAAGGGGCACGTTATCGCTACTTCGGAAACATCAGGCCTTCCTATGAATCATCTTCTGCAACAATGCCAACTGCTTAGTGTGAGATGAATATGAGATGAATATGAGATGAATATGAGATGAATATGAGATGAATATGAGATGAATATGAGATGAATATGAGATGAATAGTAGAATCAACAGCACAGTTTCAGGCCCCACTGTCCAAAAAAAGAGGAGTGAAACCATATTGGCTGACACACCTGCTTGGTATGCCTTGCCAAATCCCCCAAAAGAAAACTTTTTGACACGGATCGTGCCAACCTTTCATCGGCAACCTTCCATCGGCAAGCTAGTTGTCGTGCAGGAACTGGATGAGAGCAGCCATCTCTCTGGCATCAGTTAGAGCCTGGCTCAAGTCCCGCTTCTTCGGATCGAGAATGTGTAAGGCAAATTTCTCCTCTTGGCCTACCCATCTCAGACTCGCGTACATCGCCTCGAGTTCGTCGACCTCCGCTTGAACCCCCTTCACGCATTTCTTGAATACACGCTCCCAATCTTCCTTGCACCGACTCAAAATATTGGCCTTGGACTCATTGGTGATCAGGACCTCAAGCTCCTTAAGCCTAGCTTCGACTCCATTGTCGAGGACGATACTAGCCTGTCTTAAGATAATTTCCTTGCCATGCGCCCGGACGAAGGAAAGTACCTTGCTTTTCCGCATGCTAGGTTTGGTGCCGAAATTGAATCGTGCTCGATCTGAGAGAGTTAGTAGCTGCACAAGACGTTGAACGTGTCTGTATCACCTTCTACGACACCCACCGCAGGCTCTGCACCCCTCAAAAGATCAATGACAACAGGCTGCTGATTCACATTCTGTCCTGTTGCCCGTCTTGCCTGGCCTTGGGCCTCTCCATCTTCGTCGCGATCTCTGGCAGACCTCTTACGCTTATGAGCACCAGATCTCTCTGCCTGGCCCTGCTGAGTAGGGGTTGTTGGAGATGCCATAATTTCGGCTCTGGGAAGAATCTGGCGCTGGTAGTGGTGGTCAGTGGGAGCTTTGTTTGCAAAATGAACACATTCCTGGCGAGATCATAGATCGAGACTCGCGGGATGGCTGGAGAACCGCCTACCTTTCCCCTGAGATCGGCTTTGATGTTCAATCTCCCACTGATGTTGAATGGCTTGCTGATGTTAGTGATGCTATGAGAGTCGAATTAGCCATGTGATCTGTAGCAATCTCTTCGAGACAACAGGCGCCATCATCTGAAGACGATGTGTTCCAAGCGCTTTGAAAAGGTGGCGATGTCTTACGTTGTGATGTTGTTGTGATGATGGCGTGTCGTGTTGTTGGCTGTGTGGCTTTCATACACACKGTAAGGGAAATTGAAATAGCACGTGAAAGGTCAAGCTTAGGAATTCCACACCAAGTCAAACGGGAGCAGGAAAATGAGTGACATGAGGCGTCAACATACCTTGAGAGAGTTGCAGTCTTTGGGGTTGGGAGAGGAAGAGAGTTGGATACAGAAGCCTTGAGGGAGGCTTTGGATGATAGTTGAGTTGTTGTTGTTGGGAGAAGAACCTGTGCTGCATGAGAATTGAGTATATAGGAAGGCACGGTGGTCCGTGCGCGAGGCGTGCGCTAGCGCTTGTGAAGTGAAGCAATGAATGGCCGGTCTGTTTGGCGCTCACATGTCAGCGTCTGTGTAGTTTGAGTCGACACGCTCTGTCTCCTCTCCTCTACCTTTCGAGTTCTCCCCGTCCACGTACGACGCCACTTTGTTCAGCACTCTTCCCCTCCAAACACCGACAACCTCACCAGACTTCTCTTCAATGGCACAAGAATGCTCCTGCTGCTCAGAGAGCAAGACCTCATCTCAATTCAAGAAGTTTCCCACTTGCGAGACGAAGCCATGCAATACAGTGTGCAACTCCTGCTGGACACAATACCTGAAGACGGATTTTATGGAAAATCCAACCAAACAGCTGACATGTTTCGTCTGCAATGTCCCAATGGACAAAACCAAGGTCCTTAAGCTTCTCATTCAGTCTCCAGATGACCGTAAACATTACGAGCATCGCTTGAAAAGAGTCGTAGCTATGCAGAATGGCGAAAGGCAGTGCATCTTTGCTAATTGCAAGAATGCGAAAGTTGAGGTGGACGGCCGGCTGTCCTCTTGTGGATGGTGCTTCAGACAGGCTTGTATAGCTTGCGATGCTCCCGAGCATTCTGGTGAATCGTGCGAGGAGTACCAGGCACGGGCAGCAAGCACACATAGCAAAGCAGAATCTGCAACAGCGACGGCACTCGCTCAAGGCTATTCTGCAAAGGAAGAAGTTGGGAAACTCGGTAGACTTCGACAGCGTCCAAAGCGACCACTGCCTTGCCCCAGTTGCGGCATCTGGATAGAACGATTTGGTGGATGCTTAAGATTGCGCTGTCCGGTGTGCAGTCTCGACTTCTGCGGCGAATGTGCTGCACCGTATCTGGGAAAGAACAGTGTTCCTCTTCTCGGAAATCAAGCTCACCACGAGACCTGCCACTATTTCACGAGAAAGGTGGAAGATCGGAGGTTCCGGCCGGCAGTGAGTATGCAAGCGGAGCCCGGTTCGTCAAGCATGCATGGCAATTCCATTCCACTGAGCACAGCGGCCGTCGACAGCGATCGGGCGGAGGAGCAACACTTTCTGGAGCCGTCCACAGGTCTAGGCCAGTGACACCTCTGGAATACATGAAATGGCAACCATCGATGGATGAAGGAGAGTCCACAAGTTCCTGAACGTCGAGCATGCTGTTCTAGTATCCGACTGGACGAGCAGCATCGTTGCTGGAATCTGTGAGCAGGACAGGAAGAACATATAGTGGAAAGGTTGCTTGAATCTGCGAGCAGGACAGCGAGAACACAACGTCAAATGGGAATGGACGATAGACACACGAAGGACAATTCAATTCATAACCACCAACACCGTTGCTAACATCAAACGTAATTTCATATCTCGTGTCTCATGATACCATGGCATCATCATCATCATGACTTCTTGGACGACCATCAAGGCCGATTGGGATGCTCGCCGGCAGCTCTACTCTCGCTTCTCTTGCTTGCATCTCCGCCCAAGCTCTCGCGCGGACGAGTTGTCGAATCTTCGCCTCTGGTCGCTGACCTTTGCTCTTGAGAATTGCCTCGTTGACACTATTAGCTACAGTCTCCCGCAGCTTCAGGTCAAGCAACTCTTTGAATTCAGGAAGCATCTTCTCCACCGGAAATATCATCAACGCCATGGTGCGTTCCAACGCCTGTTTGTATCTTGGCTCGGTGGGTGCGCGCGGGGCGAGCTGCTCAGTAGCAAACTCGAGCGCGGGTCGGAAGTGGTTGGCTTGCGGGTTTCCGCCCGATGTGGCCAGGATGGAGCGAATAATCTCGATAAGTTGAAGCTGAAGAAGGTTGAAGTGGAGGACATGGTCCGAATCGAGAATCTATGCAGCAGTGTCAGCGATGTGATGGAATCGGACATGGCATTGGCGAATTGTGTGTAGCTTGTTGTGGATCATACTGAGGACTGAAGTGTTGTAGTTGTGTCTCATCAACAGCACGTGGGCTGATTATGAGTGGTGCATGAAACAATAATCATTTCGAGGGGAGGGGATGGTGGAAGACGACATCGACATACCTCGGGGTCGATACCGTTGATCATATCAATAGCCTCGTCCACCTTGCCGGAGTGGATGGCGTTTCGTACTCGTACGCGGTCTCGGATGGCTTCGGCGTCAAAGGGCTGGGAGATGTTGGTCTCTTGCGCAAACTTCGCGGCCGCCTCCGGATATCCCTCCGAGACGAGGTAGTCCATGATGACCCAGTTGATGTCACTGCGCCGAAATGTGTTAGCCAGACGCTCCCTGTCTTGCCAGGCAATGGCAAGTAGGAGTAGGTGGCGGAAGGCTTGTGCGCTCGACATCAGAGATACAATTAATTAAATTTTCTCCGCACGAAATTCTAGGAGAGATTCCCAATTGTTTTTGAAAGCATCATTTGGAGGGGGTGGATGTGGGGGAGGTAGAATGCAGGGTGGGCGAGCATACCTCTTGCTGGGCTTCATCTCCTCCACTTTCTGCTCAAAAAGCAGCGCCTGACGCATGGTGGCAGTCACTGATGGGGTCTGCGCGGGGGTGAAGTCAGAATGGCGTGGTCTGATGGTGGCTGTCTGGAAGATGTTGCCGTGCAGAGCGTAAAGACGGCGGAGGGCCGGCATCTCGAAGAATAAGGTAAACGTACCATGACCGATCTCAACCCGCCGACGAGGCCGCAGACATATCTCTCGTCTCCGGCAAGATCTCCACGATGGCGAGGAAGGATCTGATGTGAGGAGGTGCGATCCCGATGGGTCGGGTGTGTTGGCAAAGGGAAGAGAGATGCGAGGTTGGAGCTTGGTGAAAAAGGCAAGAGCAGTGCAGCACTTTAGCGTGATGAAAATTGCTCCCCTTGCAAGATTGGCAGAAAATGGTGCACGGCCCCCCGTGCACCTCATCTCTTCCCTCGAGATTTTCATCTTCTTCGCCTTCATCATCCACCCACAGACACGACCATGTGGACCATGGAAGTAGCAGCCTCGGTTCTGTCCATGCGTCTACGATGAGTGTTCCTTTCTTGGAGCTGCCTGGAGCTCTGCGCTCATATTCTGAGCTGAAGAATACTCAACAACGCGACGTGTCACCGCGTGCTCATTACTCTCCGCCATGGGCCAACACCAGTATCATTGGTGTCGCGGGCAGTTCGGGGTCTGGCAAGACTTCACTTTCATTGGCCATCATCAAGGAGCTGTCGCTGCCATGGGTGGTGCTTTTATCAATGGATAGCTTCTACAAGCCACTCACTCCCGAGCAGTCCGAGTCTGCTTTCAGAAATGAATACGACTTTGACGCTCCTGAAGCCATTGACTTTGACGTTCTAGTGGAGAAGCTGAGGGACATCAAGGCTGGGTACGGAAGACGGAGCTCCTCGATGGTTGGGATCTCCAGCTGACAACGTCTCAAGGAGAAAGGCCGACATACCGGTCTACTCATTTGAGAAGCACGCCCGGCTGGACAAGACCACCACCATCTACTCTCCTCATGTCCTGGTTCTGGAGGGCATCTTTGCCCTGCACGATCAGCGGGTATTGGATCTGCTCGACTTGAAAATTTTCACCGAAGCAGAAAGTGATCTCTGCTTGTCGAGGAGGCGTAAGTCTAGTCTCCCTTATACGCAGGCACATCTGCATTTCGCTAAATATTGAACAGTCCTCCGCGATGTGCGAGAGCGTGGTCGAGATATTGAAGGTTGCATCAAGCAGTGGTTCCTCTATGTCGCGCCAAACTACAAAAAGTTTGTCGAACCTCAAAGAAGTGTGGCCGGTACGTTTTAATCCTCCTTCACCCATCCCGCCATCTTCATGATGAACAAACACAAGCATAGTTCAACCGATCTTTCTGAGGATAAACCTTACCATCTTTTTCTTGTCTGATATCTTACTCTCACCTCTGCATTTACACGACACCACAACACAAGCCAGTGCTAACTCACTGTCAGACATCATCGTCCCACGAGGCATAGAGAACAAGGTAGCCATAAACATGGTATGCGATAAAGTCCACAAAACTCTACAGGAGAAGTCAGCCATGCATCAGTCCGAACTGCGACATCTCGGCAAAGTGTCAGAAGACACTCCATTATCGCCCAACATTGTGATTCTCCAACCCACCAATCAAGTTCGAGGCATCAACACCATGCTTATGGATCCTGGATTGAACAGAGAAGACTTCATATTCTACTTTGACCGACTTGCTGTTATGTTGGCCGAGCAAGCATACGAGTCTGGCCTCGCTTTCAAGCCCAGCAGAGTGGAAACGCCTGTTCCGGGCCAGTCTTACGACGGCCTGCAGCTTGATGGTGAGGTGTCTGCAGTTGTGGTACTTCGCGGTGGCTCTATCCTGGAAACAGGTCTGAAGCGTGTCATCCCCGACTGCCGTATTGGTCGTATGCTCATCCAGACGAATTATCGTACTGGGGAGCCAGAGTTGCATTATTACAAGCTCGCGTCTGACGTCGCCGAGCACAAGCGGGTTCTACTAATGGACCCTCAAATGAGCTCAGGTGGCGCGGCGTTGATGGCAGTACGAGTCTTGCTCGACCACGGCATCAAAGAACATCACATCGTATTCGTGACTTACATGGCTGGGAAGAACGGCCTAAATAGGCTCATGGCCGTGTATCCTACCATCAAGGTTGTGGTATGCAGGATTGTCGGTGACATGGAGAGTAGGTGGGTGGAGGAGCGGTACTTGGGGTGTTGACCTTGTAAGTCACCAAGTTTAGGATAATCTCACTCAATCGAAGGAGTTCTCTTCTTCTCGCACCGCTTCATATTGTATTTTCGTCTTTTTTCTCATCTACAAGCCGCTGTTGCTCGTGGAATGTGCAGCGAGTCGAAGGGCTGTCGATCATGGCAACCCGACCACGACCGGGACGAACATTCGGGAAGTGCGGGAGTGCAGTGAATGAAATCCACGTTACGCGTCTCGTGTCTGGGTACCCTCACGCGTCTCTTGTCTGGGTACATTCACAAGTCTCGTGTCTGTGTACATTCAACCTCTTCCGAACACCACCCAACATTCCATCGGCCAGGATGGATTTCCGCATCGACGACGAACCAGTGCCATCGGCGGCGGCCGCCACACCCGCACAGCACCTCCCACCTGATGGGCCTCCCAAGACCCGCCAGAAGAAGAAGACGAAGCGCTCCGAATGCTCCATCTGCAATCGCAGTCTGGCAAACTCGGCCTTTCCAAAAATTTCGGACAAGTGCGATCACACGAGGGATACATGCCGGAAGTGTTGGAACGCCTGGCTCAAGGAGCAGATCGATTCTGTGGCAGCGGATCAGATTGGTTGTGTACAGTGCAGTCGGATTCTGGAGGAGTCGGACATTCGAAAACTCGCTCGTCCCGCCTCGTATGCCGCGTAAGTCGTATACTGTTGTCCCGTCTAGAACACCACTGATACTTTCTAGATACCTCGATACCAAATTAAAGGTGCGCGTTGCTGGAGGATAGCCGGAGAACTTGCCAGTACTGACACGAACTTGTAGGCATCCTTGTCGGTAGATCCCGACTTCCACTGGTGTATCATGCCAGGCTGTGGCTCCGGTCAAATCAGCAGCGGCAACATCTTCACCTGCACTAAATGCAAAGTCAAGTCGTGTGTCGCCTGCGCCGTGGAGTGGCATGAGGGAGAGACTTGCGATCAGTATCAACACCGCACCAAACTTCGTTCCGATGAAGAGGATGCGTCGGAGTTGACGGTTGCTAGAATCTCGAAGCAGTGTCCTGGCTGCAAGACCAAAATCACTCGGATTTGGTATGTCTGTTCCTGAGGAGTTTATGATTGCATACTGACGATTGCAGTGGATGCGACCACATGACCTGCACGCAGTGTAGGGAGGAGTTCTGTTGGCGCTGCTTGGCTGTATGTCTTGCTGGATATTTCTCCTTTACATGTTTACTGATATTACTTACACAGGACTACAGAGGCATTCGACAAATTGGGAGCTCTCACCACAAGCCCGATTGTTATCATTATCTACCGCTACCACCCCAGGGACCATTCCCTGCCCCTGTGACGTTTACCGCTCCGCCAAATGGCCGTCTTCTTGTGAGGCTTCCGGTTGCCCATGTCCCTCAACTGTTGGTGGCAGGACCGGCTCCAAGACGGCCTCCAGTACGGGGTCCAGGACGGCCTTCAAGACTTGAGTTTCCTCGCATAAGAGGGTTGGCCGTGCAAGTTCCTCAACCAGACGGAACTCCTCCTCCTACTGCCAGAACACCGACTCCGCCAGGTTTCGTTCCTACTTTGGTAGCATGGGACCCACCATCTCCTGCTTTATACGGTCCTTGGACCACACAACACGGATTCGAGCGACGCCACGACAATGACTCTGACGGCAGCTACAACGCAGACGATACTGCCAACGACGAGGATGAGAACACGAATCAAGCTGCCGCTCCATTTCCACGTCGTACCTCCACGCGCCTCTCGTTGCCATCCTCTCCGCGAGCGACTAGATCACAAGGAGCTGCATCCACCGATGAGCCACAAGGACCTCAGGCCACTGCTGATGCATATGCTCAAGCAGATCTGCAGGCCATGGCAGTTCCACCGGTCTCTCGTCCATCTTTGAGACCACGTACACGTGCTCAACACCACAGAACCACTCGCCGTCGTCCCGAGTCAACTCGTGCCGTGCAGACCCTGAGCGGCGAGGCCGATGGCGATGCGCACCAGCCTGTCGCCTAGGACAGCCTTTATCCTCGACTCTAGGATCGCTTCGATCGTCATTGAGAGAAGACCTACTTTCACATTATCAATGGTTCTGTTTTCAATGACTTGATACACCGGAATGGTGGATTACTCGAAGATACTGGGTGGGAATCATGGACTGATTGCTTCTGTGCATTGTTGCCGGATCTGATAGGAACTGCGATAACGCAAATGATGGCGCGATGTTTCTTTGGGAATGAATTTGGGGTTTTCATGGTTGCTTCTCATGAAATGGGGTCAGGATAGGGCTGGAGCGGGATGAGGAGCGACTTGTTTTGGGCGATATTGACGAATTCCGAGAAGACGTGGGCTCTTCTAGCTTTGTCAATCATTACAATCCACACTCATCTCCTTATAGCATCTCTCTACACACCCTCCGCTGCTACATCGTGATCATCAAGTCTCCAATCTGCTAAACTCTGAAATTCAAGAGACTTTTTATTAGAGGCGATAGCGCTGCAGCCGCGGTCGGCATTCACAATTCATGCTCCTTGGCAGCCTCAACCACGGAAGCGCTTGCATCTCCATTTCTTGGTACGTTCATGTCAATCACGTATCCATCCACGCGTCGGCCCAAAAAATGCCTACACCATGACACTTGCGACGTACCGTCGGCGATTAATGCCTTCGTTCCAGCGGGCTCTGTCGGGTCGCCTTTGCAGTCTGAAGTTTTGACGATGGCGCTCCAAGAATCCCGAGCACCACGTTGCAATCGACTGCATACCTAACGCGTACGTGCCCATAGACGCAGGGTCGACGCTCACTCACATCGCCGGTGTTGAGGAGGAGCAAAGATCCACCGCTGATCCTGCAGGCCAAGTACGGTAGGTTTGCGGTTCGTACGCGGCGCCTCTCACGGGGCATTTATTTTAGAACTCTCCGACCTTTCCATGGCTTGATGGAGCGTGTGGAGGGCAACGTTGGAATTTTGAGATCAAGGACAAGGAAGGACCGCTCGGCCCAGCAGATCACGTACCCATGGACGTCGCGCACGAGCACACTTTTCCTGCACACCCACCCACAGCCCACCCGTGATTATCCCGCGGTTGAGGGATCTTAATAGTAGCCATGGCTTGATGAGAAGCGGGGCCATGCGCGAGCAACTTCCACTACTGCAACAGCTTCCTCCGGCGCATCAGTCTCTGCCTCTGCCATCATCATTTCATGTCCTCGACGCTGGCCTTTGTCGTCGTCCTGCCACAACCCACCACCAACATCCAATAATCCATCCAAACGACCGGCGTCTTCGCCGAGGGAATTATCATGGCAGCATAGGTCATTTGAGGTAAGCACAAGACAAGACTCACTACACTCACGCTGTCCCGTCACATGTGCTGCCTCCACTACCTTACATGTACCTTTGGGTTGTTTTCCTTCCGTGTGGTTTGCTGCTACATCGCGGAGTTCATGTCTCCAATCTCACAATGTTGCACCAACAACACCAACACACTGCACGACATACTTTCGTTAATCCAGAAAAATCCTACCCACCTGCACTTTATGAGATTATGGAAAGCACAATGTTCCAGATGCCGAGCGAGCGATCGCCGCTGGTCCTCAACGACCACGCCAACATCACTAGAGATACACATTTCACCAACACGCCGTTAAGAAATACATCTGACAACAACTCAAACAGGCTGTCGTCGAACGCGACCGGTCAAGGAGACGTTCGGWATACCGCGGCAGCCAGCCCAATTCCCACCACTATCAATTCTGGAGCCAGACGTACCACAGTACCAGTAATTCCGCTTCACTCCGACCAACACCAACCACTGGCCACCATGGCAGACACGAGCACTCGTCACCGGACTCTGGAAATAGGCCAGCGAAGCAGTCCACCAAAACCAACCGCATGGCATGAGACTGTCCATCGCGATCAGCTCGTAAGAATTTACGATACCGTTGCGGAAGTCACCGCAAGAAATCCAAAATATCCAAAATGCACCACCTCACAGGTAGGAAGCACACTAAATGCCATGTTGAAGCGATGTCCGGAATTGGCACAAGGCAAAATCCCGCTCACACGAGACTGGATCGAATATGTTCTTGGAAAAGCACTACGGTCACCTTTTTGCACTGCAGCTATGATGGGCAGATGGGAAAYTCTGGCATCGAGCGGAGGAGCACGAGGCATGTGGGGACCGTGGTGAGATGTGATGATTCGGTTTGGTTAATGGATCTCGCCACGGAAGTTGGCATAAATGGAGCGTTTCTAGCGTCATCGGAGGCATTGCAAGAATGGCAATGACATGGATGAAAACCCTCTCATGAGGAATGAATGATGTACACGACCGATCATGAATAATTTGGACGAGCAGCAACTGCTATACCTACAATCAATAGGCATTGTAAAGATCCCTGATGTCTCTCACCAAATCCTGCACGCTGCTTCCTCCCTCGCAGTTCTTCCACTTTCCGCCATCACGGATACAGCGTACCTCATCGWTGAGTCTGATTGTACAGCTGGTAGTGACGTTTGCTTCTTGGCTTCGCTTGAAGCTGTCCTTGAGCAGGTCAAACGCAATCGAGCCGTCATCATCCGCCGTACAACCATTAACCTTGGACATGTCGATCCCGTGCTCCAAAGCACAGTCCTCAACGAGCGTCCTCTCCGGAATATCGGGGTAGTCTCTGGACAGGCACATTGTAAATCCAAGATAGATCTTCGGGTCGGGATACAGTTTGGCGGCGCAGAGCTCAATCAAGTTTCCGAGACACTCCTCCTGTCCATGCATACAAGCGACTCCGTCATCGTGGTTCGTCTCCCTACTGTGATGGTTAATGAATGTGCATGACTGCAACCACGCGACAAGAATCAACTCACTTCCCGATGTAAGACAGCTTGAAATCCACCTTTGATGAGACCTGCTGCATCGCCGGAAGAATCAAATCATGCAGGCATTCTTTAGCATCTGGACACTTGCTCATAATGTGCGCCTCCAACGGAACTTTACTGTCGAGCATCCAGCCGCCATCATCATCCATTGAATCTGAAGCAATCACAGTCAAGCAGAATGTCATGAACATGACTAAGATCGCTGTTGTGATGAACATGATCCATCTGTGGAATTTTCCCGAGGTGGATTTCGACCATGCCTTCATGTATTCGCGTTGAGCGGCGAAGACACGCTGTTGTAGGTCTGAGAGTGATGGCTGGGTCTCTTCCTGAGAGGCTAAGAGTGGCTGCTTTTCCACGTCTGTGCCGGCCATGTTTGTGGGAGTCAAGATGGAAATTTGGGCTGATGTTTTGATGGCTGCGGCGAGTCCAACGTTGATGATGACAGGAGGGTGGTTCTTACTTTCAGTTGCAGGGTTTCAGWTGACAGGGAGTGGCGATCGGAACGTCGGCTTCGACGAAGCGAATTGAGGCACGTGACGATATACTAACGTCGTTTCTTGCGGCGCTCCTTCATCATTACAACATGCATCATACGATCATGGATTGCTCAGCCCACATTCGATGCAGGACTGTATCCGATGACGCGAACATACAGAAAAGCAGCGGGAATACACGGGCGCGGTCAATTGGACATTTATTGAATTACGTTACTTTACGATCCGCCTTCTTTTTCCTTCTCTCTGCCGGATCCAGCATCATATACTGCGATCTTTTAGACACTCCGCGTACTTTAGAAGGGGGAGAAGGATCCGTCCGAACAACACGCCGTGTGGACATTCTAAACGCCGTGACAGGAACAATCGACTTCTCCATCACATTGAGAATCTCCGAATCGCTCACAACCTCTTGGTTGAAATAAGCAGCGACCACAGGCTCGAGCTGCATATAAAGCTCCTCCCWTCTCGCCGAGGCCTCTTCACGTATCTCAACGAGAAGATGTTCCAAGCCTACGTTCTTGGGAGTGCTGTAAACTTCTTCCTCGTAACAGTCCGTCAATCTTTTCAGACTGGCCAGCAGCCTTTTATCAGTGGGAGACATGTGCTTGAAGGTCAACTTCAAGCAATCTGCCAGTTCTACAACATCACTTGCTTGGTCTCTGTGTGCATCCCTGAGTGCCCCGAGATTATCTTCGTCGATCTTTGTTGCCCTTCCGAGGTCTATAATGACGAGGTCCGGGTAGTCGTTGAAAGATCCAGGATAGCGAAAAGCTATATTCTTATCGTTAATATCGTTATGAACATATCTGTTCGCGTCCGCAATGTGTGTACCATTCACAATACCAAAGTGAAGTTCCAGAAACGCCGTGGTAACGTCGTGGWGAAGATGCCAGCTGAATGCATCAGGGGGCATATATGACTTTTTCCTACGATTGGAATTGATGTTTTGCTTGAACAACGCGAGACTTCCACCTGCGAGGAGCTCACTTGTTAGCCAGCCAGCTCTCTCACCGTCTGCATTCAGTATTTTGGCCACGTGCATTCGACCATTACCCATATCTTGCAGAGCTTCGATCTCGTTTTGGCAGTCATCTGTGTGAGTGGTGTTGGAGATTTTACCCGCTTGCAGAGCTTCTCGTAGCTGAGTGCATGTTACTTCTTTCGTCAGCTCCCCTGCCGTGTACTGTGCATAGATTCTGTTAGCGGGTGCCTTTTCGATGGTGACGAACACTTCTCCTTCTTTGCCACCTCCGAGACGCTTGATGATGTAGTGCCCTTCCTCGAAGCGTTCCCGGATGTTGACGTGGGAGTACAAACCCTCACTGCTAGAACTCGACATATCGGATCTTGGATGGGTCGGTATGCGGTTTGAAAGTTGTGCAATGGTAGGACCAGCCTATTTCGTGAAATTGTTGAATTGACGAGAGCGTCTGGGGTTCCTGGAGGTCATTATAACGTTCTCTTCGAAGTGCCTAGTCTTTGTTGTTGAACATTGAGCTTGTTAGAATTGCTCACGAACAAAGCCTCGTTGTTCACAGACCAAGAGATGCGATAAATGAGGAACAAAGAACCGCGTGCACAATGAAGCGCAGTACTGGTTGTGGAGCTTCGCCATCGAGGGTAGCGATGAGGAAGACCGATGTAAATGTGATTCCTTCGTTATGAGACATGGCTGAGTATCAGTTTGGATGATTCACCAGAAGATAGCCTGCTACTTCCCTTGCAACCTCTTCATTCTCTCTTCGGCAGCCCTGGCCCTCTTCTCCCTCTCCAATTTCATACGCATCTCCTCGCTCATACCTTTGGTTTGCTCCATTCGTCGCTCCTGGGCCGTCAATGGCGGAGCGTCCATAATTCTGCCTTTCCCGAACTTCTTCTCCTTTCCAGCAGTCTCCTTCGCAGCGTCCTCCATTCGCAACCTCTCAGTCTCGGCCTGTCGCCGTGCCTTCTCCACTGCATCTTCTGCAGCCTTTTCCTCCTTCTCGCGCGCAGTTCGAGATTCAACTTCAGCCTGGGAAAGAGCTGTAGGAACGCCAGCGGAATCCCAGTCCCATCGACTCTCCCCGAGCTGCGAACGTGCAAGACGGAAGGCATCCCTAGTAGCGCGGTCCCCAGCAATCTCGAATGCGGATTTGCCATCATCGTTGCGTATGCTAGGATCGGCACCAGCCTTGCTTAAAAGAGCTGTGACACACGCAGGACTGTTTGAAGATGCGGCGAGATGGAGTGGAGTCGGTGCGTGGTGATTCTGATCGGCCGGGAAAAAGCGAAAGTCCGGGGTGAGATTGCTTGATTTGATGTATGATAGTAGACCGGGAGCCTTCGATCGCCGTATGAGAGCTTGAAGTTGCGTTGTATGCAGTGTGGCCTCTTCGTCTTCCTTGGAAGGTTTTGCCGCTTTGGGAGTGCTCGTCTTGCTGTTTGCCAATGCCGAAGCCTTCGCAGCAGCGATTGCGGCCGCCTCCTCTGCTTCTCTTGCTACAGCCGCTTCATCTACAACATTCACCTTGACCCTTGTAAGTTCTACAAAGGCTCGCATAAGCTCAGATTGAGTAGCACGACGAGTGTTGAATGGGAACCCTCGAAGTCGAGTATCCTTGTGGCTGAGGACTTGATCATCGTACGGCCCGAACAGTGTCCTCCGGTTGGTACTTCCAGTAGCACGAATGAAGATTAGTTCCGCGCTGTCAATCAAGTCCTTCCACTCGAGTAATAGATCACGGACTTCTTGAGTCAATGCTGATTCGTTGTACCTTCGAATACTGGCACCAGCAGAGTGTGCGTTGCCCTTTGAATTGTCGTTTGCGGATTGCGAGCCACCCTGCTTCCGACGTGTAGTGTACCGGTGGAAAGTCTTGTGTGCGATGACAGTGGCGGCTCTATCCTCGACTCCAGCTTTCTTGGTCATCTTCGGGGTGAGGGAGACAATCATGCCTGCGAAATGGCCTCCACCGATCATACAAAGAAAGTAGTGCGGTCCGGAAGCACTGGTGCCTTTTTGGATCATCGAAGCTGGCAGCCGGACTCCACCATCTTCTTCATCCATGTCTGGCTTCTTCTGGTGTTGAGGCGCGGGCTTTGGCGCGAGTTGTTTCTGCCGAATGGTCTCCCCAATTTTGCCCTCCTGGTCCTGTTCTGCAATGGGAAACAGAGCGCGATATACTCCGAGTGATGTGTTTGAGGGTAGCTTCGAGGTCCCAAACCACACCATTGGTGGCTTACCAGCTCCCTGCTTTTGTCTCTTGCTCGGTGCATCCTCCGCATCTCCATCCGTGATCTTCGCCTGCCGTTTCAACAACGCGCTGAGGGTCGAGTCCTTTGCCTTTGCAGCACCAACGCCGGCGCCAAACTCATCACTTTCTTCATCCTCCGAGTCAGACGAGTCGGATCCGGATATGCTCTCGTCTAGCTGGCCCACTAGACGCTCAAAGTCCGCTTCAGCAACCGCACTCTTCCCGCGTAACTTTTGTTTGAGATTGTAGCCGTGCAGGTCGGATCGAATGTGACTCTTTTGGTCGGCGAGTGAGGTGAATGCAAGGCCGCATAGATTGCAGGATGTCGCAGATACGGCGCCTTCTGACTGTTCGGATGTTGTTCGAGCTTCAAGCTGCGATGATGGCGACAATGAAGGTGGCTGCTCGGGAGGGTTTGCTTGTTCACTCTTCAACTGTAGCGTGTACAAGATCTCCTCTGGCAAATCAAAGACGTAGAGTGGGCGGGCGATGAGTTTGTCTGCCGCGATGGCCGCCATGTTGGCCTCACGAGGATTGAAAGTGTCTTTGTTTTGTTGAGAGGAACAAAGACAATCCCAGAACGTTGCTGTTCATCATCAAACATTCAACTCTTGACTCAGCTCCTTCCTGGCAAAATCCACCACTCACATGCGCGTCATTCGGTGACATGCCTTCGTCCCCACTAGCGCTACTTTGAGCTAATCCCACGCGATCTGCGGGCGCGATCTCTTGGCGGTAGGGGAAAAGGTGAGAGAGCGAAAACACCTTGATGGTTTGACGGTCCGGAAGGCGCTTCGTGGTCCATTATCTGGGCACACCCTTTCACGGCTGGGTTCTTGCCTTCCGCGACTCCTTCCCTCGAAATACATTTATTTCCCCCTTGTTCTGCCTCTGGGTATATCATCCTGGGACCCATCCATCTTCGAGATCGAAAGTCTTTCTTGCTAGCTTCCGAGACACGGAAACCTGCAGTGGCGTCGCGTGGCGGTGCGTAATAGACAAAAGTTACATTCCTGGACACCCCGGACACGATACAGAGACAACGACTCAGTAGTGAGCAAGGCGGTCTGTGAGACGGTGAATCAGCAATAACACACCATCCGGATCAACAATCATATCTTTATCGGCCGACTAGCTTCGTCAGTCGACTTCACTCGTCTCGACGACATCAGTCTCCAACATGCCTCTCCACAATGACACCCGTGGGTGGATCATGACCGCGCTGAGCGGTATAGGTAAGTCTACCTATACCTTACAATACTGAAGGACCCTGGAAGTTACTAACGTCCAACAGCATGCGTGTTTGGGGCTTCTTTCATTTGCATCGACATCATCGTTCGACTGWTTCCCGGCAAGAAAAACTTCAGAATACAAGACAGCGACATATTTCTCTCGCTATCATTGAGTCTGAGCTTTGGCGTCATGGTATGATCAGAAACTCTTTAAATTCAGTGCAAGCTGACTCGGTTCCAGCTGTTCTCCGCACTATACAGCATGCTGCCATCTTCAAAACGATCCCTCGAAGCTGGCGGCTGGTCCCCAAAGGAAGCATCTTGGATCATGATTGCGTGTTTTGTTGGCGGAGTCGTTGGGATTCAAATCATCTCTCGCTGGATGCATCACTTCGTTCCACACAATGTTGTGGAGTGTGAACACCAGCACGAGGATGTAGAGATGCCCAAAGAACGCGTCAGCGTTCATGTCGATCATCACGATCACGATCACGATCATAGTCATCAATCCCACCACGAACATRAGCACTCCCAGATGGCTCAACGACAACCATCTATAACTTCTCTGACCAGCCCACATCTAGCGCATCTGCCGCGCCCACAAAGTAACCAACGAGCTACATCACTTCGGTCCTTCTTCGCCGTCGATAACAACGCACCAGACGGTATTGACTCAGACCAGGGAGGAACTATGGACCGGGCGTCTTCAAGACCACGAACTCTGCAGACTCGCATCACGGATGGCATCACGCAACTTGCTACAGGGAAGGATGCCCACTGTCATGACGGTGGGCCGTGTTATGGATTCAGCGATACGTGTCCCCCTGCCTGCTTCAAGACGATGAGTACTAGAGCAAGCAAAGCGAGCCTACGAACTCCCACCAACGGCATCAACCGCCCCGCAGCAACGAAGAGTCTCACAGCTACCGAGTCCACGCCTTTGTTACATCGCGCTTCCGAAAGTACACTGGGCAGGCCAAAGACACGAGTAGTAACGGAGGATGGTGCCCATTGGTTGGACCAATTTCAAACTGGTCCGTCGAACACAAGCTCGACAGCAATTGTACACCTACACAGCCACCACGGCACTCGCTCGCACCCACATCCACACCCTCACAAAGACCACGACGAAGAATCACCCGATCATCACCACCATCACGTCCCCGAAAATGCCTTCCTCTCCATCGGTCTCCAAACTTCAATAGCAATCGCCCTCCACAAACTCCCGGAAGGCTTCATCACGTACGCCACGAACCACGCGAACCCCAAATTGGGTGTCTCCGTCTTCTTAGCCCTCTTCATCCACAACATCACCGAGGGTTTCGCAATGGCATTACCCTTGTATCTCGCCATTAACAACCGCATAAAAGCAATGCTCATCTCATTCGTCTTGGGCGGATTGAGTCAACCTTTGGGTGCAGGCGTGGCGGCTGTCTGGTTCGCAGCCGCCGGCAGGGGCAAATATGAGCCCGACGAAACTGTCTATGGTGCAATGTTTGCAGTCACGGCGGGAATCATGGCTAGCGTTGCACTGCAATTGTTTCAAGAGAGTCTTGCGCTCGCGCATTCCAAGGGATTGTGTTTGGTTGGTGCATTTGCTGGTATGACGGTCCTTGGGATTAGTAGTGCGCTCACTGCTTGATTGAGGTTTTGGCATTTGAGGAGTCATAGGACGGTCTCGGGATGTGCATTATCTGGTATGACATGTATGGTATGGTATTGGTGTTGTGAAATTATACAATCGCGATTGTCACGGACGATGGAATGAATTATTGTTCAGCGTGGCCGTATTCAATTTCATCTCGTAAGCTGTTTTGATAAGTAATGTTACCCTGCGTCCTGCGTTTCCGCCATCGATGTCGTGATATCTGAATAAGAAAACCCCATTCGATAACGGTCTTCAAATCCAACATACACAGGCCACTTCTCATCCACCTGCATCCCATCACGATCCCCCTGAGCCCCCTGAGCCTTCCGTCTATCCTCCACCGTCTCATCCTCATCATCTTCAGCAGGCGGTATGGGGCCATTAATCGCAGCCAAGAGAGCAATGGGAGTGACTCGATCGCGAGGTTGATCCCACAAGCAGCTTCGGACAATATCCACCAGGTGGCTACTATACGTCTCCAAGGCGGTTTCCTCCCAATTGAGAAAAAAGGGATCGCCTTGTTTTAATGATATACCGCTATACTCGACAATGTTGAATCCATTACCTTCTGCGTCTGCATCTTCGTAGTATACATAGCGGACGTCTCCATTCCTATACGATGATGGTTAGGAGCTGTTCGGTGGGAATTGAGTATCGCTGACACTCGACGACTTACATGAGTTCGAATGCGCAGACTCCAATACCCCAAATCTGACCGGAGAAGATTAGCAACTCTCACCCACGTTGGTTTTGATGCTATCTTATCTTACATTTGCCGGTGAGAGAATTTGCTCGCCATCCAGGTCTCCAATCTCTAGACCTGAGACTTTCTCACTCATCCATCGAGCTTCGGAGGATCTGGTCTCGGGAGCTCCCCAGCTCAAATCGGCTGCGGAAATCTCTCGCAAGATATGTGGATTGAGTGTGTCAGTTGGGGAGGTCTGTAGGGACATTTCGAAATCTCCTAGTTTTGCGTCTGGGTATGCAGCTGCGGGTATTCTCGATGATGTCAAAAAGACGTTGTCGGGTCTGTTCTGTATTAGCGAGGTGTTGCAGAGATCCATCAAATCAAACATGTCAATATAAGAAATCATCGACAAGATCAGCGCTCTCAACCACTCTCTTTATTGATATACCGACCACTCTGCTGGTGGTAAGGGCGTCTTGTCTCGAAGAACAACCCTCCTATCGACAGCTCTGCATCAAATGATGGGGATAAACCATACGTACTTGAAATCATAATGCACAATCTGCTGCCACCCAGGTACAGGACCAGCAAGGCTACCCTGCTCCATCACCTAGATCAGATGTAAGCAAGCCTTCAACAATATATTTATTCTTGACAGCAAGACATACAATTGCTGCTCTTGCCAATTGTTCAATGACACGCCAGATGAGCGGCTCTGGGATTCCATCCGGATGCCTCGCATTCACCTGCGACAGGTCTCCTCCATCGCAAAATTCCTGGATCGTCCGGTAGATGTACTGGGCAGGCAGGTTCCGATATGCACTCGCGCGTACAAAATGGCCGCCATCCGGAACCATACTCAATCGGTTCTGAACAACATAGTCCATGTGCTGTCTACTCTGAAAATCTCGTAGATCCGGTCCCGACCATCTTGTGAAATCGACCCAAAAGGTTGGGGGCACTACTGTATCCTTCAACACCCTACGGTCGACCACAATCTGCTGCGCGTCGAGCTTCACCCAGACGTGGATTGAGTTGTCTGTCCTTCCACCAAAAAGGGGCCATCCACCTCGCCAGATGGCATCTGCAGCTTGCCCATTCTCATCCGTCTTACCAAGGAGTTCCTGATTGTCTTGGTCTGCTTCGGCTAAGCGATGTTGCTCTGCTTGTGCAGCTGTGGCTAGTCGATCTTGCTCTGCTTGTGCCGCGGCGTCTAGACGATCTCGCTCAGTATTACGTCGCTGTATGTTGGCGTCGATACGGGCTTGCATCCTCACTTCTGCGACGCGGCGCCAATCAGGCACACCGGAATCTCTGATCTGCTTGGTTTCGGCCCAACCTGCGGATACCTCTTGTAGAGCAGATGCATAATTGTCATGGCGATCCTGTCTGATGTAGCGTTTACGGAACGCTGGCCATTTGGTGGGTACTACCATGGTGTTCTTCTTGGGTCTTGTCGATCCTGCAACGGCTCAGCAGACCTTGAGAGGTGTCGATTTTGAATTTGGAAATGGAGATGCAGGAAAGAAAATGTTCAACAAAGGAGATGCAAACTTCGCCGGAAAGAGTGATGTGAGACTGCAAGTAGCGTGCTTGGACGAGAAAGAGGGGGAGATGTGGTACTGACAAATTCTGTATGGTGGTTCGTTCACAGCCGGGCCTCGAGCACCAAATCGGCAGAATGTGAGTGAGTGAGTGAGTGTATGGCTGTTGAGCCCAAGTTTCTAGTTACGACTTTGCAGTCGAAGAGACTGAGTAAAAGAGACCGAGTAGAAGAGACTGAGTAGGAAAGACTGAGTAGAAGAGACCGAGTGAGGTAGGAGAGACTGCGGAGAAGGGATGCATGCCTCAACATGACTTGTAATGGATACAATGGCAACGCGCTGTGAGATGTGTCGCTCGCTGTCTCCTGCCAGTATACCGAGGATGTCATGGTACTTTATGTATGTATGGTCAGGCCGTGATGACCTTGGAGTTTGCAAGTGAATGGAGGTGATGTTGATCACGTTGAGGGAATGAATGGCAGACAGACGTTAAGCGATCGATTGTTGCCGYGCCAACCGATAGATAACCTTTTCGCACGAGCTCGATTCCCTCGACGACATGGCAGCATCCAGCATCAGTAACAATCATGGCGCGCCAACAAGTCTACGGGAAGCGCTCGCGAGCCACATTTGATCCGCGAGCAGCAGCATCATACTCCAGCCCGACACATGCACCACCGGAACCGAACCCTACGAAACCCGACGTCGCGGTGAGGAAGATTGTTTTGGACGATGCAGAACAAGAGGACCAGGTCCAGGTCAAGGATGCGGAGAAGGCGGACAGAAAGGCAAGACGTGCACTGGGAGAGCGGAATGCCAATTCTGTGGTGCGGCCGGTGGAGATTGTGACATTGGGTACTCCGAAGAAGACCAAGACGCCAAAGAAGAGCAAGAGACCCAAGGAGCAGCAGGATGAACAACAGCGTGAGGATATCGTCGCGACGACCATTGCTGTCGTCCTCGTCAGTTCAAAAGTCGACGAGGAGGGAAGCGAAAATGTCAAGACCAAGAAGCCAAAGTCGAGACGAAAGGACGAGGCAAGGGAAACTGAGGACTTGGACCCCGACGTCGAAGCCGAAGCGTTGAGGCAGGCCAAACAACAGAGAAGAGAAGCCAGAGCAGCAAAGAGACAACAAAAAGAACAGAAGCTACGAGATGCCGAGCTGGAATCTCAGCAAATAGTGTTGCCTACGGACGATGATGTTGTCCAAATCCGCGACGAGGAAGCCCAACAACCAACACCACCGCTCGACCTCTCCGACCCATACCAATCACATTGTTCATCCCTCTTACACCTCTCTTCACATCCGCTTACACCATTCTCATCATGGTCCGCCGAAATCTCGGAGCATTTCACCGTCACAAAGATAGCCGAAGCCTCCTTTGGCGAGGTCTACCGACTTTCCCTTCAAATCGTCCTCCCCGACTTTGACAGATCTGATGAGTCCGTCTTTAAAGTCAWCGCCCTCCGACCGCCGGAGTCAACCTTCCCAAAAGGCAAGAAGCGCAGTGCAGCCCTGAACAAGGCAGAGATGATGTCCGCTCCACTCGACGTTGCGAATGAGGTCAAGCTACTACAACGCATGTCCTCCATCCCTGGATTCACAAACTTTCGCGACTTGAGGATCGTGCAAGGACGCCCTCCTGAGGCGTTCGTCGAAGCCTTCCACAAATTCAACGCCATCCAAGAAAGTAAGGGCAGGGACCTCAGCCACTTCCCGGACCCCAGCAAAAAGTCAAATTATGCATCCGATCAGCTTTGGGCCGTGATTGAAATGCAAGATGCTGGAACCGATCTCGAGCAGTTGGTTGAAGTGGGAACTTGTGCTCCAATCTGGGACGTGTGGGATATCTTCTGGCAAGTCGTTCTATCTCTTGCAAAAGGCGAGGAGGGCGCAGAGTTTGAACACCGAGATCTTCATCTCGGAAACATATGCGTCAGTCGCAAGCAAGAGACCAAGAGCATGCAAGTCGATGTGAAGAAGAAGCTGGGCTTCACCGGATTGGAGACCACCATCATCGACTACACCATCTCCCGCTGTCGAATGCAAGACGATTCAATCGCGTACTTGGATCTCGATCGAGATAGTACGCTTTTCGAGGGAGATAGCACTGAAGAGTATCAATATGATATCTACAGGTACATGCGTGGCGTCATGTACTTGGACTCTGCATACACCTTCCCCTCCGAAGATGAAGTCAAGCAGTCGGGAAGAACCTGGGAACAGTTCCATCCCCAAACCAATCTGGTGTGGTTGCATCTGGTGCTCTACAAACTTCTCGAGCAGATGCAACGGCCTAGCTCGAAAAGAGCTCCGGCGAAAAAGATGAAGGAGAAGCACATGCTCTGGAAACGAGCTTATGATTTGGAAGTTGTACTGTCCAAGGTTCAAGAACTTCTCGACCCGGATGCGATTTGCGAGAATGGGATCCGCTCGGCTAGAGACTTGGTCGTGTTGGCGATTGAGGAAGAGTGGCTGGATTGCATGGACGTTGTTGGAGAGGGTGTGGAAGATGACGAGGACTTGGCTCTGCAGATGGAAGGTTTGGCAGTCTAGTTTTACGTCTAGTTTAAGTCTAGTTTTACGTCTTGGCTGCGTTCTGAGCGAGCGAGGCGTTTGGGAAAGGTACCTATGAGCATTTCGGTATTTACATATCAACTCGGCAAGCATCCTCATTCCAACAAATGTCTTCAAATGCTCAGTCTTGGTCTTCAACTACCCTCGTCACTCGCGTTGACCGACCAGTCTGAAGATAAATCCTCTCCCGTGGCTAGAGTATCAAACGACAAACCAATCTTGTATCGATCCGCTGCACGAATATAGTCCATTGGACCATCATCATCATCCCAATTATTAACATCATCCGCAGTAGCACCACGAGCACCCTTCCTCCTCTCACACAAAGCATCTTCCGAAACGGCCTGAACAGATAACAACAGCTCCCCAGGCGTAGGCCTCATCGTCGGATCATCTTCCAAACAATTCCTCACCAGCTGTACTAGCTCCTCACTATAGTACTCCAAAGCCCCACGATCCCAATTCTCCCACCACATATCCTCACGATTCCAGAGCATACCGGGATAATCCACTCCCTCGAATTTGACGGGACGGATCTCGGCTCCACACATTAGAGTGAACATGGTGGTGCCTATATTCCATACATTGACCGTTGAGCACACTTTATCCGCCGTGAGATCTTGTCGGGGAATGGTGGGGAGTGAGAGGCCTTTTTCGGGATATCCTCTAATGATAGCGGCGCGATGTCTGGGTGTGCGGAGCTCGGGCGCCCAGTATGCGTCGTGGCCGGCTGCGTCTTCTCGCCAGACTTTCGGGTTGAAGGGGTCGTCGCGTGTGGTTTCGATGCTGTGTTCGAAGTCGCTGAGTTGGATTCGGGGGTATTCGGAGTTGGGAACTCTGGTTAGGAAGACGTTGTCCGGTTTGAAGTCTTTCCAAGTGAGTCTTTGATTCATCAGGGAATTAATATGGGTAGGTGAACTTACCACGATGTACAACTTCCTTCCAATCTTCCTCTTGACTCTGAATCGCGCCTTGCTGCATAACGAGGACTGCCTTGATGAGACCTTCGAGGATACTCCATGCCAACGGCTCAGGGACATTGCCATCGCCATCTTCGTCCCGATATCTCCTGAGTATGCTGCCGACGTGTCCCTGGTCGCAGTAATCCAGAACAAGCTTATAAGTCCACGCTTCATTATCTATCACACATGCTCTGACGCGATTGAAGAACTCCCCGCCATCAGCTGCCGTACAGAGTTTTCGCTGCAGATGATAGTCCATGGGTAAACGCTGCTGATAGTCCTTGACATCACCAGTCCATTTGGTAGCATCTAACCATACATCACGCAAGACCTGAACGGTCTTGACAACACGACGTTCGGCAATATTCTCATCTTCGTCAACTCGAACCCACATCACGACGCTCYTATCATCTCCGTCCTTGAATGATCCGCCTCCTCGCCATGGGGTATCATTGCCCTCTGGTCTATGTTCTCCTGCTGTACGGACTGAAAAACTGTATTGTGATGCCAGCAGGAACCTATCGCCATCATCCTGACCCCGTGCGGCGACTTCAGGAGGTGGAGTTGGTGCCGGTGGCAGCGCCTGCTGTTGTCGTTGGGCTGCTGCCGCACGTCTCGCCGCAAGTCGATCTGTCTTTGATAAAGGCTTCACGCTGGCCCACTGAGTTGACAACGCCGTGATGGTCGCCGCATAATTGCCGTGGAGTGGGAATTCAGTGGGATAATTTGCACGCACGAATTTTTGCCAGGTACGGGGAGGCATTTGCGATGAGGTTCATGGGTGAGTTGCCACGGCATGGTGAGTGGATCTTTTCGTATAATTAAGAGCAGACAGCAAGCCGCATGTAACAAAGAAAGGCCGCATGAGGAGCTGTGAGCATTGTAGAAAGACAGGTCAAAGTGGGGAGGAAACAAAGGAAAGAGCCGGGACTTCCGAACGCCATACTAAGTGGGAAGGAATGAAGCTGTATCTCGAAAATCGAAAGGCGCAAGAGAATGCCACATATTTGGAGAGTTCGCCAACAATACACCAATCCAGAACAGACCGATCAGTATGTCTTCCCGAAAAGCTACGAAGCCATTTTCGATATCTTGACATACTATGCTTGAGACGAGTTTCCGGGTGTAATCCACAGCGTGAACAGACGATCCAGACAGCCTGGTGCCTTGAATACGGCTGTCTTCTCTTCTTGTTCTCGCTCCTTGTACGAGAGATCTGATGCCTACTTAATGTTGGTATGTCCAACGTTGAAAACATTTTCGGTGGTGGACGTTGCTACATGGTAGAGTGAGAACTCGCGTGACAATCAAGAATTGTTGCGCCCGAGTTGTCAGAGTGGAAGCTTGCTGCCTTGGCAGAAGCCGTAGCCGCTGATACTTTTGTGTTTTTGCTGAAAGCTCCTGTACTTCACTTTGATGTTGCCCAGATGTAGAGCGCAATGGGTGATTATATCATCCACATTTCGCTCAAGCAGTCTGACTGGTCGCTTGTCCAGATCACCAGCTTCGTCTTTCTGTCAAAGAATCTTGGAAAGTGCAATCAGTTTGCAAACTCTACTGAAGTGAATGTCATTGCTGGTCTGTGATTGGCCAATTCACTCCTGTTGTCGCGCTAACGAGACTCTGTCTTGGCGCCAGGCCTACTGGATCACATGCATCGCAAGAGCGCCGTCGGCGTCGGAACTCGATGATGGAAGTAGATATATGCAGACAGTGCATCTTTGGGCGACGCCTCGCCTTCCTCGCTGAATTGCAGCCACACTTGCATCGCTTGGCATCGCTCACATTTGGACATTCCGATCTTGCCAACGCCTTCTTCCCCGCTGCAGTTATAGTCCACACAATGCTTGCACTAAGGCAACAAACACTGCCTCTCTCATTCGGGTCGACGTATCTTGAGTGCAATGACTTGGGAAACTGGGATCATCGGCATAAACTCCGCCGCATCATGGCACAGTACTCACAGGTGGTCGGCAGAATGATGGTGATCCGGAACAAAGATAGCAAAGACTGCAGATTTTGCAGACCTGCGACCTCGACGCATATGGGTCCTATTGCCTGTTAGCCCGCCGACGCTAGTAAGCTGGTTGCGAGTGTAAAAGGTACAACTTTTGCATCAGCCACTATACTTAACATCCAAAACACCCCTAGAATAGCGCCCGCGAGGAGCGCGAAGAAGATGAGTAGTCCTTGTGGTTGGAAGGGTATCCAAAACGGAAGACATGACAGACCGCAGATGAATGTAAAAGTACTTGCCACGTCAAAGCGGTAAGATTTGTCACTTGAAATTCCAATAATGGGACGGCCCACGACAGTCCCAACATTGAGAAACACAATAGTATCGGTAGCACGCTGAGGTGACATGCCCATGGAGAGCACGGAATTAGATGGCGAAAATAGAAGTGTAATGTGGCCAAGCATACTCACAAATGTCCATGCGAGCAGAAGTTGGATGGTGTATCTCTGAGCAACGTGGTGTCGAAAGCCGGTTGTGGTGACCTTGTTGTCTTGTTGTGATCCCTGATCAGGCTGGTAGCAATTGTAACAAGAATAACTGTTATCAGGCGAAAGGTTCAAGCCGCCGATGAGTGTGAGCAAGACAGCCGATGCGTCAGAATACCATGAGGTAGGTAGAACGCGAGGTAGACGCCGAATGACTATGAACAAGTGTTAGCGCCCTTTCACTGAAGTTGACTTTTCTTAGGAGCATGGATACAGATACGGCGTTCCAGGTCGAGAAGTTGATGAGGAACAGGGCGACGTCACATGTCCACCACCAGCCGTGCTGCGGTGGTCTCGTCCACTTCGCTTGCGGGAGATGTCGTAGGGGATGGGTTGAAACGTGTCCATGTATTCACCACAGAGGCTGTCTATAGCGACATCGCCCCATTTGCGAAGAGTTGTCAAGATATGGCAGGTAGTACGGGTGGAACGGAGTGGTGTGGAGCAAATTCTCGGAAGGATCCCTCTCAACACATCAACACAGCTTGTACACCGCATAGGTTTTGATGATAGAATCTGACATCCATTGCACATCTACATCGGATATTGAGCAGACCGAACTCGACGATGCAAAGCCATCGATATACCTGAAAATCTTTGCTGGACGCATCCCACGACACGCACTGATTCGCATCGTTTTGCTCCACAGCAAATGACCTGTATTGGCATCAGCGTGGGACTTTTTGTGGAATGGATCGGTCTGACTATCGTCAAATCTTCATTTGCGTTTATTGGGTATGCTGTAGGCAGTGGATGAAGTCTTGCTAGCTGCGTTGGTCTTTTTCAGTGCGTCCAACAGCTTCTTCTCGGCCTTGCTCTCTTTGGATGAGAACTGGGCACCGACACCTTGAAGAAGGTCTGTGGTCCTGAATGGCGATTAGAAGATTGCACTCTTCTTGGAAGAAGTCACGAACCTCGAAACCGAGCCTTCAGAGATGTTCCGATCAGTAGAGGTCTTCTGGAAGTGCATGACGATGGCTTCCCCCTTGTGCGTCAAGTTGGACTCTGATCTGCTCCCTTGAGTATCGAGAGATGGCCGCCTCCACGGGTTTTATATCTTCAAGGCTAATCATATCTTTCCTGCACGACAATGTGGTGGCCGCCATGTGCAAATTGTCGTGTCGCGGGAGTGTTTATTTAAGACGGTCACGCACACCAGGGCATATGGGATCATGATGCATGCGTCTCGACCTCGGTGTGTTGTTTCTGCAGTATGCTCGCTGCTTGTGTCAACAATCATGTCGCAAAGTGAGGTACCAGCGAAGCCTTCCAACCGACTCGGCTCTTCCAGCAGCCCATTCGAGGCACGACTTCTTGACTGCGTTGCGGAACGGTCCCGAAGATCGACCTTTTGACGGTGAAGCGAGGTTCGAGTGTTCCGAACCAACAGTGGCCGTTTGGGATGTGGCCGCCTGACCATAAGCTTCGCGGTCCGCCACGAGCCGGCGTCTGTCGGTACTTACATTTATGCGCGGAGTTGACGATGTCACACATGAGTGGGTATCGATTCAAAAGCGCTTCGCCGCAGTTCGGGAAGATGCATTCGCTGTTTGAGCAGACCAATAATGCATTGCAATTCTTGCACCCAAGAAAAGACACCGAGTTTCGAAATCACCCAGCTTATGCTGTAGCTGCTCATCGAAACCATGATTGATGGCCCAGCAGAGAGGCATCGGAGTCCAGTCATCATCATCAGCTACGATAGCGAAATGGAGGTCATGTGCACTTGATGAGGCTTGTACCCGCATGAGCCCCGAGCGTAAGCGGTGGCAGATTTTGGTCCGGCTTGTTCGTTYCATGATAGATTACCACTTGGCCGGGACAATGGTAGAGATCGTGACCTTCCATCCTTCGGGGATGCGTGACAATAGATAAACGCGACGGCACATTGTACAACTCTGACCGGCAGTGGCTGAATCGTGCCACTGCCTGGCATGGAGTCTGAAAGTTCTAAATTGACAAACGACCCATGCGATGCGGATTGAGGTAGTGCCAGGTCGCCGCGTGATATCGGGCCTGCAACCGGTCGAACCCGGCGTGTGGGACCCATCTGGCATGTCAAAGTACAAATGGTAGATCAGCCTCTCATGCAAGTCGTACGCATTCCCGTTAACATGGCTCCGGGTCTTTTTACATGCAGTAAGATCCACGGAACCGTCCAGCGATACAACAAGCTGCCCAAACGGTAGAAATAGTCTGTCGCATTACACGGCATTGTTTTACGGGCTCCATGTTGGTACTCCTTTCACTCTCTCGAGTGCTGAATTCGGGGTCGGAGTCCTTTCCAGATGGTTATCCCCGAAAGAGAGGCCGGTGTCTTTGATCCGTGGAGGCATGAGAAATAGTCTGAATGCTGTCTCGACTTGGACATTGCCCTGAGCAGAGCGATTTGAGCGATGTCAACCACGTGAAGCATAAGCTATCTGCGGGTGCCTTTGTATCGACAGCGCGTCTCGAAGGTTGGAGAATGCAGGTGGGACTGTAAGTCAGCCGGAACTCGTTCCGCTGCTCGTGACGTCAGGGTGTTCGGGGTCAATGTCGGCGTCCGTCTTCCTTAAGTAAACACACCTCACACACACACACCGATGGGGACTCTCACCGCTGGGCAGCCAAGGCTGGACTCATACTGTGTCCACAAACTACCGACAAGCTGTAGATTGAGCTCCATTGGAGAGTGCTGTGCATGCTACGACGAGCGCCAGCACTCCAGCACGTACTCGACGTACATTGACGGCATAGGATATGTCTCTCGTGGCACGCGATGGCAACGATATTGTTGGTTCTGCAAAGAGTTCTGGAACAATCGGGTAGAAGCATCGGGGCTAGAGGCCCGAGAAACTAGAATACCAGAGGTGCCAGACCAAGCAGAATTCCTAGAACGATGGTACGAGTTTCACCAGGGGTACAGAGTGGTCACACGAGCAGACGGGAGCGAGGAGAGGATCGCCGTTCTTGGAGAGGACCTGAGAGATGTGGCCCCAGGTAAGGAAAGATGGCAGCAGAGGCCCCCGTGCTGTGGCTAACCCCTCCGTCTGTGCTAGGCTGCCTGCCTCGAACACTCGAAGAGCTCCGCGCCGGCCGAGAGCGCAGCGAGCTGGAGGATCATGAACGCGAACAAGCTCGGCTTCAAAGGCTTGCAGTGCAGGAAGAGCCAAATGCTGCCGGCCCGAGTCTAGACGAAACACTGGATGAGCTATTTTTGACGGCATTGACGGAAGAGCGCAGGACTCAACAAGATCCCCAATTACTGTTCTCCCACCGCGACCAACCGGGAGACGTACAAAATGCACCTCCAGCCGCAGAGATCTATGAGAGCATGAACAATCCAAACAACATCCAGGCGCAATCTATGGTCCCAGCAGGTAGCCGCAGCCGCGAATATCAGGTGCGGCGAGTTGCCGCGTTGCGCCGCGAGTTGCAACGTATGCGCAGTGGTATCGAGCGCATAATCAACGGTCTTCGCGATCTCGGCGAGGTCGTACCCGATCCGACAGACGCTTCAGATCGCTTACGGAGCTTGGGGCAGACTCTAGACAACATCTCTGGCGTTCCATCCCGGGAGGACGCGCAGCGAGCAATCAACAGTGTCAACGCGCTCACGGYTAACACGCCAGCCGCTGCCACCGATCGCAATGTCGCCAGTCTCCAGGCTAGGGTAGATGAGGCTCGCCAACATACTGAAGATGCGCAACGAAGCCGTGACCAAGCTACCAGAGAGCTTGATCTAGCTGACCAGGAGTTGCGCACTTCTCGGGCGCGTCTGAACCAGCTGCGAAACGAACAACGTTCTACAGAGAATTACATACGCCTATTCGGCTCTCGCGAACAGGTTGTGGCCCAAGGTGAGAATTACGAATCACCAATAGGCGGAATGTTTTCGCGCGCCATGGAGCGTTTCCAGGTGGCCGAGGAAGTACGCCGGGAAGAGCAAGTGCTCAGACAGTTCCTCGCTGAGGAAGAACGGGCTGGCGGCGAGGACGCCTCATTGCTACTGGCATCGTTGGAGCAACAGCAGAGAGATGTCTGGGGTGTACCTCAACGTATACAACAGTCGCCGGGCAACCTTCATCAACCGGAGATAACGCAGTATACAGCTCCTGCGTGGCAGACTTCACGATTGGCGGACGCTAGCAGGGCAGCGGACCAGAACTATGAAGCAGGTCTTCAGCAATACTACACCTTGCTCAGACGACAGAATTGGACACAAGATCGCGCAGAAGTACCCCCATATCGCAGCGGAGCAGATGTGGAGAACGGCCTCGCAGCAGAGGTAAGTGAGGCGTAAGACGTGTATCAATACCGGATTGACTAACTGTTTTTCCTAGGATGCCCCCCGTGATTTGCGAGGTGAAAGAAACAACGCCACATCTCTGAACGTCCAAGCCAGAGGTCCCCTTACGGTTGTCGCTGGTCCCCCTGGTGCACAGCTCGACCCCGATCCATCAACAAACAACGACCACCGGCTGGACGCAGTTTTCGTTCTGTCAGCCCTGTCTCAAAGCGAGGGTTTGCGTTCAAGGCTTGTCGGGGCTGGTGTCAACGAATCTCCCGAGACTAGCGGAGCCTTGATCTCGAGACTGATCAGGGAGTCTGCGGAAAACAGCCTCAGTGCGGAAGATCGCAACACTATCCAGAACATCATACAAAACGAAGACATCATTTGGGGATCTGGTTTGCCGGCAGAGAGGAATCGGCGGCGCCGTGAGAGGGGGGAGCAGGTCGGCTTCACCGAGATGGCTAGAGACATGGCCGAAGAAGGACACACTGTTCTTCATGACATTGAAATCATGGCCGAAGCTTTCCAAATGAGTGTGCAGGTCCGGCGCCTTTCTGGCCTGAACGCTTCGGATCAGCTCGGGATGCTCTATCGACTGCAGCGCGGCGAGCGCGATGAAACAACACGCTCGACTCTCATCGCCATGTTGCGTGACGATGTCACCCAAAGCCGGGCGAGAGAGGTCCATGAGCAGCACGCTAGTGAGATGAACCCCGAGCAGAGATCTAGGCATGCCGCCCTGGAGCACGAGAGACGTGAAGCTGCCCGACAGGGAAACCACAGCCGAGCAGAGCTTGATGCTCAGCGAAGAGCGACTCAGAGAATTGCTGTGGCTGCCGGGCAACTTGCGATGCGCACAGGTACGGCAACGCTCATCGAGCGAATTGCGAACAGAGATGAGGAGACCCGAGCTGCGTACCAGCGTCYCCAGGACAATGGATTCGTTCCTCCAGAATCAATGACCACTCGCCGATTCCGCGAATCTGCGGTGTACAGGCCACTCACAGATGACGAGGATTCCGAGGCAGAATCGGACGGTGAAGGGAAAGGCTTGGATGCGCCGGACACTGGGCGTCCGCAAGAACCAATGACGGACGAGCAGATGACTGTCAATCTTGAGTGTCAGGTGTGCTACACTCAGATCGCCACCATTGCCACGCTTCCCTGCGGGCACCTGAGTATGKGTCAATGGTGCAGCGACCAGCATTCACCAACTTTGGCTCATGACAGAACCCGTCCGAGACGTCCCGCGGCTTGCCCAGTATGCAGGAAAGGAATTCGACAAAAGGTGAAAGTGTTCAGGTCATAAGGTAGATTGGTGTTCGCCCACAAGCGGAGTCACGTCCACAAGCAACAGATATACGCAAGGTCTGCATGTGCGAGTATTTTATTGATGCACCCTTCACTTTGCTTTCCCTATCTCAATCCGACTGGCAATGACATCTACAACTCGTTTCAGCCCGCTATGTCTCTCCTCCTGCGTATTACAGAGGAATAGCTTTGTGATGGGGAAAGCATGGATTCCCGCGGGTTCTTCATATTCCTCCACTCGGAGATCTGCCTTTTTCAATCGAGTGATGAGCTCTTTCGTCTCGGGCGCGAAGACCTCTTCCTCGCCATAGATAAAGTACCAGCCCTGACTGGGGGATGCTCTTCGCCACCATGTCAGGTCATGACAGCGGCCAGGCGACACGAGTGCATTGTCTTGAGAGCCATTCTTGCCAATGTATTGTGTACCGTAAAGATGTAGACTCTCCGCGTTGAGATAATCTGACCGGGTGTTTCTGTTTTTCGGCGAGATGATGGTAGCCCAAGGGGAGATGACAATGGCGACACCGGGCATCTTGTTCTTCAAAGATGAGTAGCCAGAGACGCAGAGCATGAGGCTCAAGATAAGCGTGGCACCTGCTGAGTCGCCACTTACAACGATCCTAGAAGGGTCATCAACGAGTGACAGGACATATTTGTAGCCAGCCAGCGCCTCTTGTACTTGGGTGGGGTATGTAGCTTCGGGAACAAGTGTGTATTCCAATGCGAACAGGGCGGGATTCGAGTAGCCGGCTTGCTTGAGAAGTGTCAGCCAGACGAGTAGGAACTCGAGATAGAAGAACGAAGAGCCCATGGAGAAGCCGCCGCCTAAGACCGTCAGCACTTGAAATGTAAGATGGTTACGACGATGATACCATGACAGTAATAGAGTACTATGTCTGGTCGTTTTGAACTATCGCAGATTGCGTATATCCCTTTTCTACCATCCTGTGCAATGGTCAATACGTATTGAACGTGCGGCCCATAGAAGATGTATTACCTCGTTGACCTCTCGCCAGTAGATCGGGCTCTTCCAAATGCCATGGCGCAGCATGCGGACTTTGATAAATGGCAATGCAACCCATTTTGAGAAGAAAACTTTGCCTACTGCTGCTGGTATGTCCGAGAAAGCATACCGTACGCAGCGTACTACCACATCTTGAAACAATGTCGCACCCTTCACAAACGGAGGTTGGTGTTCTTTCTTGGTGAAGTACCGCTCCTTGATCAGCTGTTTTGGCAGTCGCAGAACTAGGACGTCGGTCAGATGGAACGATTTCGACTTTCACATTCTGAACATCAGATGACACTTACGAAGAAATGGCAATGCCTTGATACCGACTAGTGTTGTGMGRAATAGGCCGATCTGAATGATCATTTGAGGAGCAAGAAATATCARGAAAGCGATACAATCAATCCATGCTATCTGGCCGAGAATCATCGCTGCGAATGAGAACAATTTGCATGTAAGTGAAGAGTGCTGTGGCGAGAAGAGCTTCTTGAGCCGGGTAATATGCGAAGCTTAAATCAGGGATGTCCGTGCTGACATCGGAGGTTTATGGTCGCAGACGATGAAATCTGAGACGGTGATTAAAATGACATTTGCGCACATATCAAAGCGCACGACATATCGATGTCGTGTCTGTCCACCGTAGAATGATGGAAATTCGAACACTCCAATGCTCTCGTTTGTGATGTTGGAGGAAGTGATGTCGGCAAGTTCAAGCCGAAGAAATTCCGTAGTCATTTGCGCGCAAACACCAACCACTCACTTCACGCGCGGCTCTCTACTGTCACAACTGCTCAACTTCAACTTCAACCGCCGCACCTGTCAACAACGCTGCGCAGTCGGCAGCGCCATTTCGCTGGGAATTCGAACATATCGATTGCCAACGCTCATGAATCCTGCGGCGGAGTGAGCTACAAGCATTACCACCACGCAGCTCCGGCTGCCTGGGACTTTTTCGCCATGAGTGCCAAACTCGATGACGGTTCTCTGGAGCTGGCGCGGTGAGTCTCGCAGCTGGAACTCCTCTGGCGCATCGTATCTGACACATTCACAGTTCCATGGACGTGGCCTCGATCCCGGAAAAGCTTCGCTGCGCAACTTGCGACAAGCTTGCGATCAATGCCATGAAGCTGCCATGCTGCGACAACACCATCTGTGGCGACTGTAAGCTAAGCGCTTGGCAATGCTGCGTTCAACACTGACTTCCTCCAGGCCATGACACGATGAGCGCAAGCGAATGCCCAATCTGCACACACTCACCCTTCTCCGCCGACATGTGCGTGCCCGCGAAAGGCCTGCAAATGACTATCAAAGCGTTCATCAAGACCGAGCGTAAGAAGCGCGTGGACGCAGCAGCAGCAGCTGGAGAAGCATCGGGGGCGGGACCTGCGGATACCCCAGCACCTGCCGTGGCAGCTCCTGCAGACACGGAGTCGGCGGCAGTGGCAGGCAGTGAGGAGGAGAACGCCACTATGAGTGGTATGGACCAGGACGCGGTGGCTGAGGCCGCTGCAGATCCCGACAACGAGGTAAGAGATCCATAACACTTTCCCTTCCCCGCGCACATGGACATGTTGGAGATATCRGGTATATCGGGAATGAGATATTGGGAGTAGGCGTGGAGTGTCAGACGTGAGATGTGTGCGACAGACAGCGTCGAGGCTGGGGATCACGGGAGAGGTTTGATAAGAGGACACGCTGCATCGAAGCTTGCATTCATGATTGTGAACGCCTACTGACAAGCAGGTGATACAGTCCGAAGCGGCTCCCAATACCAATGCGGATCAGGATGAGGACGAGGACGAGGACGATGATGTTGTGATAACTACCGAGATGCCGGAGCACCACCAAGACAATCAGCAACAGCAGCACGACCAACAAGGAGAACAGCACGAGCAGCAATCTGGTGTTCAGCCCGGTGGCGACGAGTCGTTTTCCGATCAGCAGACGCAAGGCCATCAGCTGCAACAGCAAGGTTTCGGCTTCGACCCAAGCATGGGCAATTTCGGAAACGGCGGCAACATGAATATGCCCATGGGTATGAACGGATTCAACGGGATGATGCCAGGCTTCGGCATGGGAATGCCAAACATGATGGGTAAGCGACCATTTTCTTCTTCACATTCCTCTACACGACTGAGACGATCCGCAGGTATGCCTGGAATGGGTATGGATCCATCGATGATGTTCAATGGAAGCTTCGGCGGCAACATGGGAGATATGAGCATGATGGGCATGGGCATGGGCGGTATGGGGAACGGCATGATGGGAGGCGGCATGGGCAACTTTGGTGGCATGGGGGGCCCTGGTTTCTTTCCCGATCAAGGAAACTATATGCAATCAAATTACGGAAACGCTCAGCGACAGAACTTTTCTAATGATCGCGGGTACGGTCGTGGCTTTGGCCGTGGCTTCGGTAGAGGCGCACGAGGTAATTGGAACCCCCGTGGCCGCGGAGGTGCCTGGGGCCATCAACAAGGACACCAGCAGCAGAATGGCTTCCATCAACAGCTTGGTCCACAGGGCCACCACAATCAAAGTTTCCAACAGGGACCGCAGCGGACTGGCGCCAACTCGGAGGGAGTGCCTTTACGTCGGTCCTCTCCCGTCTACGAGGGACGCAAGGCTACTCCTGCCAATCCTGATGCACATGATCACAATAGGAGCGGGGACAAGCCTGCCGGCACCGCAACTAACATGGCAGACGACACTAATACTACAGATGAGCGTTCGGAGCAGACGAAGGAGGTTGCCGATCAGCAAATGCAAAGTAAGCAATATCAATCATCGCACGGCTTCACATCGAACACAGCTGAGACTTTCAATGAAGACGAAAATGGCAGCACGGCTTCGATGAATGTCGACAATTCGGCTGGCGATGGCAACGGCGAACTTGCCCAGATCCAATCTGTCAATCATTCTGCACCATATGAGGAATATGATGAGAGCGCACAGTACCAACAGGAATACGGATTCGGCCACCACAACAGTAACTTTGGAAGCCGTGGCGGCTATCGTGGCCGCGGTGGTTTTRTCAATGCCTCCCACGCGACAGAGCTCACTCCAGCTCCCGCTCCGCCAGTGAATGCTCCCAAGGGGCCTAAGGCCATGCTTCAGGGTCTTCCCAACACTGGATGGTCTGGCAGAAACTTGGTCATGGCGACGCCGCCGAAGAAGATTAATACTCCTACGCCGGCGCCACAGTCCGAGCCACGGATGCTACCCAACGGATCTGCAAAGCAGGACGAGACCATGCAGGACGACTATCCACGGCGGGAGCCCGATCTCGGAGGCCAAGACAAACCAGCTTCCCGCTCACACTCAAAGTCACGGCGTCGTAGCAGATCGCCTGTGATGGATGACGGACAAGAGTCTGATGGAGCGTACTCCCGCCACAAGGAGGGCGATAGACGCAAGCGTAAAGATTACGAGAGACGACACGATGACGAAACGGAGGACTCGAGAAAGAAGTACCGCTCACGTTCAGAGTCTCGTAACGACGACGGCTCCCGTCGCCGTCAACGCGACAAGGATGAGGACCAGCATCGATCCTCTCGGTCCCATCGTGATCGAAGTCGGGACAAGGACCGTCGCCGACGTCATGAGAGGGATGGTGCAGATGACAGGGACGAGTACTCACGTCGCAAGAGCAAGACCCACCACGAGCGGGCTGAACAGGAGGACCACGAGGACAGCCGTCGTGGTAGCGGTCGCAGACACTCGCGTCGCGAGGACGATCACGAACACGAGGAGGACCGCAAGGACCGATCTCATCGCTCCTCGAGACACGATCGACCAGCTCGAGACGATGGCCACAGTCGCGAATACAAGCGTGATCGYGAACGTGAACGAGAACGTCCMCGTGCTGTCATTGAGCCACCTTCGGATGAGCTTGGCTTCAAGATCAAGGGTTCGAAATCTGCTCGCGCTGGTAAGGACAGCGCCAACAACAACGACAAAGAGCGACGCTCCAGCGTGGTGGTTCAGAGCGTAGTCGAAGCACCAGCTCCGCCCGCCGGAGACATCTATGCCGCAGAGCGAGCTGCTGCACAGGGAAAGCGCGAAGCCAGGGAAGCGCAGCGACGCAGTACAGTAACTCATCCCAGCTCCCTCGGAAAGCGTGGACGTGAAGAAGACGATGCCTTCGATGCGCCACGCGGCCCAAAGGGCGATCGCAGCCGGACAAAGAAGGGCAAGAATGGAAGACCTGAGCGCAAGATCTCCTACAAGTACGAGGACGAAGTCGGCGGTGGTGACGACGATCGCGATGCGAACCGTTGGAGATGATGACTTGAACGATTTCATCGCCAGGTCAGAATCACGGCGTCCAGTCCGTCTACAAGGTGCACTTGCGACACCACAATTGCAAAACCAATTCCATCGCCAAGCCAGAATCGCGGCGTCCAGCACATCTGTAAGATGCGCTTGTGACACCAAGATTGCGCTTATCGCAGCGACTAGGTACAAGATACGGACGCTGCGTCTAAGATATCACTGTATCAAAACCTGATCCTACGTTCTTCTCCTGTCTACAGTATATTTCCCCTTCTGCACGCTAACCTCGTTCCCGCCCACTTAGCGTGAGCCTTTTGCGCGGCGTTTAAATACCCGTTCGGTGACTCAACTGCATCTTGATATATTTATTGTGCGGTATCTGTTCACTGGTCACAAGAGGTTCCAAACAACAATGGCAGGCCCAGATGTGCTTGTTACAGGATCTGCCGGTCACCTTGGTCACGCTTTGATGCTTGACCTCCAAACACATGGGTTCACACCCTTGGGTATTGATATTCTTGAGTCAGAACACACCTCTGCAGTAGGTCCTGTCTCTGACCGTGGCTTCATTTCGAGTATTTTCGAAGACCATCCATCACTTCGTTACGTCCTTCACACTGCCACTCTCCACAAACCGCACATTGGATCACATTCCAAAGAAGAATTCATCGAGACGAACAACAAGGGARCTCTAGTACTCCTTGAAGAAGCCAGCAAGACCCGTAGAATTGAAGCATTCATTTTTGCATCTACTACTTCAACTTTTGGTGCAGCGTTGGCCCCGAAATTTGGTCAACCAGCAGCATGGATTGATGAAACCGTGGTTCCTATCCCAAAGAACATATACGGAACAACGAAAACGGCGGCTGAAGACCTCTGTCAACTCATTCATATCGAGAGCAAAATGCCCGTCATAGTGCTCAAGCTCTCCAGATTCTTCCCGGAGCCGGACGATAGCGAAGAGGCACGGAATGCCTACGAAGACGACAATCTCAAAGTCTGCGAGCTTTTATACCGGAGAGTGGATATCTCGGATGTCGTTCTTGCGCATGTTTGTGCAATGCGAGAGGCGAAGAGGATTGGATGGGCGAAATTTGTGATTAGCGCTCCACCTCCCTTTGATCGTAACAAGGACACTCTTGATGCGTTGAATGATAGTCGTGCGAGTGTTGTCATCCAGCAGACTTTACCGAAGCATGCGGAGCTTCTTCTTCGTCATGGTTGGAGATTGCCAGATAATATGGATCGGGTCTATGATTCCCGCAAATCTATGAGGGAACTCGGATGGCGGCCGGTCTTCACATTTGAGCGAGCCGTGGAGCGTGTGAGTGAAGGGCAAGAATGGAGGAGTGAATTGAGTGTGAGGGTTGGAAAAAGGGGATATCACGCGAAGCCTACTGGAGTGTATACCGCTTGAGGGGTGATGCAGACCCAATGACCCAGGGGGCGCAAGATGTGGAAGACGCGAGTAGAGATAGGAATTGACTAGCAAAGAGCTGTATTCATTGCCAAATCCTGGACATTCCAGATGCACTCACTTCTTTGCCCTTTTTGCAGAAGGCTTCTTCGCATTCTTTGCAAACGCTTCCTCAGATGGCTCATCGCGGCCCTTCTGCCTTGCCGTCCCACCATACTTCTCCTCGATGCGATCGAAGGCAGCTCCCCGCGCCTTTTGTCGTCCCTGAATCATTGCAGCAAGACTGTCCAAGCCTCCGCCGGCATCCGCCTTATTGCCACCCCTTTTCTGTTTCTTGTTCTCCATTTCCTTCTTGAGCGCCTCCGCCTCACCAGCCTCTCCGCCCTTCTGCCGTTTGGCATTTGCGATTCTCTTCCGCCGTGCATTCTCACTCTCCTCTGTGTAAGCTTTGAAAGACTCGACCTCGTCAGCCGCAATCGCCGCATCGATGATCTCACGGAAGCGGTCCTCGTCGTCAACCATGTCACTGAGCATGACTTCTTGATACAGCTTGGTCATTTTTCCCTTGTGTTTCTCATACGCTGCTATTACAGCGCCTCGCTCTTCCTCGCTGCCCTTGTACTCGGTCGCAAAGTCGTTGATCTTCTCCTCGGTCACCATCTCGTCGAAGAGTCCACGATAAAAGTCCGACCAGTTGAAGTCATCGTCATCCAAATCGAGAGATTCCTCCGTACTGCCAGTCAAGTCGTAACGTCTACGCCTCCGCTCGTCGGATAACACGGCGAATGCACAGGCGACTTCTTGAAACTTTGTGTGTGCCGTCGCCTTGTCAGCTTCCGCCGCTTTGTCGGGATGATATTTGAGGGCAGCTTTGCGGTAGGCGCGTTTGATGTCGTCTTGTGAAGCAGAGCGGTCCTTGATGGAGAGGACTTCGTAGGGATCGATGGCGGTGGGCATCTCTCCCTCGAGCTCTTCCTCCTCTTCCTCCCCTTCTTCCTCGTCGTCGTCGGAGCGTGGCCGTTTGACCATTGTGTTGAGTCGACGATGATCTGATGTGTTTGATTTTCTGCTGATAATGCTACAAGAGACTCGATGATGTGTGATTCTGATGTGGATGTTGGAGTGGAGAAGAAGACGCGACGCCGACGCGCCGTCTCGCTTTCATTTCGCGTGTCGACGTCATTTCCTTCACAAGATACATGTAAACATTAAACAAACTGACGACCTTCACCCGATCCACGCAATGTCATGAGCGACGGAAAGCTGTACGCTGCGCGCTACTTTGATCATCTCTCTCCGACTTGGTTCCAGTGGAACAAATTGACCGCCCATGATCTCCTGCACCACGTCCATTCGGTGCCCGATTTCGCGGGGCGGGATGTCTGGTTCTGGCTCAATCATCCACTGCAGTTCTTTCAAATTATGGGTCTAGTCGTCCAAATTGACAGTGTCGCCGATGGACGCTATACATTTCTCACGATCGATGATGGGAGTGGAGTCAACATGGAAGCCAAAATCGAGAGGAGGCCAGCGTGGAGGGACGAAGAACCAGAATGGAAGGAGAATTCACAGGTCGAAGATGTGGATGTGTTTGTCAATCTGGGACTCCCAGTAGTTCTCTTACACGGCAAGCAGGTGGAGGTTGGGGAAGTCATGCTGGTCAAAGGCACGCTTACCACATTCCGACATGAAAAGCAGCTTGTGGTGAAAAGAATGCGGCGTATGAAGGATACGAATGAGGAAGTCGTCTGGTGGGGTCGCATGGCAGATTGGAAAAGAACGGTGCTGAGTACACCATGGGTCATTACGGAGGCAGAGAAGGCGAGCGTCGATCAGAGACTGAAGAGAGAGGGGCATGAGTCGAATAAAGTGGTAAAGCGAGACTCTCGAAGGGCCGAGAGGAGGAGAGAGTGGGAAGAAAGGCATTCGGCGAAGGAGGAGATCAAGCGAAGTCTGCAGGAGGAGAAGATGAACAGACATGCTCTCGAGGGGAGCCATATCCTACATATACCTTGGGATTGACTTGTGCAAGTACCGTCTTACTGGAGGGTACTACATCGATCGACTGGCCATACGTGTTCAACAACAGAATACGCGAATATCCGCAGCGAGGAGACCTTCTGTTCCGATAGAAAGAAACTGCGGACAATTCTCTGCCGCATCCGAGACGCGACTGCAGATCGAATATACTGCATATATGAAAGCCTCTTGTTTGCTCTGGATCAAGCTGCCAATCCGTTACCCCAAATGATAAGCTGTACTTTTTGGAGATGCCACCAACATTCTTGCTCGCCACACCAAGTTCGCCAGCATCGGAGGGTAAGCTATCAAGCCTGACACTATCATGATGACTGCGTATAAGTTTCGAGTTCGCGGATGCCACTCATCTTCCTTGACTCATCGCAACAACGCATGAGAACTTGGACCGGATCATGAGCGACAAGGCAGTCTTCGCCTGATAGCGATTTTGGTACACGCACCGAATCTTTCTTGGTCGGAAACGTTCAATCGTTGAAATCRACAGACACACTTGACTGTACGCTCCGAACTCTAGAAGCACAACTATCTCCTTGAACCTAGACTTGTATGGGGCTGGGTGAGCCCGCTTGGTGAGACTCCATGGGCATGGTCAGTCTCACTCTAGCGGGTAGTCAGGGGCACCAGAAGTTGCCGGATGATAGACATAGCAAGCAAATTTCCCGCTCGAACAGCCTTCTCTGGTCAACGATAAATTCGTACTGTACTTGCAGTGCGCTATCTATCTGAAGTCTCGCACGGCAATGCCCTGACCACCGCACGTAATTGTGGCATTCCTGTTCATCCATTCACCTATTCTGCGGATGAGCCTTTCTGGAGAGCAGGAATTACTTCGCCATCAGATACCTCGACTTCATCCACCATATCTGAATGAGATGAGAATCAAAAGGAACAACAATCCTCCAACCGCCAACCCAAAGACTATTCCCATCCCGACTCCCGCTAAAAATCCCGTGTAATAGTCATTGGTCCCTCGGTAGTCTGGATGTGGTCGTCTTCTGCAGACATGACCGGCAGCAACACGAGCTGGCAATTGCGTTACTACAAGAGTGCCATATGTGGGAGGTGAGGTGGGTGGATAGCTTTCTGTGTTCCCGTGCTCAATTTTGAGAGGTTGAGCTTCGATGTCATGATTGTCCATTTCGGGGGACGTTTGTCACAACGTAGTTTGTTTTCAAGGTCCCAGTGCGACCGTAAAGAAGAGCACCAAAATGAGGACGAATACTATGTTGAGTCCGGCAAACAACGCAATTCGATTAATCGATTCCTGCGGTGCCAAACAGATCTGTTCCGTCGAATCGTAGTATGATATGGCATGCGAAATAGCTTCGGCCCCTGTGCGATTGCTGATTGATAAGCTGATAGAGTCGTCTGGCTGATAAGGAGTGGTTGGGAGCTGGTATTTGACGTTGTCGGAAGGCCTGATAGTAGTCGTGTCATAGGATCGCGATTCGTCATGACCATTTGCCGACTTATTTCTTGAACAGTGCCAATTGGTAGTGCCTGTAGGTGATAGCGATCCTGAATGCCTGTTTCAGCACTTATCATCTAGAGTCACACGGTCTTTGCAATGAGAGTGATAGAAATATGGAATTCTGCCGCCTTGTTGGGTCGCTGCGATGCTGTGGTACATATGCACGCCAAGTAATGCACAGCGGTCCCGATTGGGCCACGACTGGGAGACAGGACCGTGGAACAGCGACCTCCATAGTTCACGCCCCTCCATGTGCGAGACMCACGGACAGTCTTTTCTCGATTCACTCCACATTCCACCCATGTGTTTTCTTGCATGACGGCACGGCATGCATCAATGGGCGATATCTTGAGCTGGCGAAGTCGGTCTGTTCGAACAAGTGTCCGAGAAAGCTGGCTCGCACGTTTTACCTCTTGTCATTTTCCAATGTGTCGATTAATMATGAGTACAAACACATGCACGCTACAACAAGGATGGGTGAGCACCTGCAGGCAAGCAAGGTGAGGTCGATGAATCTGCGGAGACGGGGCCGTGACTCCAAACGTCCCGAAGGCCGATCGACTAATGCACACACTTGCATGAGATAAGCTCATGTGCCGATGATGGTGACGACAAGATCACAAAGCATCGTGCGAGCCGGACTCCACCAACCACGCTACCGTGCGATGAATTCGTGTGTAAGGTAGATAGGCATAAAAACATTAACAAACGAAGCACAGAGAAGCAAACAGCAATTGTGTTGAAGCACGTCTTTCCAGCCGGCGAGTTTGGTTGGGATCAGGGATCGAACAGTTCCAGGGGAGCTTTGGCCTTTGTTGTGTTGTTGAAACTGGTACCGCCACCATCAAAGGTAGAATTTGGTTTACAAAGCAACCAACCGTCCAACGGGCCTCTGGCTCGCCGACGCTGTTCCTTCGCTCGCTTCCTTTTTAATATACTTTAATACACAGTCGCCCTCACCTCTACCTATCTCTACCCCTGCGCTGGCCGTTTAGTGTGGCGATAGGATTGGAAGGACTTCTGGACCCGGGAGCATCAGGATTCAGCACGCGCGATACCGTCACGTTCACAGCACCACGAGCCGCTCACGAGAACCTCCTCCGTCGTATCAGATTATACAATTCGATAAGATACGATCTGGACAGAACGTTGACACGCAGTACCGGAAGCTGCTCGCACAGTAGCAGGCACAGGAACAGCCGGCGCAAACAAGATGCAGACCGCCGATGCGGTGTTTGAGGCCGATGCGAGCTTGATCACGGCTCTCCAACATGAGAGAAGGCAGCAGCCGGGACAGCAAGGCACGCGTGCAGTAAAAGTAGCCACGGGCGCAGTATCATCGACTGGTGTCGATGAGAGTGCTCCCTTGTTGGGATCGCAGGGCGAGGACAACAGCAACGAGCCACCCTCATGGTCTGGACCATCCACAGAATTTGATCACCTGCCATGGTATAAAAGACCATCAATGGGCTGGATGCTTGGACCATTCTTCATCCTCGCCGTGGCCTTCGGGGGTGTAATAGCGCCCAAGTTAAACCTCATAATAGATCTGGTGTGTCGCGAATATATTGCCGACAGAGTGGCATCTGAGCCTGGCTTTACCATGATGCCTGTGAACTTCAACGGAGGCAGCAACCGCCAATGCCAGATTCCAGAAGTGTCATCTCGGGCAAGTCTGTTCACAGGACTGGCGACCATCGTTGCGGGAACGCTTTCTGCAATTGCAAGTCCAAAGCTAGGAGCCCTTTCCGATCGATATGGACGCAAACCGCTCATTATTGTCACCAGCATTGGCACGATACTGGGAGAGATCATCTTCATATTCGCCGCACTATTCCCAGAGAAATTTCCCCTCTCAGCATTGCTGATAAGCTACGCTCTGGACGGGGCGACTGGATCGTTCATCTTGGCCATGGCGCTGTCGAACGCATATGCAACAGACTGCACTTCGCCTGGCAGACGTAATGTAGCTTTTGGTTATTTCCACGCCTCTCTTTTCACTGGCATTGCGATTGGGCCCATCCTTGCCGGCTACATAGTCAAGCTGACGGGCGAAATCGTGGTGGTGTTCTATGTGCTCACTGGCGTACACGTTGCTTTTTTGCTATTCTTAACGTTTGTCATCCCCGAATCACTCTCCAAGAGTAGGCAGAAGAAGGCCCGCGAACTACACGCAAGCCGTGAGGTCCAGAGAGGTCCGAACGGGGATTGGATCAATCAGCTGCGATCTCTCAACATCCTCGCGCCTTTGAAGATGCTCTACCCCACTGGGCCTGGGACCAGTCCGGCCCTGCGATGGAACCTCATCCTTCTCTGTGCGGTGGACACTATCATTTTTGGCGTGGGCATGAGWTCGATGACCGTGGTTGTCATCTACGTCCGCCAACAATTCGGATGGGAGACATTCGAATCTGGACGTTACATGTCGATTGTGAGCACTTCTCGTGTTCTCGTGCTCCTCCTACTGCTCCCGGCCGTGACACGGTTGCTACGAGGCAAAAAGTCACAGGCCTCTGATCGGAAGAATACCGGCTGCGACACGTTCGATCTGAGTGTCATACGGGTGGCAACTCTCTTTGATGCGCTTGGTTTCCTTGGCTTCTCGCTTTCACGTACGGGCTCGCTTTTCACATTATCTGGTGTCGTCGCCGCTGTAGGTGGCGTTGGTTCGCCGACATTACAGTCTGCATTGACCAAGCACGTCCCCGAGGAGCGCACTGGACAGCTGCTAGGTGCCACCAGTCTGCTTCACTGTCTTGCGCGAGTTGTGGCTCCTGCGGTTTTCAGTGCAATATTTTCTGCCACGGCCAAGAGTTTTCCACWGGCCGTTTTCGTTTGTTTGGGTGCTACTTTTGTGCTTGCTTTCGTTGCAAGTTGGCTGATAAAGACTGGAGGTATGTATTGAAACGGTGGAGGGGAAGAGAACATGAGACTGACCACTTGCTAGTATATTACGATGCCGAGAAGGCCGATGAACCAGATACCGGGGAGTGGCAGAGGTAGCCGACGACAGTGTTGATACAGAGTGGATCCGCCTCTCATACCCAGACTTGATGGCTATGGAGTTGCGTAATCGCGACTGTAATGTTTCCTTCCATGTTCGATATAGAGCGTCTAGCATTTGTTCAAATTCTCGATTTCATAGACCTACTACGTTCTTGCACTCGAATTTCCTGCAGCAACGAGTGACGTACAATCGTCTCCATATGCAGCACGCCAATCTTCCAAGACTTGTTGCATGCAGAAAGGTGATCGATGAGTGGGAGGTGGAGGTGAAGCCATCACACCCGCAGACTGAACCGCGTTTCACGTTCTGCGCCAAGCGGATTGAGGCCCGACGAATCACGAGAGATTTCCTTTCTATTTCCTCAGGAGACGAGATACGATGAAACGCTGCCGGGACTGCCGGGTCTCACGTGGGAAGTAAATCCAGCTAAGAATTCCAAGTATTTGCTGCTCGAAGCGCTAGATTGAGTGAATGTCATGTCGAGCAATAAATAGGTGACGAGAGTGAAGGAAGGTAAAAGTAGAAGGTAGACCCTGTCCCGCCAGTCTGTTTTGGAACGTCGAAGTCTTCGAATCAAACAGCTTGTGTGAAGAGCGGAGACTGGAGAAAGACGAGCCTCGTATTCAAACCAGACACTGCGCCGTGCTGGCTCAAGGTACCGCAGGGTCAACGCACTCCCACAGCTGGTCCCTGTTCCATCATCATCGCTCTCGAAACATCAAGTCTCCTTCGCCAGGCCTCGCATGTGCGCCGTTGAAGCATACCACGACCCGCGGCCCTGTCTATTATACCTAGTTTTATGGACTCTAGGCTGACCGCCAGCGTCCTCGATTTCGCCCTTCGTCCTCGTCACGCCGTTATCCCTGACGTCTCGCCGCGCCTTGCTGGCCGCTGAAACGTTTCGTGCGCCATCGAAGCCTCCCTCGCACGCCGCAGTCAGTCGCGACTCGACGCCTTACACCAATCCTGCCCGAATAGGAGAGCTCCGCTTCGGAGACGCTCCGCGAGGTGCCACYTCCCGCCCTCACGAACACATCGCCGTAACACTGGTCAGAGAGCGGCACGACATCACCGCCACTGCACCTTTCTTGTTCGGCGGGTTGCTTGACAAGCAGGACTTGAGCGGGCAGTCATCACAAGTCGATTCATCCTAGACTGTTGGGCAGTCGTACAGTTCCATCAATTACACTCTTTTTGATCGAGTCAAGGCAAACCTAATCAATAATGGCATCTGGAACTCGCCCAGACTATCACCTCAATCTCGAGGGCCTCCCGCAACTCAACATGCAGTCCCGCTCGGCCAACGCTTCCCAGGCCAACTCCCCCATCGAACCGCCTGCAGGATCAGGACTTAGGTACCCGCTGGGCAATGGCATAGGAAACAGTGGTAATCAAGTTGGCACGGGACGGACTGGCTCTCCCAGCAAGGAATACGGCAGTCGGCTTTTCCCCAAACGGTAAGTGACGCCGTTGCTGGCACGCTGCTGATCGAGAGAACTAACGAGTCGGCAGTGCGCGTGAGATACAGCAGCAGGAAGGGCTGTCGCCGCAGATCTGGGGAGGACCTCCGACCTCTGGAAGTGGACACTCGACGCCCCTTCGAGAAACGATTCCCGAGTCACCCGGCAGCGACAGCTTTCCAGACTTCAACGTCGAAGCTGGTCAGGCGAGCAGCGGCAGTCCCAACGACCTCTCAGCCTCGAGCTCCGCCACACGTCGCACTCGTGCAGGCACCGTTCCCTCCCGTTTCCCAGCCATGGGGCCTCTCTCCAGCTCTGCCAACAAGTCGAACCGAGCGACGCCCTCGACCAGTCCATATCCCGGCCCTGGCTCGCCTTCTCACGCGGAACAGCAGGCCAACTCCGGCGCACCGCCCGCAAGCAGCAGCGCCGCCTTGCTGTCTCGTCTAAGAGCTGGGTCAATGCCACAACGCGGACTTATCAACACCTCTTCGTCCACCACACAGAATCCATTTGGGTATGGCAATTCTCTGTTTGCGAGCAACTGGCTTGCTGGAAGAGATCGGGCAAGCACGCTGCAAAGTATCAGGTCATCTGAGGGACCATCTTCGCCGAATGCATCTCCTGCGGACAACGATGTAAGAACTTTGGACTACCTGGGCCTAGTGGACACTCCTTCCACTGGGATGAACAATTTGTCAAGAGCAGACATGGACATGCTCCTGAGTCAACAAGGATTGAGTGCAGGTGTAAGCATTGCCGATCTGGCTGCCCTGAACGCCTACAACAGCAAAAATACTGCGAACCGCTTCCGATCATACTCGGTCAACGCGAAAGAGAAGTATGCAGACGGTGAAACGGACGAAATGGATCCGTACGAGCAGCTCCAGCAGCAGCTGTACTCCGGCACTGCCACGCCCACTGATCCTGCCTCCGTTGCGCAGGCTGCTGCAATCCACGAGGCTGTTCGGCAGCACAACTTGGATGTGCAAGCATTTGCAAACTTCGCTAGTGCGAACAGACCGAGAGCCCGTACTGCCGGCGTTCTTGACTCTCCTTCTTCTCGTGTACTTCGCAACTACATGCCAATGCCGTCTCGTCTGGACAACAGCATGACGGCGGCAGACCTTCAGAGTAACGATGGTTCGGAATTCGGCGGACTGGCAGCCGCCGTGCAGAACATGAATTTGCACGCGAAAGCATCCTACGAAGGAGGCATGGATGTCGGAAGTCTCGAATCGCCAACCAGGGCACTCTGGCTAGGCAACATTCCGTCCTCGACCACCGTCACATCGCTCAATGTCATATTCAACCAATTCGGTCCAATTGAGTTTGCCAGAGTTTTGACTCACAAGAGCTGTGGATTCGTGAACTTTGAGAATATGCAAAGCGCCATTGCCGCCAAGGCACAGTGCAATGGCAAAGAAATCTTCCCAGGGTGTGGTCCAATTAGGATTGGTTTTGCAAAAGAGCAGAGCGCATCCAACACGCCTGGAGCTCATGGTGCGTATGCGTCTCCAAGCCCAGATCCGTTCGTGTCGAAGAGTCGTCTTGATGGTGCTCAAACTGGCGGAAACATCAACGCGGAAACTGCCGCTGCTGCACTCGCCACTCCTAATTTGCTCGAACTCCGCGATGAGATCAACAGCATTGTTCAAGAGTTTGGTGCGACCTCTGATGATCAAGCTCGCATTGCTGCAGCATTGGAGAGTGCCATGGGCTGGAAGGAATATCAAGATGAGATCCCAATAATTTCCGAGCCAAACCACAACCGCGTGCATGACGCGCCGCGTCTGCGCGAGATCCGCAAGCGTATCGACAACAATTCTTGCAGTCCGATGGAGATTGAGAGCATTGCCATGGAAATGCTGCCAGAGGTCGCAGAATTGGCATCAGATTACCTAGGCAACACAGTGGTGCAGAAGCTGTTCGAGCACTGTTCCGAGGAAACTAAAGAGGCAATGCTGAACGAGATATCTCCTCACTTGGCCGAAATTGGAATCCACAAGAATGGTACCTGGGCCGCACAGAAGATCATTGATGTCGCGAGGACGTCCGATCAGATGAACATGATCGTGGACGCACTCAAACCTCACGGCGTTAGCCTCTTCTTGGATCAATACGGAAACTACGTGATGCAGTGCTGTCTGCGCTTTCAAGCGCCAATTAACAATTTCATCTTTGACACGATGCTGGCCAAGCTATGGGATGTTGCTCAAGGCCGTTTTGGTGCTCGGGCGATGCGTGCTTGTTTGGAGAGTCACTTCGCTACGAACGATCAGAAGCGTTTGATGGCGGCCGCAATCGCATTGCACAGCGTTCAGCTTGCGACCAACTCGAACGGCGCCCTGCTCTTGACCTGGTTCCTTGATACCTGCACGTTTCCAAGGCGCCGGTCTGTCCTTGCACCTCGACTGATTCCTCATCTTGTACACTTGTGTACGCATAAGGTTGCTTACTTGACCGTGCTCAAGATCATCAATCAGCGCAATGAGTCAGATGCTCGCGACAGCATCTTGCAAGCTCTATTCTTCGATGAGCAGACTCTCACCGACATTATTAGCGACCAGGCTTGCGGCGCGACCTTGATTTTCAAGGTACTGACAACGCCATTCCTGGATGAGAGTATTCGCCCAGAATGCTTGGAGARTGTGCGCAACGTTCTCTTGCGCATCAAAGCAACTCCATCGCAGGGCTACAAGCGACTCATGGATGAGGTTGGGCTGTCCACGCGTGGCGCTCAATCAGGTCTCGAGAGCCGCTCGAACTCCAAGGGTCGCCATGCGAATGGCCACCAAGGCAATCTCGAATCTGGTCAGAATGGATACGCACGCCACGGCTACGGTCACCAGGTTGATCCAACCATGGCACCCAATCTGCAGCGAACCGTCAGCATTGATTCCAACAGCTTTGACCCTTATGCTCAGCAGTACACTCACAGCCCAGCCATGTCAAATGCCGGCATCAGTCCCATTAATCCTGCGCAATACCAGCAGGCGATGTTGGCTCAGGGCCAAATGCAGAGGCCTCCTGGCTTCTTCGGTAGTCCTGGCATGGGCCCCGGCAATGGTGTGCCAAACGGCATGGCCTACGGGGCAGCGTCACCCGCACAGCAATTGGTCGACCCTTACAGGAATGCATCACCTATGATGCCACCGGGCATGGGCTATCAGCAACAAGGTTACCCAACCCCTATGATGGCCATGAATGGCTATGGGCAATACGCGCCCATGCCGCAATTCTACCCCCAGGGTCAGATGTCTCAAGGTCAAATGACTGGTAACAACAGAAGAGGCAGAGTGCGTCACCACAATCGACCATGAAGCAAATGAATTCAAGCTGACATGTGTTGTCCTTGCGCAGCGTTGAATGACACTCCTACATCGATCGACATGCCACACTTTTACGACGACGACAACCAGCGAAATTTGCTACTTTGTTTTATCGACCCCCCTATCTACATCTACGACGTAAAAGTATTGGCCAAACACCTCAGGCTGGCCTTGTGGGCGAAGGAGCGAGCGCGCATCGGTTCATCGGAGTCGGATTATTTTCTCCTTCTTGTATCGGTTGGGACATAGGGCGGACGGCGCAGTACAAAAATGGGATGTTCAAATGTATCAATGACGGGCAACTGGCTATTGGCAGACCGGTTTCTGGTTCAAACTACTGTCTTATGTAGCAAAGATGAGGACACGCGGTTGACGGGAGTTCATTCCCCTTTAGCATAACGACACACCATTTTGCAGCATAAGCGTGTTCTTTGCTGGATGTAGTTAGCACGGTATTCACGATCGAACTTTGTACCGCTTTTTGGTGTTGCCAGTCCGAGATCTAGTGTGGCGCATTGTTGTGAGATCGAGCATTTGTGTTGGAGCATTTCGATTAGTCGGCAAGCAGTATACATACGCAGGGGACGGTGGGATTGWAGCATGCTGCCTTGCCTAACCTGATGAGAGATCTTGTCTTCTTTGCAACGACGACATGACGATCGAGGTAATAATCTCAACCAAACGCACGCCCCGCCAGAATGTTCACGGACGTGATATTGGTGAAAGCGAGGGAAACGGCGAGCTTCATTTCTCCGTTCCCTCGACGGAGTAATAAAACATCATGGTCATGAAAGATGGAGTGAGAGAATTGATACGGAAGCAATGCAATCGTGAATATTCTGTGAATTCTGTGCTGGCTGTAGCACTGTGTAAAGTAAGAGTAGCGCCATTGCCGTTGGGTATCATCGCTTTCAATCAAAAGGGTATCATCGCTCTCCAGCCAAGCGTTCCATCGCTATCAATCAAGCCGCTCTCAATCAAGTGTTCCGCCTTTCTCAATCAAAGGGCATCTCAGATGTCCGAGTCATCTGCAAGGGTAAATCTCTCCACCATCTCTATCTCTACTCATGCCATCTCTTTTATCCCAAACTCGTCCTTTCGAAACCAATCATTTCCTCAAACCACAAAGTCGCAGCGCTGGGACCGCGGATGCCTTGCTTGGCCATGGCGCGGATGTGGTCCATGGCAAACACGTTCGAACTCACCCAAGCATTGCGTTCGATCCAGACGGAGAGGTTGCCCATGCAGAGGAAGAGAAGCATCAAGCTCAGAAGGAATTGCCACCAGAACGGCGCATCGCGGAACCACTCAAGGGTGGTCTTCTCGCGCACCACATCGATGTAGACGGGGTTGAGCTCCAAGGGACCGATCAAGAGGCTGTTTGACTGGGCTTCGTTAATGCACTCCTGCCATGCGGCAATCTGAGCGTCCTTGGCCTTTGTGCGAATACTGTGCTCGGCATCCTTGGCCTTGATCAAGGCAGTGCACTCGCCGTATGCTTCTGAATACTTCTCCTTGAGCAGTGTGTTCTCTGCGGTCAGGTAGGGCCTTTCGTCAATGCGGTCCTGTAACTTTTCGTTGCTCTTCTCCAGCGTGACGATCTGCTGAGTGGTGCGGGAATCCTTGGCGATGCGCTCCTTCTCGGCGGCTTCCAGTTCCTCGACACGGGCGGCCTTGGTTGCGAGTGCGGCTGCGGCGGCCTCCAGTTCCTCGATCCGGGCGGTCTTGATTGCGAGTGCGGCTTCGACCTKTTGGCTGCGCTCCAGTACCTTGCTGAGCTCCTCTTCAAAATTGACTTTGGGGACTGGGACGTCCAGTGAGGTTGATTCACCGGCAGGCCGATACTCTGTCAGGATTTCGGCAACTTTGGCGTTGTTGGCGACAGTTCGGGGTGAGGGTGTAGCGGCTGCAGCGGCTGCAGCGGCTGCAAGCTCTTCGGCTTCTGTTTCGGCTTCGAGTTCACGTTCTGCCTCGGCGATCTCTTCCTCCGTCATTGAATCGAATGGGTCATCGAACTTGTCGTAGACAGGAGAGGAGTTGGCCTCGACGGCTGCTGATTGCTTTGGGGGGTGTTCGTCATCGCTGTGGTAGCTCTCGGCGATGCTCTCGGCGTCGGAGTGGTCAGCCAGCTCGTCAGCGATGGAGACTTTGCGGTTGGCTTTGCGCTGTGGCTGGCTGGCAGCAGTCTGAAGCTCTTGGATGTGGCTCAGAACGGTGGCGGCGTTCAATTCTCGGCCCATCTCGGAGAAGACCATCTCAAACTCGCGGCCGATGCTGTTCGCGAAATCGCGGGCCTCCTGACACTCTCGCTCCATCGCCTGGGCGTTGTGGAGCTGTTGGATGAGTGCCGTGTGTTCTTCGTGGACACCCCGCATGGCCTGTTCCATGTCCTCCTTTTCCTTCCTCAACGCTTCCAGTTCGCGGTTCTGCTTGTCGAGGGCATTCTGTGCATCGTCGAAGCATAGCTTTGTGCTGTTGTACTTCTTGTCCAGTGCCTTGTAGGCTTCGCTCTCTCCAGCCTTCTTGGCGTTGACGTTTTCGCGCAGAATCTTGTACATTCCCCGAGATTCCTTGAGCTCGAGCTCATACTGCTTCGCCTCCTTCTGTAAATTCGCGTTGATGGTGTTCGCGTCGTCGATCGCGGTCGTTTTGACGCGGAGCTCGGCCTCCAATCGCTCGATGATCTGATCGCGTTCGACCAGCTTGTTGTGGTAGTCTTCGTTGGCTGCCACCAGGTGCTCGGCCACCATCGTGGGTTTGCGATCGCCTGCCATGTTGTTAGACGCATGTCATGACATTGTCCACAATAATAAATGTTATTGGTGTTGACGTGGGGAGTAAGGTAGGTAAATACCGGCTGCCGGAACGGGATCCGCCACGGGAGCGTCCGCTGTCTCCAGCTCATCTCTTGCTTTCTTGGCGGCGGCCGCMGCTGCTGGGCCCACCGGCCTCTGTGATTGCATTGCTGTTGGTGAGGGTTGGGGAGCCCCGCGATCGGCGCCCATGGTGGTGTTGTTGATGACGGGCGTCATCTTGCGGGAGCAGGGGAAATGTTCGTCAAAGTGGAATGAAAGAAAAGAAAGACAAAGCAGCGCAGCGACGCAAGCAGTTTTGCTATCACAAGGTGACAATAGATGCTTAAAACTGCTTCTGACAATGTACATATTTCTCAATGCGGGTTCCACTGTTTTTTTCCCTATTGTCAATTTTCTGGAACTGCCGATCCTCGAGCGGAATTTGGTCCGGATGTAGGGGATAGGGTGACCATGGGCATAATCTTGGAGATGTTCATCATCGGATATGACGTGTCGTGGAAAGAGCCTTGTGAAGGGATACACGTACAGCTCTCACGCCTTAGATTCGAGCTGACGACAAGTGAACCGACGCCCATTGCATATTGCTCTCGAATGTACTGGCCGAGAGCACTGCAAAGGTGCAGTTCTCCAAGCGACGTATTCCACTCTGCTACACCGAGACGCTGTTCTCTCGAAGATCGTAAGAATGGTGCCTATGTTGTAATGGTGCACACATATAGAACTCCCTCACGCATCGCAGTGGCATTGAGCAGAAGCTGACCCACGCCCCTTGGCATCTTGCTCTCGATTAAATGAACCGAGGGCGATGCTAGGCTATAGTCTACTAGACCACACATTCATCTCCGTTGTATCGAGAAGCCATATTCTCCGAAGCACGAAGCTCTTCGCTTGAGTTGACATGTCATAGCGCCTGACCGTTGCCCCTTTTTGGTGATACTCCCGGTGGCTTGTTCGTCCTTGGGGCACCGATATTATACGATGAGCGGTTTTGCATAGCCATGGGCAGCTCAGAACATTGCGATAATTAGTCAAACGGTGGTTACGTCTGGGTTGCCTTTGACCCGTCATGCGTTCTTCGGGTCTGGCCCCCGTAATTGTTTGTATATTGCAATCTCACTCACTCTCGTCAAAGCCGTAGCTATGATTTCATGAGATGATACGCTGGAAATCTAGAAGTAGAATATCCTTGTCGGAGGGCTGTTCTATCCATCTACTTCTCACTTATCCCAGGTGATGTCTATTAGGGTAAGGGTTGGGGTAGTGAGTTATAAGCTCCCAGTAACAACATGGAGAGGACTGAGAGTAGCACTCAAGTTCGTTGCTCCAACTAGCACAGTTGAGCTGTTGATGTCGTGAACAGGTGTCGTTGAGTAAGCTTTCAGGAACTGTGGGAAATCAACTCGAATCTACCTTCACAGAAAGGCATACCGCTTGCTACTTGCGACTCCGAAAAACTCCATCAAATTTCCTACCCAAGAACACGGAAAGTAATACACAAGTCGTGACTGATTTGAAAGAGACCTCGGAAGAGGATCAAYCATATCACTCTCGTTCTGGTACAGCTCCTCACTACTTCGCCACGCCCCAACCGTCAGTTCCAAGCCAAGATAGTAGCTCGGCAATATTAGTCGCAGGATTACTGATCCCTCCTCCAGGACCCTTTGGACCGGGAGCATCCGTAGCATCGACGTTTCTCGATGTACCCTTGAGGACCTCCAACACCCAGCCCCCTTTGAGCTCATCATCCTCCAAACATCTCAGCATAGCCTCAGCGACCTCCTCGGGCTCGACCCACTCATCCTGCGAATCATCAAACAGACTCAACTTCTCTGGATGATCTGTCCAAAGAGGTGTCTTGATGATTCCAGGCGCCACACCGTTGACTTTGATTCCCAAATGGTCTTCCAGAGGAGCCAGGCTGCGGATGAACCCCGAAATCGCATGCTTGCTCGCTGCATATATAGGGGTGACGAAGCTTGGTGTTTGGCCAGCGATACTGCTGATATGAACCACTCGCTTGGGATTGGAAGGCGAGACTTTGCCGGTCTTACTACCCTCTGATGGATTGAGCCATCGGGAGATGGCTAGCTGTGTGGTTCGGATAGGATGTGTCACGTTGATGTCAAGGGTTGCATAATGGCCGATTCCATCGGATCCCAAGAGCTTGTCCTTGGAGGCTGCTGAGCCGGGAGGGTGCCAAAAGTTCGACCAGTGTGGCCTTGTTGAGAGTCAGTATGCGCTACGTATCCATACATGCTCGAGGAAGTTGCTTACTCGAACACGCCAGCTCCTGGACAGACCTTGTCAATCGTTAGCTGAAAGTCGTGCTTCGTGGCCGGGGAGTCAAGAGACTTGCAATGTCTGCACCCCCAAACTCGTTTTCCGCGACATCGAACATGTTCGTTAGTTGTTCCCAGTTCGTCACGTCGGTCTTCACGAAAACTGCACGTGGACTGCTTTCCTTCGACGAGTACTCTTCGATGACATTCTCCGCCTCCGGCCGCAGAGAAATATCAGCTACAACAACATTGCAATTCTTCGATAGCAATAGCTTCGCAAAGCACAGATTGATCCCTGCGTTGTTCGTAAGACGGCAATTTGCAGCGCTCAGACGTGAGGTTCTCACMAGAGCCAGCTCCCGTCACAATAGCAGTCTTCCCATTGACGGAGAAAGGGGTAGATTGAGTCGGGGCAGACATGTTGAACCCGATGAGACGGTATAAACCAAGGTTGGGTGCTGATGTGTTGTCCTACATCCTCACAGATGGGGAGCTTCGACTGTAAAATAGCCGTAAAATGACAGCTCTCGGATCACATAAGCCCGAGATGCAACGCTGTTCAGTTGATGCATCGCTTCCGACTGCCAAGAAGCGGAGGTGATGTTGAAGACAAGTTGGAAGAAAGCCGACAGCCGATGTGATGCAGCTCGGGACGAGCTGGTCGACTCGCGTAACCTTCCTCATGGGAACGGCGCGTATCACACGTGTTCGAGTTGTTGAATCAGCAATGCATCTGGTCTTGTCTTGTCTCGTCTACAGGCCAACACATGTCTCGAAAGAGGCTCGCCGATTGGGATCTTCCCACGCCCGAGTCTCCCTCTCGGAAACGTCAACGATTCGTACCTAAGCCAACAGCGAGCCTTCCCCGAAAGAGGTATCCCAAGCATAAAGACTCGAGAGTGGGAGAGGACTTCCACAGCGTGCCATATCCTCTCACTCTTCTACCAAAGACGTCATGGCAGGCCTTCAACCAGGGCGAAGCAGACGGCGTATGCGCGTCGTGTGGGAAAGCCCGAGAAGCATCAGCACATCAGCGGAAATTGTTCCTCGTCGCCGAGCGATTGTCCTGGGAACAAGGCACCGTTGGCTACTCGTCCAGGAGTCAAAATGAGGAAATACTGTGGGCTTGTAATGCCGAGCTAGGCATTTTTCAGCCGGCAGATCTGGCTGTGGAGGACGATGAAGTTGTTATTGGAGGGCGGCGGAGTAAAGACGACGTCTTATATCCATACAGAAGTGAAGCGGAAGTAGAGTTTGCAATGAGACTGATTGCTACTGCGGAAGTGCTGAGTGAGGCATCATGGACGTTGTGGAAAGGAATGGTAGAGAAGATGGTGAAAATGATGAAAACCACTCAAGCAGGAGCGAGCCTCACTGATAGTCTACATCCCGACGTTGTATGCGCTTCGCCTCGACGCTCTCCAAGGAAAAATGGCAAACAAGCCATGCATTCACTCCTGACACCACCAAGCTCGAATCTGGAGGGATCGTCTGTTGCCTCAAAAGGCCCGTCACCTACTCTCAGCTACGACACGCTTCAGAATTTTTATAGCCTTCTGGACAAGATCGAACGAACTTCTCCGATCGGTGCTCGATTTCTGGAAGCGTATGCGGATCGATTGCATGCCGAGACATGTCATGGATGCTGGTTTGCAGGCATTGCAGTAGCTGGCGAGGAGGACGAGTTAATCTTGCCGACTCGATCATCGCCTCGATCATCACGGAGGCAGTCATTGTTCCCTGGTTCAAGTGCATATGATCCTGCGCGGTACAGTAGCCCTCGCACTACGCCGAGGTCGAGACCTCGTGGCGAGGGCTGACTGACGCCAGAAAAGATGAGGGTCCGACTCACTCATCTCGACAGACAAACGATACACCCCCAATACGCAGATTTGACGCTACATGAAGATGGGTGCGTTATGCCGCCACACATCAAGCTCTTGCATTCTGGAACTGCAGTCCAATCTAAGCTGCTGCATTGGTCGATCTCGCTCACTTGACACCAAACATCTCATAGATCGCCCTCTCGGCAATCCCGGTGAACTTCTTGCACTCGGCATCACCAGGCGGCATGACCTGCGTGCCAAACGTCAAAGCGAGCCCAGCCTCTCTATCAACCAGCCAGAAGGTATTCACGAGTCCTCCCCAGCTGAGGGTTCCCTTCTTACGTCGCCCTACGTCGTCCTTCAGAAACAACATGCCTCCCAGGCCATAACTGACAGGCATGTCGTTGCTCATCTCCCCAATGAGCATTCCACTGAAGTTATCTCTGAATGCAGTGAAAGCCTTGGAGGAGCCTTCCCCGAGCTGGGGTTCAAACATCATATCCACAGTCTCTGGCTTGAGAATCTTCCCATCATTCGCCAGGATKCTCTGCAGGACTTTGATGTAATCTCCCAATCGAGCGTAGACGCCATGACCTCCGAAGCAGTCTGTTGAGTGTGTGTTGATGGTGTCTTCAGTGTACGGCGCCAGTTTGCCTTCTGGAGTACGTACGGCGATGCTCGTAACTCTGTCCTTGAGCTCGGGGTCCTTCTTGGGCCAAAATGTCATGCCTTTGAGTCCAAGAGGCTGACATATGCCTTTTTTCAGGAGCTCATCAAGGGTGGAGTTGGTGAGCCGCTCGGCCAAGAGACCGGCCCAGTCGATTCCTTTTTGCGGGTGTCAGTCTGCTGCCCGAGGAAGAGATTTATACAATTTCCACCTACCCAGAGAATACATCCAACTCTCACCCGGCTCGGCGATCAAGGGTATATCGCAACGCTCCAGAATGGTCGGCGCATTGGTGATTTGTGGATGTTGCCTCCCTCYCTGAATGTCATACTTGATCAGATCAGGCAAGAAGGCGTACGAAGTTCCTGAGCTGTGAGCGAGGAGTTGTCTGTTGGAAGAATGTCAGTGGAACATGCTACAACTGGATTCCCGAAGCAATGGAATCAAACCTCAAAGTAATTGGATTCTTGCGCTCTACAAGTTTGGGCTTGTCGTTTTCATCAAATCCTAGGATTATAGGTTGTGCAGCCAATTCAGGCAGGTGAGGAGACACGTCCTCGTCCAGACCAATGAGACCTTGGTCAACAACCTGAAGTGCGCAAATTGTAGCTAGCAGCTTGGTCTGCGAAGCCAGCATCAATACGTCCTCCTCTTGAATTGGTTCATCGTTGACGCCATATTGCTTGAGACCAGTTGCATAGTTATATTGCTGGCTTCCGTCTCTGTTGGTGGCATATACGACAGCATGGGGAATCTTGCCGTCTTTGACTGCTTGAGAAAGAGTTTGTTCCAACTGAGCAGCCATGATATATATAACTGGAATGTGAGGGAAGGGGTGAGGGGTAGATGATGTGAAAGAGACTGTGATGCAGGTATATGTATGTCTTTACTGATGACCAATTCCATCGCTTATTCTATGCGCTGCTGTTGCATTCAGGRTGCCCCCCCCCGGCGAAGACAACGTTTCCAGACATAAGCCCCGCAGACATGTGAGGACCGAGAACCGGTGAGTCTACGGACGAGGCAAGCCCGTATTAGGCTTAGCGCATTACTCCACTACCTTGCGATATAGTCTTAGGCACACAGACCACCTCGCTTAAGGAGCTAATTAGAGCAAGCTCTAGTTACCTTTATACGGAAGGTCTAAGGGCCGTACTCGCTAAATTACCTATCTCGTAGCACTTTCGTACTAAATTAGTATAACTATCTCGTAGCGCTATATATAGCCGTATAGTATTACTATACTACTTTATAACTACGATATACTAATTCTAAAGAGAGCAAATCTATTCTTTTTATACGCTAAATAAGCTTATATAGTTAGTTTAATAAAAAACGCGCGGTTAACGCGATGTTTTACTATATAAAGCGTCTAGTCGCGTTATATAAGGAAAATCGTCTCTATTTAAAACGCTTCTCCTCCCCTATTACTTAAGTTACGGTAACTAAACTTCTTATAGCTTATAATTACTATATCCTCTATCGAAAAATATACGATCTTCGTACTATACCCGAAGGACCTAAATAGGTAGCTATCCGCTATAGTCGCGGTATCGAAACTCCTATAGCTAATAGCTCGTTTAGTTAGGTATCTAGGAGTAGTATAATCGATCCGATATAGTCTTCTAGTTATATAACGACGCTTTTAATATATACGCCGTAGTCTACTAGCCTATATATTAATTATATACTATTTTGCCTAATATTAGACGAAGAGTTAGAAAACGGTATATTAGACCTTAGCGATATTCCTAACGACCTTAGTAAGCTATCTATACTTAAGGCTAAGGTCTATAAAGAGGATATACTAAGTACCGAACTTAGTATCGACGATCGGGGGTTATATTCGCTACTTAGAGGCTATATAGATAGGTATGCCGAAAGGTAGCGTCGAAGGTTATAGAACGACTTCGTTCTCTACCTTATATAATTCCTAGTAGAGGAGACTAAAAAGACTATAATATAATATACGAAATAGGCGTTATATCTAGCGTACGACTAAGAAAAGCCGTAAACTTATATATACTTTAATTAGATCTCTACTTTACTAAGACTTAGTTAAAGTTAGGCTAGTCGATAGTTAAGTATCCTAGACGATAGTATACCCGTAATCTAGTCGGTAGAGAAGCGGAGTATATTCTATATCGCTCGTAGGCGACTTTAGACCGCGCGACTATAGTATATAGGATAACTATTCCTAGGTCGAGGGTTAGAGTTATATAATTCGTACTACTCGCTAATCGCGTATATAGTCCGCCTACTATACCTATTTAGCGCTAGGAAAGCATAGCTTAAACTACTATAGTACCTATTATTTAGTCGAAAGGACGTCGTCTAGATTATAGCGACTTCTATAGGTAAGAGCCTAATATTCTAATATTAGCTACTTTTAACTAATTAGACTATAATCCTTATTATTCCTCTTAATTAGATTAGTATAGAATAAGAGGACCGTATCCGGCGTATTAGAGGTAATCCGCTATTATTTACATTAGAAACTAGGACTAGTATCTCTATATAGTAATAAGCGGACATTCGATTTAGTCGATATACCTATATCCTTCTTAGCCTAAAGATAGCTATATAGACCTAGTTTACGAAACTATAAAGCGAACCGCGGTTTAGAAAGCGACTAGGGCTAATTATTATAAATAAGTTTTATCTAGTATACTAGTAGGGGTTTAAGAGCGGTAGTTTCCGAAAATTATACGCCTAACTAAAACTTCTTAGGCGGCTTATATCTAGTTTAGTACGGATATATAAGTATACTATAATAATAGACGGAGCTATATTCTAGAAGTGTCGGACTATAGTCGGTATAAAGGATATAGATGTTATAGCCTATAATATCGACCGTCCTAAGATTATAGTAAGGGCGACGTAGCTTCTAAAGGGCATATATATAGACTTTAGTGCACTATTCTACCTCGCTCGATATATAGTAAGCTAGTAAGGGGTTTCTAATCTCTAGTCCGTCGATAAGACGGTCGTATTTTATAATAGTCGTAAGGGTTATTAGGAGGCTATATATACTATACGCGCATTTATCTAGCGAAAATAGCTAGGTAGGTTTTCGGAGAGAGATATATATCGTATAGTCCGCGTATACTATAGTCGAACTATACGACGGACCTAGGCTAAACTTATATAGGAGTTTTAAAGATACGACTCTACTCTTCGCATCCTTTTCGCTACTAAAGCGCTTAGGCTTAGAGTAGACCTCCTAGACATTAAGGTTATCGTCTAGTATAAGCTCCCTAAGCGAGGGACTATACGATATATCTAGTAGCGTACTAGATATATAGTCCGCGTATAGGAGCTCTATAGAACGGGCGTATTTACGCTTCTATATAAGTCCTACGCCGCTATACTACTACTATCGAATATAGCATCTTAGTCTACGGCTAAAGTAGCGCCTATAAGATTAGCGGAATTGCCCCTTAAGGATTTAGATAGCGGGGACTCGTAGGTATAGCCTACCGGGACTAGAGGGACATTACCTTATATAAAGCCTAGGCGGAAAACTAACCTATAGCGCTACTAAGAGCTAGAGCCGAACTTATATATATAGATTAATAGTAGTAGTTATCGGCGAGAGACTAGGCTACGTGCATTCTATATACGAAAGCTTCCTTCTATTAGAGCCGACTACTATAATATATATAATCTAAGTAGTATACTAACTAAGGACTTTATACGGTAGTATACTATTATCCTATAGGTAGAGGCGATAGAGAAGGGTCCTTTAGAGATGTTCCTTCGTTCTAACCTAACGAAATAGGAACCGTATACTACCTAGGACTTCTATAAGATATCGGTATTCCTAGGATTGCCTAGATCGTTTATACCTAACTTAGTTATTAATAGATTAGCTCGTATATTTAGCGCCGTTTCTCGTCTAGATTATAATCGCTTATAGTTAGCCTATACTCTTAAGAGGATAGAGTTCGTAATATCCTCGTCCGGATAGGGAGTACTTTTATTATAGCTATAGAAGGTAGTTAGGACTACTTAAAAGCTAGTAGAGTCTAAGAAGCGAAACGCTATTACTATAGCGTATATAGCAGATATAGCAAAATATATAGTGCGCTAAAAGCGATAAGAAGAAAGGGACACTATATTATATATACTATCGCGGCGGGCTAGTTAATTATCCTAAGCGATAGTAAGAATATATTAGGATCTAGCGATAATTAGATTTGTCGTATAGGATTTAAGTTAACCTAGTTCCCCCTAGYTAGCCTATACTTAGTCTTATACGGCGGAACGGGCGTCGAAAGCATATCTAGTAACTTATAGCGATACTACGTCTCCTAGGCGCCCGCTAGCTACTACGTCTCCTAGGCGCCCGCTAGCCGAACTTAGTCGTAATACGAATATAACTAAGCGACGGAGGGGGAGTTTAAGCCTAATTCTACGTAGATCTCCTATATATTCTTTACTACTAGCTATACTAAGAGACCTATAGCGAAGTGCCCTAAATAAGCGATTACGCGATTTAAACTAGAGAGAGCGTAGGTTTATATAAGTAACTATAACCTATTTATTTATCTGCTTCGCCTATATATCGCTTCTATTCCCTAGCTATTAAGATTTTCCGCCTATACTAGGCTTCCGTATTCCTAGCCGTCTAACTACTTCGCCTATATATCGCTTCTATTCCCTAGCCGTTAAGATTTTCCGCCTATACTAGGCTTCCGCATTCCTAGCCGTCTAACTACTTCGCCTATATATCGCTTCTATTCCCTAGCCGTTAAGATTTTCCGCCTATACTAGGCTTTCGTATTCCTAGCGAACTATTCTCTTTATATCTATGTTTATATAGCTTCCCTCTCTCGTTACGGTCGGTCGGGTCCTAGTCGTAGAATATATAGCGCCTATTATATATTCTATATATACGGCATTATATATCGAATAAACATACTATATTATAAGATAAGAGGATAGTTAATATTATCGATAATATAATCGCTAAGGCGCTAATTCTAACTATATATTAATAAGGCGTAGGTATTATATACATCTTTAACTATTTAACTATATACTTTACGATAGAAACCCTAGCCCCGAAACGTGTAAATATACGAAGCTCTAAATCGACGTCCCGTAGAAGGCGTTAGAATGCTCGTAGTCTGTTACTACCTAATCGGCAGGCCGTAATTAGTATACTACGACTAGTCGAACGCTACGTTAAAAGGTCGACTAGCTATTATATAAGATAAGAACGGTCCTCTACTAGGGTATAGATAACTTCCTCTTAAATTTCGTAACTACTAAGCCTAGCTCGGAGCTATATCGCTAGATAGTACGTGCGATTACTAGAGCGAAGCTTATAGTAACTATTATTACTAATTCTATATTCCTTATAACTATAACGCCTTATTTCGACGAAGGTTAGTTCGCTATTCTCCCTAGGAGGCTAGTTAATAAGGAGTTAAAAGAACTAAAACGTATTATAGTAGGAGCCGTATATAATATTATAAGAATACTATACTTATAGGTCTTAGGTTTTCGGCGGATTTAAGAGCGATATTAGCGTAAGGTAGCTAGATCTTCTAGTAACGTACTAGAACCTCTAAACGATAGCACCTAGACTTACGGTAATACTCTATATATTACTTAAGCGTAGAACTAATACCCTAGTTATAGAAGCGATTAGAGGGAAAACTATTATAATTGTATCTATTATATAACGGGCATGCTACCTATATAAAGAAAACTAATTTGCAAAATAGCTAGGGATTTACCTATAGATTTAAGGCATAAAACGACGTATACTAGCTATACTAGCTAGTCTTAGAGTATATATAAGCCCGAAAGGTATATACCTTACGAACAAAAGTCTCTTTACGATAGCTAAGTAGCATATTCGCGATTTCGGGAAGGACTAAAACATATATCTCTGCTTTAATAACCTAGACTAGTACGAACGAACTAGCTAGTATAAATAATATAGTCGCGATTAGCTTCGCTATATTACTACCTCTAAGATATTTAAGAGCATCCTTATCCTAAAGAGTAGGCTAAAGCTCTTATAGTTAGACGAAAGTCGGAAGCTTTAGATATATAAGAYTACTAAGGCTATAGGCAATATATACGATTAGCATACTAAAGACTAGTCGAAGTTCTAAATTACCGAAGCGATTCGCTCTATATTTCCTAACGTAGTTAGTATAGTATTCGCTTAAGCAATAGACGTAAAGGTCGACTAGTATAATATAGACGAATACCCGAAGCCGCCTTTTATATATAGACTATAACCTTAGAGGTTATTATATATAACGTTAAAATTAATATTCGAGGACGAGAGTAGTACTAAAGGGACCTATATAGTAGTTAATAATATCTTAGACGACTAGCTTAGTTTATTTAGGTTAAATAAAGAGCGAGAGACTAAAAGGGCTATATACGTAGAACAGCTAGTATATAATAGCTATAACGAGACTAATATCCTTTAGACCCGTAGGATCGACGATATTCTATTCGATACGGATATACTACCTTATAAGACGTTTAAGCTCTTCTACGGTAATTAAAAAACTATTAGCAATCTTAGAGCTATACGTAAGGAATATAGAGACAATAATAATATATACGATCCTCGCTAGTAGATCCTCCCTATTCTAGCACTATTCTATCTAAAGATATATCTAATATCTTTAATAGATAATAACTTTAGAGGGAACGTAGACGATAAATAGAAGTCGGCTCTTAGGGTATATTAAAGCCTTATATAAAGGAAGATCTGTCCGTCTATCTAGCTACCTTATAGCTATACCGAGAGACTAGTTATAGATAGCTATACCGCTAGGATCCTTGCATTTATATATAAGAGCATAGGCCTTATAAACGATAACTAGGGAGAGATTTCGACGTTAATATCTAGGTAGAGCATAGCCGAATTTAGGGCGATTATTAATAAGGTGTACTAGTCTGCATTTACCTCTAACGTCCGTACTATTAACCTAGACGTAGTAGATATAGACGCTATGCGGTCTAAGGCGTTAATAAAGGGTAAGAAATAAAGGAAAAAGGCTAGTTAGAGTAGGATAGTAACTAATACGGCGACTAGAAAGGAGGAGAGGGTTACTAATATCCGCTTTATCTATATTATAGAGACATACTAGCTACTATATTTCGCGATTAAGTATAGGGATATTAGGTTATTACGTAGGGTAATAGATCGGTATATTCTAATTTTCTATGCTCGATCGTATAAGAACTATGCATTTATTATACTATAGATAAAGTAGCTTATAGACTTATCTACGTCTAATCTACGCTTATAGAATGCTATACTTACGAATAGGCTAGTTAACCTTATAGGCGACGTAGATAGCTAGTATAAGATCGATAGAGCGAATAAGCACCTTAACTATTACTTAAAGGACCTACTTCGTACTAGGCGGAATAGTAGCTTTAGACTAGAGACCTAGCTTAAGTAATGCATATTATTAGCTTCGTATACTAGATAACTAAGGGATATTATAGAATCGACATTTAGGGAGTACCGCAACTCTAGATATATAGTACGAAAGACTATATAGGAGATTTACTATATAGCTTTAATCTGCTTAAGGGAAATATTACCTATAAAAATAGTAACTAGGGATAGTAAGCGACTATTCTATATAATAGACCTAATATCGGCTAGGATAAAGGCACTACTTCTAGAGATAAAGAGGAATAGGAGAATATAGGCTAGTCGATTATAGCGATTTAATACAAACGTAGTCTAGCTAAAGGATAAGGTCTATATATCTAATATTCCTATCGAGCCGACTAAAGACCTCCCTAACCCTCTACTAGATCTAAGCCTCTAGCGAGATACTAAAATTAAGTTATAACTAGGGCTACTTAGAGAAGAGAGTAGGAGCGATATAAGGTTATATAAGGATAAGGGAGAGGATATAGGCAATTCCGGCTTCGAGTGCTATATATAAAAACCGCGCTATACGTATATACTAAGTACGTGTTATATACTAATTAAAACATTTAGAAGCGTAATAGCTAGCGCAATTAAGCATAAGACACTATAATTAAGAATAGGACAAACAACCCTTATAATAGCGTCTAATTATAGGGCTAAACCCTATATAGAATTATATAGAACCGGATATTTACTTATTAACCGCGCGTAATTGTATACGGCCTCTACTCGTTATAAATACCTCTTAAACTTTAACTAGCCTCCGACTCTTCTTCTTATATATCTACCTCCTCCGGACCTTCTTCCCCTCCTCGATACCTAATAATACTAAACTACTAGTTATATTTATATACTAGCCTACTAACATACCTACTAGCAAAACCGATAGGTATATTCTAATATACGTATTATATGTCGCGGCTTATACTAACCTCGTTTAGCTCCTAATATGTCCGTCGTATATACCCGTCTACTCGGCCTAGGTAAAGCGCTACTACCGAAGCCTACTACGTAGCTAGATACCCTAGTAGGCTCTAGCCGCGGCGACTAGCGCGCGTTCTATAACTATATATAGGACATATTCTATACTAAGGGCACTAATAATATTATAACTAGACGTAAGGCGTACGATTCTATATATGTAATTAAGAGTTATATTAACCGATACGGCGGTATTAGCATTTTCGCTTACTTTAATAAGACTATAAAGGGTGCTCCTAGCCTCGAGCGTATAGACCGTATTACTACTATTCTAGAGAAGGCTCGTATCGATATAAATAAGCACCGCTTATATAACCTATCTAGCCTTACTCGTATTTAGAACGCTAAGGGCGATAAGGCTACCCTTAACCTCTAAGGCATTAGCTATCGCCTACTTACGATATTCCTATACTTCGTAAGCGGTATAATTACCGCGTACGGTAACGAGCGCTATAGATAGTACGGTCCTAAAGACGCCCGTAAAGGCCTACTATACGACTACAAATTTATCCTAATTATAAGCGCCCCTCTAAGTTTAGTCGACCTCGATAATAAGGAGCCTAGCTACTTATAGCTAAACTTTCTACTAAATAGTAGCTATACTAGCTATACTATAAATAGAAAGTAGAATAAGTATAGTAGGGGTAAGATAGTAAAGGCTACTCCGAAGGTATATAAGGGTTCTAACGCTAAAGCGGATATAGCTATATTAGAGGCTCGCTTCGAGGCTTAGACGATTAAGGACTACGTGTTTAAAGAACTACCTAGCGTATAGGGACTAGATAAAAACCCTAAGTTTCGTAAGCACGCCTTCTACGAGTACCTAGAAGATAGTACGATCTATRATACTCGTATACTAATTCTAGCCGACCGCCGCGCTTATAAGTTTATATACCTCGGTATAGTAACTAATAAGGATAAATCGCTCGCGACCTACCTCTAGCGTATAAAGTATATAGCGAAGAACCTAGCCCTTAAATACTCTAAGACTATCGACTACTTATAGTTAGAGGAAGATACGTCGAATAGAAATACCTCTAATAGTAGTAACGACGAAGACGATAGAGACGACGGCGGCGACGGCGGCGATACCTAGCCGGAGTCTAAGGAGTTTAAGAAGTTCGAGGAGTCTAAGGAGTCTAAGAACGAATAAAGGGTATATAAGAACTTTATATAAGTTTATAGATATTATAAGACGTTTTAATAGGCGGTTTAATTATATAATTAATAAAAGCGGTTTAATTTTATATTATAACTAAGGCTAGGGATAATTAGATATTATATATAGTCGGGCGGATACTATATAAAGCTTCCCCTACTAGGGTAGTTCTAGTAATAGGACTAACAAAATTTAATTTTAAGTACTATATAGCCTTCTTAGCTACCGTATTACGGCCCTCTATATGTTTTTCTAGTACTATAGTAGTATAGTAAGATCGAGCGCTGCGATATTACTAATCTACTACATGCGGCCCTTAGACTGCCAGCGCGAAAACGGTCCAAAAGGGTATAGTGCGGCTTGGCAGTCTGTGCACCTGAGACTACTTGCGATACTCTACATCTTCGAGACACCACACGACATCTCCTCCAACCGCTCAATGTTGCCATCTGCCGTACATTGAGTCCGCTACGGCATCTATCACTCTCATTCTCCCCTGTCACGAATGTGCGCGCCTTGCCATCATCTAAACTCGAGCATGGGTCCCGATGATTCTGTGTACATTTGCCTCAAATGTCGTAGTATGAGTCTGTTAGCCATGAGTGCTGCCTCTTTTCTTCAACTTCCATATCCACACACTCTTCAGCATCCACATCCGAACCGTCACACCCTTCTCGACCGCACGTTCTTCTCGAACCGTCACATTCTCCTCGACCTTCGAAGTAAGAGGACCCCATGGCCTCTGTTCAGCAGCAAACTCATGTTGTTAGGGATGCCGCAACCYTCACTGCATCATTCAGGCAGAAAGCTCGAACGGTGGATGCCGAAGAATCTGACCGCGATGACGACGAGCTCCATACACAACCATTCTGTGTTACCACATTTCCCCCGAGCATAATATAAACTTGTTGCCCAGCAGAGTAAGCTGTCCCGCCACTAACAAGAGTAACTTGAGCATCCCGATGACTCGCTACTTCATTTGCTCCAACGACCACGACTATATGAGTCTGCAGCTTCGGGGCTTAGGGTGCTTCCCTTACACTACTAAAGTTTGGCGAATTGCCCAGGAGAGTGAAATCATCCAATATCTCCCTTGCATTGGCGTATGCTAAAGTCCAGCACTTGTAGATGATCTTGTCCACGCTGATGACATTCGTAGTGATGACAGGAAAGTCTCCTTTGCGATACTTTGACTCGATCTCAGCCTCATCTGTGAACTCGTCCAGCTCAGGGTACGGCGGATGTCCATACCAGACATGGTACAACAGTGTTCCCAAGGCAAAGATGTCCGTTTCCGCCGAGAAGATGCCATCTGATCCCGGGAGACGCGATTTGACATTATTTTCGGTCATGGCTGGCATCTCAATAGTACCATCAGGCCTACTAAGCTGGCCCTGAAGGTCTCCAATCTTAGCTGTAAAATCAGATGTCATAAAAATATTCCGGACGTTAAGATCACAGTGGATAAAGTTTTGCGCGTGTAGATAAGCCAGGCCACGAGCGATCTGAGCTCCAATGCATATCTTTTGGCCTTCGCTTAGGACGTGAATTGTGTCGTATAGTGCTCCTCTTTCACAGTATTCAATAATCAGGCCATCATCGGTTATTGCTTTAAAAGTGACTAGGTTGTCGTGTCGGCCAAGGCAGGTATAGCGGTTGGCTTCTTCCCGTAGAGCTGTGTGTGCATATTGATCTTGATCAGGCGATCGCGGATATTTGAGAACAGAGCAACCATCTTCCATAAGCCCGATGATATTCGATGCCGAACAGGCGACTTGGCTCTGAACACCGCGAGGAAAGCTGTCGAGAGGGCGCATGGCGTCAAATCCATGTGAAAAGTAATGGAAGCTGGAGAACGCGTCTGCGTGAGTTCGAGGTGGTACTAGGAGTAAGTTAGCGCAGAATGCCAAGCACTATGCTCGCCGTGAAATGAACAAAGATAGACCAGTGGAAGTGTAATAACGTGGCGAGCAGATTATCCACCTCAAGCACCGGCTTGTCCTCACGCTTCTGTGAAAGATCGATTCTTCGGGATGTCAGCCCCATCAAGACACCCAAGACACGAGACACCCAAGGGCTGAGAACAAATAATGTAATCTGTATACAGCACATTTAATATACTAAATCACGAAGACGCCGTCAACATTGACTCCTCCGCTGAACGTGAATACCCTCCCTGTGGCCGTGATAATTGGTACAGACACATCGATGCGAACCAAGAGCAATGCGCCGTCAAACCAAGTACATGCAACAAACATGCGGACATCCAAACGGATATCCGTTTAGGCACTGTGGAGCCACTTGAGTACCTCCTCCTTCTCCTCAACGGGCAGCATGCTCAGCACCTGCGCGACACCCTTCAGACCACCACTCTTGTGGCTCCTCATGAGAGCAGCGACATCATATGCAATGGCATCTGTCTTGATCTCATCAATCTTGTCGGATATGAGCTTACGGTTCTCCTCGAACCAGACAGCCACAGCCTTGTCATCAGTGCTGTACTGTTCCAGGGCAGACCAAGACTCCAAAGTCTTGAGGTTTGCGCCTCGGCTAACAAGCTCCTTGGACTGCGAGACCGCGAGGCGCTTGAGGACTTGCTCCTCGTTGAGACGGCGACGCAGACGCCAGTAGAAGAAGCGACGTGCGTTGGACCACTTCAGCGGCATGCGAATAGTGTCCTTGGCCTTCATGCGTCCAGCACGATCGTGGAGATCAGCGTACTGCAGGGAGATCTGGAGGTAGACCGGGAGCAGCAAGTTCTCACGCTCAGTCATCTGAGACTTGATCTCGTGCTGCTGCTCTGGTGTGAGGTCCTTCTCCAACGAGCGGCGCTTGRGGTCGCCGTAGGTCTGGTCGAGGCGAGCCATGGTCTCGAGCTGGCGTTCCTTGCGGTATTTGATACCGACGATACCCTCTGGTTCGAGAACACCACCGCGGGCATCCTCATCAGCGTACATCTCCATGAACTGAGGGTTAATGGTTGGATCGACGACAACCTGGGAAAGTTAGCAAATGCGTTCTTGAATACAGTAGAAATCGGACTTACCCATGAACCACCGCGAAGCTCGCCGAATGGCGGGATGTACACAAATACAGGCTGCTCATACTTGACGAGCGCGTCGACAATGTACGAGCCGTACTTGAGCACTTCGTTGTACATGTCGCGCTGGCCACCAGAGAAACCTCTCCAGTTGGCGAGGATCATGAGTGGAAGCTGCTCGCCGTTGTTGAAGTCACGAATAGCCTGGGCAGTCTTGAAAGCGCTGTTGGGATACCAAACGCCACCTGCCTCGTTGACAATCTGCTCCATCGAGTCGGGGTTGGCTGGATCAGCAGGCGAGATGTTCTCAACAGAACGAGTCTCCACGGAGATGACACCAACAGGGATACCGCCAAGGCGAGCACGACCGACAACAACAGTTCGTGCCCAGCCGCCAAGAGTCTCCACAAAGGAGTCCTTGTCGAAGAGACCAGACTTGAAGCCCTCGTCAGTACTTTGACCAGCGATGAGATGTCTGACATCATATGGAGCCTTCTGAGGTGGGAAGAAGGTGATGTCTCTGTCCCACGAATCGGCAGAGGGAGCGATTGGTACTGGAGCACCCTTCTWCTCGGGGACGAAAGACAACCAGCGCACAATCTTCGAGACACCCTCAAAGTCATCATTCGCAGTCTGGTGAGAGACTCCGTTCTTGTACATGATCTGGGTGCCACCGAGCTGCAAGTTGGAGGTGTACACCTCGCGACCCAGAAGCTTGTTGATGGCTGGAGCACCGGTGAGGATGATTGGCTGTCCCTCGATCTGAATGGCACGCTGTCCGAGACGGACAAGGTACGCACCAATACCAACAGATCGACAAGTGACGAGGGTGATTGTGAAGATGTCCTCGTATGCGCGTGAAGTCTCGCCGGCGATGAGACCGGAGCCCTTCAGACACTCAACACCGAGACCGTCCTCAGCGCCAATGATAGTGGTGAGCTGGTGGCGAGTCTCGCCGTCGACCTGAATCTCCTTGGTAATGACATGCTTGAGCGCACCGTCCTCGAAGCGAGCCTTCTTCTCTGGGGTGAGGTAGAGGTAGTCGAAGCCAGACTCTTGCTTGTTCTCATTCTTCCAAGCGACGGAGAAGTGAGGAATCAACTCTTCAGCCATACCAATGCGAGCACCGGAGTTGGCGGAGAGGTAGATACGAGGAATGCCCAGCTTTCGAGCCAGCTCCGAACACTTGTGGAAGAACTTGTCTTCGTTTGGCCCGAAAGAGCCAATCTTGTGGGTGATGTCGTTGGAAATGATGATGAAGCGGCGACCACGCGGGTATTCTGGGGTCTTTGCAGTCACGATCCATCCTACCATGCCAATAACATTCGCTCCGGGCTCGCGGTTGACCTCCTGCAGGTTGTCGGAGTCGTCGAGCACGAGTTCGTTATACTCGATGCACTCTCCCTTGATAGGCTGCTTCTCCTTCATGCCTGGGTGCTGGCTACCGATCTTGTTCCACTCATTTTCGATGGCCTGGCGGAACAGTTCTGGGAAATCATAGACGTACTGAGTACCCATGATGTGTGCCTTGTATCTCTTCGGCTGAAGTGCGCCCTTGGTCTCGTATGGGGTGTTGACAGGACGCAGGTGCATAGATCCAATCTTGGYGGTGCCTCCAATGCTGTGGAAGAGCCATTCGTTGCTCTTGTCCGACTTGCGCTCTTCGTACAGCTCAACCTGAATGATGAATCCAGATGTGTTGGTGATGATGACACGCATTGGGAACGGAGCGCCGGTCTTGGGGTCAGTACAGACGATGCGGATCTCAGCACCAGTGACACGCAGTCTCCATGCACGACGTCCGAAGCGGTCCAGGAACTGTCCCAGGGCTTCTTCGACCTCCTTCGGCTCGAGCGGGAAGACGGCCGAAAAGTTGATGAAGATGTGGTTCATGTCAGAGTTGTTGTTGCCCACAATCTCCATGGCATCGAGAATGTCGCTCATCAGTCGGTCAGCCTCGGAAATCATGTACTCAGCAGTCGGGATGTCACGCAAGTGACCGGGTCTAACAGTCGCACGGGTGAAGTAGCGCTTGTCAGTCTCAGCATTCTTGCCAACAGCCTCGTACATGTGGATGCTGCGGTTCTCGGTGAAGACTGGCTTGATGTTGAACTTTGCGAGGCGCGAGAGCTCAAGCTGGAAGGCAAGAGCAGGCTCAATGTGACGGATGCTGCTATCCTCTTCGTAGGTGGGGCCTCTGAAGGTGTAGTAGCCTGGATATGTGCCGTCCATGTGACCGCAGATGAATGTGAGGCGACGAACACGGCGAGAAAGCATCTCCTCCTTGAAGTCTTTGACGATTGGTAGCAGGCGGGACAGGATCTCGTTGTCATCTAAGCTCTCAGCATCGCGGATAGCGACATTGCAGACGGCAGTGAGTTCCTCGCTTGGTAGCTTGGTGGCGGTGGGAGCGCGCTTCAAGGAGAGGTCAGCCATCAAAGACCCAGCATCTTTCTTTGGGCCAGCTGCGATGGGGAAGGCTTCCAGAGCCCGCATCAAATACTCGTCCGCTTCATCGATGAAGGGAACGGGCACAACAGCACCGCGACGGTTAGGCTCGACACCGGCTTGGCGCGAGATGTAGCTCATATCACTGATAGAGTGGACACGGCTGAAGCCTTCCGACGGCGTTCCTGGGGCAGAGGACGGGTGAGACGACTCGACTGGAAGACCAAACTCTGCCTCTCCGACCTTTCTAAGGGCGAAGTCCCAAACGAGGACGTATGGAGCATCGTTGTCGGTACGATACTCGATCGTCTTAAGCTGGTACGCACGGTATGCGCGGCGAGTGTAGACCTCCAGAGCCGCGAGCGAAACCCACGGATCTTGGTGAACGAAAAAGTGTGGCAGGACATCAAACACGGTGTACTTGGAGTCGACGACCTCCTTGATGACTTCGAAGTCAGGCTCACGGTGGTCCCAACCACTCTCGCCGTACCGAGACTCGCGGACCGCAGATCGCAAGATGTGCTCCATCTGCGATGTGCGTTCCTCAAGGGAGGGCATGGCGCACTGGATGAGAAGCTCACGAGCCTTGAGCGCAACCTTGGCRGTTGGGCGACCCTCAAGCTCCGCAAGCTTTTGCAGCGAAGGGCGCAGGGCTTTTCCTACGTTTCCAATGCCGGCCTGGTTTGGTCTATACGCGTTGAGGATGGCGAGCATGAGGTTGTTCTTCGCACTGGCCCTTGTGTGGGATAACACAATCTGCACAACCTGAGCAACCTTGTCTTTCTGCTGGTCGCGAAGAGCAAGAATGACCTCCTCGTCACGGTTCTGACGAGCAGAGAAAATGCTCTCCACTCTGTAGTACTCCTCGAACAACTCGTTGATGACCGCGAACTCGTGCGCCTTCAGGCCATCCTGGTACTTGTTGATAATGTCGATGAGTGGAGCCAGACCAGAGCGCAGAAGCTCAGCATCGCCTGCCGAAACGTTGTCCGATAAGAAGCGTTCAAAGGTCTTGGAAATTTGCWTCGCGGGGAATTCACTGTGGCGGCTGTGAGCGCGCTCGACCAGCTGCTCAAATGCAGCGTCCAACTTTTGTGGCATGCGTGAGTGCAATGCCGAAGCCTGGGAATTCCACTCTCCATAAGGCAGCTCAGGATCGCGCAGGACCTCAATGAGCTCCTTCAAGGTTTGGTTCATGATGACCTGGTTATCATAACCCTGCAGAATGTTCATGATGATACCCCTGAGGAATGCAAAACGCTGTGGGGCTTTGGTTCCGAGCACAACTGGAGCACCCATCTCGGGGAGCTTTCCAAGGAAAGGTTGCGCGGACTTGACCTTGGATGGGTCGTCTAGCGCCAAAATTCCAAGAATGTCACCAGCCTCGAGCGTAGCGCCAGGCTGCTTGATGAGGTTCACTACACCGTCTTCTTGTGCAATGAGAGGCATGTACATCTTCATGACCTCCACCTCTGCGAAAGCCTGGCCCTTCTGGACGTGTTCGCCATTGTCGACTGTGAATTTGACGAGCTTTCCAGGCGATGGAGTTCGGAGCTGCGTTGGGTCGTTCTCCTCCTCGAGCAGGCAGGTCTTGCCATCGACCGAGACGCGGAGCGCACCAACCTCTTCCTTCCAGTAGACGTTGTGAGAACGTCCACCGAGCAGGACCAACAGACCGCCGTCGGAGAGAGCTCGGATGCCCACTAGAGCTTTGCTGCCGTTGATGAAGAGGGTGTACATGTCTCCGCTGGATCTGGTCGCCGTAAACTTGTACTTTGAGCCTTCGTAGATGAACTCGATCGGGAAGACCGTCTTGAGAATGTCCTTGCTGGGGACTTGACCCTTCTCAAGGCCCTGCTTGTACTCTTGAAGACATGCTTCACTGGCAGTGTGCGCCTGAGCCACAGCACCGCAAACCACCGCAATCATGGGATCAGGGCGCTCAGCCGTGAGCTTCTTACTGATCAGCTCATCGAGCCATCCAGTTGTGATGGTGTTGTCCTCGAAAGCTGGTGTCTCCAAAAGCTTGATCAAGTACTCGACCGTTGTCCTGAAATCGCCACGGATGCTCAGCTCTTTCAATGCAACCACCATGTGCTTTCGTGACGCTTGTCGGTTCTCGCCATATGCGAAAATGTGACCAAACTGCGAGTCCGAGAAGTTGTGAATAGACGAAGCTGCACCMACGGAGAAGTAACCCCAGACGTTTGAGCTGGATCGGAAGTTCAGCTCGTGCATGGTACCAGAGGACGGCTTGAATCCCTCGCCAGGATCTTCCGAAGTGATACGGCAAGCTGTGCAGTGGCCTTTGGGCATTGGTCGCCGTTGCTGCAACGCGCTGCCCTCCTTTTCGAAGTTGAAGTCAATGTCGGTGGAAGTGTGCGGATCCGCACCGTAGAGCAAGCGAATGTCTCGAATGCGGTGGAGAGGGCATCCCATGGCGACTAGAAGCTGTGCTGCGGGAATGTTAATACCCGAGACCATCTCAGTCGTAGGATGCTCGACCTGTAGACGTGGGTTCAGCTCCAAAAAGTAGAACTTGTCGTCCGAGTGCGAGTAGAGGTATTCAACGGTTCCAGCAGAGACGTATCCGACCAATCTGCCCAGAGACACAGCAGCCTTCTCCATCTTCTGGAAGGTCTGTTGGCTCGCAATGGTCACAGGCGCTTCTTCAATGATCTTCTGATGTCTTCGCTGAACGGAACAATCACGACCGAAGATGGAAATGTTGTTGCCGTACTGATCAGCAAGAAGCTGGACTTCCAAATGCCGGGCGTTACCAGCAAGCTTCATGATGAAGATGGGCGAACCAGGAATCTCGCTGGCGGCAGCCTTGTACAACGCTGCAAACGACTGCTCGTCGTCGACCTTTCTGATACCCTTGCCACCACCTCCTTCCGAGGCCTTGACCATGACGGGGAATCCAATCTTCTTTGCCGCTTCGAGGCCCTCCTCGACAGAGGTGACGCAGCCCTTGGCGTAGACATCATCCCTGACCGTCACAATGTTGTTGTCATCAACCTCGACCTCCTCTACGCCGGTTCCAGACCACGGTATACAGGGCACTTTTGCGTGCTGGGCGACGATTGTGGAAGAGATCTTGTCACCGAGGGATCGCATGGCCGAACCGGGAGGTCCGATGAAGACGATCTTGTTCGGCGATGCGGCGAGGGATTCGGGAAGCTTTGGGTTTTCTGAGGCGTGTCCCCTGCGAGTGTCAGTATCAAATGGGCCGACGAGGCTCGAAGTGTCCCTCGACTCACCACCCAGCCCAGACGGCGTGCACACCCATACGCTCGGCGATATCGACAATGAGCTCGACATTGGCGTAGTTGTTGTTGTTGGTACCTCCGGGAACCTCCACGTACTGATCGGCCATTCGAATGTAATCCGCATTGGMAGCCAAATCCTCGGGCGTGGCCATGACAGTAAACTGGATGGCCCGCTCATCGCCGAATGTTTCGTAGGCCCATTTCCGCACTGATCGGATCTCCTTGACGGCAGCAATACCGTTGTTTGCGATGAGGACCTACAAGATTTGTCAGTCTGGTGTCCAGAGTTGATCCTCTCCGGCCGGCTCAAAATTCTGCCATTGCTCGCTGAATGTGCCACATACACTTGTGATGACCGTGTGTCCGTCATGCGCTGTCACAAAGTCCTTGACTTTGCTCGGTGGTGCTCTGGGCAAGGCATTGCCGCCTATGAAGTGATCGGCCAAGTTGTATTTCGCAGCATAGCTGCTGGGAGCTCCATTCGGGTGGCCGTTTGCCATTGTCGCTCCTCCGACTGCGTCGGCCATGCTCAGGATTGTACCGTCAGCTGCTRGCGAGAAACACTGGGATTCGCGTAATGCTCAGTCGATGCTGCGATGAGCTACTCGACGCCAGTTCGTCGAAGGTGTAAGGATGATGTGTTTAGATCTTCGTGCGAAAGATTTGGAGACACACAAATGCGGAGTCGACGGGAAGCTTTTTGCTAGGGAGCAGTCGTCCGGGGATCGACGTAGACCTGCTGATCGGCTCTTTTCAATCGTCACGTTTGTACTGTGTCCTTCCTCAGACAATGGTTACCTCAGCATTCGAGTGTGCAGTCGTGCCGAAGCTGACGAGGGAAGCGAAACAGTCTCACGAGCAAGAGAGTGAAGGGGTGGTAAGGCGGATCCCTTCAATGGCAGCGAACAACGAAGCGGGATGGATGAGAGGATTGAAGGACCAGAAATTCGGAGGGATCGGGCTCGTCGCTGACGGCAAGTGTCGGGTATATTATAACTATTGGCCTGATGCTGTATACAAACCTTCGGACTTCGCGTTGAGAATGACAGGGTTGCAGCTCCAGCTCTCATTAGCCCGGTCCGCACCAAAAGTCAGCCTCCCATCCGTGACCAACATCTCCAACACCCACATCCGCGCAACCATTGAGCGATGAGCTGTGGTTGAGCACAACGTTTGGCTGGTTGAGCTGGCCGTGGGCGCGTGGAACGCAGCCAAGGACCCTGGAAAGTACCCCAACGCCCACGTCCGACATCACTGTGCATTGATGTCGTCCTTACTCCTACTGCAAGGTACGGAACCGCTCAATACTGCGATTGAGCGCCCGATACAACCGTTGCACTGTGCGAGGGACTTTGTTTCCATCGACGCAGCTGCTGTCCAACGGTGGAAAGGCCCTCACTGTACATACATATAACTTATGTTGGTGTTCTTCTGAGGTCATCTCTCGTGATGATCCGCTGCTCGCTCTCGCGTTTGGGAAAGTGGAGCCCTCTGCCATTCCTTCGGGTCGACTGACTGTGGTGTGTCCAAACATAGACCACTGCAAGAAATGTAAGAAGTGAGCGGCAGACGGCTCTCCACCACAATATCCGACGCTCACGGGGACGACAATATGTTCCGGTCGGAAGACTCATCGAAGTAGAAGTAGGCAACGAATGTTGATGCAGCAGCAATCGACCTTGATCCAGCAATCGAGCTCGACGGACGTGCAGCAGTACCGAAAGCCAGCTCACGCTAGAACTAACTTGGATCGATGTAATTGTCCGAGATTATACACGCCGTGCATTGCGACTACCCCCCGATGGGTACATTTTGGGTCTCGAGGTGTCACGTTAGGCATCAAAAGACCGGCAAGTTTTGTCTTGGACGGCGGSGTATTCATTTGCATTTGGGGAGTATCTCAGAATCAAAGCAGCGAAAATTGCTTGCGTTGTTGCATTACAGCTCCTCTGGACTCTTCAATCCGGCGTATCGACAGCTTTATTCATAGACATCATCCACCGTGATCCAACATATTGTTCTGCTACATCTACATACGAGAGCGCGAGGTACACGTTTGACTTCGCCGGCCCCCGGTCAGTACGTCTCGCCCACATCACTCATACGCTTTCTACTGGGGGGCGGACCCATCTGTCCCGCGCCGTCTTCTTCCCGCACTTGCGAGAAAGTGTTGCTCGTCCTTGAAGCAGTATTTGCGCGCTGCGGCAGACCGCCACTCTGCCTGTTTCTTGGAGTGGGTAGAGCAGACACTCCTGGTATGCCACTCCTTTCTATAGTGTTCCTTCGCCCAGGAGAGGGTTTTAGTCCCGAGTCTTCGCTCTCGGCGGCTCGTTTCCGGGCTTCGCTAAAGCTGGCACTGGTTCGATGCCCACGAGGCGTTCCATTCGCGTAGGTCCCTCCCATACTTGATCGTGGTCTCGAAGACGCGCCGCTGCTGGCTATCGTCGACGAAGAATAATGTCCAAGCTCTGTCCGCGCACCGGAGCGACTCGGCGGTCTACCAGACAATGATGCGCGGCTACTGGGGCGGTCCGCTGCAGATGACGGGGGTCGCTCCACGTGCTCCATCGCTGACGGAGGACGCTCGGGTCTCTCCGACCTGCTCGCCAGTGATGATGCTGGTCGTGGAATACCATATGATAGGCGTTTGATATGGCTGTCGCGACGAGTACTGGCTCCTGTGGATGATCCTCCATCATCATCATGCAATGCAGATGACGTACTACCACTGGGCCGCTTGGAGCTCCTTCGCATGGTTATCGAAGAGGGTATGTGATTACTGAGAGAAGAGCCAGCGCGCGGCGAGCCAGTGGGTGTCCGACCTGTGGCTGGCAATTTCGATCTGGCTGAGTGGACACGCTCTTCAATCTTCTGCATGCGTCCTATCAGACCCCTGATCTGATACAACGACTCGGATCGCGGCAAGCCCTCGGCCGCAGCAGTCCGCGAGGCCACGCGCGGTTTGGCTGCAGGAGCTTTGGAGGACTTTGCATCTGACAGCGCTGTGCTACTACTTGATGCCAATGATGGGCCACGAGTATGGCGAGGGAGGGTCCGCGACCCGTAGAAGGACGGTCTTGGTGTCGTAGAGTCTGGAATGTGCGACCTCTTGGGCATCGGTGTTTTCATCTCTGTTCTTGCAGTAGCTGGCGCATCCGAGAGTGGAGGAGAGGGAGGTGTTGCCATATCTGAAGCAGAGTCAGACTTGGGCGGTGGCGTTGAAGCGGTGGGCGATGTGGGTGTGATACCGCTGGCCTCGCTTGCAGGACTCCTTGTGCGCAGACTTTCAACCGCCAGCGTGGATGGCTTCCTCGCCCGCAAGCTCTCCACGGTCTCCTCTGCCAGTCGCAACTTCTCCCGTGTAATCTCGCTCTCCACCTTGAGATCGCCCAGGTCATCTCGTAATCGTTGAGTCTCAATGCGCAGCTCTTCCCGCTCTTGCTCGCTTTGTCTGATCGTTTCCTCGAACATTACCCCGCGCTCGATTGAGGCGTTGTATTTGCTTTCCAGATCCTCCAGACTGGTCTCGGTATTCCGTGCTTGTCGCTCGTAATCATCATTCATAACCTCCGTGTCTCGTAGCTGGGACTGCTGGGAGCGGATCGTGTCGCGCATTGCTGTGATCTCCTTTTGCAGTTTATTCTGAGCGTTATTCGCCTCTGCCTTGGCCTGCTTGTGCTTCGTCTTCCACTCTTCCACCTCAAACTGCAACTTCTCGACCTGCTCCTTCCATTTTCGCTCGCTCTTCTCTACAGTCATGAGGTCCTTTTCCATCTGCTCCTCCAACTCCTTGCTGGAGGCTTGAAAGTCCGCGAGATCGGCTTCGAGTTGTTCATAGTTGGTCTTGTACCATTGCACCTGTTCCTTGAGGTCCATCCCCGCCCCTGGTCTCATCGGCGACGACATGATGATGGCTGTGGCTGTGGATGCGCGTTGCTAGCGGCGCATCGCCGTCCGTTGTGGTATTGGATGCGWCAGAGCGGGATGTGAGTGTCGGTGTTGCTGCGCGGACCGCGTTGCTGCCTGGGCTGGGGTTCGATTGTTTGTGTACGTGGGTATTCCTTGGACTCCAGCAGATGGCGGGGGTGTCGACGTCGTGGCTGTCGCAGAGGCCGGGCCGACCGTTATATCCAGTTTCAGGTCCAGATCTACCGTATGTCGCGACTCCGGGTCCAAGAAGCAGTCGCCTGTGATGGTCGTCGTTGGCAGTCGGCCGTACGCCGCTGCGGTAGAAGCGCGTGTTGATGATAGCTCGAAGCCCCCGGTCCCGGCGAGAGTTCGAGGACCGCCGTTGCTAAGGGGAAGCAGCATGCACGTGCATGTAAGATGGAACGATGCCGATGCGCAACCAAAACTAGTAGAAATGCTTCATTGTACCTCGCCTTACCTTATTAAGTGTGCTGGATAGATTGTGCAGGACGTCTGCTCAAGAATTGTACGAATAATCTCCGTGCCCTGTGTTTGAACTGTTTTGCAAGTATTTTTATCAAACGTTCAACTCCCGCAGAGCCATCTTGCCACGTCCCGCGTTGCTCCGTCGCGAAACCCCTGCTGCCCTGCCCTTCACTGTCTCCAGCTGCTTTATCAACGCTCCGCAGTCTTTAATCCATCTCTTCTGTCCACACCGCCGCTCATTTCGTGTCCAGTGCGCAAGGTGCTATCAAAGAGGCTCCCACATCGCAACCACAAGCAACGGTGGCCAGCCAGGACTGAGAACGACTCACGAATAACGAATATCACGAATTATTTTCTTTGGGGTGTCAAACGCGAAACCAATTACAGTTTGCTGTTACGGTGAACTGTAATCAGACCTGTCTCGTTTGCCAGCATGGATTTCGCGTTCAAGCGTCAGGACGATACGAGCATAACGTATGGTGAGTTGCGCACTGACAGTGAGGAGACTGGGATGCATCTTTCGCCTTTCCAGATACCTCAGTCTTGACGCCGACTCATAGAAAAGACCGCTGAATGATCTCACAGAAACCACTAAAATCGTGCCCTTGACCTGCCATGGCCACTCACGTCCCATCACGCACGTGTCCTTCTCCTCCCTCCTGGCCAGTTCCGGTGCTGCATCGCAGTACTACATGATCTCCGCATGCAAAGACAACAACCCCATGCTCCGCGATGGTCTGACTGGTGACTGGATTGGCACCTTCATCGGCCACAAGGGCGCCGTATGGAGTGCCCGGCTGTCTGATGATGCAACGCTTGCAGCTACCGGTTCCGCTGACTTCTCCGCCAAAGTCTGGGACACCTTCACAGGCCAGACTCTGCATACGCTTCAGCATAACCACATTGTTCGTGCGGTAGCATTCCCACCACAGGCGAAACCACAGGTCCTTGCTACCGGAGGTATGGAAAAGAAGCTTCGCATCTTTGATCTATCCCGAACAGGCGGCGACACTCGATCTCCTGGCGAGTCAACAAACGGTGTCAACGATGGAGTAGAGCCTCCCTCGTATGAGATTGGCGCAGGAGAGCATCAAGGCGCGATCAAAAGCATTATTTGGTCCAGAGACCCAAACATCATGACTACTGCGGCAGATGACAAGAAGATTCGCTGGTGGGACTTGCGTGCGCGGTCAATGGTGGCTTCTCACGATATTGACGGCTTGCCTACATCCTGTGAGCWCAACACGGGACTGAACGGGAATGCCGACGGAATAGTGAGCGTGGCCGCAGGGAAGAACATTTACTTCTTCGACGGCGCACGACCGGGCCAGCTGATCAAACAMATTGCCACCGACCGGGAGGTTGCGAGTGTTGCGCTCAATGGAGAGGCCAAGCGTTTTGTTACGGGCTGCCCGAATGACACTTGGGTTCATTTGTGGGATTGGGACAGTGAACAGCAGATTGAGATGGGCAAAGGTCACCACGGACCCGTCTGGACGACGTGCTTCAGTCCCGATGGAAAGCTCTACGCTACTGGTAGTGAGGACGGAACGGTGAAGATGTGGAAATTCGCTGAAGGTCCTTATGGACTGTGGCGGTGATTGTGGAGTTGGCTGAAGAGAACGAGCTGCGACTCGTGCAGGGTCGAGCGTTGGATGAAGGCTGCTCGTTGTTTCGCCGCGCGTTGGACCAAGCAGCCAGGTCCAATTGCAGGACCTAGCTTTGGAACTGCTTCATTGGAAGGCTGTGGGCGCCGCTGTAACATTATTCATTGGTTGCCTTGCCTGTCAAACAAGGGCTCAAAAATCCAAGCCGTTGACATGTCTGCCACGCTTACAAAGGGGACGGTACCTACTGACGCGCCACTAATGCTCGTCAGGGACTTTGACCGCTTACGGCTGGCCGAAGGCAACTTGCTTATTTCCCCTGTTTGATAAAGCCAACCCGGATGCATTCTGCATACGTTGCGATGAATCATATGCAGTACGAGAGCGAGATGCATTTACTGCCGTAGCCCGGGGAGTGCAGCTCACCGCAAACAAAAAAAGAAAAATCGGGAATATTTGCACGCAAGAAACAATGAAACGTACGACCATTGAACCAAGACCCATCTGTTTTCCATGCAAAGTGCTGCCTTCACCATCTGCCGCTCATGGCYACACATCAAGACCACTAGATGCAGTGTCACAAGTAGTCAAAGTATAATTGCAAGCAGCCAAAAACCCTGGCTCATCATACAAAGCAGTGACTGGATGGCCAACTGGTAGGTCGAACAAAGTGCAGCAGATTCGGTAGATGCAACAATGCTGTCGCACAGATCGAGTGGGTCGGAATGCTTGAATGTGAATGATCATCATGACTGTCGTTTCAATATGTATTGTTCTAAGCAAGGTGTGTGCAAAAAGGTAACGGATGGCCTCGGCTCTGCCTAATCGATTGTATTCCTCGCGAGGGCCTCGCCCAATAGCGCCTGGAGGTATGACTTGGTATAATCTTCTCATAAACCATAGGCTGAATCCATCTAGAGCTCTGTCTGATCAGGCGACCCGTCGATTGGCGTGAGATACGCTATGAAACATATGGCTTGGCCGGCGGCTTGAACTTTCCGGCAACGCACTGAGTGAGCAATGGCACGTCCGTCCAGGTATCACCATCCAGTGTCGGTGTAAGCGAAAGTTTGTAGGAGGACTTGAATGACCCTGCACTCCACGCCGTCCATCCGAGATACACATCGCTGTTGGCGTTGATCGCATCGAATTGTTCGCAGAGCTTCTCCAAGCAGGAGTCGGCACTCCCTCCGCCGCCAGTCTCCGTCAACATGGCCTGCCTTCCATTGCTTCTCAACCATGTTGCGAGCGAGGTAAATTCTGCAACGTTGTTGTGCGCGCACTCGATCTGCTGGCCGCTGTAGGTTGCATCGAGATACTGATGGACTTCGAAGATGAGATTGGTAGTAGACCCATCGAGGTTTACAACTTGACTGAGTGTCGAAGCACTGTTCTTGACAAAGTTGCCGGCGGAACTGTAATTACTGCTCGGCAGGAGGATCCTTTGAGACGTTGCGCCGGCAGCACGGATGGCCGTCACTGCAGCTTGCACCGAGTCCTTCCAAGCGGCGATATCGAGGTCATGCTGTCATGTGTGAGCGTAATGTATGTGGAGCGAGGTGATCCCTCCTACCGGCTCGTTCATAATGCCAAAGACAACCTGTGGGTATGACTTGTAGATCGTGGCAAGCTGTGACCATAGCGACGCAAAGTCTTGGTTGGTCGGCCCACCTTGACCAATGATCCCCCCGTTCCAACGAGCGTAGTTGTGAATGTCAATAATGCACATGGCAGCACCGCTACTCATGCATCCATGGACGAGGTTGTTGTACGCAGCAAACTTGGGATCAAGAGCACCGCCAAGTTTGCTGTTGAGTACATACTGCCAGCTGACAGGCATGCGGAAGGCGTTGAGACCTCTGTCCTTGACAAAGTGCTGCATCTGGTCAATGCCGGCTTGGCCGGGTGGAGCAGTGCTCGCTGGATTGCAGTTGCCGAGAGTGTCGCAGCCAAAATCCAGTCCAGCAATGTTGACTCCTGCGAACTGGACCTGACCCACGGCGACGGAGCTAAAGACGGATGCCACAGCGAGGGAAGAAAGCTTCATGATGACGAAGAAAGGGAGGATGCCGGCACGTCTTGATGGCTGAGGGATAAGAAGCAGACAAAGGAAGGTGATTCGAGCTCGGACTTTGAGGGAGAAACAGAGCAGAGAGAGTCTGCTTAGCTGCGCGAGGGAAGAGTAGGATCAACCAACGTACTCGAGGTGTGATTGCGATTGTGGTGTGTCGATGTGAGGTGTTGAATAGAGAGGTGGTGGATCTTCGGCCTCCGGCGTCGTCGTTTACCCAACATTGGCGTGTCTGGATCAGCGATCGCTTCACGTCCGAATGACACCCATCTCACATGTTCCATTGCATGATACCCTGTGGGTGGAGCATAAATGGACAAGAGGCTTGAATCCTGAGGCCATGGATGAAGCATCATCTTCCGGAAACCGACAGAGCGCAAACACATCTCGGCTGCTTCATGTTCGTGCCGCCACACTGAACGCACAGCTCGTCGCAGGTCTCGCGTGTGTCCATACCGGTGGAAGGACAATCCCTCGGCAGTCACAGAGGGCCAGCACACTGATGCTCCGCCGGAGCGGAACGGCGGTTGAAACAGACATGCTGTTGCGGAGCAGACGAGGCTGATGCTGCGCCTGCTTCATTTTCCACGATCTGCGCTTCGCCCTGCACTGGCTGAGACAGCCGTAAGCATGGCAACTTCACAAGTTCAAAAGGAGCGACCAGTTCAAGATGGAGGACAGAGATGTGTGAAAGATGCGGGATGGCGGCAAGTGGAGCTGCGGCCGAACCATGCGGGGTGTCCCATCATCGGCCGCGTTTGTCACTCAACGTCGCTCGTTGTCCGCGTGCTTCATTCTGTGAGCGAATGATCTATCGTATCGGCAGGCCCTAGCAGAACCACCCGCCATACGAAAGATGGTACAGACGCTCAAGCTGGCCGTTGCTCAGGCCGCAACAAAGCCCACGCTCGCAGAGACGCTAGAAAGCCTGAGGGCCATTACGCTCGATGCCGCCTCGAAAGGCGTAGACCTATTGCTCTTTCCAGAGGCGTACCTCGGAGGATATCCCCGTACATGCAACTTTGGCGCCGCTGTAGGTGCCAGATCCGATGAAGGCCGGGAGCAGTTCCTCCAGTACTTCCATGCTGCTGTCGATCTTGGCGACACGCCTCAAGGTGCTGGAGATGATTGGACCGACAGAAAGCTTCCCATCGCCAAGGGGGCAGAATATCGGGGAGACGGGACAAGGGAATATCTAGAGCGGGTTGCCAGAGAGACTGGGGTCTTCGTGGCTACTGGCTTGGTGGAGAAGGCCGGCGGTACGCTATATTGCGCCGTTGTATATGTTTGCCCTCGCTTGGGAGTACTCGGGAAGAGGAGAAAGGTCATGCCGTGAGTACAATCTACGTGGGCAGCGCGTTGAAACTTGTGCGCGTACAGGTGACGTTTGCTGTGCAACACATGCGGTATACTAATGATTTGGGTAGGACGGGCTCCGAACGCCTAGTCTGGGGACAAGGCTCTCCATCAACACTCAAGGCGGTGACGACTACCATCAAAGGAGTGAGGCTAACGATGGCTTCAGCTATATGCTGGGAGAGTAAGTACACGGCGTACAGGGGTCTCGAGGCCTTTCTCTTGTCACGAATCGCGGGACATGTGCTAATCACTTGATTCTCCTAGACATGATGCCGCTATTGCGGTATAGTCTTTACAGTCAGAACGTCAACCTCTGGCTTGCCCCGACAGCTGATGCGCGTGACACGTGGCTGCCGTTGATGAGGACTATCGGAGCCGAAGGCAGAACATTCGTGCTGAGTGCCATATCTTGCGTGAAGCGACAGAACTTACCTGCTTGGGTGACTGGGAATGCTGCGACGGCATCTCAGTCCACCATTTCCACACGCTCAACTGGTGGTGGCCGTCGTCGATCCACCATTACGGTCCGCGAGGATGGTCATGAGCTCGTTTTGCCAGTCGTGGACGAGGATCCCGATTCATCGTCGGCTATCGCCACAGCGGCTGAGTCGAGTGCACATGATAAGCTGAGCGGCCACGTCAACGGTGCATCTGACCCAGCTGGTGAAGAGTTTGTATGTCGAGGTGGATCCTGCATAGTAGGACCATTCGGTCAGGTAGTAGCAGAGCCTCTGTGGGAGGTTGAAGAGGGGGGCCTGCTGATACAGGAGGCCGATTTTGAAGACTGCGAGCGTGGTCGGCTTGACCTCGACGTGGCGGGGAGCTATTCGAGGAATGACGCCTTCAAGTTGACCGTGGATGGCCTTGATCTCAATCCTCCACCGTAGAGGTGATGTAGGCTTGCTTTCTTGTTTTAACCTGAACAGGATGTTGCAGGAAGTATCCGTGCAGCTGGTTTTGAACATCCAAGTTCCAACGACCTGAAAGACACCTAATAAAAGCTTCTTTCGAACAGCAGTCAGCTGGTGTACACAAATTCAATCAAAATAGGATGCTCGGTGTCAAATGGTTGAATGTGCTGATTCGATCTCCTACATTGATGCAGGTGCTGCATTCGTTACGTCCTTGCAATCATGTCGAAGCCTCTCAATAGTCTTGAACACCAGTCTCTCCAACCGGCCTCCCTTCTCCAACGAATTCAGCTTCTTCACCGGCGAAGTAATGGTCCAATCTGTTGCGATCCTCCTCGTCTCGGTCATCATACTCGTCACTCCCATCAACTGATTGATAATGAAAATCAGAGTCATCTCCCCTCAGAAACCTCTGACCCATCACATCCACCCATCTCGCCCAACCATCCTCCTGATTCTGCGCCCTATCATCCGCATCCTGCTCAACTGCTACGATGGTGCCGTCTTGCGCCCTCCTGTAAATAATTGGCGAATTGGGATCAGGATTCTGCAGCGCAGCAACTTTGGCTTCGGATCTTATAAGGTCTGTTTCCAGCACGCCTGTATATCCTCGCGCTCGGCCTTCCCTCTCACGCTCCTCGGCGGACTGGAAGCGTCGGACCAGTCTGTCGTAGAGCAAAGGATCTAAGGTAAGAAGAAGAAGAAGAAGAAGTCGGCTACCAGCTCGAAAGAATGTGAAAAGTAGAACCTACCGGCGAGCTCTAGCTCGGAGCTTTTGAAGTATTCTGGATGGAGATCAAGATAGCGTTTCCGCCGGTTTTTGATTCTAATGCGCTGTGAATGCGGGTCTGGTTTAGATGTTTCTGCGTCGTCGTGAGACATTTCTGTGTCGGACTGCTGGGCTTCTTGAGCCCTGGGAGGGAATAGAGGCATCTTGCGTCTCTTGTGATGCAGTCGCACAATCGCTGTGATGTTACGGTACCTCACTGTCCGAGAAACGGCAGAATCGGAGATGGAACTGGGCGCCAGCAAGGTACTTTAGGTAGTTGGGTAGTCGCCGTGATGCGATACGGTACTCCGTACAGCCGATTTTGCCACAACATCGCTGGCCGCACTTGCCGCCACTAGCCAGCCGCCCTGCCGCTCAATCGCTGCTTGACTCGTTGCCCGAGCAGAACAAACAGTTAAGGATGTAGTTAGGTCAAACGTAGGTCCTTCACCTTCATATGATGTCTCATTGTTATTGATATACCATTCATTGCACGTCGAACATGTTTAGCCGCTACCCAGCCGCTGCGGGAGCTCTCCTGCGTTCCTCTGGAACACGTTTCTGTCTGCGTACGCCTTCTCCCAGCATTCAACGCGCATACTCTTCTTCTGCACCCGGCAGACAACGGAGTGCCCTTTGGAACTGGATAGCTGGAGGCGCATGTGTTCTACTAGGTGCGGGAGGCGCTCGACTTTACGAATCTAGAAATTCCTCTACTCCTCAAGGTCTCTTATCCAATGTCCGCAATGCAAATTTTGCTTATGCGACTAAATCACAAATGCTCGATGTCAGCGAGAAAATCTTCTCCTTTTTGCAATTTCAGGGCTCTCGTGGCTAACTGGGACATAGGCTGCCAAAGAGATATCAAAAACACTTGGCGAGGATTCAATCAGCTTTGACGAGGATGTGATTGAACATCATGGGCGTTCAGACTGGTCTACAGCAAACACAGCGGAAAGGCCGGTCGCGGTGGTATATCCCAAAACCACAGACGAAGTCTCTGCCATTGCGAAGATCTGTGACAAGTATGCGGTCCCCATGGTGCCCTTTGGTGCCGGCTCTAGTGTCGAGGGAAACTTTTCATCCCCATATTCCGGTATATGCATCGATTTCGTGCACATGGATAAGATTGTGGCTTTTCATCCGGAGGATATGGATGTTGTTGTCCAGCCTGGAGTCAATTGGATGGACCTCAATAAAGAGATTGCACATGCTGGCTTATTTGTACCTCTTGACCCCTCACCTACAGCGATGGTTGGCGGTATGGTCTCCACGAACTGTAGCGGCACCAACGCCATGAGATATGGAACCATGAAAGACTGGGTTGTGAACTTGACAGTGGTCCTTGCCGATGGTTCTGTTATCAAGACTCGAAGACGCCCGAGGAAGACCTCGGCGGGTTACAACTTGACCACATTCTTCGTGGGCGCTGAAGGAACCTTGGGAATAATCACAGAGGTCACTCTCAAACTTGCACCAATACCTCAAGATACCAGTGTGGCTGTAGTGTCGTTCCCCAGCATTCGTGATGCTGCTTCGGCGGCATCGAGTATCATGCGTAGTGGCATACAACTAGCAGCGGTTGAACTGATGGATGATCTTCAAGTAAGCAATACAATGCGTCTCAATGCTCGGCGTTACTGATAGTTCTTAGATGCAAGTCCTCAACAAGCATGGAAGCGCGGCAGTGCGAAAAAGAAAATGGGATGAGGACCCGACATTATTCTTAAAGTTCGTCCGATCTACAGTCCTCTCCAACACTAGCTGACAGGACCATAGATTCTCGGGCACGACGGACGCGATCAAGAGCGACATAAAGCGAGTCTCACAAATCATCAAGTCTCACAATGCTGGGGAGTTTCACTTCGCCAAGACCAAGCAAGACGAGCTGGACCTATGGGCTGGCAGGAAAGAATCACTATTCACAATGGTCGCCACGAAGCCTGAAAACACCATTCTATGGACAACTGACGTTGCCGTCCCGCTATCAAGGATGGCAGAGCTCATAGGTTGGTTCTACTACCTACATTGATCACTTCGCGTCGCTGACATGTGGTATTAGATCTGTCCAAGGCAGATGGTGCCAAGCTCGGTATCTTCGCGAGTGTAGTCGGCCACGTCGGCGACGGGAACTTCCATCTGGCAATGTTCTACAACCCAGATGATGCAAAGCAAAAAGCCGCTGTTGCGAAAGTTGTACACGACATGACTAATAGAGCCTTGGAAATGGAGGGAACTGTCTCTGGAGAGCATGCGATTGGTATTGGCAAGAAGGTGAGTCTTACGATCATATATATATATATTGCAGTAGAAACTGATTTACTACTGTTTGTAGGACTGTCTAGTCGATGAGCTTGGACACGATGCGATTGATTTCATGAGGACTTTGAAGAAGGCTGCTGATCCGAAGTGGTTGTTGAACCCTGGAAAGATCTTTAATGTTCCCGGTAAAGACTAGGTATGGAATGCTCAATCTGTGAATTCTGTGGCGTAAGCGTCCATCTACTCGTCGACTGGACCTTTGCACTCTAGAATGTGCGCAGTCTACCATTCAGCCCAGCTTTCCGATCTCTGGTTCATTCAGGAGACTCGTTTACCCAAAGAACGCATGCCATCTTTCTGAAGCTCCTTTACCTTGTGAACATTTCCGTCGCTCCGCTCTACAGTCCTGAGACCAAAACATTGCTGAAAGGGGTCGTCTTGCAGTGCCGCCTACGATGTGCTGGCTTATCTCCAACAAATACGCTTTTAAGGAGGCGACAATCATGATATGGACAGTGCACTCTCGGGCATGGAGTTTTGACTACCTCTATATTGTATTAATGACGGAACCCCTGAGAATAGCCCGGTGCATTAAACTTCTCTGTGCTCATCCTGGAAGGAGGCCCAAATATGAGACTGCGAAGGCGACCCGGGCAGTCTCCTTTCTCTATCTCGAAGCGCGGAAGCGAGCTCTATCTTGGTGAGAAAGATTGGTGAGGCAAGTCTTCAGCTGCGGTATTGAGCCCATGTGCGAAAAAATTCCTGACTGTTCATTCGTTGTGACTTTACAATTTACTATTGTCTTGGCAGTTCCGAACTTGTACTAGTCACTCACAACGTCACAGCATAAACTCCATCCTTCACCCACTCCCCGAATCCGTGCTTCCTTCTTCCCAGCAAAAAGTCCAAGCAAACCCATATCCTGCGGGAAGAAGCACCCCAGCAATGAACATTTACTGCTCCAGGCTTTCGAAGTTTAATCTCAATCTTCAGACACCTCTGAGAACATACCAATCCCTTACTAGAGCCACCTCTGCGTCTACTCCAAGCCAATAGTCTTCGCCGTCAACTGAACAAGAAGTCTTACCGACTCATCTGGCTTCTCAAATGCTGCCGGTGCTCTAGCTCATCATCAGCAGCAGCAGCAGCAGCAGCAGTCTGTACTGAAACGCAGCATCCCTGTAGAGCTGCGCTTGATTAGTTGGGAGTATACACTTGGAAGTTGATCCGGACGGTGATTTGTTGCACCTTGAGACGGCTAAGGGATGACTCGGGTACTGTGGTTGTTTTGAGACCGAGAAGACAAAGTTTTTGTGTTCCGTCACATTTGCTGGAATTTCCGTCTGGAATAGAAAGGAATTGGAGTAAGGTAACTGGTATTCGCGGGAATCTTACGATAATAGAAGAAAGACTGCGGTTTATTATACTGCCATGCAAGCTACTATAAGTTTTATTACCAAAAGACGATTCGTCCCATGCGTATGAACTCTAGATACCGCGAGGCGATTGATATCGCATATCAGTCTAACACCTTCAGCTTGCACCGAGTGGAGAGCATTATTAGGCTGCCTCAAATGAGCTCTAATGGAGAGAGGCTCCATTTCAGCTCCGTGTTCCTCTGTCTCATCTTACCAGATACTCCTCCAAGTGAGAGGATAGGAGAGCAAACAGAGAAAGCCTCAAAGTATGTTGTCGATTCTGCTCCGATATCTTATTCTAGGACATTCTGGTACATTTGAAAAACTCTCAACGACGATGGTCTCACAGATGGCGAGGTAAATGTAAAGTATCGGTCTCCTTGGAGCATCTGGAAACCTAATGATCTGATCTGACAATATGGTCGGTCGCGAACACCGGATTAAAGGGGTCAAATCGATATATTCCAATACTAACCACCAGCGAAAAAAGCAAGGGACTCCGCGGTCTTCGCCGAAATCTCGCGGTTGCCGCCACCCTATTAGGCTACTCTCCAGCCATAGACCACCCCGCCGAAACTGATAGGTGCCCCTTTTCGTAAATACAACCTGTTCAGCGGTCAGCGAAGTAGCGACGATTATATCGCGGAGGAACGACACATCTTCAGTTGATTCACTGAACGTTAGCCCCTAATAAATCCTACTAAAACCACTTCTCTAAAAAGGGAAATCCGTAACGAGGATAAATGATTATAAAGCATAGGCATTTTATATACTTCAAGTATTGCCAACGCCAAGGCTCGCCAAGAAGACCTAATTGAATCAATCTAGTGAATGATTCTCGTCAACCGCAGGGCGAATCAAACTTTCAGTAATTCGTCTATTTCCCAATTGCCACTGAATACATTCCCTGATGAGGGCTGTTCTTTTAGAAGACTGGCTGTATTTATACACGTTGCAAAAGAGTCATACGTGGCCTGGACGTTGTAGCTACCTGGTATTCACTTCATCCTAGTAGAGACAACTTACGAATATCGATCAAGACYGCTGAATTTGATATGTATGCACAGAATCTTATACTGAAATTGACAACCTTGCTCCTTTCCGCTTCATCTCTGACGTTATACGAAATTCCAGACGAGAATTTTCCAAGTAAATATACATGAGAACCGCCCAGCGGACTCGTACTGAGATGTTGCAAGCACCCATCCATGAGGATTCACTCCACCTTCTCGTTTTCTCTGTCCTCCCGTGCTGACTTTTCACTACCATCGAGTGAACGATGTAGAGCCTCTTGAGGCCTGAAGATCTCGACAACCCGACCGAGCTCGGGCGCCTCCTTTTGATTGATTGAATTGACAGATCGGGAATTGCAAGGCCTGATCAGCCGCGTGGTTCCAGTAAACGAGAAGCTGCGACTCTATCTCCACCCAGCGGCTTGCCCTGTCCGCTGAACGAGTCGCTGCGATTGCGTCCGCTGGTTGGACGGACTTGGTTGAGCTGGTGGATTCCTGATGGTTGTTGCACTCTTCGTGGTATCGGCTCGGGATTCGCGGGTTCCTGGACCTCGATTGTGGTGACTTTTCGACGGAAGAATCTTCGGAGACCCTGTTGCGGATTCATAGGCAACCGAGAGCAGACGACAAGAGTGGCGATAGTGGCGGTGACTCGGACGACTGGATCAGACCAACCGAGATATAGCACTGATGAGATAGCTATTCCAAGTTAGTAGGATACAGAATGGTTTCGATTGTTGATAGTCTTACCGAGAGCCACGAACATTGTTGCCAGAATTATGCCGCGGAGGATGTGCCGTAGTCCCGTGATATATACTGACGCCGCGCACGCCTGTGCAAGGTACSCTTCAGGACGGCCTAGAATATTTCGTTAGCAACGATGCTGAACTTCTCTCTCTCACGAGCCGCCTTACCCAAGAATACAGCGTAAGCTGCGCAAACACAGAAAGCACGTTTCCGCACCACGTCTGGATGTGACTTGCGCASCCAGTATATTGCTAGTACGCTCGTCAAGATCGTCAAGATCGTCGTGGAGTACTTCAAGACCAGATTGATTGGCATCACTGATGCCCAGAATTCCCGTAGACTTGAGTCGAATGCCGCCAACTGTTCACGTAGCCACTGGACGGCCTTCTCGTTCAGTGCCGCCAAAAACTCGATCCATGCCACTTGCAAGCGCTGCTCAAACCTGGACAGAATGCCATTTGTCTGCTCCTCAAGCATGGATAGAAAGCCGGTCATATGGTCCTGCAAGCCGTTGAGTATTCCTTCACGGACTCCTTCCAATGTTCCCGATAGAGAGCTTGCAGTTGCGGAGACGTCGGTGAGAGTGCTGTTGATCTCTTCGACGACGTTGCCAATCTGAGACACCTTTCCGCCCACAACATCAGCCTCAGCGTTAACGTTGGTGATGGCGATGCTGGTTCTGTCGAGGGCGTTGCCATGTTGGATTGACTTTTCCAGGTCCGTGTCGATAATCTCGCTCATGACAGTCAGTGCTGCTTCCACCGCCTCGGCACTTATCTCCGTTTTCCACTCGCGAATCTCTTTCATCTTCAGCTTACACGCTTCGGGCTTCATCGATAGGTCTTGATATCTCGCCCCTAAAGAAAGATCTTCGAAAATCGCGTTGCGACAGGCCGACTGTGCCTCGGACGATTTGCCAGAGATTGAGAACCCCGGGCCAAGGCGAAAAGCATCACAMGCAGAGGGAACGGCCACACCATTCCTCTCGGCATCGCAGACGAGGAGGCTCAAGCTTGCTGTCAGCTCTACTCTACCAATCTCTTGACGCGAGGGAGAGCTCCGGTCCAAAGCGTTGCAGATCAAACCACCGTCGGTGAACATGTTTGAAACCAGCTCAAAACACGGCACTTGCACCTCGGCGTACTCATAAGGGTTGCAGTCAGATCCTGGAGCAAGTACCACGGATGGGGTGGTCGGAGCACCATCAACTATCACTTGTCAGCTCATATTCAGGCAAGTTGTCGAGCACGCACATCAAGGACACTTACAGTCACCCCAGAAGAAAATTTGGAAGAGGAGTTTCGAGTTCATCGCGGCTGCGGATCCTTGGAGAGCGGCAGCGAGGAGGAGGAGCTTGAATGGTATGTCGTTGAAGAAACGAACGAGGTGTTGCTGTGATAAGGATGCTGAAGAGTATGTCGATGAAACGAAGAAGATGTTGTTGTTGTGATAAGAAGGCGGAAAGGTATGTCGGTGAAACGAAGAAGATGTTGTTGTTGTGACGAAGAAGTTGTTGCAAGCATGAGATAGGTCAACAGATGGTGGACTGCCCAAGTACCGCAAGCGGTCAATTACACGAGCTATCRGCAAGCAAGTGAAGCTGCTGAAGCCAAATTTGCCCGCAGCAGTAAGGAGTGAAGCCTGCACTGTCGGATAGAGCACGGGACAATGTGTGTGTGTGATATCATGATGGAGGTGAAGCTACTTTGAGGCCAAGATCCGCACGTGGCAATGGGGCGCGAAGCTGCTGCAAGGCCCCAGGTGCTGCGTGTTATGCTCAAGGCTATGCATAAGTCCCTTCCCCGAGCGGGATGCCGGTCTCTTCCCTTGCAAGGCGAATGAGGGAGATAGGTGTCCGTGTGTAAAGTGGTCTTAATTGTAGCAAGGACATCCATGGACATGGTCGGAAGCAGTCTGAGGTCCAATTCCATCCAGTCGCAAAGGTATGGGTATGTAGCCAGCCTCCAGCCGAGTGCAGCTCCTCAATTGCGCGCATATAATGAAAGCCGGGGATTTACCTCGAGATGGTAAGGTAGATAGCAAGAAGGCTGTCGTCCAAAGCCCTCCATCTCCTTCCAGCCGCCTCTGTGTGAGGTTCCTTCTGTAGGTAGGTGTGATTTCCGTAGCTAGTGTTCCTGCCCTGCCTATATATGGAACTGTCTATATATAAGGTAAGTACGGTTGAATCTCTTTATGAAGTAAGCCAAGGAAAGCACCTCCAATTAACAAGCGACCGGACAACAATCCAAGAGTCTGATGAGAAGGAGGTATAGAGCCTTCCCAGTGTTGTGCACTCGTCGCCCTGCAAGATCGAGGTGCCCAGCCAGGTTACAGCCGTGAATCCGGATGGAAAGTAGGGGGGGGGCGAATTTAGCAGAGCGTTGCCTGGTTCGGGGTAGCATTTTGGAGGAATGGCCGACCTCGACTTGTGTATGCGGGATTGCGGCGCGTGATGCCAAGCATGACTCAGCACGGTTGATGGTGAATAATACTTCCAGGAAGTTCATCGATCGGGACTACCTGATGAATGCATTCGGACTGGACTGACAATCTTTCGGATAGTAAAGTCTTTCATTATTAGAAGAAGAAGTAAGAAGTACCTCTCTTCCGCGAGAAGACCATCCTGAGTTTGTGAATCCCAAAGGAAAAAGGTAAAAAGGGGAAATATTCACTTGGCAAGTTAACGATCCCATTAGCGTAAATTCTAGACGATGAAAGGAGCTAGGACGAAGCTCGGGAAATCCATGACAGTAGTAGTACCAAACCCGCACACCGAGAGGAGATCCTGCATTCTTTCTCGTCTTTGATTTACTCCCCGGGAAAGTAGCCAGCCAGCCAATTGAAGACGTGTCGAGATTTGCTTGTGTGCCTGGTTCTTGATTGGATGGAAATTGGTGGAGCGAAGATTGCCTTGAGGTGTCACAATGCACCACGGTATCGATATCTGGCGTGGATCGGTAGGAGATGACAGTACGAGCAGTCCAGCTGTCTTGCCATACGTCGACATTCCATCACAATCTCCCTCCATCAATAACCCCCCTCACAAAATCCCCAACCCCACAACCACAACCCCCAATCCCACCACAAACCCCCCCATAATCAAGCTCCCTCCAACCCTCCCCCCACCCCCCATCTGCGCAATAACACAACTCCCCATCCCAACATCCTTAGCCTCCATCAACTTAACCCTAAAACTCCTAACCCCAAACCCCACCTCCCCACAAGTTCCCCTCCCCTCCACACAATTCCACCTCGCACTCCCGAGATCCCCTTTACTTTCACAACCCTCCTTATCAAAAACCTCCAATTCCAACCTCCCTCCCGACCCTTCCCCATCCATCTCCCCATCCACATCCAAAGGATTCCGGACTTGAGTATAAAACACATTCCCCCACTCTCCATTCCGCACATCTTCTTCTTCCCGGGACAAGGAATTGAAGACGGTGTATTTAATCCCGCAGAGACCGAGTTGGGAGTCGCAGCGACCGGTTCCTTGGCTTGTGTAGGTGGTTTCGGGGTCGGAGAAGGTTTTGTCCAGGTCGAAGCAGGCTTGGGTTTGGGGGAGAGTGCGGATTGCGATGGAGAGTGCTGTGTTGGAGGAAGAGGAGGAGTTGGGGGAGGCGGAACAGATGGGAGAGGTGGAGGGGGAGAAGGTGATGTTCATGAAAGAGGCCGAGAGGGCGTCGCGGATTGGGTCGGTGGACATGTCGGTTTGGAAGGTCGGGGAGGTTTCTGTGGTGGTTTGTTGGGAGGTTACGAGGGGGATTATCCACGCGCAGAGCGGGAGGAGGAGGAGGAGGTGGGGAGTGAGCCACATGGTTTTTTTTTGAAAAGAGCGTGATGTGATGTGATGTGTTGGGATGTTGTGGAGCAGCGGATCTGCCCGCAATGGTATGCGGACGAGGATGGGGGGGAAGGGAGAAGATACGAGAGAGACAAGAGGTTAGGAGATGGGATGGTTACCTTGGCTGGTCAAGAAGTGGCGGCTTACACCCTCCCCTACCTGGACTCTCACCTTGCCCAACTAGTCCAGTATACCCTTCCCATTCTCGGGTCAGACGCTGGTAAAAGCCAAGCAACCAACCAACCAACCCAAGTGTAAAAAATTTTGATTGGGACCAGTCTAGACTCCAGACTTTGCTGTGAGAATCGGCTCAGGAACAGCCTGGTTCCGTCGGAGGGCGGAGAGGGTCGATTGGAGTGAGCAGTCTACCTGACGCCGGCATCATCCCTATTTTGACGGGGGAAAATCTCCCGGGATGACTTCGGGGCAATCATTTTCAATATGGATTGTAAGGTATACAGTACAGTGTAGGGGTTGGCCCATGTGCATGCCAAGATGCATGGATGTTTCAGTCGACGCCCATCCCTGTCCATGTCGAACTCTTGTTCTTGAGGTTTCCAAAGCAGGATTTACAATGAGATTCATTGTGATGAATGTCGCCACCACAACAGCGAGAGAGAGAGAGAGAGAGAGATGGAGATGGAGATGGAGATGGAGCTGAAATGTGGAGTTGTCGGGTTTTTCGTAGGAGGGACGTTCGGATCAAATCGACTCGTATCGGCGTGATCAAGATTCCGGATACATGTTCTCCCAGATCTCCAAGACTGAAGACACTCTTTGATGTCTGAGCAGGACAATATTCCAACATCTTCCTCATTGCAGTAAATACTTCATCCCTCCCGAATATCCCTCATTCGAGCAAGTAGTTCACTCCATAGGTCAAGAAGTATGTGAGGCGAAGATGGATTTCCGCTTAATTTTGCCAGGTTTGGTAGATTGTTGATATATATGTTGGGTAAGAGGGGAGTCTTTGCCGGATGATTTTGCGTTGGCGGGATAGCAGCGAGCGGGTTGAAGAAATCTGATGCATCTGGAATGCAGTGGTACTTGGACGATGGCGCTGATTAAGACGGCGGACAAGGCTTCGAGGAGGAAGAGGACCTGCAGTAGTCTCCAACTTGACTTGCGATGGGCAAGGTGGAGAAATGTGTCTTTTCGGAGCTGAATTGCCTCGATGGGAAAAGGAAAGCGGGGAGGGCACGAAGAGGGAAGCGACGAAAGAGGACGCTTCCATGCCGCTTCTTATCCGATGGAATGAATACCTAAAAGAGGGAGGGAGGGAGGGAGGGATTGGGGGTGCATAGATGGTTTCGTCCATCTCCCGCCTCGGAATCCCCATCATCATCATCATCATCATCATCTATAGGACATGAATGCCATCATCTACAAAGAATGGGTCTTTCGTGGGTGTGGAGATGTATATATACATGTCAATAATCCTACTCAAGGCCGCCTCTGATCGGCAAGGCTGGCTGATTGCAGCAATATGCACGTTGCCGGCATTTTGGACGTGCTGTGGACATGGAACCGGGAAGAGCACACACACACATGTCATGTTTGGCGGGGAAACGGAGGCGGAGGCGGAGGTGGAGACGGAGATGGAGGTGAAATGGATCTCGGTAACGTGGGTCGATGAAGAGTGTCGGGTACCTTAGGTTTCCTTACTTATCGAAGGGAGGAAAGAACAAGAAGGGGTGCATGAATCTAGAGCTAGGTAGGTAGAATCATCCCCTCTATTCACGAATCTAGAATCCATGAATCATTCCATCCATTCCCGCTCTTCGGAGCTGAGTCCTACGCTTGGCCAGGCTTGGCCTGGATTTGTCGGATCTTCGAAGCTGGGACCCTCGGAATGTGCGTGAAGAGTTGCCTCTCGTCTCGCCTTCCCTTTCCTTTCCATATTTATTCCATGCACAGCATCCCCACCACCTCCACCATCCATCATCGTAACTACCTAACGACCTAGTCTTGCTACCAACATCCACTTCAAGGAACGGATGGATTGTAGTTAGTGGATGGATTGTTGGGTATGGTTGATCGATTGATGCATCCATCGCATTGTCCCAGCACCATCAACCTCGGCCGCTGCTGCGTAGGGTAGCCCGGGTTCGAGGCCAGAGGAAACAAAGGGCAGGGCTAGAACACTCACTCCATCCAATCTTCCACTTCCACATTCTTACGGCGGAGGAAGAGAGGGAGGACGAGCATCTTCCAATCCACCCAGCATTGCGCCATCCCTCCACCACGCGCATCATCCTATCCTATCCAATCCACACACACCCACACACTCACACGATCCCATGCGCCAGGCTTGATGCAGCAGCCATATGCCGACCTCTCGGCCGCCTACGAAACCAATCCCTATCCGCCGCCAGCATCCTACCACCTCCCTCCCCATCACAATCCCCATCCCGATGCCGACCCCGACCCTGGACATGGACAGCCGAATCAACACGCCCTCGCGACTCCTCAACCTCAACCTCAACCTCAACCCCAACCCCAACCTTCATCCCACACTTCGACGCCAACCAAGCGCAAGTCTCCACCTCATGCCACGGGAAACAAGGCGAGTAAAAAGGTCAAGCGCGTGGGTCCCCGAGAGGTCAAAGTCAAGAATGAAGGGCCCAACAATGGCGGCGGCGGCGACGACAAGGACGATGCCGCCGCCAACAAGCCCAAGCGTGTGCGGACCGGCTGTCTGACGTGTCGGGAGCGGCATTTGAAATGTGACGAGGCCATGCCGCACTGCAACAATTGTCGCAAGAGCAATCGCGACTGCAAGCGGGGCGTGCGCCTCAACTTTATCGATACGTGGGAGCATAAACCGCCGACGTTGGTGACGGCGTGGGGAACGCAGGAGTGGAAGGTCGAATTCTTGGATGAGTCGAGAGACATTGCGAGTGAATATTGCGGGGGAGAGTCGCGATATAAGCCATTGGTGGTGGTGGAGAAGCGGCGGAATCAGAATCAGAATCCGAATCCGAATCACCTCCAACATTATCCCTCCATGGACTCGGCGAACAGTCATCATCCTCCCCTCGACTCGGCCATTGCTTTGGACTATCCCATGCAGCAACATCCATCCCATCCATCTCATCAATCCCATCAAACCCAACAACCCCACCAACCACAAATGGTCCAGCCACTACTGCCTCCCATCATGTCCGACTACAATCCCTCCCCCATGACCCAACACCAACCCCAGATGAACAACATGTTGGAGCAGCAGCAACACAAACCAGAAGTCACCAATCCCTACCAGCCCGCTCCCACACCGCATTCTGCTTCCTCTCAGCATTCGCACTTCCCCGAGCCTCCCCCCCCCAACCCCAACTCCATCACATCCAACCCTCACAATGCCATGCCGCGGGGAAACACTTCCATCTCTTCCTTCTCCAACATCAACATCGACGCCGACATGCTCGAGCATGAGCAGGCCAAAAAGGACGTCCTCTCCAGTCAAGAGGAGACCCTCTTCATCCAAGTCTTTGTGGAAGAGGTTGGGGTCTGGATGGACAGCATGGACCCTCATAAACACTTCTCCCGCCTCTTGCCCTTCCATTCCCTCTCCGAACCCATGCTCTTGAATGCCTTTCTCGCCTGTGGAGCTCGCCATCTGACGCTGGTCAACCCAATCTATGACGAAACCAAGGCTTTGGACTATTATGACACGGCGACACGATATCTGCTACGGAACTTGACCAACCCCGCGCGAGATACCGTCATTTGTGCCACCACCGCCGTGATTCTCAACGTCTACGAAATCATGAGTGAAAGAGCCCTCCAACGGATGAATCACATCGCCGGTGCACGCGCGCTCATCAAGGAATGTGGGTGGAATGCCCGTGCTCAGGGGATCGGAGCCGCTTGCTTCTGGCTGAATGTCGGTCTGGAGGTGCTCAGCTGTCTGCACTTTAACTGGCAGGTCGCCTGGGATCCCGACGATTGGGGTGTGGATATCGACGACTACACGAGGGAGATTCACAATGGGAGGGAGGAGGTTTGGACGCATCGCATGTTGTATATTGTCGCCAAGGTGTGCAACTTTCGAGCCACGGTTCCCAGGACTACTGGTGGTGGTGGAGGGGGAGGAATGAATCATCGAGACGAGCAGATCCGCTTGCAGCAGAGGCATGAAGAATGGACGCGATTGAAGGGCATGTGTGATGCGTGGAACCAAGGCATCCCGAGGACCATGCATCCCATGGCTCACCTCCACCCGTTTCAGACCACCTCCAAGAGTGCATTCCCGGAGATTTGGTTGGTCAASCGGACCACCATTGTAGCGAGATTGTTCTTTCACACCGCCATGTTGTTGATGGCGCAGATTCATCCTTATTGGAGTGTGCGAGAGAATGCGGAAATGGCCGAGATGCAAGAGCTGCATAGTAAGACCATTTGTGGGATTGTGGCCCACGTCAAGGATCGAGGCGTCGCGAGTGTTGCAATCCGATCCCTCCATCACGCGGCCGAGTGTCTGACCAGCAGGATTGAACAGGAAGAAGTCATCAGCATCTTCGAACGCATCAACAAGGAGACGGGATGGAGGATTGGATTTGTGTATAAAGAATTAAAGGAGAAGTGGGGGTGGAATGAAGAACCCAGTCCCGATCAAGTCGCCCAGACACACGCTGCGCAAGAGAGGGAAAGACAAGCGAGTGTCGCCAGTCAACAATTTCTTGAGCAGCAACAAAGACAACAGAGTCTTTCCCAAATGTCCGGAGCGTGGGTTACCAATGGGTCGGGAATGCTTCAACAGCAGATGTCCCCCACCATATCGAATGGTTTTCAACAACAACATCATCAACAGCAAAGGCAAAGCTCTCACACCCCTCGCCAACCGACATCCCAACACGCGACACCGACTCCTGTACCCGCAGCAGCCTCTGCTCCATCGAAGAAAACGAGCGGGTTGCCTGCGGGGATTCCGAATCCCATGTATGCAAAGGCCGACTTCAACCTCCCGCAGCATCCTTATCAAAACTTTTATGTTCCCGCCGCCAACACTCCGGGGATGGGTGGGCAGGGACAGCAATTGAGCCAGTTGAATGGTTATGGAGGTGGTGGGTATGGAGGAGGGGCACAACAGAACCCACAGCAACAACAACAACAGCAGCAGCAGCAGCATCAACATCAACAACATCAACAATCACATCATCAACAACAGCAAAACGGAATGTTCTATGCAATGTGAGGGTAGGTGGAAAATCCTTTTTGGTTTTTGGGATGATTTATGGAATGGGTGGAGTTTGGAAAGGAAAAAAGCAAAAAAGCTTGGGAGAGATGATACCCATTGGAGTAGGAGGGAGGTATGATTGTTTCTGGGGCAAGCGTTTCCCAAGTAAAAAAGAAACATCTGCATCCAGTCACATCACATCATCAGTGACTTGCATCTACCTTACGTGATCGTATGAAATCTGCAGAGCACGAGAGGTGCATTCATCCAACCTGATCTTTCTTTCTTTCCATTTGATGAAGAAAGTGAATGATGATGTATCTATCCATCTTACAACTATCCATTGAAGAACATGAATAATAATAAAGAAGTGATGATGCCGTATCCATTCATCCACCTACAACTTCCCCCCACTCCTCACCCCCCGCCCTCTCCTCACCTTCTTCTTCAGGTCCCCCCCTTGCATGCCCCCATCCCTGGCATCATCCCCAAACAACTCCTCCCCAACCCCCCTCGCCAACCCCAAAACCCTCCCCTGAACACTAACCCCTTCCTTCCTCCCCTCCCCATCCCCCCCAACCCGTCTCGCCAACCCAACCCGTTGACAAAATTCCCATAATTTTCCCTCGGCGACGAAATCCCCACTGGAATCTCTCGGGGGCATCCATTCTTTTGCTAGTCGGACTTTTTCCGTTGCTGTCCCCGCTCCTCCTGCATCTTGTCCATTGTTCTTGTTCTTCTTCTTCAGGACGATGAGGATACCTTCTTCTTCGGAGCGGGAGAGGGCGTTTTTTAGGGCTTCTTTGTTGACTGCTTCGTAGTAGGTTAGATCGCCTCTGTGATAGAGGGTTTTGCCTAGTAATTGTGCGCGGTCGGCGAAGAGTTTCATTTCGAGCCATGGTTCCTCTCCTCCTCTCCCTGTTGTGGTAGGAGGAGGAGGGGAGAGCATGAATAGGGAAATGGCACCCAGCCAACTCGCTTCGATAAAAGGCCAGAGGAGATAGCAATAGAAATCGAAATTCTGCGTGTCCAGCGCCAATTCATCCGGATGCAGAGAGATCCATTCCATTTCCCCCCCTCCCATTTCCTGCTCATCCCTCGTGATTTGCAAAACTCCATCGTCCACTAATCCCTTGAGAGTAGTTTGAAGATTCTCCTCCAGAGGCGTAGTGGGGAAGATGAATTCCGCACGGAACAACTGACTGAGGAAAAAGACATGGTCGTAAAGTTCCTTGTACCCAATTCGTTCCCGCTCCCCTTTCTTCACTTTGGWATACAGAGCACAACACACCAACGCCTGACTGATGAACAAGTGGATCGTCATGTTGCGGTAAAAGCTGAGTTGGAAGCGATCCTCGGCATAGTACATTTCCTCCGGCAAACCCTCGACGCRACCGACCAGTTGCGGTCCCAGAACATCCAGGGCTTTATCCACGACATGTTCGAGCTGATGCCCGGCGAAATGCGCGACTCGGCCTCCTGCTGCTTTGACGCGGTCGGAGAGCCAGATGACTCGGCGGAGGAGTTCAGCGCGGCCTACACTACGGCCTGTGAGGGTTAATAGGACTGTCCCGACCAGAGCGGTGGGCATGACGACCGAGACATCGTTGATGTGCGCGAGGACTTGATATCCAAACGTCGTGAGCAATCTCCTGCGTAAACCCGCATCCGAGAGTCCGGCGGTGGGCGTCATCAATCTCTTCTGCTGCTCCTCCACAAACCCCCGTAAACTCCACGGCTCGTGAAATCGTACATCCACCCTCCCCAATTTCAAACTCAAGACATTGCTCGCGGAGAGGAAACCCTTCAAATCCTCCTTCTTCTTCTCCTGCCCTAACAATTCGGAAATGTACGAATCTACCTCAATGACCTTGTCATACTGCGTACTGACGGGACAAACAATGGCATCCCCAGCCCTCCCACTCATCACACTCTCCAGAATATACGACAGAATTCCAAATTTCGGCGGCAATAATTTCCCCGTGCGACTCCTGCCTCCCTCCACAAAACACTCCATGTTGAAGCCATTCTGCAGCAAAGTATCCACATAACTCTGCACCAGCGTGACATATAACTGATCGTCCCCAAAACTGCGTCGAATCCACATRGCGCCCGCATGCTGCAAAAAGGGCCCGATGACGGGGAAATTGAGATTATCCCCCGCCACCACCGTCGGCAGCGCCAATCCCAGACGATAACACACCAATTGCAAACTGACATAATCCACATGACTGCGATGACAGGGTAGGAAGATGATACTCTGTCCATTCCGCTCCGCTTCCTTGGCCACTTGTCGCAATCGCAACACTTCCTCCGAAGAAACATGGATACCCTGATGATATGCCCGCGTGAGAAGTTGCGTGGCGAGATAATATGCCCCGCGGATAAATGGTCGAGACTCCATTTTGAGAATCATATCATCCGTCCACTCCTCCGCCACTTCCCGCAATTGTCCCACCAATTCCTTCCTCCGCGCCTCTCTCCGCGTTTTAACACTTTCTTCCTCCCCCGCTAAACCCTTGGGACCCAACGCATCCTCGTGGATTTCCACCTCCACTCTCTTATTCGCCAATTCGGAGATTTTGGAAATCAACATGGGTTGTGCGAGCACCATGCGTTTCATATTCTCCGTGAAGCCTGGATAGTAGATTTCGGGGCCGATGGGGGAGTCGTAGCTTCGCCATGCGCTTCCTAGAACGTGGAGACCGAGTTCTTGGAGCGCGTTGAGTGGGGCCGAGCGGAATTTGGCGTAGGGCTCTAGTAGTTCTTCTTCTTCTCCCCCGCCGCCGCCGCTGGAGGGGGAGGTGGACGTGCTGGTTGGGGTGGGCCGGTCAGTGAGGATCTGGATTGAGTCGCCGAGGAGTGCCATGTCGGAGCGGTGGTTCGGGGTGGGAGGTGACATGGTGGAGATTCTTCGAGGGGGATATTATTGATGTTTGTTATCGTTGTGGTGACATTCTTTGGTCTGGGGGTGGTGTTGTTGGAGGGAAGTTGTTGGAGGGACTAGGTAGGTTTCTTCCCCAGAAAAGACCCCAGACCTCGGCATGTTGCATCCTAGCTGTCGATCAAAGCTTGAGGCAGATCGGGATGAAAACGAAACGTTGACATCGGGGGAATCCAATTCTCATCAAATGGGATGCATTTGATGGACAAATGTTGAAACGGGATTGATACAGGACATGTTGTGGTCATCGAATGGTTAAACAGCTTCTTCTGGCTGGCTAGAAATAAAAAATGGATATATATAAGATGGGTTAAAAAAAATGATGCGTCGGCCGGGGTATGTCTCCTTCTTCAGGTTCTTCTTCGTCTTCTTCTTCTTCTTCTCTCCTACTTCGCTCGCTTCCTCACGCTAAAATTCGCTTCAAAAAACATGAAAAAGAAAACACAATGCACTCCTTCCTTCACTCCCTCCCTTCCTACACCAAGCGTGGCGAAAAGGCAGCAGTAGTCGTACTGCCGGGCCTCAAATCACTCCGCACGGAATAACAAGACAGACTCCTCACGTCAAACTGCGCGTGTACTCGACTGGTCAAATCACTCCACTCTGCCGTCCGCGCATAAATCGCCGCTTCTTGCTCGGCCGCGGCAGCGCGGAGTGCAGCGGCGGTGGCGCGGCGGAGATCAATGTCGGTGATGGCGATGGGGAATTTGCGAATGTCTTCCGTGTTGGAGTCGGTTCGCTCGTGGATGGTGGTCGGGCAAGTGGAATCCACGCGGTGGATGGTGTTGGTGCTGCTGTTGTTRGTATTGTTGTTGTTGTGGTGGTGGTGATGGTGGTGGTGGCTCGCCGTGGTGGCGGTGTTCGAAGCGGCTGTGCTGGTGGATTTCCAAAACGAATTTCCTCGACTGGGTGTGCGAAAGTAGCGATCGGCGGAGATGGTGGGTCGGTGTTGTGCGGCGGACGAGGTCGGGGTTTGGTGATGGGCGTTGAGGTTGACGTTGGAGTTGGAGTGGCTGGGCGTGTGAATCATCTCCGGTCGCGATATGGGGGTTTGGAGACGGGAGACGGGAGTGCGGACGCGCCCTTCGAGGCCCTTGAACTTTTCTTCCTCCACCATGTACTTTCGGAGGGTGCCCCATGATTGATCGCGGGTGAAGGATCGAGTGGGGAGGGTCGAGCAGCGTTCAATGGGTGATCGAGCACCTCGCGATCTCCGTGCGAAGTGGAAGCCGTTGCCGTAGGTCATGGGGCCGTCGGAGCCATCGGGAATGATGAATTGAGCGTCAATCCGGACCACCAGCCAGAGGATTACGAGGGAGAAGTCGAGGGTGAAGTCGAAAAGGTAGAAACTTGTGCCGGTAATGTACCAGGGGTTGCTTACGGATGACATGGCATGCGTGGCGCTGACGGRGACGCGGTAGATGGCYCCAATGGAGAGGATGGTGGCGGAGGAGAAGATGATGACCATCTTGCGGTTGAGAGAGCCTCTGCCAAAGTTGTCGATGGGCATGGCCTTGAGGGTGGGGTGAGATTTGGCAATGGTCGAAACTCCCGCAATTGGAATGGGGAGGATGGCCGTCATGGCGAAGATGACGTTGCTGAAGAGTTGCATCCTCCGGGCTGAGTGCTGTGAAAAAGGATCGGGAAGGTAGGCCTGGACCACAAAGCTGACAATCATCAAAAAGACGGCGACGCAGCAGAGGAGAACCCAGAGTCCGATGAAGAAGGAAAACGGCTTCTTCCATCCAAAGCGCGGGTGTTGTGCTCGTACCAATCGTTGGGCGAAGAAGAGATTGGTGAGGATCAAGATGATGATTCCGGCGGAGACGAAGGTGTGCATCGAACACGCCAGGCTGATGCTGCTCGGACTGACTGCCCATCCCATTCGTAGTGATGCTGCGATTATTCGTGTAATGCAAAATGCTAACCATTCATTAGTATTGATTGATTGATTGATTGATTGATAGGTGGTTGGGAGATGCTCGGCATACATACCGGATGTGATGGCGTTGAATACGAACGTCCTCCCCCGTCTTCGGTTGAAGTGGAATAAGCCGAGATGTGCCGTCGCTGCCATGATGAACAGCGCGAGGAAAGCGGAGCTGACTGGGATATCGGGAACAAGAGATGGCACTTCTCCCCAGCCTTGGCCTTGACTGCTCGGAGACTGTCATGCGCGCGTTAGCTGACGGTTGCTCGTCGTTGACAAACGTCGCTTCGTCGTTACAGGGCAGGCCTACCGAATCTGAAGAAGCCATGTGTGAGTGAGAGTGAGAGAGGGTGCGGGCAAACGTCCTCGATGGCCTCGAATCTCCACGGTGTCGACACCGGTCAAGGATTGTCCTCCAGAAGATATGATGATATGATGATATGATGATATGTGAGAGAATGCTACAGGCAACAGACAACAACGAGAGGATTGAGGAGACCGACGAGCTTGTTTGGCTCCAGAGAAACTTAATCTGGCAGCGGAGTATATGATATGTATGTATAACCAGCCCGAGCTGCCCAACTCTCACGTACACGGTCACCCCAATTCTAGGAAGCAGCTTTCCGGAGGCCAAAGATCTGGCGTCGAACGTGCAAGTCTACACTGGCGCCATGCACACTCTTCGCAACACTCCAATCACAACACTGCTTCCAGTGGCTGTGATRTCCGTTTGTGGTTGACGTGCAGCGAATTCCCGCTCAGGGTTGGCTGGATGTACGGCTTCCCAAGCCCGAACCTAGACATTGAATTACGCTCGGCAGCAAACCTCTGGGCGATGAAATCACAGCCGCTCCTGCACCACAGGGTTGGCGAGCTCCTGGACAACGTCCTTATGTTACAGCCTCTGCCGGGATTGCAAAGAGAACAACGTCGAAATGAATTTCGTTTCATTGTGCCTTTGCTAATCTTTCGCTGAGGAGGGGCCATGTTTATGTCAGCATCGCCATGATCTGCTCGACGACGACGACGTGGTCACGTCTGGCCAGTGCTTTGGGGAACCCGAGACCCGATATGTAATGCTCAGCGGTCTGGAGAACCTTGGTGGCGGAGCTCGATGCCGGGCGCAGTCGTGTCTGTCTGCGTACTCATGCACACAAGGCAAGAAGAAGAACGAGGAGAATGCCAGAAGATGAGCAGCAAGGCAGCGACTATTATATGAAAGTTGATTGACTAAACGTTTGATGTTGGACATTGTTAACAAACGTGATCGTTGTGAGCAGTTCAATCTAACAACGACGTCTCGCCGAGGCAGATGATTTTCTGATGAGGCGTTGCAACGCTCCTCGACTGCACAACGACTCTTTCATATCTTCATATGGCCAAGCACTACGGTTGACGGCACAATTTGGCCTTGCAGCTCGCATGAAACTGATTATGCAACTGATCGGTTGATTGTTTCATGTACTGCTGAGATGGCTCTCAATATGAGAGAACCGCCGAGGAGGTATGAATCGATTGTTCATGGAGTGGGCGTTTAATATGCCGTTGTCTGCTCCGCCTCGTGAGGCAGTTGCATCGTGAAAATCTCCCATTCAAAGGTTGTCTCGAAACGCTGGTCTACACTGTCGTTTGTGTGGAGTCGCGGACGTCTTGTTCTCACACGTGAGAGCTGCTGCAACGATCTCAACTGCTGGCCAACATGTACCATGTACATCTGATCTAGTGACCTGAACCCTGTCTCCCTTTCTCCTCAATGGGTTGGCCATTCTCCCACGCCGTCGCGTGGTAGYCTCATGGGAGTGCATGACGGCCCAGTCATGTGGAGCAGTTTCGTGCCGTGCCCAGGGCCGGCTAGATCGATTTGGATAGACGTTGCAACACCGATGTGCTCATTTCGAATTTTGTCTATACATGCTCCTGCATCATTTGAGCCGGTAGCTATGAAATCAGACCGTCTATCTATGCCACAACCGTGCCATGCACTCTGATCAATCAAGGATTGCTTCCTTCGTTTTGCTGTCCTTCCATCATCCTATTCGTTAAACGCCAGCATCAAGTGACTGACATCACCTGCGATGTATTCACTTTACTTGTCCAGCTTGAGCATGACGTATGGGATTTCCACATCCTCTTCGGTGGTATCCTCGGCGGTAATTTCGAAGATCACATTCTTCTGGTGCTCTGGAATCTTCTTCCTCGAGATGTGTTCGACAAGTGCAGACATCCTACAACATTGATTAGCAAACATATTCTCCATCAAATTCACAATCACACTTACTTCATGGGCAGTCGCTCCTTGTTCTTGGATGCCGGGTAGAAGCTTGCGTAGAGTAAGCTCACGCCACTGGAGATCATGCTGATGCTGAGACCCTTGGCCTGGAAGTCGTCAATGAATTGCTGAAGGGTCACATCTTYGGTTTCGAATCGATCCCAGAGCTTGTCGATGGTGACATCGCCATCGTGGCCCTTGTAGGTGCCCTTGGGCGAGGCAATCGGCTCGCTGAAACCAAAGAATGGCAGAGCAAGGTTGATGAAACCGTTCTTGTATTGCTCAATATCATCCTTGCCGTCGACGATCTTGTAGAGCTCAAGAATCACCAATCCAGTGACAAGTGCCGTGGTGGTGGCAATGGCTGGGATGATCTTGCCGGCGATGAACTTGGTCTTGTGGCGGTCAGCGGTGACGATCTTGTAGTTCTCCGCGCGCAGGTTCGATGCTGCAGTGATGAAGTCGATGTGGAAATTGGTGTCGTCGTCCTTTTCAAACTCCACGGGCTCCAGGCGGAACGAGCCGAGACTCTGTGGCTGAGGCAGCGACTTGGCCATCTGGCTCAACTTTGCATTGTCATCATCCATACCGCTGTTGGCATTGGGGTCGGGCTCCTTATCATCCGCCTGGATCTTGACACCAGGGTCGGGCTTGAAGTCAGGGATGATCATGTTGTCGAGAACGGCACTGATGTGGTTGCGATCGGTAGATGGCTTGATACCGTAGTTGAAGGCATGAAGATTTGCACCCGAAACGATGAATGAGTAGTGGGTGGGATTGTTAATGTCAAACTTGAGAGGGTCTGGAGCACGCTTGGGTCCTGACCAGAATGGCTGACCAGAGGATGTCTGTGAATCCTTGGGAAAGTTGAAAAGCAGCTGCTGGATCGCGTTGTTGTATTGCTTCTCAAACTGCTTGCGCGCCCACTCGACGCAGTCGTCGAATGACTCTGGCTTGTCGGTCACGAGAAATTCGCGCAACGTCTCCAGGGTTTGCTTCTCGTTGCCCGACTGCTTGAGTGCAGTTCCCAGGTAGTCTTTCTGGGTGAGGTAGGCGTTGACAACGTCGGCTGGGCCGGCAAAGTAAGTGTGGAAGAGATCCTTTGCCCAGGCAATGGTGTGTTCGATGCGGTTGGGGAACGAGCGGAGGGTGCACATTGGGAACGACTGCTCTGGGGGATCCTGCGAGCTGGAGTATGATTCCGTTTGCCGAGGAAGGACAACCTGTGTGTTGCCCTTGGTTCCCAGAGTACCGCTGTCAAGGAGAGGCTTGTGGAAAAAGACACAACGACGATCGACGYAGGTGCGCGCGTCAACGTTGTCGAGTGCGTTCGTCACGCCATCCAATGCTTCCCAGAAAGTCTCGTTGAATACGTGCTCGGTGTCTTGGCCAACTCGATCCTTCATCATGACAATCTTGCCCTTCAAATCTGGATTCATGGCTTGAACTGCAAGTGATGCACACTCGCTCTTGGCTTTGCCGACGTCCTTTGACCGGAAGAGGAATTGTCTGTTGAGGTTGCTCTTCTCAATCTGATCGTTGTCCGTCACACTAATGCTGCCCTCGGGTCCTGTCGCGAGACCGATCATCGCCCAGTTCTTCAGCATCTCGCAACCAATGGCACCGGCACCGACCAGGAATTGCTTCACATTGGACAGCTTCTCCTGGTACTCCTTACCAAACACCATGATCTGGCCATCATAGCGGCTACCAAGCGGCTTGCACAACTCCTCACTGCGCTTCACGGAGGTCGGAAGCGACTCCAAGGAATCAAAGTACAGCCACTGCTTGATGGGGTGGAATTTGCCGGAGACCGATTTGAGAACTTCCTGTGCCGCAAGACCGCCGAAGAAGGCTGCCATTGGAGATAAATCACCCCGAGCCTGGTAGGAGAGCTCCTTGAGAACTTTCTCGTCAAGCTCCGGCTTGTCCTCCAGCGATGCAGCAATCTTTTGCGCCAACTTCAGCACCTCCTGAGCGTCCGCGTCGTTGTGTGGTCGCGGAAGCTCTCCATTGTGGCTGTCTGCGAATTCGTGAAGAGCTTGGAACCCGACGTGCATCTGGGCAGGACGGTCAAACTTGGCAAAGTCGGCAATCAGCAGCTCCGGCTTCTTGAGCTGCGTACTGAGAGGCTCAAAGTCCATGATCTTTGGCATCTTGACTTGTGTGTACAGTCCTCCACGCTTGTATTCTCCCATGCCGGACACATCTCCAATGGAAAACGTGTATGGCCCCTTGACACTGATCTTGCGTGGAGTGCCATCATTCAACTGGTCCATGCCCTCCACCTCAGTGAATGTGACAAAGTCTCCATCTTCCAAACCGTGGCGAGTCTCGTCCAACGCGGACACCAGACCATCTGTATCAATACCAGCCACGATCCCACTGAGTGGATTTTCTCCAGTTGGGTCACCGCACGTAAAGCTCTTGCCAAAGTCGGTGAAAATGTTGCCAAACAGGCCATATGTATCGGTGATGACGATGAAAATGCCGTTGTTGTGACAGAATTCAGCGATTTTGAGTTGATCCTTGAGCGGCGTGTCTGTCAACACAACGACCTGATATTTCTTAAGCTGTTCCAGATCGCTGGTGAGGTCGTTGGCGGGGTGGATGCCAACAGGCGTGTATGGGTTGAGCTCCGACACTCGTGGTGCTGTCACGTCAGCCCGCGCCTTGCCGACGTCCTCGGGATGGAGGAAGAATTGTGATGAGAGATCTTGAATGGCCGCGGGTTTGGGGTCGAACAGGGTCAGGCTCTTGACACCTGCCAACGCAATGTTCTTTGCGATTTCCACACCCAGTCCCCGTAGACCAGCGACAAGAATATGAGATGAGCCCATGCGCTTCATGGCCTCGTGTCCCAGCACGTACAACTGGCGCGAGTACAGCGACTCATCAATCTCGCCATTGCTGTTGCTGGCTTCTCTAAGCTGTTCCACCTTGGTGGCGGGCGAGTCGGTGGCCATGGCGGAGCTTGCGTTGGAGTCCGTCATGCTCTTCTTTCYGGTGGTAAGGTCGGTGGTGTTGTTCTCAGGAGGGGAATGCTTCCTCTTCATCTGCGAGACTGGTTAGAGGTTCGCTTTACTCCTCCTCCAGGCTCGGCCAGACCGACGATGACGGGATCCTCGCTCCAGAGGGTTGGGGGGATTTTTGTGGGACAGAATGCTATTACGTCGCGTAGGATGATGCAACGTAGCCTAGAGTTGTGAGGCTGGACTAGATCGTACGGTGCGATGATGTTCGTGAGTGGACAGTTGACAAACGCCAGGCAGGTGGTGATGGAAGAAGCTTGGATGATTTGCCCTGGCCGATGACATATCAAAGGACGCTAAAATCATGAAACCACGAGAAACTGAAACTGAGGGGTCGTCTGTTGTGAAGCAAACCTCACGACATCCAACACCTAACTTTGCCGAATCGTCGTATTCAAAGCAACGGCCGGGTCAACACACTTTGTCTGCATTGGATTCGACTGTGGATGATTTGACCCTCTCCGATCTTGCAACACTTTGTCGATGAGCAAAGTCTAGGTTCGCCGCGCGACCCGGCCTGCAGGTCCACGGTTGTGAACACGGAAAACCCTCATTTCTCACACATTTTGTGCCTAACCACGTCAAAATCCGCAGGACTAATTGTCACTGCAGTTTGGCAGTGTTTGATTCATTGGTATTGGAGCGTCATCTTCTCATTTGATTCTTTTAGTGGACCGCAATCGATAAAATTGAGTTGCCCTCCAACAGCCATCACTCTATGGACGAAGAGGTATTCGACACCATCAACACAATCGACAGGGTCAATATCACTAGCGTACTGACAGCAATGTCATGYATTGTATCGAGACACGATATGGAAGGCACTTCTACTCCCCGCTCCAACACGTACGTTTTCTAGGGTTCGAGCTGGGGTAAAGAACCACAACAAAGTTGCGAGGTACAATATGCCACATTCCTTTGCTTTGTACTACCCGTTGCGTGTAGTTAGGAACTCGCGTACATGCGGTCAGTCAAGCTCGTGGTTTCCGGGAAAGTGAAGTGAACGGAATAGCCACCATCGACTTTATTCCGGCCGGAATTGCTTCCAACCATGCCAGCCCATCTGCAGGTTTGTCCTACTACATTCATCCCAGCGACCATAGCCATTAACCCGACGGTGAGGCATGTAATGGTATGCGACGGATGCACAATGCCTGTCTTGACGAGGAAGAAATATAGTTCATTCTGATCGGCAACGAAGTTACTGCTTGGAKAAAAGAGGTTGGAAGTGAATCCTTCATTACTAATGCGTGGGAAACCTCGAGAGGGAGGAGGAGCTGTGACTGCGAAAATCGACACATACATGGGCAATGGCCAAGTTCAAGGAATTCGTTTGGTGTTCAGAGCCTCACGTACCACAGATCGTTACAACGCAACCCGTCGAAATCGCACACATGAAACACTGCCATTGCAAATGCAGTTCGTACTTTTTTCAATCAAGAAAGATCAGCTGTGGCTACGCCTCTCCAGATCCACCAGTCCATTCGATCACAAAACTCCGAAATGAACATGGCTGATGTCGTCAACGTGCTTGATACCAAGACCGGCTTGTTATGCTGAACTAGGGGAGGCAATTGTTCCTCGCTCCTTCGCGAAATCCCCTTCCTGTATCTTGCTGCGTGCTTTCGCTTTCCGGGCGACTCGTGCTGCCTCGCGCTTTGCCATGTAGATCTCAAGCTCTCCGTGAATGAGTGTGGCGAGTTGCTTGACATCTTCGAGTAAGAACATGCATGCCTTTCCGCCCTGGCAGGTGTACACTCCGTACCGTACTCGAGGAAACCCGATCTGGGCCAGCAATTTGCGACTGTTATGGCAGTTGACGTGCTTTTCCGGGAGCAAAACTTGCTCTCTGAGACCGTAAATAGTCATTGCGTCGGTAAGAGTGATTTTCTCCCTATGTTGATTGTCAATTTGCAGCTGTAGAACGAAGTGAAGCAGAGAAAAAGTCCAATCTTCGGAACGATCAGCAGAACATACCATTGAGCTTTGTCACATGCCATGCAGCAGCGAAAACCATTGACGAGTATGGCTGATCGTGCCGACTTCTTGCCGCAAAACACGCAATGAGACGAGCACCAAGTAAGCAGACCCTTTCGACCGCGGAGGTAGTTGGTCGTACGATCTTTCTTCGTTGCGGACTTTGGCGCCTGAAATTTTGTGATGCTCTTGTGACTGAGTAAGAAGTGCATCGCCCATTCGTTCACTTCGGAGCGAAGCACTTTATTCGTGGCTGCGACTTTATCCAGCTCGTGGGAGCACGGATTCTTCTTCTCATTCTTGGGGTCGAATATAGACCTTTCAGGAGAATGTCTTGGGAGAAGATATGAAAAGATACTATGCAATAACTCCGAAGGGAGTTGCGTGAGGTGATCGCGCTCGCGCGCGGTTGACTTGTTGTTATCCATGCCCGCAGCAGCTAGATCGTCGTTCGACTTGACTTTGACCACCTAGAATCTCTCAGCGGCATGCCAGCTTGCGTGGTAGATGTCGAGAGGCCAACTTCTACCCGTTGAAGTCCGGGTCGATGGTATTGTAGTGCGAATAACTAAGGGGAAGTTCGGACGGCGTGTGTCGCGTGGATGATCGGCGGTCTACGGTGGACTATATCACTGCTGTTGACACGAAATCGAAGTGGGATGTTTAACACACGGGCCAATGACGTTAGACCCAGTCGTTCCTGCTGCCCACTCGTCATGATGCTATTGGAAGTGGGGACTGCGCATGAAAATGGTTCATCAGTGTCTTGTGCCTTCTTTCTTTCTCTCTCCTCCTTACAACTCTCAAATCATCTACATAATCTGTTCCATCGACCCTTTTCACACAACCATCCCCATAMCAAACACATTACAACACAATGAGCGGCACTTCCAACGTCGGCAACAGCCAGGTGTACGAGGCTGGCGACCAGGTACGAACATATCGTAGCTTTGAGCGATCGATTGAGCTGATCATAGWACCAGAGGAACGAGTCCGACGCGGTCAAGCAGCAGAAGAAGGAGGAGGAGCGTTTCCACGAGGGCAAGGAGAACTCACACGCTGCCAACGACCCCAGTATGCCATGCCCAATGCCTAACTTCGAGGATATCGAAGTACTAACACTACCTGTCAGAGGACGAGCGATCAATCGCAAACAGGCTTGCACATGCCGAGAAGGATGGACTTGACAATGAGTCAGGCAAGAACTTGAGCGAGGACGACAAGCTCGCACAGCAGGATGCGACTGCTCCAGTAAGTTACTCGCAGCTCGTGGTAAAGGCCGTGTCATTGGATGCTAACTCGAAGTCTTAGGCAAAGGCACATGGTAACAAGCCATCCAAGGGTGCAGAGATCGATCAGCAGCTGCGTGAGGAAGAGGAGGAGCTCCTCAAGAAGAAGGGCGCCTACAACCCCCAGTAAATGTAAACTTTTGGCATGAGCGAAGCATCGGGATGCTTGGAGCATAGGACAGCATGAAACAAAGAGACGAACTGATGGCTACAGCGGGCCATGATATCATGATGGGCTCCCCAGCAGTGGGCCACAGCTTTATGAAGCGTGAATAGTCGATGTATCAAGAGACTTCTCGTCGCACATTGTTGGTTTGTGCGTCTGCCAGGTTCATTGGTGAGCTTTCAAATGTGAGGGTGAACGAGATTGGTTGGATGCATTGAAGGCGTCGTCTGATGGCAGCTGAAATAAAAGTACTTTAACGGTTTAACCTTTCAATGTTAGCTCGTCCTTTCAAACTTGGCAAATGCTGACTGATCCGCGTCGTCCTCGAGCTTGATTGTCGACCGCCTGATCAACATGAGAGACGACGACTAAACTCTCAACCTGACAAGGCGCGCCATGCTCATCAGGAGACGCTGTTCGTGGAATTCTGTAGATGAGCATACGCGTCTCATCGCGCACTGAATACGCTCCATGCTTGAGACCGTGAAGCCATGGGGCAAGGACACTCATCCGCTGCGCTGCCCATCGGACCTACCGCCATTGAGACTGCGGAACTGTCTGATTTGACTTATGAGAGATCACTGGGAGGTGCACGATTCCTCAGAACCGTCAGAGCCAAGCATCAAAATGGCATCGTTGTCGCGAAATTGATAACAAAACTGCCCAACGTACCCTACAAGCGATATGGTCAATTGTTGCGGGAAGAGCGCCAGAAGCTCAGAGGAGTTCCCAACGTCCTTCCGTACTCGCGCATTCGAGAGACCAACACGCTTGGGCTGCTTGTGCGCCAATACATACACCACTCACTCTATGATCGAGTGAGTATCCGACCGTTCTTGGAGACCATCGAGAAGAAATGGATCGCTTTCCAGCTTTTGTGTGCCGTCAAAGACTGCCACAGTCGAAATGTGTTCCATGGAGATATCAAGTCGGAGAACGTCTTGGTGACTTCATGGGGATGGGTGTATCTCACCGATTTTGCCTCCCAATTCAAGCCGGTATACCTACCTGAAGACGACCCGGCCAAGTTCACCTACTTCTATGACGCTTCTGGACGAAGGACATGTTATCTTGCGCCAGAGAGATTCACAGCTGCTGGGCAATTGCAACGAGAGGGAGATACCGTGCAGTGGAACATGGACATCTTCAGCTTGGGTTGCGTTCTTGCCGAATTGTTCACGGAAACGCCGACATTCACACTCGCCCAGCTCTACAGATACCGCAAGGGCGAATACGATCCTACCGTTGCGCTGCTCAACAAAGTGGATGATGTGCACGTCAAAGCACTGATCAGCAGCATGATTCGTCTGGATCCCACCGAACGATGGCATGCTAGTGATTATCTCGACGAGTACAAGGGCAAAGCATTCCCGCTTTACTTTTACAACCACTTTCACACCTTGATGCAGGAGATTACAGACCCAAGCTCTGGCCGCAAATTTGTCACCACCAGCGAGGCCAACAACGGCGGATCAGATGACCGTATAGAGAGAATATACGATGATTATGAGATGCTGTCAGTCTCTCTTGACTACCAAAGCTCGCAGCCCGCTGCGCCCGCAGAGCCCTCGTATCTCACTCGGCTGTTTCCTCTGCAAGTGGACCTTCCCAACAGTCGTCATACTGCACATGCGGTGCAGTCAACCGGCAACGAAAATGGGACATTCATATTGCTGAATGTCATCACAGCTTCGATCAGGAGTTGTGCAAGATCGGCATCAAAGATTCGCGGTTGTGAGTTACTACTCGCTTTCGCGGAACGTCTTCCGGACGAGGCAAAGCTGGATCGCATACTGCCGTATGTTGTGCTTCTCCTGGAAGATTCAGACGAGTTGGTCCTTGTCGCAGCGCTGAGGACCATGACCCAATTGCTCTCACTAGTGACGGTCGTATCGCCTGTGAACTCCTTTCTCTTCACGCAATACATATTCCCACGATTGCAGGTGTTTGTCAAGACCTCTGGATTTACAGGAAACTCACTGGTTCGAGCAACGTACGCTGCCTGTCTGGGCAGTTTAGCCGACACCGCGTCCCGTTTTCTGGATATAATGCAGGCACTGAAAGCGGAGGGATCGCTTCCTTCGTCCGAAAAAGGAGGTGACGAAGATGCGGACGCTTTCACGGGCAACAGCGAAGCGTACGATGGCATACGACTGGAGATGCTTGACCAATTCGAAGGCCAGACCAAGGTCTTCTTAACAGACACGGATACAGCAGTTCGAAGGGCCTTCTTGACATCTGTATCAAGCCTATGTGTCTTCTTTGGGGAGACCATGGCGAGCGATGTGATCCTCAGCCACTTGAATACTTACCTCAACGACCCAGACTGGCTTCTCAAGTGTGCATTCTTCAGAACCATTGTTGGTGTTGCTGCGTATATTGGCGGTGCAAACCTGGAGGAATATCTCCTACCACTCATGCTTCAAGCTCTCACCGATCCGCAAGAGTTCGTGGTCGAGCAGGCCCTCCGTTCAATGGCCAGCATGGCAGAGATGGGACTGCTTCAGCGTGCAAAGACGTGGGAACTCATTGACACTGTCGCTCGTTTCCAGATGCATCCAAACCTATGGGTGAGGGAGGCTGCCGCCCATTTTGTCTCTGCAGCTACAACATATCTCTCAATGGCCGATGTAAGAATTTTGGTGGCGCCCTTGGTGCAGCCGTATCTGAAAGTCCCTATTGGCACCCTTTCGGAGTCTGAAATCTTGGATGCCTTGAGGAAACCATTACCGCGAGCAGTGCTGGATCTTGCATTGCAGTGGGCAGGAAAAGTGGAGCAAAGCGTGTTTTGGAAACCTGCACGAGAGGCCAGGCAGCTGTCCTCGAATGCGACAAGCCAGATGCCACCGCAGTCTTCAGTGGCTGGTCTCGGGCCCAAGTCGCTCGCAAAAGTACCAAGGACCGATGAAGATGAGCAATGGCTTGGACGGCTGCGAAATGCCGGCATGCGGAGCGAGGATGAGGCGAAGTTGCTTGCTTTCCGAGAATACCTTTGGCGTGCCGCGCGCCGCGCAAAGAGGGACGGTGATGCCGAGGAGCACGGGCTCTACGAGCAGATCGTGAGCCTTACGAAACTAAAGATCAATCCGCAGACGGTCATCTTCAGTGACAACGTTGAAGCGTACGAGGACCACATCGACCATCAGAATCGCACCATTGCCGAGGCCATAGAAGAGGCGTCCGGCGCATCAAAAGGCCTTGCTATTAATGGTGCCGGGGCCTCGGATGCCCAGAGCGTTGATGGTGGATCTGACGCAGGTGTGCCCATCGCACAGCGGGCACTCAGCGGCTTTCGCACCAAGACTTCCGGCAGCTTGTCTTCGTCTCCCAGCTCTGGCATTGGTCTTCTGGGTCGGGACGTCGAGCGAGCATTGCGTCCGAAGGGAGCAGCAGCAGGACTATTGGCGGGCGCTGATTTGCGCAACAAAGCCTCGGCCGAGGTGGCCACAGATGGCATCACAGCATCAGGTAGACTGAATTCGCCCATGCCGTCCAGTCGTCGTGCATCGCCTACAGTCGACCATGGGGAGCAATGGAGATCAGCGAAACCCGCAGTCAAGCGCGCATCACACAACTACACGGGCAGTGATCCCACCGTACTCAAGCTTCTTGATGCAGTCTACGTGGACAGCTTCCCGGTGGATGCCGTCGACTTTGGTCCATTCGTGCAGGCAAAAGCGAGTGTAATCTCATCCAACAGTAACCAACAGACACCAGGGCCGTGGCGACCGCAAGGYCAACTCGTTGCGGTTTTGGGAGAGCACACAGGTGGTATCACTCGCATTATCACTGCCCCGAACCACCTGTTCTTCCTGACGGGGTCGACTGACGGATCTGTCAAAGTGTGGGATGCCAGCCGGCTGGAACGCAATGTCACACATCGATCTCGTCAGACATATCGTCTTCCCGCCGGAGTGAAGGTGACGAGTCTGTGCTTCATTGAGGGGACAAACTCCTTTGTATGCAGTGGCTCAGATGGCAGCGTGCATGCAGTGAGAGTAAATGTTTCGGAATCAAACAACACGGCACAGTATGGGAAGCTACGGGCGATCAAGGAGTGGGCAATCCCTACTGTGAATGCCGGAGAGCATGCCGTTTGGTCTGAACATTTCCGCGGAGAGGCTGCCAGTATGCTGGTGCTCGCTACGAATCTAGGAAGGATTCTCGCGATTGACATGAAGTACATGTCAATCATCTTTGATCTTCGCAACCCACCACATCACGGAACACCGACGTCATTTTGCATTGGCCGTCGCCATGACTGGCTGCTTGTAGGAACTTCTCATGGCGTGCTGGATCTGTGGGACATGCGCTTCCACGTAAGAGTGCGCTCGTGGACATTTGCGAGCCCTGCGCCTATAACGCGCCTGCAACTCCATCCTAGCCGGRAAGCTGCAAGACGTAACATGTTCTGCATGACTGGCGGGACTGCTCCAGGGGAACTGACGGTGTGGAGCGTGGAGAAGGCCATCTGTTACGAGGTATATCGCCCAGCTCACGTCGATGGCAGAGATCGAATGCATCTACGAGACTACGAATTGCGCAACATGGATGATGAGAAGGCGGAAGGTCCGCTGAGTCGAATGGCTGGTACAGACCCCATCCAGGCCGAACAGAACAGCAACTTGCCCAGTTCAAGTACCGTGTCCTTTTTTGGTGGTCAGCGGTCGCAGAAAGACCCTGACGCGCAACATCCATTCGCTGTCACAGGTGGACCCGATGGGAAAGTCCGCTTCTGGGATTGTGACCGCTTGGAAGGCTGTAGACTGGTCAGCGGCGGTGCTCCAGATGAGCAGCCCACCTACACATTCAGCCAGCTGAGCATGGATACCCGTGTGCTGACAGAGAAGCCAGCAGACTCTTCATCACAGGCTGGTCATGCCATTGAGTCGAACAAGGTGGCTTCGGGGAAGAAGGTCGCTGGTACAGGACCAAACAAGCCGCCCTCTCGCTACGAGACTATTCGCATGTCGGCGCAGAATTTGCTAAATGCACATCTGGATACGATTACTGATGTTGCATTGCTGGAGCAGCCTTTTGGTATGGTTTTGAGCGCTGACAGAGCTGGGCAGGTCTTTGTACATCAGTGAAGAGATGCCCGGTCATGGAATGGTCAATAGATCGTGAATTACATCGTATAGAAGTGAAGCTTGCTAGGATGWCAACAAATCTCAACATCGTGTTTGGTACGCCCAGTCGTAGAAGGTCTGTAGACAATGAACTACTTAGATGCTATAAAAGTGTGAAGCTTGCTTTGATATCGACATCGTGTTTGGTATGTCATGTGCAACCAGATCGCGTGGTTTGGTGGTGCCTAGATGCCAAACTGCTGCGAACCAGATTATTCAGCAAACTTTGATGGGGTTCGCATCAATTTGCCGTCAAATTTCAGCCACATGCATCCCGAAACGCCCCGAGATGCCCGTTTGCAAAGACGCATGAAGGCGGGCTGCAGGAGCAAATTAGCAACGCATGAGACAGGCGTGCAGCACGAGATACAGATGTACGAGGTCATCAGACCGCACAACACACTGTGACTACATACCGAGTACCTAGTTGTGGCGATCGTGATGATACGAACAAGTCATCATTCATTCATCACCAGATAGTTGTCACGCTAGCTTTCTCAATCAGGTCCGCCTGGGTCGAATTGAAATCCGAGTCAAACGCTCACTTTATTAATAAAGCAACCGGGCTTTGTCGTTGACGTTGCACCTCGACACGTCTGGCGCGCTGCACGATCTCTCCTGCGTTTGCGGTGACGGTGGTAAACAATTCGTTATTGTTCGGCCAATCCATGCACCATCAACACCCCGGCTGCTCGGTGGTCTCCTCCGCAGTTCCTCCACCTCTTTAGCAGACTTGTTGTCCTCACCGCCGCCCGTCGTCATTCTCTGCGAAAACAGGCAGAAAAAAAAGCAGCGCGAAAGAGCGGAGAGCGGAGWGCTCTGTTCCTGAATCCGGCGGCCGCTAGTCCAGCAAGACTTCCAAAAATCCGCCCTCGCACCGAGCACAACATCTCTCTTGCAGCTTGTGCCGTCCGTTTGCGCACGGCAAATCGACTGGCTGAACTCCGCGGTGACAGGAAGAGGAACAGGCCTTCCTTGGGATTAGAAAATTGATCTCAGAGGTAAGGAATCCTTGGAAATCTCATCCCAGCCCACACGCACCAGTCAGGAGCAGCAGCAGCATCGGCGTCATCTTCGCGGAAGCTTGAGACCTGCTGCTCCTGCCCTGCCGGCTTCCAGCCTAGCATTCAATCGGGCTGCCCGCAACTTTTACCCATATCTGCTGCTGCACCCTCCCCTCCTTTTCCAACAGTTTCCTCTTGCATCGAGCACTGTCGTTGACAGCCGAGGACCGTAACCCATGCAGCTGGCTAATCTGCATCGACGTCCAGGCCGCACTCGCTCGCTATCCCCGGGGCTGTCGTCGTGGTCATGGGCGGCTCTGCGGAAAGTGAATTTCCACTGCTCTCGGCCCTGGGTTTGTACGCTGCCGACATTAGAGGTGACGGTATGTTGGTTCCATGACATGAATGGTCTTTGCATCTTCACCTTACACCCAGACTAACCTCTCCTCCTCCCGCTCTCCAGGCAATTGCTTGTTCAACGCCCTCTCCGACCAGCTGTACGGCCACCAAAATGAGCACGCGAACATTCGATTGAAGGTCATAAGCTACATGCGTGAACATGCCGACTACTACAAGCAATTCATCGACGTCAACCCGGGCGGTGGCATTCGCCGCAACCCCAAGCGGAAAAATGTCCACGTCGCCTCGTCCGCCAATTTCGTCCCGCCATCGCGCTCCGACATCGACCGCGTCTTCGACAGCCATCTGCAGAGCATGGCAAGAGGTGGCACGTATGGAGATAACATGGAAATCACTGCCTTCGCCTCGGCCTTTGATTGTGATGTGAAAATCTACCAGCGAGACTTTGCCTACGTCGTCTCCAGTGGTGAGGATGGAGACCGGCCGGTGGCCCACATTGCATATCACATCTGGGAGCACTACTCGTCCATCAGAAATCTCGATGGCCCGCACTCGGGATTGCCGGAAGTGGCTMCCAAGTTGCTCTCCCAACAAGAAGAGCAAACACAAAAGGACAAGCTTGCACAGGCTCCGCACGTGCTCCCGTGGCAGATCGACGTCGTTTCCAAGTCGCTTCCGTTCCTGGCAGACAAGCCGACCATCAAGCGGGCTCTTGAGCTGACAAAGGGCGACATCAATGCTGCCGTGTCAAACCTGCTGGATGCTGATGAGAACGGAAGCAATTCGTCCTATCAAGAAAGCTCCTCCGTCGAACGTGATCACGAAAGCGACGAAGACATGCACGACGCTCCCAATAAGAAGCAAGATAGACGCTTGAGTAGAGCATCAAGAGCGCCAAAGCAACGCTCTACTGACACCAAGCACGCTCTCTCCAACCTCGTTGCCCACGACGGGAGTCAAGAGACATTTGCCAGTTGGGAGTCCGAGTCATCTCTCAGCAGTGCTGCCGAGTCTTCACAGAACAGTGCCACACCTTACTCAACGCAGACATCATTTGACGACTCGAATATTGTCGTAAAGCAGGAGGCAGGCAAGGCGGCATCCTCTTCGGACGCACCTGCCCGGCCTGCCATCCGCCTAAAGCTTCTCCCACCGCGTCCACCAGACGCATCTCAGCAGCGGAACAGTAAGACGCAACAGCGTCAGACTGGCCCTCGTACCGCCCGCGACCGCAAAGACATGAAGAAGCAGGCGCAGAAAGCCGCTCGGAAAGAACGACAACAGGCCGCCTCTCAAGGCGTTGCTGAAGGTCAAAGCCCGTCGCAAGTCAAGTTGTCATTGCGAGCCAAAGGCGCGGTCGAGAAGCCGCCAGTTGACACACTGCGGACACTCTACATCTGAGATCGTCCCATCGCCTCTGTGCGGCTCTATGAATCAGCAATACCCGGCATTGCTTTGTGTTTCAGTCCTGAGGCTGGTTTGCTTGCGCAAGATACCCCATTTCCTCGTTCTTCCTCGTACGCATCAAAAAGTGGAGCACTGCATAGCGTGGGCAGCGAACCTTGGAGCATTTGTGATTTCTTGTTGATGTTGATGATTTGATTCTCGCGACGCCCAACATTTGTGGGCACCATAGCGATGGCGCGTGGGAAACACTGGAAAGAAACGAAACGAATGGCGTTTGGGAAATGGGTTGTGATTACGGGTGGAGTCTTTGTCTTATGAGGACGTTTCGACTGGTGCTCTGAAGGGCTCAGGCACTGGTTTTTAGGATCACGACCGCTTTTGCTGCTGCTTCTGCTGCCTGGGAGCGCTGTACCATGGCTGCGGCCATGGCAAGATGACTAGACACTTTAGACGTCCGGACGACGTATGGTTTGAGAGAAATGATACCATCTTTGAGCTTTGTACTGCGCGAGCTCGACTACTAGTCTGTGTGCGTGCTCATACCCTCGCACCGTACGAGGCAAAGCGGACAATTGATGTTCCTAACCTTTGAACCTACCTGCTTGTTGGGAGTCTGCAGGCAAGTCCTTTCCGTTTGGGGTCGACGCTGAAATCGCCAAGCCTTGACAAAACATAGCGTCGAGAGAGTGTTCGCGAATGACAGCGACGTGTATTTGAGGTCCTAGGTCTAATGCACGAAGCATGAGAAGCTCGATTCAGATAAGGAAGTCATGGGCAGTCTCAAACGGTTGTTTTTGGACGAAAGTGGGCCATTCGACGAAAGAGGTTGAAGCTGGCTGTGAAAGTGAAAATTCCAAACGCGGCGGATTTGACTTTTTGTTGATAAGATATGAAATATTCACGCATCTGCCGGCTTGCTTGGGATAGTCAATTGTGGGTGGAATCTGTCTGATGGGAGGAATGGATTGGAATGGTGGGAGCTAGATCATGGCTGCGAAGTTGTTCCTCCTTCGTACATTTGTTGACCTGCTCCGACTTGTAATGTCGAGAGTTTGGCACCGCCTTGACCCATGTCAGGAGCAGGAGCTTAATAAAAACGTGGTGTGACGAAGCTTTTTCTTCACAGTACACTCCTAGTAGCTCGCCAATATCTATGGCTCCGGCTAGTACTTCCGATCGGACTGCTCGACGACCGAATCCGGTTGATTGTTCTGCTCGATCGATCCGTTGATGCGTTGGCAGTGCTCATCTCGTCAACTCAGCAGCCTTGGAAACCATCACCTCGCCGTTCTCCAACCCAAAGTAGACTGCCACCGGCTTCTGACCACCTTGCATCCCTGCCTTCTGTGTCTGAATTCCATTCTGTCCATGGAAGAGACCAACCTCCAGCACACCATTGATCGCTTTGATCCGCTTTGCCAGCGTATTGACATCGTAAACACCATCCTTGCCGCTTCCGTCCGCTCCGTTGGCCACATCCTTCTCCGTCAACAGCTGTTTGAACGGTGCGTCGATGATGTAGAAGCTCTGATCCGTCTGTACAGGACCAGTCTTGGCCAGCGTGTGCTCTCTCACAATTGGCTTCGGACTTCCCAATAATTTCAACTCTCGAATCACACTCGCGTGTGCGATGGGTGCGATTTCGATTGGAATCGTCGGCCAGACAGTGCACAGCCGCTTCTGATTCTTGCGGTAATCGGCAATGCATATGAATTTCTTGGCCCGGCATGCGACCAGTTTTTCTTGGAACAGACAGGCCCCACCACCTTTGATGCAATTCAGCTCCTCGTCCACCTCGTCCGCGCCGTCAAAGGCCACTTCGAGCATCGCATCGCTGGGGAGAGAATCAAAGGCTATCGGTGTGAGTCCCGCGGCTTCGATCACTTTTCGGGAGTTCCAGCCAGTGGGGACGAACCAGTTCATGTGGCTTGGTGGTGGAGGGTGGGCTTTGAGGTGTGCGGCGATGGCTTCGACACCATAGACTATTGTGCTTCCTGAGCCGATTCCGACCTATAGAATGTGTCAGGTCCWGACYGCTCAATAGTTTGTGGGGGGTGTCCGTACGAAGCGCATATCAGATGTGAAGTGATCCTCGACCGCTTTGAAGGCTGCCTTCCGCTTGGCGCTCTCGACGGTGGAGAGCTCCACTGGAGGGCTGGTACTCGCCATGGTGGCAGAGTGTGTGAAGTTTCGGAAGGGATTAGAAGGCCCAGAAGTTTGTTGATGATTCACGAAGGTGTTCCGACAAGTTGTGAGAGATTGCTGACGACGCCCCGCAATTGGAATCGCGTTTGCCCCTCTTTGCACAATAATCTTGGCCGTTGAAAACATATCACCCGACGCCGACAATTGAAGACCGGGACAATAAACTTCAAATCTGCTTATCGAGACCGAAAGCTGTGAGATTTCAGGGACCTCTTCAGACTTCGATGGTGCTATCTCCGCCGCGGAGCAGGCTCCGTTCCAATCTCGTGTCTATCAAAAATGCATGATCGGCTCGGTGATGATATGCAATGCAAGTCCCGTCCGTGCTCAAGCTCCGTCAGCCCTGCATTGATTAAAGTTTATCCAGACGCGCGCTGGTACCTGGAACAATCGCGGTGACATCTTCTACGCTCCCTTTCATCTCATCGATCAACATCACAATGGCCACTACAACAGCAGAGAATATAGCGCCGCTACAGAATCTGCCGAGTGCAAAGGAGAAGCGATATGACCGGCAGCTTCGACTATGGGTCCGTCGCTCCTGCTCTGGTTGCGATTGCAGGTGAATGTTTGGCTGACTATCGGGTAGGGCGCCACTGGTCAAGTCGCCCTGGAAGAGACACATATCCTGCTCATCAATAACACGCCCGGCGTTACTGGAATCGAGACTTTGAAAAACCTGGTGTTGCCAGGAATCGGCGAGTTCACCATCCTCGACTCTGGCATCGTGGACAAGGCAGACTTGGGTGTCAACTTCTTCTTGGAGGAATCATCGCTGGGCAAGTATCGCGCCGAGGAGACTTGTCGGTTGTTGAAGGAACTCAATCCAGATGTGAATGGCAATGCAATCACAGAGGTATCGCCGGAGACATGTCCTTGCAATGCCGCAGAACAAGTAGCTGATCTTGAATACACAGCCACTGGAATCGTGGGCGGTCAAAGACAAGATCTTCACACCCTACACGCTCGTCCTCATCGCCGCACCTATCGACCCGACCACTTTTGGACTCATCAATGTCCATCTACAAGCCCTCCAGATCCCGACTTTCTATTTCCACACGCTCGGCTATTACGCCCACTTCTCAGTATACCTACCCGAGGCCTTCCCCATCGTCGACACCCACCCCGATCCCACTGCAACAACCGACCTGCGGCTTCTCAAGCCATGGCCTGCTCTGATGGACTTCGCCAGACAAAAGACAGCGAACATGGACAAGATGAACGGCGAAGAGTTCGCACACATTCCCTACGTCTGCCTCCTGCTCCACTATCTCGACGAGTGGCAGTCTACGCATGATGGAAAACTGCCGGAAAACTACAAAGAGAAGACTGCCTTTAGAGCACTGGTACGATCGGGCAGTGCGAGCGAGGAGAACTTCGACGAGGCTGTCGCAGGTGTGCTCAAGCTTCTCAACCCAGCGATCCCTTCTTCAGATGTTCGCAGTATCCTCACAGCACCAGAAGCTACCAACCTTTCTGCGCATTCACCACCTTTCTGGATCGTCGCCAATGCAATCCAGCAATTCTACGCCAAACACAATGAGCTCCCGCTACCCGGTGCCGTGCCAGACATGAAGGCGAATTCGGAAACATACATTCAGCTTCAGAACATCTACAAGACCAAAGCTCGCGAAGACTGCGCTGAAGTCATCGCAACCGTTCGCAAACTTGAGCAAGAAACCGGTCGCTTGCCAGCATTGAAGATAGACGAGAAAGAAATCGAAAACTTCTGCAAAGGCGCCGCGCATATTTCGCTCGTTCGCGGTCGACCTTTGAAGATCGTCCAACCAGGACAACCCATCACATTTGGCGATCGTGCGAAATACATTGTCCAACAATTGACCAACCCAGAAAGCTTGGTGGGACTGTACATTGCTTTCCTCGCCTGGGACGAATTCGTCGCCACAGACACTACCAGTGCCAACATCGCCGGAGGCGAAGGCTTGAAAGTCCCAGGCAGTGGCGCCGAGGACTTTCAAGTCGATACCCTTCGCCTTGAGGGTATCGCGCACAAGATCATTGATGATGTGATCAAAGAAGCCGGAACCTTCCTCGAAGATCCCGAGTACTCCAAAATCAAAACCGGCGTGGCGAAGCTCTGCATGGAACTCACTCGAGCGGGAGGCGCGGAATTGCACAATATCGCTTCGTTGAGTGGAGGATTGATTGCTCAGGAGGTTATCAAGGCGATTACGAAGCAGTATGTTCCTGTGGACAATACGTGTGTGTTTGACGGAATCACCAGTCGGTCATGCGTGCTGCGCATCTGAAATTTTGGCTCGTGAAGAAGATGTTGTTTTCTGCATAGCGGGGGAGATGGAAGCGTACAGTGCGTTGACATGGCTGGGACAGGTGTAGTGACTGTTTTTGCCTGGCCAAATTAGATGTGAACACGAGAGACGAGATACCATCAAGCAATACTGAAACTGCGACTTGAATGAACATACTACAGTCTTGCTCGTGGGCACATGGTAAAATCTTGCATTTTACTCCGGCTTTCTCTACTTTTTGACCCGTTGTTGGATAGCCAAAGTCGACTTCTGGCCCCTATCGGCGCGACATGCTCCTCTACTTCTGTCTTTTCTCTGCTGCACTGCATCTTCTGTCGTTCTATTTGCTTGCGTCCAAAGCAGCCTTGATCGCATCGCAGCTTGTCTTTGCGTCACCAAACAGCATCTTGGTATTCTCGGCGAAGAACATGGGGTTCGGCAGATCAGCATACCCACTCCCCATACCACGCTTCATGACGATGACCTGCTTGCTCTTGTATGCGTCAATGATTGGCATACCAGCGATTGGGCTATCCGGCTGCAGGGCAATCGGGTTGACCGTATCGTTGGCGCCAATCACAAGAGTGAGGTCCACATCATCGAAGCCCTCTTCGTTGATCTCGTCCATCTCAAGCACAATGTCGTAGTCCACAGAAGCCTCCGCGAGGAGGACATTGCATTGACCTGGCATACGTCCAGCTACCGGGTGGATGGCGAATTTGACTTCACATCCCATTCCCTTGAGCATGTTGACGATCTCGGCAATGGGGTATTGCGCTTTCGCAACAGCCATTCCGTAGCCTACGACGATGACCACTTTCTGTGCGGATTTGAGGGTTTCGACTGTCTCCTCGATCGTGGTCTTGGTGATCTCTCCTTCGATCTTCTGGTCTGTCTTCGCGGGGGCAGCTATACCGCCAAAAAGGACGTTGACGAGAGAGCGGTTCATGGCCTTGCACATTACATATGACAGAATGCTTCCACTCACGCCAATCAGTGATCCTACCGTGGTCAATATGGGGGAATTGAGCATAAATCCTTCGGCTACCAGGGCAAAGCCAGAATAAGCGTTCAACACGGTGATGACGACCGGCATATCGGCTCCTCCAATCGCAGCAGTCGTAGTGTAGCCCTTTGCAAACGCAAGGGCGGTGTTTACGCCCAAACATGTCGCTGCAATCGCAGGTGCTCCAGGAGCAAAGGCAAGGAAAGCGCCAAAGGTTGCCATGTTCGCGCCCAAAAGAGTTGAGTTGACCAGCGGAGAGCCTCCTGGCAWGACAGTAGGACGACTGGACATCTTTCCGGCGAGCTTCATGAAAGCCACGATTGATCCCGTGAAGGTGACGCCTCCGATTAGCACACCGAAGTAGCCTGCAACAAGATGCAGCATGTCTGCATGGGAGAGCGCTGCCATTACGGAGCCGATACTTGTGAGTACCGCTGCCAGACCGACGACTGAGTGGAGCGCAGCAACCATCTGTGGAAGCTCGGTCGGTGTGATTTTGCGTCCGAGAAGACCTCCAATGGCTGCTCCAGTTGATGCAACGGCGAGACACTGCACAAGCGTCTCTGGGGAGAATCCGACAGCAGCAAGCGATRCGAGGACGCCAGTGCTAACACCGAGCATTCCGAGCATATTTCCTGTACGAGCAGTTGCTTGACTGGCTAAGCCAGAAAGGCTGYCGATACAGAGCAAACTGCTGGCAAGATATCCGGCTTGGACCAGGCCCGCCATTCCAGTCGCGCTAGCGGCGAGGAAGCCACCACCAAATAGGACGCCGGGAATAGCATATAAGAAACCATACTCAGGCGGGTCTGATGGCCGACGGAACATGTCCAGCATTCGCTTGGTAATGACGAAACCACCGGAGACGTTGACGAAAGCGAGCAGGACTGAAGCGGCTCCCAAAGCTTGTGGGATGGTTTGAGGCAGGTACCCACCTCCCATGATGAAGAAACCTGGGACATGTCAGCCATACCGTTCGCAGTACATCAGACGATGCCCATCCCGGAAACATACCTCCAATACCGACCATACCACTGATGGCATTGGTCACAGACATTAGAGGACTGTGAAGAGCCGGCGCAACGCCCCAGACGACCCGGTAACCAATGAGACCAGCCAGCGAAAACGTGAACAAGTTGCCCATGAAAAGTGGTCCAGTCAGCTTGCCCAGAGCCAGGGCAGTACCCATACCTCCGGTGATTGTAGCGRCTGTAAAAGCAGCGATTAGTGTAGTTCACGCAAGACCTTGGACTTTCGAAATTTACCTTCTCTAGTAGCCTTCTGCCATGGCGTCAAAGCCACGACCTCAGCATCTTTGAAAATCTCAGCAGGCTTTGCAGCCGCAGGCGGAGCTGCGATTGGTGGAAGTGGTGGCATGAGTTTGCCATCGTATGTTACGATCGATCTCCGCACAACCTCATCCTTGAGATCAATACCAAAGTGACCCTCCTTGGGCGACATCGATAGCAAGTACTTGGTGATGTTGTTGGAGAAAAGGGTCGAACTCTGCGTAGCGAGTCTGGATGGCAGATCCGTATAACCAATGATTGTTACGCCACCGACTTGAACTGCTTGATTCCTATTCTGCCATGTCAGTCTCTCTTCACATCCAATCAATGTTGCAACTTACGGTACAGTGGCTTCGCAGTTCCCGCCAGCCTCAGCAGCCAGATCAACGATGACCGATCCGGGCTTCATGGCAGCGACCATTTCCTCCGTTATCAGGATAGGCGCAGGTTTGCCAGGAATCAACGCCGTAGTGATGATGATGTCCACCTCCTTAGCCTGTTCCAAGAACAATTTCAACTGAGCCTCGTGGTACTCCTTGGACATCGTCTTTGCGTATCCTCCGCCTCCAGATCCATCTTCTTGTATATCGACTTCGATGAAGGAAGCACCCAGCGATTGAACTTGCTCCCGTGCTGCAGAACGAGTGTCGAAACCTCGAACGATAGCACCCATCCGCCGAGCCGTCACGATGGCGCTGAGGCCTGCAACACCAGCTCCGATGACCAGGACTTTGGCCGGGGGAACTTTGCCTGCTGCGGTTGTTTGTCCGGTCAAGTACCTACCGAAGTGATTGCTGGCCTCCAAGACTGCCTTGTAGCCTGCGATGTTGGCCATGGAAGAAAGGACATCGAAGCTCTGCGCTCTTGTGATGCGGGGAATCATGTCCAGAGCGAACGATGTGACCTATATAGGATCGACAATTAGCGTGTGGTATATAAGGCAGAAACGAAGCTTCAATTTCTGAAGTTTGCTGTATGACCTTGCTGCACTTACCTTCTTTTCGACCATAACGTCGATGATCTTCTTGTTGCGCTCAACATTGGGCTGGAGGATACTAATCAACACGCCACCTTCCTTGAAGCCCTGTATTGAATGTGGTCAGTTGTAGTCGTTCTCATCTGTTCCTCATCTCGGCAGACATACCTGAACGAAGTTGTTGGGCGAAAGCGTCGTGCTCCTCAAACGAGGCGGTCGAASCTTGAGCACGATGTCCGAATCGAACCAAACTCGACTGGCATTGACGAGGGTCGCACCTGCAGCCTCGTAGTCGTGAGGTTGAAACTGCGCCTCGAACCCAGCGCCATTCTCTACCAACACTGCTTTGAAGCCTTTCTTCAGGAGAAGAGCAGCATTTTGAGGCGTAATGGCCACGCGCTTCTCTCCAGTGCGTACTATATCGAGAATCAGTAATGACCCAGATGAATGAAAGAGCCAGACAGAGACTTACCTTCGAGAGGCACTCCAATCGTGAGCTCGCTGTACGGGATGGCATGAACTGGCTCGGCTTCCTTGGCAGCAATTGGCTCATGCGGTGCTGACTGTGGCTGCACCGCAGCAGCAGCGGCAGCGTTTTGTGGTCTCCGTCGTGTCTGATAGAGCGGTCGAGTTTGATCAAAAGCACCGAGGAGCCTCGATCGAGTAAACTTTTGAGCGTGCAGGGAAGCAAGGTACGGCCTCAGCGGCCGACATCCGGGCCACATGGTGAGGAAGTGATGGATWTCATCGACCGAATGACTTGCAAAGGTGTTTTCGCGGAGTGAGTTGCAAGCTTCGGCTCACAGCACTTCAGTGGAAATCGAAGTCGAATTGTATGGCAACAAAAGCGGCTTGCCTGGTGACGGATAGCTGCGTCTGCGACTGCGGCCGTGAAGGCGTCGTGAAACCACAAGGATTTGAGGGTTGTTTGCGGAAGAGCTCTGTGCGAGCGCGGTACGGAGTGGAGGTACTTCCACGACAGCTCGGATCCCACGGATACTCCTCTTCTTGGTGAGGGTGGGGTCAATGCAACCAAGCAAGGCATCTATCACAGGGCACGCTTGAAGATGACCCCCCGAGCTGCCGCTGCAGGGACCCACCTTTAGCTTCCGGACTAGTTTTGTGGGGAAATCTGGGGAATTATCACATGAAGGCGGAGGGCTGTCGAATGCAAACAGCCGTTGAATACCCTACGAATGAGATTGAGCGAGAGGCTTTAACTGCCGCAAGGCGACGCTGGGGTCAATGTACGTCTGAGAGAAGAGAGAAGATCTTGAGAATCAAATCCTACTGCTCTAGCAGCGCCCTTCAGCCAGCTACTTACAAATGCTCTCAGATACAGCAAGTGATATGGAATGCAATATCAAGCCCTGCCTCCAGCGAGGATATCGACTCACCCACCTAGTTCCACCCACCAAGCTCATCGTCCTCATCGACCATCCTCTTTGTCACACTTGATTTGCGTGGGCGACCTCTCTTGCGAGGACTGGCATTGCCGTTGTCAATCGACTTCCGTTTCTTACCACGAGGCCCTGCGGATGGGCTATTCGTTGAGCTGACTTCACTACGTCCGTCATCAACACCTTCCATATCGAGATCGAGGTTGTCGTCCTCATCTTCGTCGACCTTTACGTCACCATCCACCTTGACGAGCTCAGCAAATGCGCCGCAAACTGCACGCTGCTCCCCTTCTGTGGTTGACTCCGCCATGATTTGGCTGATCCGATTCTGGAAGGCGTCCATCAGTGTAGATGCATTGGTCGAGCGAGTTGGTGGACGGTTCGTGTCCTTCGCTGCATGCTTTGTTTTCCCGGCAAATTTCTGTAGGTTCCAGATTCTCTGCAAAAACGACCTCGTCTCCCATATCAGAGACAGTATTTGAGATGACACCGCCAGCTGCTGGAGTCTCTTCGGCTCAATGGCTCCCACAGTCGTGAGTTCGATGGCTTCGGCGCTGGTAGCAGCTGATTGGGAGGAGAATACAGGGACCTGAATGCGGAGTACTTCGCTTTCGATGGACTGCGCCACCGAAGTTCCTGTGCCAGAAAACGTTTTCTCCAAGGAAGAAAGCAGGACTAGCAAGTCCGCGATGTTGTTGTACTCCAGAAAAGCAATGACTTCGGTGCAGAACCGTACGTAGAGCAAATGATTTGCTGTGCCGCTGGAGATTTTCAGCTTCGCTGGGTCAAAGTTCAATGAAGCGCAAAGATTAGCAAAGAACTTTGTTCGCGCTTTGCCCTTGCCCGTCTTCAGGACATCCCACACGTGATGAAACTTGGATACCGGAGGATGTCCAWCAAAGCCTGTTGTGCTTTGAGCGACGCGCTGTTGGTAGTCGAAGGACTTTTGCACCGATTTGGCCAGAGTCTTTTCGAGAACAGACTCGTTCTTCTGGAACTGCTCCTTGTACGAAACGAATGCCAACTTGGCGATGTCCGAGTTGGGACAGGTTTGCAGTGCCACGAGTGTCGGTCCGCTGTCGCCAGGATGTGCGATACCTTGGGTGTTGATACTGGCAACGATCCGTGCTGCTGTCAACGCCACTTCGTCGAAGGAGGTCAGCGAGATCCGTAAGAACTGCTGGAGGTATCTCTGGGAGAGCGAAGTTGATGCAGTGTCGAACCCCGTCGCTTGGTATGTACCGCCAAGACGCTCTTTGCCGCTGTCGACACCAGTCCCTAGATCAGTGCCATCGGCGCCGTCGACATGCTTCTCGCCCGCGCGAAAGAACGATTCAAGCCCACTGAGCAGCACCTGTTCAAGCAGAGCATTGCCTTCTTCAAACACCACTGATATCGCATTCGTGACATCCTCGCGCAGAAAGCTGTCCGGGTTGCTTTGGCCAATTGCACATAATGCATATAAAGCCGCCTCCCTAACTTTGATTGGCCGCTTCGGACTGACGTAGGAACAACACACCTCGACGAAGATGGCCGAGACTGTACTCCCTGTGCAGGACGGACAGCCGTCTTGAAAGCGTTTGAGTTCGGATTCAAAGTTGCAGGCCTTACCAAATGCCCCCACGATATTAAGAAGTCGTCGAGCCTTGTCCGTGGGTTTGTGGAGATCGTCGTCGAGCAGGACGGCATCGCGCATACGATATAGTTGCACGAGAGCCGAAGCGAAGAACGCTACCAAACGTGTGTTGTCCTTGCTGATAGTAACGATGGTCCACGAGCAAGGAGCTATTGCGCTTAGCTCGAATCTCGGAAGCTTTGAGGCGGACTGAACAAGTGCCATCTGAAGATTGCGCAGAAAGTCTTGTTTGATCCCGGGAACGACAGGCAGAGTCCATCGTAGTATAGTGACAACAGATTGATAGACGACAAGATCGTCTGAGGTCTGCAGATTCTTGGCGTACGGCTCTAAACGCTCGAGCTGCTCGCCGGTGAACAATCGCGGCCCAGCTCGAGCAAACACAGTCAATGCCAGCAGTATGGAGCTCTGTGTTGGCGAGCCGGGGATATCCGAACTGTCAATCATGCCGTCGGACAGAACACTCACAAAGTCTTTGCAAATACGTGTATTCTCCGCCGCCTGCTTTGACTTGTGCAGCAAGATTTTGATCAGTGCCTCGAGCACTTCGATCACATCGTCTCCAAGGGCGACCGTGTGGATAATCAAAGCGGCGTGAGAACGCAGTCGAAGTAGGTTGTCCACAGAACGTTCCCCGCTTGCGGTCCGGTTCCGGAAAACTGAGAACCATATTTCCTCGACGGTGGTCTTCGCTGCGTCAGCAACACTCTCCTCAGTGTCCTGAATGCGAGAAATGATTGCGTTGGAGATGGCTGCGCGGACCTCGTTGTCGTCGTTTCGTAGGTAGACTTCTTTGAGGAAGGCCATTGCACGCTTGCGAACCAGTGTGGCTGCATCTTTGGTACGAGGGATCACTCGCTCGTAGAGCTTCAATTCGAGGGCAGGGCGAAGTGAGACGCACTTTTGGATGAGGCCCAGAGCTGAGTCTCGGACCAGAGACGAGTTGTCCCCTAGACAGCGAACGATCGTTCTAAGCACTGTCGGATTATTATCAAGCACAGCTGGATCCTTCTCGAGGAGTGCCGTAACGCTTTTGAGGCTGCGACTCCTGATGGTGGGCTGCTCACTGCTCATCGACGATAAAACGGTGCCAAATATGCGGTTGAATGCCTTGCAGAGCGTCGAGTTGCAGGCAATAATCCTGGCAGCGAGCTTGCCCTGTCCTGTTGTCGGCCGTGGGAAATTTGAGTACTCTTCCAGCCATTGCACATCCTCGATCATGTTGCGTACTTTGTTTTGCAGCTCCGTAGGCGCGGCCTTGGTGGCTTTGCCATCCTCACCACGAGCCTCACAGATCTGCGCCGCCCACTGCACGAGATGATAGCCGCGCGCAGTCCGCAACTGCGGATCTTTGAGATCTCGATGGTGCAAATATTCAATCACGACCCTGTATGGCCCTTCGAATGAGGTCAAGGCGATGTTGGAGAACGTCTCATCCTGTATCCTTTTGACCATGGTAGCAAGGTCTTGAGAAATTCTGTCGCCATCTTGCAAGGCCTTGCTAGAGTCTACCATCGCAGCCTGCAGGTCGAGAATGCCAGAACCAATGGTTCCCAGAAGTTCGAGGGCAAGGGTACGTGAAGGCGCAGGACTCTTGGGACTCTCAGCCATGTTGATCATTCGTACGACCAGGCAACGCAGCAGTGTCTCGGCAGCCGGCCAATCGCTTGAGCCCAACACATTGAGGAAATCCTCAGTGAAGATATCCAGCAGTCTCCGAAACGGCTCATCACTCGATTTTGTGGTCGACACAGCTCGCTGGAGCAATATCCCGACGACATACGACGCATGTTTGTTAGATGCTGCTTGCAAGGGCGTGTAGACAGACTTGAGATCCCTGGCGCCCTTCCCTTTCTTCGACTGTTGGCTTTTCCCCTTGGCCGCCGAAGCACTCTGGGAGCTATCATCGCTATCGGCGACGTCTTCATCTGAAGACTCATCTGAATCCTCTGCGCTGGAATCTGCATTGCCTCTTGTGCTTGAACGAAGCAAGCTTTCGCTCACGGTGGCACTGGCCTGAACGAGGCGCATGAGCAACGCAGAGACAAGCTGAATGGGCTTCGCATCGATCGGCCTGAATTGTCGAGCACTCTGTTTGCTGGAGGGTAGCTGCTCAACAGACATGAGAAGCTCGCTTAGGATGAAGGATCGCTGGCTCTCGTATTTGGTAAAGATCATTGCCAGCACATCCACGCCAGCCACTCGCATGTTTTCAACCGCCTGGGTTCCCAGCGAAGCGTCCTTTTCCGATCCGCCAGCCTGCGCAAAGATGAGAGACTTGCACATAAATTCAATACTGGAAATGGCGGTTTCGTCGACATCTGTCTTCAGTAGCAACGCTCCTAAAAGTCGCAAGTTCTTCACACTGGCTTGGACCAGTTTCTGCAGGATTTTTCGGTGCTCAAGGGCGATTGCAAACCTCGGATTGGTGGATCCTTCCCTCTCAACTTTGATTTTCTCGCCGGCGGATGATCGCTCTTCCATGATTGGTAGAATGCAGCCGTCGAGAACGTTGTTCGTAGCATCGAGTACAGCCTTGAGGTAGTCCTCAGACTGTAGCTCTTTATGGCGGGAGCCTCCTGTCATTATCCGTAGCAGAGTACGGCCGGCGACAAGACCATTCTCGGCATCAGCAATCCGCGACAACCATGCCAGTACATCATTCTCGTTCCAATCCTCGCCGATTCTTAATGATCCAGATCCGAGGGTAGTAAGAGAACTCTCACACAATCTTTGAACCCGTGCAAGATGTTCCACTTCAATATCATCGAGACGGCCCAATGCGACGACCTTGAGCACGGCGGAGTCCAGCTGTGTATGAGCGTGATGATTCAGCAATACCGCAGATCCGTCCTCAGTGCCGCGGGTCGCGAACAAGGCGTTCGATGAAATTGACACATCGTCGGAGGTGTCTGGTAGCAGATGGTCCTGACTCTCGAAAATGACTTGCAATTGCGTCTGCAAAGCTTCCACGGCGGTGTCTGCCTTCTGCCGTTGATCGACACTCGATCCTCGATTTGTGAGATGCGCGCTTTGGTTTCTGGACGGCGTAATATCATTGCGTGAGTGGCTCAGATTCGGCACATCAATCATCTGGTATTCTGCACGCTGTGCGGGTGTTAGGGCGGTTGGCACGACAAATGCTTTCGTCACAGATCGAGTCGGTGTTGACTGGGCGTGGTCCGAAGCCGGCGGGTCCGGGTCAGTGAATGGCCGGACGTGGATTGGCGCCTGGTCTTGCGGCGGGAGTTTATGCAGGGCCTGCACCTGGCCATGATTTGGCTTGACTACACCCAGGGTTTGTACCTGAGCTTGTCGAGGCGTTGACTGCTTTGGTCTGTTGATCTGGACCTGAGCAGGACTTTGTGTCGCTAATGTCGCCTTGGACATGTCATTCGTGCGAACAGGGGTCGGCTTGACTGTGGCTCGATTGCCATGCAGCTCGGTGGGCGGACCAGGCAATATCGAGTGGAATGGCACACGCGTGTTGTCAAAAATCATCTGTGCAAAGGCACTCAGAGCTGGTTGCTGAACGGGCTTCTTTGCTGCGTCGCTGTCGCGTCTTATTCGCTTGGCGGTCTTGAATTTGAATTTAGTGAGCCCCTGTGCATCCAACAGCCTCTGCACGTCCTCGAGTGTCTTCTGGCAGCGTTCCGAAGCTTGCTCCGCGCTCTTAGCGCCGGCTGCAAGTTTATCTAACCCACGAAGTGCAGATTGGACATCCTCGGAGGCATCGAATACAGTTGGTGTGCTGGAAGGAAGAGCGAGGGGTGGGGTTATGAGGTCTACAAAAGGATGCGTCAGTGTGGTGGTCGCCGCGATGATCTTCACCGGTAGAGCTGGATATGCCTGGAAGTGAATGAGTCTGACTTGCCTGGATTGAAAGGGACGATGGAACTGAAGGGCGAGTACGGGAGTGCCTCATTGACGGTTGGGATGCGCAGTCCGCCGGTGTAGGATTGTAGCCTAGGTGCCGGGGCATGGCGGTTTGGCGCTGGCGGAGGCTCCATCGTCTTGCCGGTTACGAAACAGATCTATTCGTCAAGCAGTCCCATCTCTTCGCATCTGTATGGTTTCCTATAATTCGAACGTCCGGAAGCGGATCTGGCAGAATGTCGGTGGTCGCGTCGCCATGTGAGGACCACGCACTGTATTTCGAACTTTTGAACGGCGTAGGCAGCGTTGATAGAGGAGACGCGAGACACCAATGCATAAGAGGAGGGCTTCGAGCTGTTTGCGTTCCAGGCGGAAGATGTGCTTGGAAGTTGGAGTTTGTGAAGTCGTCCTGTTCGCGTAAAACGCGGCGATCATCGCGGAGAACGGAGAGGGCTCCGCGCGGCAGCGGCCCCGGCGCAAAATGTATTTCTCCCAGAAGCAGTTTCACATGCACCTGCAAACAGCTTCACATCATGACCGCCATCGGATCCCTCGTTTTCTGCACGGACTGTGGCAACCTGCTCGAATCCAACACTGGCCGCAAAGCATACCTCGCCTGCGATGTCTGTGGCACGCAGAACAAGGGTCGGTAGGATTACCAGCATTTCATTGCAATGCGTACTAAGACGATACACAGACACATCCTCCAAAGTAGTCGTCACGTCCTCGAAGCCTTCGGCATTTCCCTCTGCACTGCGGACGAGACTACGCTCGGATCTGCAGGAAATCTCAGAGGCCGATATGCAGACTGAGGCCACCATCAAACAGCCATGTGAGAAATGCGGCAACGAAGAAGTTCTCTACCACGAACAGCAGCTCCGATCCGCAGACGAAGGGAGCACAATCTTCTTCACTTGCCCGCGATGTAATCACAAGTGGAATACCAACAATTGAACGATGCCATTGTATGATGTGCATTACTGGATCGTGTTCTTGGATTCGTGTGCTCAAAATGACTATCATGATTCTTTTTGGAGGCTTCTCATGCTGCTGTAGCCACCGGAATGGTGGCATACTCAGTCTCGCCGCTCCGCTCGAACTCTGCCATATCCAATGCTACGATGATGCTGTCTCGGACCACCTGCTCTGGATCATTCAAAAACTTCTTCAAAGTATCCTCGACACCGTCTTCATCACCCAGGCTGCCAAGGGCCTCTGCAGCCTCATGCCGAACCATGCTGGCTTCCTCCACATTGCTCAAAGCCTCGGTCAAGCTCGGGATTGATGCCGGGTGCGAGAGCTGTCCAAACACGAAGGCAATTTCATGGCGGAAGAGCGCGGAAGGATCCTTGAAGCCAGCGGCGAGAGCATGGATTGCGGGGACCGCAGTAGGGAGGTCAGGTGGGGATGAAAGATCTCGCAGTGCAAACATGGCTCGGTAGCGCTTGAATAGCGGGAGTGAAGTGTCAAGCAGTGTGTGCTCGAGCTCGGGGATGGATGGTTTTTCGCTTTCGGCGGCCATGGGAGGCGCTGGATCGATTGATGAAAAGTCGCTGCATCAAACAGTTAGGAGATATTAGAGATATTGCAAATACAGAATAATGAACCGACCTCTGCTTCAGCTTTTCTTGTATCCTGCTCTCTGAGTATTGCCACTCAATGCTCTCTACAGCAATCTCACATGTCTCACGCACGACTTCTTCTTCCGTAGGATCGTCTCGCCTTTCCTTCAACAGCTGCAGACTAGTCTTGTCTCCCAGTGCAGCAATCGCCTCGGCAGCCTCGTGCCTGCACATTGCATCTTCCTGCCTGTCTTCGATGACCTGTCTCAAAAAAGGAACTGCCTCTTCTTTGCCAGATTGACCGAGGCAGTAAGCCAACTCATGCTTCAGCAGAGCAGATGGTGATGTAAGGGCAGCAGCGATTGCTTCGATCGCCGGAACTGTCTGTGGGGTTGCTGGGCTTTGCGCCGCAACATGCTTGAGAGAGAAGAGAGCACGAAACCGTTTGGCAAGAGGTGCAGTCTCGGAGCAGAGAGTGCTTCTCAAAGCAGCAACAGTCGAGTCGGCCTCTGTTTCGGGGATCAAAGTTGCCGGCGACATCGTGAGATTGGTTGTTGGAAGTTGCGCGAGAGCCTCGAAGAAATGATGGAAGACGCACACATTTATCTGAATCTGATAAGATCTTGACGGAGGGGTCAATTTTCGGAAGCTAAGGCAGGTACGGAGTTCGGAGTGTCTTCAGCCACTCTGGAGCTTCTAGGCGAGCGATCTTGGTCCTCCTGTCCGTCTACAAGCCGAGTCTCCTTCACACTCTATATACTGCAACCATCATGCCAACCTTAGATCCAGCTACAGGTCGCGAGCTCTCAGACTCGGCAATTCAACGAGTCCTCTTCGTTAACAACGACGTCCATGTCTATCAAATTCCACCCATTACGAGCAACAAAGGCTTTGCCGCGGGGAGCTGGACCGACCCGACCAAGCCCATGGCACAACAGATCTTTACTGCACGTCTACGCGTATTCGAGACCTCCGTCAATGGAAAAATAAAGGCCRACATCGTGCTTGAAGATGGCAAGACTGGCGATCTTTTCGCTGCCGCCCCATACACAAGCACTGCGGTCGTTCAGCCCGCCAACGATAGTAGTAGGTTCTTTGCCATACGCGTGCAGGGAGAGGGTGGGATGAAAGCTACATTGGGCATTGGCTTCGAAGATCGTAGTCCAGCATTTGATTTTGGCATTGCACTGAGCGAGGTGCGAAAAGTCTTGGGAATGAACGACAATGCTGTTGGGAGCTCAAGTGCTCGCGGAAACTCAACCAAAGCCAGTACAGTGCAGGAGCTGAAGCAGGACTTTAGCCTCAAGGAGGGGGAGAAGATTCACATATTGGTGGGATCTAGAGGCCGACGAAATGCTCCTGAAAATACCACTGCTGCTACACCAGATGACGGTGCAGCTCTCTTCTCTATTGCTCCACCTCCGCCACCAGGTGGTAAAGCACAGACGATTGCACCTCCTCCTTCAGCCAAATCTACACAGGAGTCGGGCTTTGATGATGATTTTGGGGAGTTTCAATGAGAGATATAGTAGCGCATGACGATATGCAAGCACTTCTTCATTTGGGCCGCAAGAGCAGGAACAAAAGGCCCATCAAAGCAACACCACTTGCTGCGCCTTGAAGGGCTGCATTCGTCACGTCGACCTTCTTCACTTGCACGATCCGCTCGCTGAAGAGATCACGGAGTATCTCCTGATACTCTTCGAGGGTTCCCCTCACAGTGCTTTCGACTGGCGTCATAGTCGCGGGTACATCATTGACGACTTGCATCACTTCTGCGACGTCTCCAGGCTCCGCAGATGTCGCCTCCCCGAAGGGCGGCGAGGGCGTCGGCGGCAAGAACTCCTCCTTTGGAGGCAGCAGATCTTCTAGCGGCTGTGATGGCTCTGATGGCTGTGATGACTCTGGTGGCTGTGATGGCTGTGATGGCTGTAGTGGCTGTGATGGCTCTGCCTGGACTTCTTCCAGCACGACCGCCTCTTTTGGCGTGACTGCCTCCATCTGCTTCTCGACTACCACCCCTGGAGCCATAGCTAGTGTCTTCTCGTCCAGAGCTGCCTTGACATCGCGGACAATCTTTTTCCTTCGATTCGGCTCGAAGATTGCAATCTGAGTGAGCAGTAGCAATATGTTGACGCCCATGAGGCCGAATGTCACCCAGGTACTATTCCTGCGAATGGTGTCACTCCATATCTGTTCCTCGTGGTATTGCTTCCGCTCCAGACGCTCCATCAAAGACCTCGCATCCTCTAGATTTCGCTCGGCAGATGCGAGATTGTCTTTCGCAATCTGCACATCTCGCTCGTTGAGGTGTTCGGAGCGTACGAGTGACATGTATCTTTCCAGGTCTGTGGGAGACCAGGATGACTTTCTCTCTAACAGTCCCACGATCTCTCGCTGTGCAGAAGTCTGGTTTGCGTGAGCCTCGTGGTGACTCGCTTTAGACTCATCAACAGCAATTCGGTATCGTTTGACTTTCTGCTCCTGGTCTACTATTTCCTTCCGCAGTGCCTCGATTCCCGAGAAATCTGTCCCAGTGTATGCATTGATGTGTTGGCTAGCCACAGATGCTCTCGCCAGAAGGTCGTCCATCAGTTTCGCCATCTTCTTGGAATAGTCCCATCTTTGCTGCTCTGTATGTGAAGGCAATGAGCTCGAAACCGATGCAGGTGTGTCGGGAGGTGGTTCAGAGGGGGATGGAAGTGCAATCGTTGGTGAGTTGGGTTCTGTAGAGTCGGGAGATTCGGCGGTGCTTGATGGCTCGAGGGTCTTTGTGGGCTCGATTGGGTCTGTAGACTCATTCAACTTTGGAGGGTCGATGGAACTGGCAGGCTGATTCGTTTTGTCTTTCTCGTCTCGTAGCCTGACCGCGCTCGAAAATGCTCTGTTCCATTGCGAGATTTCCCTCGTGCCGGCTCCCACCTGCATTCCTCTCGATTCGAGCCTCACGCGACATTTCGTGCAGGTCCAGGGCCGTGATGTCGTTCCAATAGTATTGCTCAACCCCGTCCTCGAGCTCCTCGATATCCACCTCACCGCATCCGCGCCAATGCGGCCACCCGACTGCCTCACCAAACTCATGCTATCTTGTGATCGACAGGAACGCTCAATTTCCTGCAGCTCAGAGCAGAGCTCCCTATGGACTTTGTTCGGCTGTCGGAGGAGCGAATCTTCGATCGTCATTCGCCGATCACTCTCAACCAGACTCGATTTTTGAGGCAGCTGTGAAGATGTTAGAAACAACAACCTCACCTCAATTTCGGCCAGTTTCAGACTTATTTTACCTTCGCGACCAGGATGTCTTCAGATGATCAGCTCAAAGCTCTTCGGTTCCCTTTCAAGGACCCCAAATTCATCTTCTTCACCGATTTCGATGGAACGWTCACACTGAAGGACTCCAATGACTATATGGWGAGTGAGATTTGTGATTGAACGAAGAGAATCATTGTGGCTAATACGCTGTACAGACGGACAACATTGGCTTCGGCCTGGAGCAGCGTCGTCAAGGTAACAAGGATGTTCTTGACGACAAGAAGACATTCCGGTAATGTTCGGCGTTCAATGTGCCTCGATCAAAGTCTAACTATCCGTTGTAGCGTCTCTTTTCGCGAGATGATGGACTCTGTCACAGCTCCTTTCCCAGAATGCATTGATCTTCTCGTAAAGAACATCAAACTGGACCCAGGTTTCCAGGAGTACTTTGAGTGGGCTTTGAAGAATGAAATTCCAACCGTTGTGGTTTCCTCTGGTATGGAGCCTATTATCCGTGCTATCCTCAAGAACCTCATTGGCAAGGATCACGACAAGCTTGATATTATCAGCAACGATGTCGAGGCTCGCCCTGGCAAGACCATCGATCAGGAGGGCGGCTGGCAAATCAAGTACCACGACGAGAGGTATGATCAGCAGGAACTACGTCTCGTGTCCTTGTACTAATCATGATTTTAGTGACTTTGGTCATGACAAGTCTTTGTGCTTGAGGCCATATGCAAACCTTCCAGAAGGGAAGCGGCCAACAATGTTCTATGCCGGCGACGGTGTATCAGACTTGTCTGCCGCCAGGGAGACCGACCTTCTGTTCGCGAAGTCGGGTCACGGTATGTTGAGCCCAGAGCCTCCCTTCATTGCATCCTGCTGACTTCTGTTATAGACCTCATCAGCTACTGTGCCCGCGAGAATGTGCCATTCACCGTCTTCGAGACTTGGTCTGACATTCTTCGCGAGGTCAAGAAGATTGTCGCTGGCGAGACGACCGTCAAGCAGGCCGCTGCTGAGGGTTTTGAACAGTACAAGAAAGGCAACGCAGGGGTCAAGGCTTAGAATATTTCAAGAAGGATGATGTCTTGTTTGCATGGAGATCTATAGATGTTGCATGTTTGATGAGCTAGACATAGACGACTTAAATGAATGCACTCAAGTGCCGACGATTGTAACCAGTGGATTAAAAGGAATCGCCTGCGTGTTGGGTTATGTGTCAATTCCGACATCGTTCAGGCCATTGGCATTACGAACCATTCAATGGCACACATTCCAAGTCCTCATCTGCAAGATATTTCATGCAATTGTTGAATACGATCGACATGAGTGCGTGCTGCACTGTTCATATTCGCATATGCACTTCCTAAATGGTCGTCGTGCATATCCTACACTACCCCAACCCTAACCCTACATTCCAAGCTCCGACTCCCGCATCTGGCTCTCGCTTCCGGCCGTCTGTTGGGACGCGCGAAGTTCATCGCCAGCACCACAACGACCATGGCTTCCAGGATATTCAACGCAGTGCTGCGGCTACCGCCAGCCGCCCGTGGCTGCTTCAATGCCATGCTGGTACAGCCCAAAAGTCTGTCAATCCGGTCCTTCTCCAACGCTCCATCCCTCCAAGCGACATACAACCAGGTACTCCGTGGGTGTCGAGTCGAACAGCGCGCACGAAAGCCCACATCACCCGCATTGGTAAACAGACCTGAGATGAAGGGCGTGTGTTTGCGCGTGGGAACTACAAAACCAAAGAAGCCCAATTCCGGCGAGAGGAAGGTCGCAAGAGTACGATTGAGCAGTGGGAGGGTCATCACTGCATACATTCCAGGAGAAGGTGCGTTTGGGCAGCGAGATGCGGCAACAGAGCAGAAACTGATGAAAGGAAAGGTCACAACGTCCAGCAACATTCGGTTGTACTGGTTCGCGGAGGTAGATCGCAGGATTGTCCTGGAGTCAAGTATCACCTGGTGCGAGGAGCAATGGACTTGGTACGTACAAAATCTCCATGAGCTACGGTGACTATCGCTCATATTCTTCAGGGAGGTGTCGGAAACAGAGTGACGAGCCGCTCGAAATACGGCACAAAGAAGCCGAAGACGACTTGAGAATGACGCCACAGAGACATCTTTTCATGATGGCGAATCGCCTCCAGCTACAGTGACGAGATCACATCGTATCGCGAGTGGACAGCCGAGCTCTAGCTGCTCTGTTTTGACGAGTGCTGCGTCCAGCCAAGTTGACCGAATACCTTCAACACCGGTGGCAATCTCATGATGCAGTGTACTGAACACAGTGCTCGCAGCCACAGCTGTTAGGGGTGGAATGCGCAGTGCAGTGCAGTGCTAGATGCACACGGTGCGGCATAAAACACTTGCGGGATTACCGTCCGTAACACCAAACGTGATCGGGGCCTTGAACTAGAACATAACGAGTCGCCACCGGAACGTTTCCTGCATCACCAGATCGCAAGCACTCCGTCACTTTGTACATATATGGGAACCATATTCGCCATGCGTCTCAATAGCTCCCTCCCAGTGTTGAATCACCATTTTACAGCTCCAGTTCTGAACAGTCGAGAAACACCGCGCTGTTCGCGAAAATGCTCATTGCACTGCTCTTCGCAGGCTTCGCAGCTTTCCCGTCAGCTTATGATATGAGACACCCATGCATCTCCGACTGACACCTCCCAGCTTTGCCCGATCCCATCAAGATTGTCCCTGCTATCGCTCCACAACGACCGTGGTCGACCCAGAATGCACCCCATTCTTAGACCTTTGTCCTGCAGTTATTTGCGACATTCCTACGGCTACCGAGACTGTAACGATTCCCCCATTCACGCCAATCTGCGACTCGAAGCACGTTCCGACGATCACGGCGTTCAGCCCTTGTACCACCGATTGTGCTCAAGTCACCTGTCCCACGGTTTTCAAGACTGTGACTGGAGGGGAGAAGCAATGTTGCACTGCTTGGTGAGGTGGAAGCTGCCAGGCAATCCCTGTAAAAGGCGAATGATGGATCACGGGTTTTGTTGAACGAGGGATGGAGAAATTCATGCCGGCTCTCCTGGCAGTGAACCGATGACCACGTTCGCGAACGGGTAGTTACGCCGTTCAAAATGAGCTGTCTCGCGGAGAGTCAAGTTTCTACTGGGTACGTGCTGCTTCCCGCGGAATTCGATCGTCCACGAAATATCTCTGGAGATGACACGACATATGAACACCTACTTAAATTCTGGGTGTCGGTGTTATGGGCAAGCTGCTTGAACGCTTAGCTTCCATGAAAGACCCCCGATTTCGAACTGTGGACTGTTGACAAGTTACTCCACCGAATCTCGTCGTAGGTAGAAGCATTCCTAATCCAAAGCTCATATGACATGCTCCAGTAAGTCTCGTAAAAACTGGGCCGCGGAAGCATTGTGCAATGATCATATTGATGTTGGCTCTTTGGATTAGCTAAGTCGAATTGCACAAACGGTAAGATGTGCGCGGACAGCAAAAAGCCACCTCCAAATACGCCCCGTCGGGACCGAACCACTCGAAGTTCTCTACGTCGACTTCTCACCAAACGCAGGATGCCTTTGGACTACTAACAATATGGTACAGTAGAAAGGGTCGTACGAAATAAGGTAACGGAGCGACACTCCGGCGTRGTAAGATCATGTATCAAACCTCCTGACATGGCACAATCATCCGACATATGATCGGAGCTACAAACTCGATTCATTTAGTTCTTCTACAGTTCAATGACGTCAAAATGCTTCCTCATAAGACATGTACAGCAATCAAAATGCCTCACTTTGCGAGATTCACTTCATATTCCGCTTACTAATCTGTCACATGCCAAAATGAACTTGGGCCTGTAGAGCACGAGAGCAAGGGGCCCGTCGCGATTCTTTCGCTCATATGAAGTACTAGCATCTCTCGATCTCCAGCGCACAAATGACAGTGAGGTTCGGCTTTGAGTCTCACATATTTGCCCTCTACCGCTTCTTCATCCGGCTTCTTTGCTCCTCCTCGTGTTTGAACGTGTGTTCGAGTGACTCGCGTGGAGTCTTGTGGGTCAGAGCCTCAGCTATGATTTAGTTAATCAAGATCTGAGTGAATGTCAAACCTGTGACCATCTTCAAGGTTGAGCATGTCCGGCGTAGATTTTTCCGCACATCGCCCAGGCTATCCAGGGACAAGATGGACAGGAATCGATCGCATCAGAGGGTTTGAACCCGGGGACTTCATCCAGTCAATTGAATCGCAAGGCGCCTTGCAGAAGACATGTACATACTCACATTCTGCAGTCATCACTAGTCCATTCACACCAAGCTGTTCTCGATGATACTATAACCTCGACTCACGACGCTCTGCACGGCTTGAATGTTTGTGGTGCAATTTGATTAAGCTGGTGTGGCCGGCGAAGTGGGGCAAAGTGGATTGACCCGAAGGCATCATTACATACATGGCACCTAAAGCCCAAAGAYGCACACAATTGTTGGTGGAAATTATCACAGCAATGCTTCATGTGATGATTTAAGAGTATGGAATCGGAAGCGCAGCCGTTGTTTGCTTCCCGAAGCGGTAAGTTTTGTATTCTCACGCGATTTCAAAGTGACATATAATTTTGCAAGAAAGTTATTCAGTGGCTTAACCTCGGCAATTATACAGCAAGGTTATATATCAGATGCTTGATCACAATCAACATGATCACATGACGGTTTCATGGTGTAGTGTAAGATTATCCGCTTCCTCACCGCTTGAGCCGGATCCTAACARTCTCACAGTGGTTATCACGTCAGTCTAACACACTGAAGGTCTCCAGTTCGAGGTTCGTACCAACAATCATCATATTTCCATAAGAACGTTGCCTGACATCATCACAGCCTGGATGAAATCAAAATGTTCATCATATGACCTTTCTTTTTGCTTCATCGTGGCACAACATGTTGTAGTAGCCCACAACCTATGCTTTGGCTTTTGGCTTCACTTTTGCTCTTTCCAAGCAAGCCACTCCCTCTCTCACAAATGTCAGCGCACAAGACTTCCTTCTTTTACTCGTTCCATTTACATTGGCCGTATATTCTTGTTCCCTACATGTGCGATCTTTTTGCTTCCAAGAAAGGGGTTTACCCCTGTATGCCAATTACGACCCGTCGTTCGACCCGCGTTGTAAATCAGCTCTCATCTACTCAAGTTACACGAAAAGAACTTTACAGAATGATCTAATAAATCCACTTTGCTGCTTACTCATTACTCTCCTTTTCGTTTTGTCTTACTAAGTCCGGTTTGTGAGCCATTCGGGACGTACTCGCTAAGCATCCCACCCTTCTTTTACACCTGCGAATCTTGTGTTCACACGATCACTAAAAGCATCCCTGCCTATGGCTTTTACAAGATCTCTGGAACTGTAGCGAAAGGCCTTGCCTCGTCTACCGTTTTTGATTGATCGGTCTAACAACATTACAAGCCAATCCGAGGTGAACTCGTAAAGCAAATGCAAGTATTATTTCCGGGCAGATAGCACTAATGCTTGGGATATAGCGGATCACGGAAAGCCTTCTACAAAATTTGATGATACACTCAGTCTAGAGCGCAACACACGAATCTACGCTATAGGGACAGTGCTCAGTTTTACGTGACATACGTGAAAGCTAAGAATCATGAAGTCGCGGTTGTAGTGTTACGATTACTAAAGTGAACGGTACACGATCAAATCGAAGGTTGTCATTACGTATGGACCATCTCCTCTCAGCCGCATGCTGCCAAGTCTGGGCTGCCAAGGCTACCTCCTCGAAGGATCATAGGAGGAGGTAGCTAATGACGCACCAGAGGATTATCGAAACTCAATTATGGCCTGGAAGGTGAGAGGGGATTACCAAGCTCAGCTGGATTACAAAACGATCAACAGTAGGAGCAAGGAGACCGACAACTGTTTTCGGAGATAAGACGAGCCAGGAAGAATAAAGTTCGACATCTGGCAATCCTTTCGTCTCGACGAGCATCAATGACGAAGCCTTGAGAACTTGTCATCTGGGGTATTTAAAGACACGCATCTACCCAACCTGATCTAAAACCATCCATCCATCCAGTTGATTAATCCCAAGCCCATCATGTCCCACCTCACATACTTCGCCTACCCAGGCATCGGCGAGCGGATTCGAAAGGAGCAACACATGAGCCAAGCAGTCCGCATCGGAGACGTGATAGAAATCGCAGGCCAAGGTATTCATTCATCCTCTACAATCACATCCTCATCAGTATCCTAATACTAGACCTCTCAGGAGGCTGGCATCCTCTGGACAGCACCTGGCCAGAAACCCCCTCTGCCCACATCGATCAAGCTTTCTCCAACGTAGACTTTTGTCTCAAAGACGCTGGAGGTAAAGGCTGGAGCCAAGTTTACAAAGTGCGATGCTACTACCTCGATCCCGCGTGTTTTGCAGACGTGGTTCGAAATTTGAAAATGCACTGTCCGGATCATGAGCCTGTTTTTACGGCGATACAGGTTGCGGGATTGGCTTTTCCGGAGATGCAGATTGAGTTGGAAGCTTATGCTCATGTCACAGAGAAATGATTTTGATGGATTTTCCGAAATAGGAAGGAGCGGAGTGAATGTCTTACAGGATAGTAGCGGCCTTCCACAGGGTTGCAAATTCTTTGGTATCATTGGTAATCATGTAGCTCGAGGAAGATAAACACTCGTGTCATCAAGAGTATAATTTCAGGGAGATCCAGAGGCCGGCTGGTATCACCTTTGTCCAAGCGAAAGAGGTTTACTCAGTAAGTCTGCAGCACTCTAGCTTACAGGGGTACACCAACCAGAATGCATCTTCCGGAAAAACGTTGAATTTGCTTTTAAACATTCGTCGTGACGTGACGGTGCTATAGAAGAAGGCGGTTGAGGAGTCGCTGATTCCCACTTCTCTCAGATCCAACTTTGCTGACATGGTCTGGTATCCGCACAGCGATGTGGAAGCACTTGGCACTATCCTCGAGCGCATAATTTGCGTATTCTCCTCCCTGAATCGGATTGTTTCCAGTGCCGCAGAGGTAGTCGAATCGTACTTCAAGGTAGCGGCCGAGGAGAGCAACGAGAACTGCAGCGTCGAGCATGTCCGACACCGACTGCAACTCATGCATCGGCGAGACAAGCGATCCCGTCTTTCCAGCCCCCCCTGTTCAAGAGCTCGTAGGGAACATGTACGCCTGGGTAGGAAGCGAGAATTGACGGGCGAATCCGAAAACCTCGTCAATGGTAGTCCGGGAGGGCAACGTCAATGCCATGTTCCTTTATTCCTTTGACTGCTAACATCCAACGTCAGTCTGGAATCTTGTGATTTCTACGAGCTACCGCTCATTTCCCACCATCTATTAGTTGGGTGTTTCCGATATTTCCTTGAATTCTGTAGCCATGATGGTCCGATTTTGGTAGCCATAATGTCGGATCTTGTCGAAGGTTGTTACGTCGAAAGGCCTAGAAAAGTAGCGCTGCGGCGGAGGGAGGGGCGGATAGGAAGGATTGAAGTATTTCCAAATCTATGAAACGCTGCAAGCGTTTGATCCTGCTTCCAGCTCATCAATACTGAGCACGCGGGCTTTGAGTATATGTTCGAATAGGTGGTGAGGAGCCCTAAGCATCAAAACTTCTGCCATTCAAGCGTTCATTCAAGAAAGACCCCAGAAGCAACCCGATGCAACCCCATGTCCACTTTCCGCTAAATCCGCTCCAAAAGTACCGATTCCCCACCCGACCCGCCATCAAAGCGAAGTTTTCAACACGCAAGGCCAACCCAACCAACTTTCATCTCACAACTTCGTCCTCCCCTCCTCACTAGCCCTCCTCCTCATGCCACTACTCCCCACAATCCCCTCCAACACCCTTGCAGCCTCTCCAACCACCTCAGCAGCAGTACCTCCACCATCCTCTCYCCTCTGCAATCTCGCACTCGTCAACCAATGAACCTGCCTCTGCATGCCACCAACTTGCGCACCCAAATGTCCCATGGCTTCTCGAGTCCTCAGATTCTCATTCAAGATCTGCATTTGCGTTCTACCATCCAGTTCTTGCATCGCGGCAGACATGCGTGCGAGTTCGTCGCGGAGATTCTCATGCATTGAGAGGAGGTGATGTAGAGGGCTGACGTAGGGTCCTTCGTTTGTGGTTGGTGGTGGGAAAGAAGCGGAGCGGTCATCGTCGAAATCTAGAGTGAAAGGTGGGAAGTCTTCAGTGTCGTTGTTGTTCCTTGAGGGTTCGATTGGAGAGACCAGATCATGATGAGCAGTGGAAGATCCAGCGTTCCGCCTTGTTGGGGCAGGGTCCTCTTCGATCTTAGGATAGAGAATGCTCTGCATCGCTCCAAACCCATTTTCGAGCACTTCCAACTTCCGACTCATTTGTTTTTGAGCTTGTTCCTGCACTTCCAATCTGTCCGTCTGTGCGGCAATCACAGGCGCTAAGAGTGCAAAAGTGCAAGTCTTCGCATGATCTTCTGCACGCGATCTCTTGCCCTTGAAAATGCAGCCCAAAGCGCTTCCGGCACAGGKGATGCTGATGGCCGAACAGAGCTGGGTGCTGTGCTCCCCGAAATCCCGGTAAAATACCTCTTCTTTGCAAAGCTTGCATGCGACCAGACGGTCGGGACATTGTCTCCTCCAATGCGCTTCCAGATCACATTTCTGCATTTCCTCTTTGCAGGACAAGCAACTGACGCCGTAATGCAGACAACCTTGCGAAGCGTCTTTCCTTCGCACTGCGAGCTCACAGTCAAAGGCTAAACATTCCACCAGAGCGAAGCCGCAGTAGATTGTCATGTGATCCTGGACCTCTCCGCGTTTGACCTCTGCTGGACATCCTTCGTGCGATTTAGGACATTTGACTTTGAGATCGTCGAGTATGTTGACGAGGATTTTGCTTGTCGCACTTCGAGGGCCGAGTTTGGCTGGCGTTCGACAAGTTGGACAGTCTCCTCGAGGACCAAGAGGATTGTATTGTGTGGATGTGGTCCAAGTTTGGCGAATGCACTCCCGGCAGAAACAGTGATCACACTCTGTGAGAACGACGGGATCGACAAAAGGGCATCGACAAATGGGACACATGAGATTCTCGTCGTAGGGTGCCAAGTAGTCCAGTAATCGAAGATCAACCGGAGGATTGAGATTCTGAGCGCGGGCTTTGGACTGGAGGAAATTCTTTTCTTCCATGGTCCGGCGTTTTTCCAATCTTGCCATTCCTCGCAAGGCGTGGGCCGAGGAGGAGGGCATGCTGTCGGAATTGGAGGATGAATCGCTGGGGTTGCGATGAACCGTCAGAGTGGGTTCTCGCGGTGCCAGAGGTGGGGTACTGGGATCCGGCTCTGCATATGATGGGACTCGACGATGGGAGGAGAAGATGCCACTGTTACGATTCGACGAGCGAAAGAATGATGTTGGTCGCGACATGGCAGCGGCTACCGTACCTATAAGKCAGATACTCGGCAGTGCTGATCCCCGGCGGCTTTTAGTGTGTTTGGCGGGCGAGTCCGAATGGCCGGTATCCCTGTTCCGACGCGGGTGTCYCAATCCCAGTCAGGCTTTGCAGTGAGTTTACGGGAAGCAGCAGGAATATGTAGTGTTTTTTTCTTTCGCAGGAAAGGCGGAGGTGATGTTTGAGAACTGAGACGGGCTCGGCATCAGTTTCGCATGCTGCAGGCCGTCATGCGTGTAGGCGAGAATGGCGGCGTCAAGTATATTGGTGCCGTGGCGGTGTGGGATGGCTGGAACAAGAATGCGGGAGGGGATGCGGGGAGTTGTGGTGTGGTATATATGTAGTTTATTTCGAGCAATTTCCTGCAGAGGACGGGCCCTCAGAATAATATATATGTATGCGGAGGATTTCAAGTGACGCGGATCCAGGAATAGCATGGAGTGTCGGCGATCATGAGAGACGGGACATGGACAGATGAGACGGCGACCTGGTCTCTCTCGCTGGCGTGTTGGAAAATCGGCCGGGAACAGGCATTTGCGAGGCTTCGGTTAATCGGCGGGAGCAGCCGGGACGACGTGTGTGATGAGAGATGATCGCCGCGGCCATGCCATGCAGACTGCAGCCCGAGCGATGGGATTGGAGTAGAAGAACCATGTAATAATTAATGTAGCACGTGCGTGGTCAGGCTGCGACCTCATCGACAGGCTGGACCGACACAGTCAACAGACGGACGGACTATTCTKCTTGATCAATCGAGTGTGTACTGTAAATATTTGATGATCATAGTCCATCATCCCCAAGTAACTTGAACCGATCCGCATCCCATCCCATCCCGTCCCATCAACCTGCAGGCATCTTCATTCAGGAATCCGCCGTCTCGACGCACGAGCACAACACTTCCTCCCCGTCCCATTTCCCTGCAATCTACTGTACTGTACTGTACCGCATACTGCACTGCGCATTTCCCGGAAATGGCCACGTCCACGTCCACGTCTACGTCCACCTCGACCCCTCACCAGCTGCTTCTCCTGGCCGATCACCTCAAACTGTCGCTCCTCGAACGTCAACGCGCCCAATCCCTCAACTTACCATCCAGCAGCCAAAAAGACGCACAAATCACCCGTTCCCTCACCAACTTCGCCGAATCCCTCGCCGCCCTTGAGACACAAGACGAACCATCTTCAGACCTGCCTCGCCTACGCAAACAATACCATCAACTCTACGCCCAATTCCACGGCACAGCTCCTCCCAGCGACGATGCGACACACCCCAACGACCCCGCTCTTGCTCCAGATTTCGCGGCCGCACAACGGAAACCTTCCAACAAATCGACGACGGGCAAGAATGTGAGATTTCGTGATGATCCCTCTGCCGAAGAGGAAGATGCCAATCGCGCTGCTCTCTTTTCTTCCACATCTTCATCACAACAACAGCAGCCGTATACCGACGAGCCCATGTCTGCGCAGCAGGAAGAACAAGGATTGGACAATCAGCAAATACACGCCTATCATTCTCGTGTCTTGAGGGAGCAGGATGAGCAGTTGGATGTGCTGGGACAGTCGGTGGGAAGGCAGAGGTTGCTGGGAATTCAAATGGGAGATGAGTTGGATGAGCAAAATGAGATGTTGGGGGATGTGGAGAGGGGAGTGGATCGGCATAGTGGGACGTTGGATGCTGCACAGAGGAGGCTGGGCAAGATTGCGAGGAAAGGTCGAGATGGGTGGAACAGTTGGATCACCATTGCCATTCTGGTGGTGGTGTTGGTATTGCTAATTGCGGTGTTGAAATGAAGAGGTTGATTCAAGCAGTACTTACTGTTCAGCGAGCTTGTAGTTTTACAGCGGACTCTTACGATTTCATGACACGACAGCCCACGACCAGCCATCTTTTGACCTTAAATACACGTCCCACACGATCCCTCACCACTTTTCTACCAGTCCAGAGAAGCCACCTCCAACCCCACCAGAGGAACGACATCCACCATCCCGCGATGCCTGGCAGACATACTCCTTAGCTAATCTCATCTCACATCAGTCAAGATCAAAGTCCCCTCGATTGTTGTAATGCTGGTGTTGGAGAGGAGAATGTCTCGAATGCGGCCATGAAGCGGTCGTCGCTGGGAAGCATGTGAAAGTTCAAGCAATTTAGCGTGGGAGAGGATTGGCAGGGATGAAGCTTGTTGCCTTTCTTTCACAAACGATGTAGCATCCACGATCGTCAAGAGGAAGCTGTGGCCATCAGCAAGATAAGTCTTTGGGGGCGTCAAAAGGTGTCTTTGATTGATACTATTCTCATCATCATCAACCTCATCGTTCCTTGAAGTCACTGCTCAACGACTTCCTCTCACCAATTTCAAGACCGAATGCTGATGCGCTCGCTACATGTATGGCCTCGTTGTCTAGTTGTCCTGGGCTATATCCATTTCCGTCGAGTGCATTTCGATGACCGTATCTGAGAGTTGAAGATGTAAATGTAGACAGAATTGGCGATCCGTGAGATTGGCAACAATTTGTGGGTTCACAGTTGGATGAAGCTGAAGCATGTGAAAGTCCAAGAAAACTAGCGTGTTTGGCGCGTTTGCTCTCGACTACTTTCTTCCATCACTTCTCATATCACTTCTCATCCACCWCTTGTTCATCCACCACTGCTTCAACCACCACCACTGCTTCAACCACCATCACTTCATCCACGACTACTTCAACCACCACCACTTCAAATACCACCACTTCAACTAGCACTCTTCAACCAGCACCACTTCATCCACCACGGCTTCATTCACCACTTCTTCATCCACAAATACCAGGTTCGTTCCCGCGACACTACACCACTGGCAATGACGGACGCGGCAACAAAAGAAAGTCGGCGCCAGTCCCGCCGCYCCGACAGACTGTGCTACCCGAACAACACTGCGCGCATCCTCCTGATGAAGCAGACGAAGCCAGACACGCTTACGCCGCGTATTCAAGCTTTACCGCAGGAGTTGCAAGATGAGATCCGAGCGTACACGCTCCTGATCGCTCGCCAGCGTGAATATTGGATAGGCCGTCAGATCCTCGAAAAGGCCCGAGAAATACCTTTGCTGGCTTCCAGACCTCGCCATGGTGCGAACACACTCAGGCTCGAGCGCCTCGTTCATCACGCTCGAGAACTGTTCAGGAACCCCAATCCCGACTACGTCGAGTCGCTGCGCGGTCTAGTGCGTGTCTTCGCCACTGATGAAATCACAACCATATTCTTCCTGAGACAGCTCATCAGTTACCCGATCTCGRCCAAGAGCAGTCTCCTTGAAGAAGCTGCAGTCTTGCGAATCGTCATGCTGGCGTGTGAATGTACCAAATTGAGAAGCACCTCTCTAGGACTGGGATATGTTTGTCGACTTGTCCAACCAAGATTCAAGTCCTTCGAGTATTTGCGCTGGAACTTGTGCATGCAGGATATGCCTACCTTCCTGACGGCGACAGTCAAGCAGCCATACCTCGGTAAAGGGTACCCATGCATACCTAGTTCGCCMAGTCATTGGTACATGGACATGCATGGCGCTGATCCCGAGCACCGGGCCATCATCAGCGTGGAAGGAGACAAGTCGTACACATGGCTGTCGCTTCATGGCGGAGGATGGTGCTTCACTACCAATACCCCATCTATCAAAGAGCTGGACCTCACGGGCAGTTATGGGATCGTGGAGTGGCAAGTGGAGGGCAGAAGTCCTGTTCGTATCGACTATTTGCATAGGAGAGCGGGAACATTCAACAAGTATTGCGAGAAGTTCGACCCGAAGGGAGCCCGGGAGGTGGAGAGGTTGCGAGCGGAGCACGCGAGAAGAGACCTCGAGGAGTTTTGGGCATTGCGCGAATGGAGACATGGTTGACGGGATTGGCGTCCTCAACAGCTCTCGCCATCACCTGCAAGGGCGTCTCAACATGGAGGAGCAGTCGAGCAGCTCTAGCATAGGCGAGACATCGGACTGTCGAAATAACATGAAAAGGGCTCAGTGGGTTCTGCGGCGGCGAATGGCTACCCTGTCGACAGCGTCGGTACTCTCTCCGGTAGCAAGAACACTTCCAAGACTTCTGCGCGAATGAGCTGCTATTGGGATCCTCGCGGTGTAATTTCAGAATTGTCGTGGAGATCTGGCAATACGAATGCAATCAATTGGCAGGCCCTGAAGATCGTGTTGGAATTCCTTAGGGGAGGTAACGGATTGATCAAGTCATCGGCCAGTGCACCTTTCTTGCAGAGAGTAAACGGGTCGAAATGCCGGACTCGGGGCTGATCACAACGTTCTGCACATTTCCAGCGAATACTGGAGCTAGCTGGGTATCTATCTACTCAAAGACAAACCTGCACTTCGTACTGCATAACCTGTCTTTCATGCTTCAGGCACCTTTCCTCCAATGTACTTGTAAACAACCGAAAAGTCCTTGCCCTTCAATTGCTCAGTTCCTTCCACAGCCGTGTAGATGTCCTTGGCGTGAACGCCCAACTCGGGCACAATGCCCGCCTGAGTGGCGGCTTCCAACGCAAGCCTCAAGTCCTTCAACATCAATGCCGTTCCGAATCCTCCCTCGTACCCTTTACTCGCGGGAGAGCCCTCAATGACTCCCGGAACAGGGTTGTTTACCTCACTCGGCCAGCACTTTCCCGTAGCGGTATTGATCATATCCGCCAATGCCTTGGCATCCAATCCCCACTTGACACCCATGTTCATCGCCTCGGCCGTGGCAATGTTGTTGAGAGCGAGGAGATAGTTGTTGGCCAGCTTTCCCTTGAGACCGGACGTCTGTGGTCCTAGATGCACAACCCGTTTACCCATGTGGCTGAGAATGGCGGTGACCTGGTCGACGAGCTCCGGGGCCGCACCAATCATGAACGTCAATTTTCCGGCTGCTGCTCCCACCACACCACCGGACATGGGAGCATCGACGAATTTCCCTTGGCCGGAACAGTGTGTTGCCTCGGCGACTTGGGCGGAGGAGCGGGGATCGATGGTGCTGCAATCGATGAAGAGGCGTTCCCGCTTCACGGGCGTTTGGGAGAGGAGGGTTGGGGGCATGAGCATTTGTTGAAAGACATTCTGCACGTGGTGAGGTTCGGGGAGGACGGTGATGATTGTGTCCTGAATGGGAAATATGTGAGTTGGCTGGGGAGTGTTTAAAGGTGAGATTAACGTTACAAACATACCGCGTTTTCGGACACTTCGCGAACATCTTTTGCAATCGTGACGCCTTTGTGTTCTGCTTTGAATTGCTCGAGAATGGTGGGATTCACGTCGTGAATGACCATGGTGTCCGAGGCCGGGATCTTGTTGCGAAGGTTTCTGGCCATTGGATAGCCTGATCGAGCAATTGTCAACAACATTCGTTCACTCATTGAAGTTCACTCTCTGCTTCAGTTCAAACGCACCCATTCTCCCCAATCCAATGAAACCATAGCTGGCCTGTAATCTGCTGGCACTGRCAAAGCCTCGTCTCGAAGTCGTGGTTGAAGTGGAAGTGGAAGGTGTGGAAAAGGCTTGTCGAGCCGCAGCCAACGTCGTGGTCCTCATTGTGCTGGTGCTGGTATAGGTGTGGTTTTGGACGTGGGGTTGTATGGAAGAAACCACGGGATCATTGAAGCATAGTAGTGCGACAACAGCAACAAGAGAACAAAAAAAGTACGAGGTGTATGGAGTGTTTGCAGGAACAGGACAAGGCGGCACACGAGACCCAAGCAGAGCAATGGTCGATCACTTGGTTGAACTCTCCTCTTCCGCTTCCCGAGGGTCCCAAGAAGCTTGCCCCACAGAAACTATCCCCAGCTCTCCAGCAAAATCCACTTATTTCTCCACTCAACAATCTCCCACCCCGTCCATCGCGATCTTGAAAGTGAGGGGTCCATTTGATGAGGAGGGAGAAGTGAGACATGCTGTGGTTTTTGAGTGAAGATGAAGACGGAAGGTCCTAGGTTGATACAGTATATACATAGACCGCGATTGATCGACAATGCGACATTTCAAAAATGTCGCGCAGCTTCGCGTGTGAGAGCCCTGGTGTGAAGGTCGTCATCGTCCCGCGCTGCCGCCGGTGGTCCGAGGGAAAGTCTAAATTAAGCAGGAAAGAGCTTCTTGCATGGCATCCCTGACTGTTTTCAATTTCCATCTTTCACACAACATCGACGAAACAGCTCACCGCCCGGCCGAGCGGCAAACCAGGCAGTCTCATTCAAACTCGATGTTTCTATTCTCAATCTCGACACAGTGTCCCAATTCCTGTCATCGCAATGCCAAGTTTGAACTGTTTCCGTCCTTTACCCCTATCTCCTTGCCTCGCATCTTCCACTACCACCAGCAATTCAACATCACTTGATACCCATCAACTACTTCATGGCCAGTTGCCCAATGTTCCAAGTTCCCAAAATGGCTATATCGCATTGCGGGATACATGCTCGGGCCATATCGAAATCGCCTCGTTCACGCCGGTCCAAATAACATTGGGCTGGTGCCTGAAGAAACAGCCTGACCTCCCATCGGTAGAGACTCTGTTGACTTCCATCAAACCGCCTTGTCATGCTGTCCAATTGAGTGTCTCCCTTGGCTGGAGTCCCATTGCTTCGGACCACGGGAGCAGCCGCGCTAAGGGAAGACGAGTTGCGGGAAACGCGCAGACTCTTTTTGAGAAGAATTGAGTGAAGCAGTTCTTGGACTTTCGCAGTATTGACCCAAAAGTAACTGCATGAGCATTCTGATGCGGTCTCAGACCTTGGATCCTGCGGATACCACAGCATTGCTTTTGCATGTGTCCATTTCCCACCATATCTGCTACGCATTTGCAAGCTTCGCGTGGCGCCACAGCTTGGAGGTGGCCTTCCAAGCAAACTTTCAGGTGTTGCATCTGCAGCGTGGAAAACAATCCCACGCACCAGCTCGACACGTGGGATGCCCAGCTGTTCCTCCACAGTTCTCGGCTAAGACCCTTTGCAGCGCATACGAGCTGCGCATCTACCTTGCAGTGTACAAGTAGGCGCACGATGAAACACAAGCCACGTTCCCTGCATGTTCGAGAAGCATCCGGAAAGCAAAATTGTCCGCAACCCGTCGGCATGTGCAGACGCAGCGGAGATCCTTCTCGCCGCCGCTCGCTTTGCGAAACTGCACTGCCCATCACCCCTGACCAACAGGGTACTGAGATGAGGTGGATGGTCGCCGGATGCATGAAAACGCTGCAACGTAATTACGGTGGTCAACTGGCTGGAAATTTGTGTGCGAGGCAATAGGAACCTCCGCAACAGGCACCCTTCACCGGTTACTGTCACGTCATACTGCAGCAAGATTAGATCTGCGCGAATGGGCTCCCCTCCGCGACGCCGAACATGCGGAAGAGAGATTGTGCTTGTCGCGCAGTAATCCGTGGTCCGCGGACTGTCAAAATGTACGAGCTTTCAGGACGCATCGGGAAATTGGCCACTCATGACGCAAAGGCGTGGTTGTCGATAGGGCTTAGATATGCCTGCCGGCTGCCCCGTTTTGGCGCAACAACGAGGCAGCAGCACTCAGCAGGATTGCGATGTGTTCGCTCGCTTGACCGGGCACCGTGCCCATGGGATGAACAGTCAAGTTAGTCTGGCCTCAAGGGCACCAGTAGCTCCTCAAGGGTATAAAGCTATTCGAACGCTTCTCCAGAAGACTATCACCACCACCAACGTTGGATACAAAATTTGATTTGGGACATTTTCGCCACCATGAAACCGCGAACTTCCTTGGTAACCTCTGCCACCGCCCTTGGGGCAATGCAAGTCATCATTGGGCTGGCCCGAGTTGTGCTTCAGCGTCAGCGCAAGAATGGCCACGCCATTCAGCAGGAACTGCTGATTCGTCTCGAACTCCAAGGCCTGAGGAAATGTAAGTCCGCCGTGATGTGACATTCAGCAAACTAACGACATGGTGGGGACTGACTGATGTGTTTAGGCTCCTGCACCCCTTTTATTACAGCAACGCAGTCATCGCCTCGCATTTCATTCGCGACGCAGAGACTGGTGCCGTCCGAGCGAGTCGCAGAGTAGCTTAACACCGCCAACCCGCTCTCCACTACATCAACGCAACCGGCGTGTCTAAACCAATGCGCTATCACTGGATGGAACGTCTCTTGGAGGAGGCAGAGCAAGGAGATGAAGAGGCCCAAAGGCCTGACTTACCACAGGCCAGTTTGGGTGTGTATTTGTATGTAGGAGGACGCGATCTCGCGAGGACCGATCATAACTGTTGTAAGGGTTTGATGCCACTCCAATATCAAAATTGACTGCTCCTGCAGTGGTGGGCGTTCAAGTGAGGCGCAAGTATTCTGAGATTACGTTCTTCAGAAGTTCAGACTTTCGTATATTTAGATGGGTCGGTCTCGTGTTGGACAGTACACTAGATTCCGATACAGAGATACCAGCATTTCCAGTCAATATCCTGCTCCGAAATGGCTGAACATGATGAGGCAATGCTGAGGCCGAATGTAGTGCAACAATCTTGTGTGAGGTGACGTGGAGTTGGAGACATCACGGAGGTTCATCGCCGGCCATTTAGCGGCGTCCCTTCGGAGCCACTTCCGGTCGATCATCCTGACATGAGCTTGCGCGAAGACGACGATGAAACATGGTTCAACGAGATGGTGATAGTCGGGGAAGGGCTTGGAACAAAATCGACACTCGCATACGTCCATCACACTCTTCCGGGGATGGTCAACACTTCACAGTGCCGTTGACAGTCTGTGTCCACCCCGCCTAATCATCTCCCTCCGCTGCAGCATGTCTGCACGCTCTCGTGTGGTATCGGCCGACGAAGAGCTGGGCAAGCGTGACGACGACTTCTTCCGATCGAGATCCACATCTTCACCTTCTACGCCCGTCATATCAAGCTTTCTGCCTTGGCCATGGCGCAGACGACGGGTCCTCACGGTGTTGGCCGTGATAGCTGTGGTATATGTCTTCATGTACACACTACCTACCGATAACACAGTACCCGAAGACTCTACTGTTCGCTCGCCATTCACGCATGGCAATACGCCTATCGTACCCTCTCGTTCCGCCCAGGAACCCGTCGGATCCCCACCTCGAGACCAGAGCGGCGAGGATGATGATGAGACGACAAAACATTGGTACAATGGTGTGGTTCGGTACTATAATCTGGCTGGTAGCCTACACAAGATCTCGCGGACGGGAGGATCACTATCTCACAATCGGAATGTGCTATTTGCTGCCTCTTCCCTTAAGAGCATGRCCAACCTCATCCCCATGGCCTGCGAGATGGCCAGTCTGGACAGAAATTACGCGCATTTTGCGCTGTTCGGGCGCAGCACAATCTCCATGGAGGAGTTGCTGGAGATCAATGGCGTGGATTTGTGGAGCTGTCCGGTCTTCTGGCATGATGCGCGAGGAGACTTTGCCGAGTACAGCAGTGATGCGCGAGCCGAGAGTGCAACTCGAGGAGCCTTGAAGCACATCAAGGACTTTATGCATCCCCAAGCTGTGATCATGGACGACAGTGCAAAGGAAGATCTTTTCTTCACCCGTGCGATGCGTACCAAGGCGAAAGATTTCGGTCATACTCTCATYGAGGTTCCTACAGGCAAGTACGAGGAGTTCCTCTGGATGACCAAACTGGAGGCGAACAGTCTTGCAAACTGGTTCAGTCCGACCGTCGACATTGTCATTCAAGCCCCGCGTGCGAGTTCTGGTCGTCTCATCCGTCTCGTGTGGAGCTTAATCAACGCCGACTTTCGTGGGCTAAAGGTTCCTAGACTCACTATAGAGCTACCCTCTGACATAGAGCACTATGCGGAGAAGTTCCTCCATGAACTTCAATGGCCGGTAGCTCGCGACTCCCTGCCGTCGCATCCGAGTTTGCTGACACTTCATCACCGCATTCCGTCCGGCCGGCAGAGTTCCGAGCAGGCTTCGCTCCGCTTCGTAGAGTCATTCTACCCGTCTCGACCAGAAAATCATCATGTTCTTATCCTCTCTCCACAAGCGGAACTCTCGCCTCGATTCATGCAATATCTGCACTATCAAATCCTCGAACACCGCCATTCGTCTTGGATTTCATCCTCCGCGCAATCCATGCTCGGACTTTCCTTGAATGTTCCATCAACATACCTCAATGGAACGGCAGGCTTTGCTCCTCCACATGGAGACGGTCTAAACGGTGACAAGCCCTCGTCTTTTCTCTATCAAGCACCATCTTCTACAGCGGTTCTAATATTCGGCGATAAATGGTCTCAGTTTCACTCCTTCCTTACCAAGCGTCTTCAAGTCGACCCAGGTAAGAAGACGACCAAGTATGTCTCAGAGACGGAGCCAGCATGGTTGGAGTACTTGCTGGAGTTGATGCGTGCTCGAGATTGGACTGTCCTGCACCCTGCAGCCTCCACAAACCTAGTAACGGTTCACAATGAACTAGCACAGGTTCCCGAAGAGTACCTGCGGCCTGGCGCTGGGAGGAGTGAAGAAGGAGCCAAGAAAGCAGATGGATATGGAGATGGGGAAGCGTTTCTTCTCTCCAGTGAACCTCTTGTGCTAACAGAGCGGATTGAGAGCGACGTTCATCATGGCGATGGCACACCTCTGCATCGTCTTTTGGAGCCTGAGATCACAATTGGGGAGTTGCCCATCGTGGCGTTTGACGGAAACGTGGTCACGCGGCTAGGTCTGAGTAATGCGGGATCCGAGTATCGAGAAAACTTCCGCAAATCTTTCGGTGGTTGCGATGCCAAAGATGCAGCAAAGAGCCGGATGACGGATTCGACTGGAGCGAGTGATCTCTTCTGTTTGCCTGGGGAGAAAGTTGAAGAGGACGAGCCATTGGATAGGGGCTTCATTGAAGCGGAAGTTAAGGTGCCCAGCAAAGGTCTGGACGATGCGATGGGTACGGTCTGATTGGATGCAACAAACTAAAGACTTTTTGATGTCTTGAATCCGTCAGAATGAGCAAGAAATGCCCCACAGCGAAGGCTTCGAGAGAATGAAAGATACTTCGTCCTGCGTTCTAACCCACGTCTTCCGACGGGACCGTTTCGCAGGACACAGATTTCAGGAAGATCAAGAAGCATGCATCACGGCGACCACAAAGTACGTGGTTAGAGTGGAGAGTCTGTGAAAGCGTTGCCGGATCGCATGTTATGCATGAGGTAGCATCGATGCTGGCCGTCGGTGAACTATAGAATCTCAAAGCGCAGTCTCGTAGCTCCGCAATGTGGAGAAGGAGAAAGGCAGATTACCGTTGCCAAGATCGCACTGCATGGCGAGATCGTGTCAGATGTTTTCGTGGGATGGCGACGGATGTATTACGCACTCACAGAGCGGCTGACGAGGTTGCAATCCTTCGACCTTTGCACTCGCGGAGCTCTGTGGAGGGCTCCAATTGTTATTGGCTTGACCTGAGGATCTTGGCCTTTTGCTTGCAGGTCTCAGCCTTGGAAATACCGTGGCGCAGCGTTCCGGCTAGCTTCTAAGTTCTTGGACGAATACTTCCACGCGGGTCTTGTGCGACGACATGAGCTGACCACACTTCGGATTCCACGGTGGTGCTTACTTTAGACTCACATACGWTGTTCCATCCACCTGACTACGCAAGTCGCTCCTACTTGGAATGATTCCACGTGCTGACAGAAGGAGCCTTTGCGTATAAATACCGCTGTTCGCTAAGTGAGAATGATTTCCCTTTCCATCATATCGAAGTAGACTCAAGATGCTTTCAACTTCCATTCTTACCCTCACGGGTCTTATCAGCAGTGCAACGGCCATAATTACCGGAGTAGCTGTACCTTCTACCATTGCACCCGGCTCGACCGTATCTCTCACCCTCACCACCGCCAACTATATCCAATCCGTGGCCGACATTTCCGTGGCTTTCGCTCTCAGCCCAGCCATCTACCCAGGCTACCTCGGCGCAGATTTGCTCGGATCCTTCTATCTCGGGCCCTCCAAGTCTAACGTCCTCACCAACATCACCTTCGATGTTGCTGTCCCTGCCAATGTCGCCGATGTCAAGTATTTGACAGCGATCATCACGAGTCTTTACGGGGCCACCCATGGACCTGTGACGACACAGTACAACGTCCCCATTACCATTGGCAAAGACACCAGCGACGAATTAAGCTCCAGTACCTCTGGTACAAACGTCTGCACAAGCTCTTCATCATCCGTGGCGAGAGATTCTACCTCCTGCTTCCCATCCGCGACAACATCCATCATTCAGTCCAGCATAGGATTCGCGGGTGCTTTGATCGGAAACATCGACCACGGAGACAACTCTACCGGACGTCAGAATCTCGGTCAACTGAATGGATACCTTGGAGACCTCTCGCGTGCAATTGTACCGGGCTGCAGTACCCCACCGGCATCACCCTGGCCTCCGCTTTCACCGTCGGATTCCAAAATTCGCGCGATTGGGATGCTGAGACAGGTGCAGGATGGTTTGAATGCTTTGCAGGGCGATGTTCTCGCGTGTGAGGTGGATTTGGCAAAGAGTGTCTTGTGTCAGGTTCTGGCGATTGTGAGCGGAGTTGCGCAGTATTACGTTTGAATCTTCCCCCTGGGCTGAATGAACTTCTCCCATCAAACTAGTCTGTCTCTCCACTTCAATAATGTGGTTTGTTGAATCCTGATCTTTGCTCGATTTGACCAGGCATGACCCTCCTCATCGAATTCCAGCGGCTCTCCTAGCTGTGAAACATTGTACTGGCAGGTGTATATACAAGATGCCAGAACATCAAATTCTGCTTCCGAGTATATTGGAGCAGTCAACTTTGCCTCATGATTTCTCGGGCGTAAGTTACACGCAGTGTTGATCGGTCGAACGTTATTTGCTAAAGTCTAGAGATCCGTATCCTAGAAGCACCGCAGCAACTCGATTCTCGCCAAATAAGAGCACACTCCGGGCATGAATATGTGAACTTCCCACTCACGCTTATAGCAGCTTCAGGCGAAAGTCAAAATGTCTCAGATCGAGGAATTTCGAGATATTGGCAGGAATCTCGGGAGAGCTTGCGGCTTTGTTGGTGAATGAAGTTGGAAATCGACATCTTCTAGTTCTCTTGCGCGACGGTCAGGAGCTTATTCAGTGTATAATAGTAATACAGTAATGTTTTGAAAATAAAATCGTACATAACTTTTGCGATGGTTGAGCGACCAAGTCCTGCRGTATTCAGCGAAACTTTCCAGTCGACCGTGAATATCTCAATACCCAGAGCCCCGTTCCTTCACACGGCAGAAGCAGCCGTTCCAAGATCACGCATAAGCTGTATCAGGTTCTCAACCATGGCAGGTCGTTGAGGCACTGCATGATTGGAACGAGATGGCTGATTGCTCGATTCCGGTGGCTGACTAACAGTTGCAAGGGCATCTACCATGACCTCCATGACCCGCTGCGATTCGTCCAGCGGCACAGCATGCTGCTGAGTGTGTCTGGGCTGTGCTTCTCCATTATCAAGTCCGGGTGGCTGGAAGTCGTCAACGGCGCCAATGGCGTTTGCTGCTGAGCCCCGGCCAAAAGGCGAGACTGAGGATATAACCGCACGTCCTTGGTTCGTTCTGATGAAGCGATTGCCTGCGTCCGTTATTATTTCCTCTGCACCTTTCTCATCCAAGTAAACAAGATCTCCTTGATAGTCGATTGGAAATTCTCGACGCCCTCCGGACTCTTCCCGTTGATTCTCAATACTAATGGCTTTGGTAAGTAGTCCGTACGCCCAGAAAGCGAGGCCTGCGTGGTATAGAGCCACGGCGTGAAAGTCTCGAAGCCAGGGGGTGTCGGGTGTGGAAGCGCGTGATGCATTGGGCGACCTTCCTGCGGGTCGTCGTGCGGCTGACAAGATCTTTCCGGCATGGCACATTGCCTGTCTGCATTCGGGAGTGCGGTACCATTGCTTCAAGAACGGCAACACCCTTCTTGCTTCGTCCTCGCCCTCCTTTCCGGCTAGCAACTGGAGATCCTCGAACGCGACGCACAGATTCATTCGCAGAAGTTGAGACGTCATGTGGACTTCCTTTGGTACAAACACGTTCCAAGCTATAACGGTGCCTTGGAAGGTGTCAAATAATCGCTGGAGCTCCTGACGCTTGGATGAAGCCAGCATCGAGCCGGCCCACTGTCCGTCGGTCTGTGCTTGAGCTTTATTGGCCGAGTTGAGCTCAGTATATTCACGCGCGAGACACCAATGGGCCAATAACACAAGATACATAGTGAATTCCAGATCGATACTTCTCAAGACCTGGCCCACGGTCTCTGGATCGCGCATGCAGGAAAGGAAGCTCGGTAGCTGCTGCCCTCCAAGTCCAAGAGCAAGATATTGGTCGCGCCACTCGGTCGCTGAAGTGGCTCGCCACACACCCTGCGGTGCTGGTAGATCGAGCGTTATTTCCGCATAGGATACAAGAGGAGGGGTTTGGAATGCGGCGGAAACTTGAACGCAGTGCAAGAAAAGGTGAAATACMAGTCTTTTGGAAGACTCGCCAGACACCCAAGCTCTCCATTTTGACTCTGTGGTAGCGAGATCATCTTGGCTTGATGGCCTGATGAGATCGCTCCTGGATCGACGGAACGCACCTGACCTACGCAGCATAGTGATTAGCGGCAGAACGTTCGACTCTGCAAGTTCCATCTTTCGTTTGTCGCCGCTCCAGGTTCCGATGTTAAGGGAGATTGAATAGGCCTGAAGTGCTTGAAGGCTTCGGGTGTTGCGACCGTCTCGCTCGAACATCTCAGCGATGGCCAGCCGACCTTCCAAAGTAAGCGTAGATTTTGTTACACTCAAGTTGTTGGATGCATACCTTTCTCTTGCAGAGCGTACCCAAACTTTTGAGCGTGGCTGGATCTACTCAGGATGGCACCGCCAGCAATCATGAGCGTCAGTAACTCCGGGGCTGATTCGTTGGCAACGAAGGTAGGAGTGTGGAACCAGCTGTCGATACTGTGCTCCATCACCAGGAGAAAATCATTCATGAAGATGTCCAAAACCCGCACTTCCAGTCGAACGTCAACGATTGAAGTATTCGCCAGATGTCACTTCATGGACTCACCCGCAGGAAACAGACTGACTATGTTCTGATAATTGCCTCTTTCACAACTAGCAAGCAATAGAGCTACAATTCGATCGCGATCCTGCATCATCAGTAATTTGCGGCTTTTTGGCACGTCCGAGCCATACCTTTTGATGTAAAGGTTTCATCAGTGGTAGTTGGCGTGGGCGTGGTAACTTGTCGGGCCCATGGCTCTCTAACAGTACCGAAGCCAGTGCATGATYGTGGTCGACACGCTCGTCGTTCGGTTCCCATCTCCATGCCGATCTGTTGTAAGCTGCAGTGCCGAGATTAATGCTCTCGTCAATTGTGGCCGAGTTTGCGGTGGAATTCGACTGGCCATTCAGACGAGCGTTGTCTTCGGGTAGCAGCGCGGGTTCCAACCAGTTCAGACCCCAGTCTCCGGTCAAGACTGCATCCAGATCGTTGAATTCCAAGCTTAGATCCTGACCAAAGTCCATCAAATCGCGCAGAGTATGGCTCTGGTTCGGAACAAGGCTGGGCTGTGGAAGGTACGCCGTGTCGGACTGTGAAGGCTGGAAAACGTCCCGGAGAAAGCCTGTGAGTGAATGATTCTCATATGTGGGCACGTTGGTTGCTGGGTCTAGAATCAATGGTTGATCGTGCAGCGGCGCTGGAGGCTTAACGCGGTCTGGCATATCTTCCTCGTTGTGGTCCAGTGGCGCCCTCCACTGGTCTACCCTGGCAACATCACCATCGCTTGACCCAGCTGCGCCGCGAGATACCCCTGAGTCGACTCGACATTCGATGTTTCTCCATACGCATCGCTTACATGGCTTTTCTTGATCGCACTTCACCTTGATGCATGCACAGGCCACGCAAGCTTGAGAAGCTCGGATTTTTCGTTTCTTGCCTGCCTGTTCAACTTGTGAATGTAGTGTGGCGTGGCGCCTCAACAGGTCGCTGTGATATGTTTCAGATCAGCCGTGATCGTGTGACAAGTGGAGCTGTGGGTAGCGAGTGAATGGCATGGCAAGCCAAGTAGTACGTGGCGCCTAAGATGGCCCTGACGGGCCCACGATGTATGGTATCGGCCTGCATCTGATGCTTGTCGGACATTGCTCGGCGTGACTGCCGTGGCATGATCAGGAAGAAGGGAGATTCACGAGAGCTTCACTGACTTACGCTCTTGCAAACGTCTTTGAACATTCGTTGCACCGGAAGGGCTTCTCATTGGTGTGGCTGCGAAAGTGTCTTGCCAGATGATCGACTCTGCCATAGATTTTCTGGCAAAGGTCGGTTCCCCAACCAGGTCAGCCCGGAGCGCGGCGAGCTTTAAACGTCTGGAAGGAATACTCACTGCAGACGAATTGATTGATTCCTGGTYCCTCGGCCGCTGTGGACATCGTCACGTGTGCATGGCTGCATGTGACATGCCTCTCCCGCTCGCCCTTGAAATCGTTCGCGTTCTTGAAAGAGATTGGACTAGTCCGATGCTGTGATCGATGCGATACGATACGGTACGATACGGTACGGTTGAGGTGGGGGAAAGAGCAGATGGTGATGGGATATGGTCGCCGCATCCGGAGTTTTGCCGCCCACGTCAGCCGTTGATGAAGCCTACCAACCTTACCTGGCTCTAGTCCAGGTATCCCCTGCTTCAATGTCATTTTTGCAGGTCAGGGTGTTCCAGGTTGTTATTACAATCGTGATTGCCGTCGCGAAGACAACTCGGTGATGTCCTTCAACGCGTACACATGCCGCAGTCAGCCAGGCCGCGAGCGCATCCAACACATCGTCTGCGCCGTCCACGTACCGCATTACGCGGCCGGTGCTTCGGCAGTCATATCGTAGGAGCTTCTCAATCATGTACAGTACAATCTTGTCCCGGCGAGAGGTAATCTCCATGTAGCATATCCATACAGTAACGGTAACATCAACCCAGGATCCGAGACCTCAATGTGCGCCGCTGACAACAGCTTTCGAAAAAAGCCGAGTGGAATTCAACCACGAGAGGCCTCAGCACAAAAGCCCGGCCTGCCTCGGCCAGGGGTAGACCTGCCTCTCGCATCTTCGGTGTTGAAGCATCAAGTCCATCACTGCGTATTTCACTGCGTGTCCATCACTGCGTGTCCCATCCCATTTGGGAGCCCGTGTCGCATGATATTGTCGTAAGCGATCCCGTATGGCCCGTCTGGGAATGAACAGCTGAGCGGACCTGTGATTCCTGATGCACAGTATCGTTTCGTTGGGTCCTTACCCTGTATGATGCCGTGGTTGGCTACACCTCCCCACTGTGTTGTTAACATGTGTTGTTGGCCAAGAAGGTCGGTCGACGTCGGATTCCACTCCGGGTCCGGCCGATGTCGCTCGGCTTTCGGCATGGCGCTGACCTACCTTACCTAACGACTTCCGGCCCATTCGTAAGACAGCTACACATTCGATCCAACACCACAAAATGGCCAGCGCCGTTTCAAATTTACATGCGGGAAATTCTCGCTTTAACGCGGAAGCAGCAGCATGGGATTCGCGCCCATTTGTGCTCGAAGCCTCGCGAGAAGCCTCCAAAGCGATTCTGGCAAAGCTTGAAGATATGCCCATTGCATCGGACGGGTTGCAAGTTCTCGAGATCGGCTGTGGAACTGGAATTCTCTCCTTCTTGCTCGCGACAGATTCGCGAATATCTCGCATCGTAGCCGTGGATGCCGCTGAGGGTATGATCGATGTTTTGAAGGAGAAATTGCAAAAGTCAGGAGCCCCTCGCAACATTGTTCCCCTGGCGCTTCTGCTGGAAGATCCGAACGACTCTGCTTTGCCGGCCGGTCCTGATGGGGCAACGCAGAGGTTCGATCTCATCACCAGCCATTTAGTCTTGCATCATATTCCAGAGCTACGACCCGTCCTGCGGACCATGCTTGGATGCCTGAAACCTGGAGGGCGGGTTATGCTGACTGACTTTGAGGATTTGGGAGCCGAAACAAAACGGTTCCATCCGATTAGTAAGCTTGACGGAGTTGCCAGGCATGGTATCAATGCTGTTGAGATGAAAAGACTCATGGAGGACGTCGGCTTCGCAGAGGTTGAAGTGAAGTCGCACTGGACCATGGACAAGAAGGTGGAGAGGTTCGAGGGCGAGTTCGGCGAAAATGGAAATGCCAAGGACGGTATGGGCGAGATGATGAAGTTCCCATTCGTGGTCTGCTATGGTATCAAGCACGGCCAGGCTTGAAAGTTGCCTCGTGGGATTCTGGACGAACAACAGCAGGGCCGCAGATACCGCGTCCGATCTCCCGCTGCTGGGCTGCCATGTGGCTCAACGCCAGGACCCAGAGGCCTGGATCGCACTGGCCCGCCATTTGAAGCGCATACGTTATGGTAACCCGCCACCTAGGTGTCTTTCATTGAATAATAGGGACAACTCGCAACCGTTGTCACCTGCGGCCGGTTGAGCGAACTTTCTGTGCTAATCACGATTGTCTCTGTGCAGAGCATGCACGCCCGGAGCTGTGACTACAAGCACTCCTACTACCCCCCGTTCCAACGCCACATGGACGATCCAGGCGAACGTTCAAAACGACCTACAGGCAACCTTGCTTCCATTACCTCACTTTGGCTGCCGCTTTCGGTGCGTCACGAGCAACCTCATTACAAGTCTGCACGCGCGGATGAACTCTGAACGGAGCTGGCAGACGGCATGACGCGGTCGATTTCACCAGGATATTCCAAGACCAGAAGCCAAGGCATGTGGAGCTGCATCCTGCAGAGCTGCCCGGCTCCAGGTGGCCTTCCTGTACCATGATTTGTGAAAAGGTTGCCTGCGTCGGATAATCGGCCACCAAGGTCAAGAGATAGTCCTGACACTTCCTGTCTTCGACTGAGGCTGTATTGGACACTGTTGATTGGCGTCACTTCCAATGTTGTGCTCATCGCTGGACTTCCAGTTCCCACACGGCTGCTGGCGGCTTGGCAACACAGGCGTCAGGCTATCATGACCGCAGAGACGATGTGGTACCCTCATACTTGGAGCTCTGTAAAAAGGCCGCATGAGCTACAGTCCCTGCGGCGCTCCACTGGGAGCGCCGATCTTTTTGTTCATGTGCAGCTGCGGGGTCGGTACCTCATCTGGCGGGTTGCCATGAACTCACGACAAACTGATGAAGCGATGAGAGTGCATGGCTCTGGCTAAGTTCGTGATAAAAGGCCCGGCCTGAGGGCTGCTGTCGCGGACGCATGGAACGTAACCAGATGCCCGGATGCCCCGAATCATTTGTTACACCAATACGAAACACAGAGCTGCGAACGTGGCCCGATCTTGATTGCAACCGTTCGGCACGAACTTGGCCATGCTGGTGGAAAACATGGCATGGCTTGACTCCATACGGTTTAGGTAAGTTGGCCCCTTCTGCGCCGACGGATTCATCAAGCTAGCTGGAGATATTTTAAGTGGTCAAAGATGATGCTGAGTTGAGATATAGTTTGAGCGAACCATGTATCGGAGCTCCGATTCCCAGATTCCAGATGCATATCTGCGCACCCCTCCCTAGCTCCCCATTGCACGTTACCGCTTGGAGGCATTGCCCCACACAATGGTGACATCGGTCTGCAGATGTGCGTTTGCCCAGATCGGTACCGCCGATCTCCCAGAAGTTGAGCGCTTGAACGGGCCGCTCCCGGCGAGGACATTATTAATTACGTGGGGTTCAATTATGCTCCGATTTCTCTCCTCCGACGGAGTTCACGCTCTGCATATGCATGCATTGCGGTGCGTGCTTACTCCTTCGAGCAATGGTCTGYTCGCTTCCCAGCTTCGATCCAGCCATGACTCACCCGGAAGTATATGGTCTCGTAAATGCCATGCCGATCCGTTGACTTACATTGCCAATGACATGTCTCAATGTCTGCATGTCCGCGAGGTGTCGAGATGTCATAGTCGACACTAGACTTGCCAGCAAGGCTTCAGCTCCCCTTCCGGTACGCATCTGGCTGATCCGGTCCTCCAGATCGCGAATTGCCCCGATGCTTCAAGCAGCTCGCCCATTTCGATGGGCGGGAAAGCGATGGGCTGCGGCMCTACGCATGCCGACTTAGCATCAGCCTCTAAGCACGTCCGCGAAGCTCAGCAGCCAGCTTCCAGGTACCTTCGACGAGCTATGATGCCATCTGCATTGGAGGTGCATCGCGGCTCATAGTTCCAGCTTCCGCTGTGAGACATTTCTACCCCCGCTCGCATGCCAAAGACATACAAGGTGTTGTGGAAGAAATTCAAATCTCGCTTCTGTTTTTGTTGTTCCCGCTCTTGCACCTTTTGTGAGCACATTGACGAGCCAGCTCGTGTGGTAGTAAAAGGACCTCCCACCAGGCATAACACAGTTGATGAACAGGTGCTCGCACAAGTAAATCTTTCCGCAAAGCACAGCAAAACCAGACAGGTGCAGTTCAGACAACCCGAAGTCAACACACACAAAGATCAAGGTATCCTAGCCGCGAATATGCAACGACTTTCCTCCTCCGCCCTCATGAGGAATTCCTTCACCAACGGGCAAGGCAATGGCTTTCAAAATGCGCCAGAATCCACAGCGTCTTACTTTGGCGGCTCCACACATACAAGGATCAGATCCTCGAACTTCTCAAACTTACGTGGCAAAGGAAGTAGCGCCGAAAAGACCACAGTTGTCAGAGACACTGCCATGGCATTGAAGCGCAAAAGCGCTTCGGCGTTGGGGGCGGGAATCTCAGACACTGCAGACAGCATTGGCTTCGTCAATTTGGTCGAATGGATTCGCACCGAACGACTCCAGACATTGCCACACAAAGGCTCCAAGTGGGACACTGTCCTCATTCGAGCACTCTATTTCGCAGAGCGCCTGCACGGGTTTGAGACAGCACTAACAAATCACGCTCTGGACGTCGAACCTGCTTCTCAACTTGGTTATGGTCACGTCAGGCTCTTACTTGAGGTTTGTCCTCCTCATGAGATACCGCAACAAAGTACTGACAATTCCTAGCTCGGTCATGAGAACTCCGACGCACTTGATAAGGCCTTCGGCCTACTCTACAGGTGCTCTACAGCTGTGACTGGTCTTCTCGCACGAGCTGAAGCTCTTTCGCTGCCTTCAGACATCAACGAACAGTTTTGCTACCTGTACACTGACTTGTTGACACTGGTTGTCGATGTTGCTGTGCGCTTCTACAAGACCGTCCACAGCAGCGCTAATCAATCTGCAAGCCTCGATTTGTACGAGGCTTTCGCCGATACCATTGACTCGTTCAAACGTCGGCGTGAAACCGTCACGAATTCCATCTGGACAAACCAGATTGCATCAAGTGGTAGCGCTGAGCTTGAAGGTGAGTTGAGTTGAGTCGATATCGCCAATCGGTTGAAGCTGACCTTGGTATAGCTTTTGATGTTGAGGAGCTCGCACGATGGCTTTCTCCCCAAGATCGGGTTCTTACAACTCTAGCGCTCGACTATACCCTGATTGCCGATGACATGGCCGAGTTCACCTGTATCTGGTTTCACGATAATCTTGCCAGGTTTTGCAAGAGCGAAGATAAGACAATTTTGATCAACGGGGCCCCAGGCTCCGGTAAGACAACCTTGGCCGCTGCGCTGGCTGAACGGCTCCAGCGACCCGTCGCCCGTAAGTCATACGCGACAGCCTTCTGCTCCGCTGGCGCCGTTCCGTCTCAGGCCACTACGCTCCACGTAGTCAAGTCCCTGTTGCACCAGTTACTCTCCACTCGAGTGGGCAACCTCCACTTGTGGAAGGCCGTCACAAACGCTTACGAACATTCAAAACACACTGCGGATCCTAGCAAATATGAAGACCTCCTCTGGGCCGCACTGGAAGATACACTTAGAAATCCACATGCACAGGGAAGCGACACTGTCCTCATTGTCGAGGGTCTTGATGAGTTGGTCGAAGGCCAGTCTGGTCAAACTCTTCTGCAGCGTCTCATCCACGCTGTTGACCAAGGCAAAGGCGTTAAGCTCATTGGCTTGGCCAACAATCTCTCACTACCGGCAGGCAGTAAGGGTGTGACTCAGACGATCACCGCCGCCGAGACAAGGGAGGACATCCACGAGGTAGCGATCAAGACTCTCGCGAAGTCTCATCATTTCCGTACCCAGACTGGCCGGGAGCAGGAAACAATCATCAGCAAGATCATCGAGGCCGCCAAAGGTTCCTTCTTGTGGGCAACTCTGACATGCGAGACCTTGCGCATGGAGAAAACGCCTGATGGTTTCAACAAGACCATTACCAACTTGAACAGCTCCAAGACCACAATTGAGGAGCTTGTTCAGAAGATTGTTACCAGCCTCGAGCCCAACGAGGATGCCAAAATGTTGCTCTCCTGGTTGGTGAACATTGCGCGTCCTCTAACATACGACGAGATTGAGAACTTGTTTGTGATGAACGTCCAGACCGTCACGAGAGCTGAGCGCCGTGTAAACGTCCACAGCATCGTCCAGTCCATCTCTCCGCTTCTCATCATCCAGGAGGGTATCGTCCGTATACGCCATAATCTTGTTCAGACGGCCACCCGTACGTTGCTGAAGCAGAACAAAGTGACGCTCTCCATCAAAGACCAGCCAATGGACTTGCTTCTTCGCCTTTTGACCTACGCCAAGGTATCTTTGCCAGAGAAAGGCGAGCCAACGTTGGACGACTCCGACCGCACCCCTATCGACCAGTACTTCTCCAAGTTGCCATTGCTTGAGTACGTCGTGCGCTACTATACCTGGCACCTGCAGCAGATCTTCCCCGCCGCCCAAGGCAAGCCTTCTGATGTCAAGGTTACCCCGGAACTGCAAAAAGTTTTCCCGGATAGCGTTGATCTTGCAGTTCTGGAGTGGCTTTGCTGGGACGACCAATTCCCTGGCTCGCAAGAAGTTGCACTTCACGACTTCGTTGGCGGACTACGTGCCAAGATATTGGGCGAGCAACAGCCTGCCGTGCTTCAGTCTTACCTCAACTCCGCGGCCTACTATTATTTCATGGAAGATGTTCCAAAGGCTAGCTCGCTTTACTACTCTGTGACCACCATCGGTCAGAATGTGCTTGGTGTGTCCCACCCCATTGTGGTAGAGAGCGCGATCCGTTTCCTCGCGATCTCAGAGAACAGTGTGACCACCACTCGCTCTGAGATCATGACCCACCGGGAGGCTATCCTCAAGACTTTGATCAACGCGTATGAAAGGCAGTATGGCACAACCTCTGAGCTGGTGAGCCATACCCGTGAGCGTCTGGTCGATCTCTACGGCTACCTCAATGAGCGTGATCACGCCGAGGAGATTCTGCGCCTCATTCAGGGCGGTAACAACGACGAAAACATTACACGCAAGCTGGAACGCAACGCTGCGGATGGAACTCTTCGCGTCACCCTAGGTCAAAGGAAGACTGGAGACCTTGAAACTTACAAAGATGGCATCTTCACAGATGACGCTGATGAGGAAGACGCCATGCAGACCCTGGACCTTGCTCAAGTCGAGATCATCAGGCGCGAGATCGATACATATATCGCGCAGAAGGACCTGATCAAGGCTGAGCAGACCTATGTCGATCTTTGGTAAGTGAACATCTCCTGACGATGGCGATTATGAGGTGCCGTAGAGCATTATCAAATTTCCTGCTTAGTTCCTTGCGATTTGAACTGTTGCTAACTCTATGATTAGGCAGCGTCTTTCCGAGAGATGCCGTACCACACTGAATGTTGAATGGCATCAACAGAAGATCGAGGTCGTCCAAGCTTATTCCAAGTTCCTCGAGACTCAGTCACGCCGAACTGAGGCGACGAGCGTGTTGGTGTCTATCGCCACAGAATACCGCCATCACGAATTGGCCTTCGCCGAGGGCATTGTGACGAGGCTCGCCGACTGCGCACGCTTCCTCAAGAGCGTTGGAGAGTACACAGCTGCATTGGCCATATTCAATCATGCTGCATCTTACTACAGGAATGTCAAGTCTGGAGACTCGAAGGCATTCAGCCAAATCGAGGAAGAGATGATGGTGGTCTCTAACCAGGCTCTGACCCAAAACTCGGCAAAGGGAACGAGCACAACAGCAACCACAGAGACAAGCCATGACATGTTCCGAATGCTGGTAAAATCGAAGACGTTTGAGGCCTCGACCATGACTCTCGCGAAGCAACTGGTCAGCCAATTCATGGGGCAGAAGCAGTGGTCGCAAGCCATCAGCATTATCGAGCAGACTTTGTCCAGAAGCTGGAGCTCGTTTCTGTCTAACACGGTCAACGAGGTGACTCTGGCTACTGAATATCAAAAGGAGTCGATCGAGCTGGTCGAAAAACTAGCTCAATGCTACATCCAGGAACGTCAGTGGATCAAGGCGGAAGATGTCTACGTGAGATTCTTCCGTGCCGCTCTGTCGTCTCCCAAGGATCAGGCTCTGCTAGAAAAGGCCAAGACTCTTTTGATCGACTTCTACACCACTCGTGGCCACCCACACAAGATCATCGCGGTCAATCAAGAATTACTGGCCGTTTACCGCCGCATTCTGGGGCCCAACCATGAGACTACCATTGCAACCCTTTATGATCTGGCTTCCCGGTGCCGTACACACGCAAGAAGCCACCCTTACTGGATTGAGTCAGTATTTATCCTTGCATCGCTTTACTTTGGCTAACTCGTGTCCACACAGATACTACCAAAACATTCTCACAGTCCTCAACAAGGATGCCACCACTTGTCACCCCCGCGCTTTCGACGCCGCTCTCATCGTTGCCGAATCATACTGGGAAGAGAGGAGATACAGCGACGCTGTAGGAACCTACTCCATCCTGTGGCAAACATTCATCACAAAGAGCAAGGACTTCAGAGTGTTCAGCGAGGAAGTGTTCGCACGCAAGCTGTACGATCGATACTTCAGTTCGCTCGAGGAGACACAGGCCGCGTTCGAGGTTCTGCACGAGACGACATCTCAATATCGGGCGACTGCCAAATCTCTCTTTGGTGCCGACTCAGCCGTGTTCATCGAAGCCACAATTGCGCTCGCCAGGCTATCTGCGCAGAGTGAGAAGCACTCCGAGCAAGCCCTTTCGCTCTATGAGGAGGCTCTGTCTTCTTCGTCGAAATCGAAGTCGGGGTCGAGCTCGATTGACATGGCTTCGATGCGCCAGACCATGACGTCCCTCTACAGACGTAGGATCGTCCACGGTAATGCCAATGTCAGCTCCGAGACCATCTCTCGTGCTGTAAGCATGTATCACGACCATCTGGCCGAGTCCAAGAGCAAGCATGGCTACTGTCACGAGTCCACGTTGACTAGTCTCCGTGAGCTGGTCCTGCTCTACATTCGCCAGCAGAAGCATGACCTTGCTCTCAACGAGTTGACCACCGCCGTGGTCGAGGTTGCCACCAAAGAGACTTCGTCGCAGAAGCAATACGAGGCTGCTACTTCTCTGGTCCAGACATACCAGGTTGCGGGATTGACGCAGCAGTGCACTCAGCTCGTCGAAGAGTTGCACTACCAGCTCATTGCTTGTCAGAAATCGTCCAAGGCCACTTTCTCGGTTGTTGAAAGTGGTAAGTCGTCTCTGTTCTTCCTCGCGTCGATGGAGTTCCACACCCGCAAAGACCTCACCATTACCTTGTCCGAGGTCATGGCTGCCGTTACTGCGGAATACATCTACTACGGCAACTTCCGACAGCTTGTGTCCACCAAGGCCAGTCTCGACAAGATCTTGATCGCGGCGGCACCATTACGCCACCTGCTCCGTCGCTGGAATCGCACTGGACTCATTGGTACTGTCGATCATGAGGCCGTTCGAATCTTCACCGAGCGTGAGGCATCCAGTGTTCAGCTGTTGAGCAAAGACTCGCCGCGGCAATTCATTGTCGGAATCCTCGACTACCTGGGCAACAGGAAGACCATCGACTTTGTGCGCATTGTCATTATTGCGTCTAACAAGACTCTTGGCCGTCTGATTGCAAACAACCAGTTCAACGAGGCCCATGACGTTGCAAAGATGAGCTTCATGTACGCTCAGCATCGTAAGGGTTTTGCAGGACCAAAAGCCATTGGAAGGGGCTTCGAGCTTGCCAGCTACCTCGACGGCCGTGGTGAGAACCGCTGTCCAGATGAGAAGCTACGGAAGACTCTCCTGCAGCTTTCAAACAGCATCATCAAGGACATTCTTCGCATCTGTAAGGAACAGAACATCAATCTTGCTCAAATCCAGCTGAAGGAGCTCAACGAACTCATCGCTCTGCTTGGCGAGCAAGAGGACTATGACACCTTGGAAAGCCTCCTCAACCAACTCTGGGGCACTCGCGAGGCCCAGCGCTCATGGCCACCAGAGGTCTTACTCAACCTCGGCCAGCGTCTCATCTGTGCCCGCTACTTGGCCGGTCACCAGATCAAGGCTCTCCGCCTTGCCGACGACGTTTCGTACAATTTGCGTCGCGTGAACGGTGTTCGTCACCCAGCGACCCTGGACTCGTACAAGCTGCTTGCGCAGCTCTACACCAGCACAGGCTTGGCTTATCAAAAGGAGGCTGCTTCGGACAAGGCAGCTGGTGGTCTTGCCGCGGACCACTTCAAGAAAGCCATCCTCGTTCACGAAGACGTACTGCGCTGGCTACTCAGCGACAGCGCCGATGGCGCATCCGTCGGAGATGATGAGGAAGAAGACACTGCTGTCAGTATCCTCGCTGAGCATGGCGTGGATGTTACGAAGCAGGGCGGTGTCGACGCTATCGATGATACCAAGCGTGGAGAGCTGGTAAAGCAGCATTTGCACCTCCTTCGCTTGGCATACCAGCGTCTTGGATCGTGGCCAAAGAGCTTTGATGCTTATGAGAGACTGAACGCTGAACTGTTCCGCGTCTTTGCTGAACAACTGAAGGGCGTAGAGGGCGTGGAGAAGTGGAGTGCCAAGGGCTTTGGTGCTGGTAAGGCTGAGAGCCATGAGGGCACTTTCCAGGGTACTCGCAATTGGGAGATCTTGGTGGTTTGAGCTTTGCAGTCTTGATCTGGTTCGCGAAAGTTTGTCGCCGGTGTTTAGTAATTAATATACATAGTCATGTAGTGAGCAAGTGGCGTACCCGTACCCAACTGTGCGAATCTGAACGAGCCCCTGATATGAACTTCGTGGTATGGTTTATTCTCCAGCACACCCAAAGCGCTCGAAAATGTATTATTCCTCCCTGTCCGAATGGTAACTGCCACATCATTATTGTACGAAGTCAATGTCGTTGGCGTGTTTCTTGCTACCCCAACCCTAACCCTAAATGTCGGGATGTTATCGTAGAGATTTTGCGAGATTCCATCCCTTCGCTCACCATCAACATCAACGACGGGATCCTGCCAGCACCCAAAATGGCAGCCAATTCCCTCATCCCGGACTTCCAATTCACCAACCTTCTCAAAACGGATTCACAGGGACGTCGAATCATCCTTCAAGGAACCATCCWTGGCGAGTCCGCCCTCCTCATCGCGGAACGCGGTGCCTTCTCCGTCGAGAATGAATACCTGGCATCGTTCTCCCAGTTGATGTCCCACATTCAAAACCTCGGCGACAATGACATCTACCGCTGGTATCTTGCCAACTCCAGCAACCCATCGGGAAGTGCTCCACCGGATCTCAAGATCAACCTCATCTACCCATGCACCGAGAAGCACATCCAAAAGCACAGTTTCCAACAAGCCCGCGTTGTGATTGAGACGCCGGAAATCTACGCCAAGTATGTGCGACCTTATATGCAACTCTGTCGTGAAGAGGGACGATTGAACTGGGTCTTCAACATTATTGAAGGCCGCAAGGAACAAGAGAACGTTCTCTTCCGCTCCAATGAGACGGATAAGAAAGATGAATTCCTCCTTCTACCAGACTTGAACTGGGACCGCACAACCCTCGGCTCGCTGCATCTGCTTGCCCTCGTCTCGCGTAGAGACATCTGGAGCGTACGAGATTTGAAGAAATCCGACGTTCCCTGGCTCCGTCATCTACGAAACACTCTCGCGGAGACGGCGCAGAAACTCTACCCTGGTGTGGATTCGGACATGTTGAAGTTTTATGTCCACTATCAGCCAACTTATTACCATTTCCACGTCCATATTGTGCACATCAATCTCGACGCCACAGGTACCCAAGCTGTGGGCAAGGCTCTCGGATTGGATAATGTCATCTCCCAGCTGGAAACCATGAGTGGTGGAGACGAGGCAGGAATGCACTTGGTCGATCTGAGCTATACCGTTGGCGAAGCCAATGAGCTGTGGACAAAAATCTACTTGCCTTTGAAGGAGGGACGGGAGCCAACTGTCAGTGGCTGAGAAGTCTCTGGCGAGCAACAACCAATCCGGTTGTTGACTTTCATTTCGAAAGTGGAAGAATTCTGGCGAAAATGTCAGGATATATCCAACGTGCGAGAGGCACGTTCTACCATCAGTTGGTGGAGAAATTGAGCAGCTATTTGCTCTCACTGGTCGGAAACGACTGGTGATAGACTCACATTGAGTCTTGGCCATACATCGTGGCTTACTGCATATAGTAGTCGATGCAAGGGTATGGAGAGTGGAGGGGGAGAATGGAGACGCGGGATGTGGAGGGAGTTCAACTGTTATTGAAGGAGTCACCAGCACACGAAGGTGACCCATGCTTTCAACAAGCCAAAGCCTTTGCATGTGATATTCGGGCATGTGGAGGGATGCGCCCGGGGAATGGTTTCAACACAATGTCCGCTTGGAGGTTTCAACAACGCGGATTTCCTTGGTGCTGCGTTGTGATTGTTTGCTTTCTGCTTTTCCAACTAAGCACACTCATTTGATATATCATGCAAGAACTACAGTTCTATCCACCCATCTACTTCGTTCAATATGTCTATCCACGTGCCGATGTATAGCAGCGATGCTCTTCTCCGTCTACTTCTTCAACGCGTCCAAGAAAGCCTTGGGCGGCTGCTGGCGGTATCCTTGTGGGTTGTTCTCCGTCCACCTCCACAGATCCTCGCACGCATCCTCCAGTGTGCGCTTCGTCTTCCAGCCCAGCTCGCTGTTCGCACGAGTGGCATTGGCAGTCAGGTTGAGCACATCGCCCGCCCGTCTGCCAAYAACCTCATAAGGCAGATCGCGTCCAACTGCGGTTCCGAAAGCCTTGACCATCTCRAAGACTGTGCTGCCCTTTCCTGTGCCCAGGTTCCAAGCGCGGACACCAGGGTGCTGAGCTCGGAGGTGGTTGAGGGCAATCAGGTGGCCTTCTGCGAGATCGAGGATGTGGATATAGTCGCGGATGGCAGTGCCGTCTTTGCTGTCGTAATCTGGTTATATGCTGTCAGTAGCTTCTTCTCCAGCCCTCAAATGCTAAGCAGACTCACCGTCTCCAAAGACCAACAACTTCTCCCGCTTTCCGACGGCGACCTGCGCTAGGAGTGGGAGAAGGTTGTATGGCACGCCTTGAGGGTCTTCGCCCATCACACCGCTTGGGTGGCTGCCGGCGGGGTTGAAGTATCGCAGCAGAGCAGCATTGAACTCCTCGCCGCTCTTGCCGGCCTTTTTCGCCTTTGTCCTCTCAGCATTGATGTAGTCCGTGATCATCGTCTCAACAGTAAACTTGGTGTTTCCATATGGGTTGGTGGGTCCCAGTGGGCAATCCTCTGGGATGGGGATCATATTTGGGAAACGGGTGGCATCGCCATACACTGTGGCCGAGGAAGAGAAGACAATGTTGGTGACATTGTGCTTCTGCATGGAGCGCAGCAGACAGAGCGTGCCGTAGACGTTGACATTGTAGTAATCGAGTGGAATCTCGCCCGACTCACCCACTGCTTTCAATGCGGCGAAGTGGATGACGTTGTCAATGTCCGGGTGTGCAGCGAAGACAGCATCCAGCGCCTTTTCGTCGGTGATGTCGCACTGGACGTAATCGGGTCGCTTGCCGCAGATGAGCTCGATGCGGTTGAGGACTTCGTCGGAGGAATTGTACAGGTTGTCGACGATGACGACCTTGTAGTCGGCTTCGAGGAGTGCGAGGGCGGTGAAAGAGCCAATGTAGCCCGTGCCACCGGTGACGAGAACGGAGCCTACGACCATTGTGTCGGGTATTTGGTTCCTGGTTCCGGTAGAGGTAGATGGGGATGCAGGGAAGTGGAATGCGACAAGACTCGGTGGATCTGGAGCCAAGCAGCTTTATCTTTGGTATTTAAACGGTGTGAACCAGAGGGGAAGAGGGGGAGAATATTGGGTGATAACTGAAGGTAAAGTAAGGAGCTTGGGAGACTTTTTAATCTGATCAACGTGTACCCCTCCAGTTTCGGGGTTGGACGATGCGATCGGACATGTGGTCCGCTTTCCCGACGTGGACGTTGACTTCACTTCCCTCCGACATCGTCACGGTCATTCTATTCCAATGATGTGGGTGGGCTCCAGCGACCAGATGCCGAAGCAAATAATCGACTGATGCCCTCCTCTTGCCAAGCTTCCCGCAGAACTCGCATTTAAACCATAGCCCCATACGTGCTCTCACACCCAGCTCGGCCTCTCACCAGAGGTAACCTTGGTTGCACGCCGGCCCATTGCACTATGCCACCTCGTGTCGGTCGCGTACCACATTTCTCTTGTCAGGCATCAAGCATATTCCAGTTCACTACCGCCCGTGAGAGACGGGGTTCGGTGGCAGACTCTGTGGCCGGTTCAGGGACACTGCTACCGGGGCGCTAGGCCTTAATCCAAGCTTGCGGCATGGAGCCTCAGCAGCGTTAAGGCATTAAAGCCAGAGAAACCGAGGTCTTAAAGCTTTTGAGGGCCGTCTCGACACCCAGCACCCGCTCGTCCCATCCAGTTTAAAATTCGCACCTCGGGGGTGGTAGAACACTTGGGGTCAGTTTCCCAACTGGTTCCCCGGTTTTATACTCCTGAAGGGTGGAGTCCTCCGCTTGTCGGCTTTTCGCGACATGCTGCGCGGTCGGCGTTGCACGTTGCACAGCATGCCGCTCTACACTGTGAAGGAATGGGGATGTGAGTAGGAAGTCCAACCCCGGTGGGCCTTTCGTGTCGAATGTCGAATGTCGAGGTGTGTGGTGGACGGAGGGTTGTTGGCATGGGTCGAAGGTTTCGTCGAGGCGGAATCGGTGTCGGTGGGGATCGTTGGTCGGCGGATTCCTAGAGCAGGTGAGGGTAGTCGGTGGCAAATGTTATGAACAAGTGGGGGAGAAGAAGACTTACGAGGCGAGRTGATGGAAAGATTGACGAATTGGAAGCTTGGTGCGAAGTTTTATGCCGCCGCCAAGAGAATGACTCCGCCGCCCTTAGGCGTGCTCAAGCCCGCGCAAAGTAATGAGCACGGCGTGGGGGAGCGGGGGGCGACGAGGACCAAAGTAGCCAAGCGCGCACCTCCGGCTGGCTCCGCAGGTGATGGGGGTCAGTTTCGAGTCCAAGCCCAAGCACGTACCGACAGTTAGGAGAGGAGCCGCCCGCCCAGCACATCTGGAAGTTGCAGGCCGGCGACAGCGACTTGAATAGTCAAGTGAAATATGAATGAGCCAGGACCTTCGATCATCTCAATGGTCTATTGGCCCCCTATCATGTCCACCGATGTTCGATGGAATGAGAGGTTCCTCCTGGTAGGTGAATAACTCTACCTCACGGTCGCTTCCTTGATTCAGTTCCCCTCTACAAGTTGAATCATTTCCCACCAAAGCCGTGGTTTGCATGCGTTGTTGGATGGACCATCCCGCGATTTTCTGCGAAGCCTTGCAATCTACCATGTGCTTTCCCGCCTCTATCCTAGCCGCAACCCCCTTCTCATCGAAACATTGCTTCCCAAAATCGGAAACAGGCGGCGCGTTACCAAAACGCGCTCGGTAGCTTGGTGGAAGCTCCTTTGTTCGATCCTCGATCCTTTTGACAACGCCTCTCAGCGATACGCCGGCCTCGTTTTTGGTTTTGCGATGCTCGTGAGGGTGGTGAAATTTGACGTTGATGCTGTGAACCGATGGTCACGTCAACTGCATGGGACCGAACCGAACCGACCCATCTCCATCCCTAGCCTCTTCAACATCACGAATCGTTTCGGGCACGGGAACCTCTGCATTCCGCATAGTTCTTTTGCTGGCCTCTGAAGAGCAAAGGGTCCAGAGTCTTTGGAAGTTTGAATAAGAGACGCAATTCGATGAGAAAAGTTGTTATCATGTCTGAGCTAGATGTAGATAAGTGGCAAGGGAAGCGGACCGCCGGCGCATGCCTTGTCAAAGCTTCCGTTTCTTGTGATTGAAATGCATATGTGAGGGACACCTCGTAAGCAACGGATTGCGCAAAGCAATGCCGTTCGAATGCATCTGAATCGTCATGAGAAGTGTCGCTTCCATGATCGTAGCTGGCTATTTGCGAGCAGAATCTACCATTTCCCATGGTGAAAGCTGGCAATCTTCAGTTAGGCTCGTTGAATGCTGGACAACAACCTGTGTGATGTGTTTGCTAGGCCAGAACGTCATTCGAGAGGAATGGTTGAAGAATGGGGCATGCCAGTCGTCGTAGGTGCAGCCTCTCCTGCATCGGAAGTCTTTCTTGAATTTTCAATGCCCAATATCGCAACATATTCGCGAGGGTTAAATCACTGCTAACGCACGAGCGCCAGGGGCCCAAGAGAACTCTGTGGGCAAAGAATGGAAATCTCAGACACTATATGCGGCTTGATCTACGATACGAACCGCAAATTCACTCCCTCACCTGAACAGACAATTAACGTACACGACGCGCAGCTCGGACGCGAGTCTCTTTGACTTGTACCTCTCAGATACCGTAGGTTGGCCATGATTTTCACTGCTTTAGAGGCGCTCGGGCGACGCCCAAGTGACGCGTACGCTTCATCAAGATGGAGGGTGTGAAATCAGACTAGACGTGTCCTATGAGTAGTCTTGTCTTCAAGCGCCTCTCATGATACCGACATCTCCTGTGGAAACAAACTTGGAAGTGAAGTGACGCGACGTTCCGGGACCCTTTGTAACGGGGTTCGGAAGGAGCCGAACCAGATCCACGCGTACCTACACGGGACCACCAATCATTGCGCTTTGCGGGAAACAATCTAAGATAGATGTCTGAATCTCTAAGACTACCTACGCGCGAACCATCCAAGCTTCGCGTGTCCAAAGTTGTCAAGCCTCCATACTCAAGACGTTTACCCTTTTTTGTCACGGCCGCCCATCGTCAACACCACACTCATTCCTTCTACCGCGGCCCCATTCCAGGACTGCATCGAAGTGGACCGTCGACCATCCGCTACCCGCTACAATCAGCTCACTTTCACTTCACCCCTAGAGCGAAACATACACACGGCGACGACTTCGACCTCCCGGCCCACGATGCCTATGGTCGTACTACCTGAGAGGCAGTAATCATACACTATGGAGGACCCTGTGGCGGTCACTGGGGTCAATGGCGTAGCGAYAAATGGCACCTCAACGGCGCCCGCTCCGTCTGTGGTCGACCCGCAGACAATCATCAGATATTTGTCAAGTGTGCTGGAGGTCACGTTGGGAGCGACCGAGGACGAGCTGAAAGGTCCGGGCAGCTTGTTACATCCGTCAGCGCTGGATGATACGCTGTCGAGGTGTGTGCGATTTGCGATTGAGGGGCAAACGGGCCTCTACGTCCTCAAGCAGTCGCCTGCCCCTGCGTCTCAGCCGAATGGGACAGCCAACGGAGACTCAGCGGAAGAACAAGACACATACACCATCAGCTCGGAAGTCTCGTATTCCTCGAGGACGGTGGGATGCGTGGCCTTCCTGAAGAGGCCAGCTTCGATCTTGCCAGACGTTCCCATTAGCAAACAAGTCTCTGTCGTGAACCTGTCGCTAGCYGGTGTACCTGGTTCAGCCGATTCCGGATCTACAGTGTCACCATACGAAAGTCTTCATGGCTTTGTGCGCGGTGCTCTCACCCCATTTTTTGAAGCTGCAGCAAGAGGAGCAGCTTCGGTAGGAGACAGTCGACGTTCCGATGGAGAGGCCCGGGCAGGAGTCTCTGGTGCAAGGAAGAAGCTGGCAGACTTGGAAATCACATTGCAAAATCTCCAACAGAATATTGAAGTGGAGGCGCCTCGTCTGCAGATCCACGAGGCGGTTCAGGCACAGTTGAGAGATGCCAACGGCGACTGGCAGGCCGCCGCAAACCAGATCCCCGAGAATGTCGTCACAGACAGCACGATGCTCAATCGACTACAGAGCATGGCCAATGATTGGATCAAACAGATTCGCGACTTTACGAGGATTACGGACGACCGAGCAGTTGGTACTCCATCCCAAGAGAAGAATTTCTGGCTTGCCATGGAGAGCGCAATAGAAGGAATAGAGGCACAGCTCAGCAGTGGTGGCGTGCTTCTGACAATGAGGATCTTGGAGAAGGCGAAGAGACATGGTATCACGGCGAGTTTCTCGTCCGACACAGGTCTGAAGGAGACCAAGGACGTTGTACAGCGATACAATTTGCTATTTCATGGCTTTCCGGTCGAGGAGCTCCTATCAGCAACGTCAGTGGAAAAGCTGCGCGAGGCTTTGGACGACATCTTCAACCACATCAACAAGAAGATGCGCATTACCACCTACCCAGTGCGTAGAGCACTGCCACTAGTTGAGGGCATCTCAGCATTGGTAGACACTCGTCTGCACTATCTTTTGCATGGCCGATCACTCATGCATCTGAATTTCGACGAGTTCGAAAAGGTTATTAACCAGGTCGGGCAAGTGTGGATGTTCTGGGATGCCAATGTGAAGGAGTTTACAAATGTTGCTCGAGACGTCACCCGGAGGAGGAACGACAAGTTCATTCCGATCAAAATCAACAGGCGACATGATAAGACCCAGGACCGCCTCAGTTACATTCACAAGTTTCGCACCGACCACGACCAACTGCAGAAGACCATTGCAAATGTTCTCGGACCCGAAGATGAGTCTCTCGATCTTACAGACGTCGCTACAGCTCCAGTGATTGTCGAGGAGATGGGCGATGTCGATGCTGCGGAAGAGATTGACCAGGCCTACCTCGTAGTCAAGGATGTCGACGTGCTTGACATTTCAGAAGAAGGCGAGCGGGTATGGATGCAAGCTGAAGCTGCGTACAATGAGCGCACTGCCCGTGTGGAGAACTCGATCATTGCCCGTTTGCGCGATCGGCTCGCTGTAGCCAAGTCTGCCAACGAGATGTTCCGCGTTTTCTCCAAGTTTAACGCGCTTTTCGTACGGCCGAAGATCAAGGGCGCCATTGCAGAATATCAGGTGCAGCTCATGAACAACGTACGAGAGGACATTGACAGCCTCCAGCAGCGCTTCACGCATCAGTATGGCCAATCCGAAGCCCATGGAATGGCACAATTGCATGATTTGCCACCCATTTCGGGTGCTGTCATCCGCGCTCGGCAGATTGAGAGGCAGTTGAATAGCTACCTCAGCAAGATTGAAAACATTCTTGGATCCAAGTGGAAAGATCACACTGAAGGCGCGCGGCTCTACAGTCTGGGAGAAGGCTTCCGAAAGAAGCTCGACACCAAGCCAATCTTCGACGACTGGCTCCGAGACATTGATAGACGTCACCTGTCGATTGCAGGCCGCCTGTTCGCCATCACGCAAAATCGGGCTCGCGGGAATGTGCTTGAAATCCAAGTAAACTTCGATTCGCAAGTCATCATTCTCTTCAAGGAAGTGCGCAACCTCCTATGGCTGCAATTTAACGTACCGCATGCAATCACCAATGTCTCAAAGGAGGCGCGAAGAGTGTACCCATTCGCGGTCAGCTTAATGGAKAGCCTCAACACATATGCGCAGACCAGTCGCTCGATTGAGAACTTGACAGAGGTCACTTCGTTGCTCAGTGGATATCGAAACGACGTGCAGGGCTTCATCGCCAAAGGTGCCGCAATCCGGTGGGAGACGTTCGTTCTTGCTTACGACGTCCACGCGCGTCAAGTCGGCGATGGTAGCTCGWGCGACGACAAGTTGCATGTCCAATTCGTTCGGAACCTGGGCAACTCAATCGCAACCCTTCAGAACAAGACTACCACCCTTGTCACTATACAGTCCACAGTGGATGGCGCTCTCCGTGAGCTTCAGAGTTGCACATTCACACCTGACGCGTTTCGTGGCCACCTTGAGACGCTACAGCGAGCAATCGATCAGCTCAACCTCGAGGCTTACACAAACATCCCATACTGGGTCAAGCAGACCAACAACAAGGTCGTTGAATTGCTACACGCTCGGATGCAGCAGGCGCTCAAAGATTGGACCGAGGACTTTGAGCACGGGTATGGGGCGGAGCAGAGTTCGTCCAAGGAGGCCGGCTCTCCCAATATTGGTATCTTTGCGCATGACATTGTCATGCAAAGCCAGGTCATCCAGCTTGACCCACCGCTTGAGGATGCCAAAGCTGGTTGGCTCGACAATCTCCACACCTGGCTTGGGACAGTGTGCAGCCTCCCACGGCTCCAGGCTTCTCGTTTTGAGAACGCGCTGACAATCGGCGCAATCAACTCGACGACCACCTATTCTGAGCTTCCAATCATGTGCATGGACACGCTCACGGAACTCTACGAGCGCATTGAGGCAAAGTTGGATGTTGCACGAGAGTACGTCGACGAGTGGTTGCAGTTCCAATCGCTCTGGGATCTGCAAATGCAGCAGATCCAGGACGATCTTGGCGAAGAGCTGGACTTGTGGCTGCAGCTCATCCTGGAGATTCGTCAAAAGCGGGAGACTTTCGACACATCTGGTATGCGTCGCTCGTTCGGCCACCTCGTCATCAACTACGAACAAGTGCAGGCGAAGGTCAACTCCAAGTACGACCAATGGCAACACGATCTCCTGGCTCACTTCTCAGCCATGTTCGCCACTCGACTTGTGGATGTGTACACCGAACTGCAGCGCGCGAGAAAGGATCTCGAAGGCCAGTCAATGCAGGCGTCGTCCACGTCACAGGCAGTCTCCTTCATCACTGTGGTACAGACATGCAAGCGGCAAATAAGAATATGGGAGCCCGAAATGGACACTTTCCGGCAGGGACAGCAAACTCTCTCGCGTCTGAGATTCCAATATCCAAAGGATTGGCTTTACGTTGAACAAGTCGATCACGAATGGGCGGCTTTGGTCGAAGTATTGGACAAGAAGAGTAGACAGATTGCAGACCACACTGAGGGCCTCCGCACCAAGATCACTGCCGAGGATGGCGTTGTCTCTCGTCGTATCGTAGAGATGTCGGATCGTTGGAGGGAAGAGCGACCTGAGTCAGGGTCTATTCCCCCGGCCGACGCTGTCTCCGTTCTGGAGGGCTTCGACACCGAACTCACTCAACTTCAAGAGCAAGCGGAGATGGTGTCCAAAGCCAAGGAAGCGCTTGAGCTTCCGGCAAGCCCTGACAACATGCTTGTAGACCTCTTGACAGAAGTGCAGGATTATAAGTCTGTCTGGGCCAACCTCACCGTGGTCTGGGAGCAACTCAGCGACCTCAAGGAGCAGTCATGGAACAGCGTACAGCCCCGCAAGCTTCGCCAATCAATCGATACGCTCATCAAGACCACCAAGGAGATGCCCAGTCGTATGCGATCATATGCTGCATTTGAGCATCTACAGTCCGTTCTCCGCCAGCTGCTCAAAGTCAACCCACTTCTTACGGAGATGCGGTCGGACGCCGTGCGAGAGCGGCATTGGGTGAGAATTTTCAAGAGTCTCCAGCCATCCAAGCGTTACTCTGCGCTCTCCATGACTCTCGGGGATGTCTGGGATCTGCAACTTGGGCCTAGCGAGAATGTCATTCGCGATGTCATCGCCCAGGCTCAAGGAGAAATGGCGCTTGAGGAATTCGTGCGGACGGTCCGTGAACATTGGCAGAGCTATTCCCTGGACCTGGTCAACTATCAGCAGAAGTGCCGCTTGATCCGAGGCTGGGACGACCTTTTCCAGAAGTGCAGCGACCACTTGAATTCGCTACAGGCTATGAGGCATTCGCCTTACTACAAAGAATTCGAAGAGGAAGCATCATCGTGGGAGGACAAACTCAACCGCATTCACGTTCTATTTGATGTTTGGATTGATGTGCAGCGACAATGGGTATACCTAGAGGGTGTCTTCACTGGGAATGCTGATATCAAGCACCTGCTTCCTGTTGAGTCCTCGCGGTTTGCCAACATCAACAGCGAGTTCATGAACGTGCTGAAGAAGGTCTACAGATCGCCGCTCGTTCTGGAAGTCCTTACCATTCCCGACGTGCAACGCTCACTTGAGCGACTGGCTGATTTGCTCAACAAGATCCAGAAAGCGCTCGGAGAATATCTTGAAAAGGAGCGTGTAGCATTCCCCCGATTCTACTTCGTCGGTGATGAGGACCTGCTTGAAATTATTGGCAATAGCAATGACACGCTCCGAATTGCCAAGCACCTGCGCAAAATGTTCGCCGGTGTCTCCGGGCTCGTGCTCGACGACAATTCGATCATCAATGGTCTGACCTCGAGGGAGGGCGAGGAGATCATGCTTCGCACGCCCATCTCACTGATTGAAACTCCAAAGATCAACGATTGGCTTCGCGCCTTGGAGAATGGCATGCGAGAGACTCTGTCGGAGCTGTTGGTTGATGCAGTTGCAGAGTACGAGACTATGGAAGAAGATGATCAAAGCGCCTTTGAGGCCTATATTGAGAAGTACCCAGCACAGATTGCCATTCTAGCCACGCAAGCATTCTGGACCTCGCGGGTGGGCGCCGCACTTCAGCAGGGAGGCGGTGCGTTACAGAAGCTTTTCGAAACTCAGGTCAACAAGCTGAAATTCCTCGCCTCTTCCGTGCTTCGAGAGCTGGAGCCAATTTACCGCAAGAAGTGCGAGCATCTCATCACCGAGTTTGTCCACCAGCGCGATACCATCGAGAAGCTACTCCAAGGCGGCGCAGATTCGCCAGGGCACTACCTATGGCTGCTGCAAATGCGTTACGACTTCGACCCGAGCGCAGCTCCACTGGACAGAATGCAGGTCCGGGTCGCAAATGCGACGCTCGCATACGGCTTCGAATATCTGGGTGTGCCCGAGCGACTTGTTCGCACTCCCCTCACCGACCGATGTTTCCTCACCCTCAGTCAAGCGCTTTGCCAGCGCTTGGGTGGCTCTCCGTACGGTCCTGCAGGAACTGGTAAAACCGAATCTGTCAAAGCTTTGGGCGTGCAACTTGGTCGATTTACCTTGGTCTTCAACTGTGACGACACCTTTGACTTCCAGGCCATGGGGCGCATCTTTCTCGGTATCTCACAGGTCGGTGCTTGGGGTTGTTTCGATGAATTCAACAGACTCGAGGAGCGTATTCTTTCGGCTGTTTCGCAGCAGATCCAGAACATTCAAGTCGGTCTCCGCAAACGTGCCATCGACCCCAGTGCACAGATTGATCTGGTTGGTCGCCAGCTGAAGGTGCATCCGCTGACTGGCATGTTCATCACCATGAACCCTGGCTATGCTGGTCGTTCCAACCTGCCGGACAATTTGAAGAAGCTGTTTCGCAGCGTGGCAATGTCTAAGCCAGACAAGGAGATCATTGCTGAGGTCATGTTGTTCTCTCAAGGTTTCTCAGAGGCGAAGACCTTGTCGCGGCAAACCGTCCCGTTCTTCGATCAGTGTGCTGCTACTTTGTCGAAGCAGCCTCATTACGACTTCGGTTTGCGTGCACTCAAGAGCGTGCTGGTCAGCTCGGGCGGGCTGAAGCGAGCGCGGATTGCGGTTGGTGGTGCCAAGGCAGCTGTCGGCGCTGACTCTGTTGTCGAACCACAAATCATCGTCCAGAGCATTCGTGAGACTATCGCGCCAAAACTTGTGCGCGAAGATGCAGAATTGATGGCGCAAGTTGAGGCGGAAGCTTTCCCGGGCGTGCAATATCTGCCAGCATCCCTGGAGAAACTTCGCGCTGCTCTCGAGGAAGTCGTCGAGGAGCGCAAGCTGGTCGCGACAGACTCTTGGTTGACTAAAGTCCTTCAGCTATACCAGATTCAAAGCCTGCATCATGGTGTCATGATGGTCGGAAATTCTGGGACTGGCAAATCAACCGCCTGGCAGACTCTGCTCGCAGCTCTGCAGAAGGTCGACGGTATTGAGGGTGTCTGCCACGTCATCGATCCAAAGGTGATGTCAAAGGAGAGTCTTTACGGCACCTTGGACAGCACAACCCGAGAATGGACCGATGGTCTCTTCACCAGCATCCTTCGCAAAGTCGTTGACAACCTGCGTGGTGAGGACAGCAAGCGCCATTGGATTATTTTCGACGGAGACGTTGACCCCGAATGGGTCGAGAATTTGAACAGTGTGCTCGATGATAACAAACTGCTCACGCTGCCCAATGGTGAGCGTCTCGGTCTGCCGTCAAACGTGCGAGTCATGTTCGAAGTAGAGACGCTCAAGTATGCCACGCTCGCCACTGTCAGTCGTTGTGGTATGGTCTGGTTTAGCGACGACACTGTTGATATTGATGTCATGCTCTCGCGATACCTGGCTCAACTCAGAACTGCCAACTTTGAGGATCTGGAAGAGGACACCGGCACTGCTACCTCCACGGAATCAAGGCTCGCCGTACAAGGCTTGATGGCAGAAGTGCTCCACCAACGCCTGACTGAAAACAATTTCGTGAAGAAGTCCATGGAACACTGTACAAGTATGCGCCACATCATGGAGTTCACATCCATCAGGGCCATTGGCACTCTGTTCTCACTCCTTCGCAAAGCCTGTCGTTCGGTTTTGGAGTACAACATCCAGCACACAGACTTCCCGTTGAACGACGACCAGATTGAGGCCTATCTGTCGAAGAAGGTCCTACTGGCCGCCGTATGGTCATTCACTGGAGATTGTCCCTTGGCGGATCGTAAAGTGTTTGGCGATTATCTGGTCGGCTTGGCTACGCTGGACATGCCCGTTCTGACCGAGCAGTCATCACTGATTGACTACGATGTGCTCCTTCCAGAGGCAAGCTGGTCGTCTTGGCAGAATGAAGTTCCGACGATTGATGTCAACACTCATTCGGTAACTCAGACCGACCTTGTCATCCCGACATTGGACACTGTAAGGCATGAAGATGTACTCTACTCGTTCCTTGCGGAGCACAAGCCGCTTTTGCTTTGCGGTCCCCCTGGTTCGGGTAAGACGATGACGCTCTTCAGCGCCCTTCGCAAGCTGCCCAACATGGAGGTAGTTGGCCTCAATTTCTCCAGCGCTACGACTCCAGACCTCTTAGTGAAGACGCTCGAGCAATATTGTGACTACAAGAAGTCGCTGAGCGGAGTTACAATGGCGCCTAAACAGATTGGTCGCTGGCTTGTGGTCTTCTGCGATGAGATCAACTTGCCCGCCCCAGACAAATATGGTACTCAACGTGTCATCTCGTTCCTGAGGCAATTGGTTGAGCATGGTGGCTTCTGGCGCACTACGAACAGAAGCTGGGTCAGCCTTGAGCGAATACAATTCGTGGGAGCCTGTAATCCTCCTACCGACGCCGGTCGCACTCCTCTGGGCTTGCGTTTCCTGCGCCACGCCCCGCTAGTGATGGTTGACTACCCTGGAGAGCTTTCATTGAAGCAGATTTACGGCACGTTCAACAATGCCATTCTCAAGATTGTGCCGACTCTCAGAGGATACGCCGAAGCTTTGACGCAGGCCATGATTCGGGTGTACATGGATTCTCAGAAGCGATTCACTCCAGAAATTCAGCCGCACTATGTCTACTCCCCACGTGAACTCACCAGATGGGTTCGAGCAATCTACGAGGCCATTAGACCTTTGGAAACCCTAACGCTCGAAGGACTTGTCCGCATTTGGGCTCACGAAGCTCTGAGACTGTTCTCTGATCGTCTCATTGATGAGGAAGAACGCCAGTGGACCGAAGAGACAGTCAACCGCGTGGCGATTGAACACTTCCCCAACCTTGACCAAGAAATGGCCCTGCAGCGTCCCATTTTGTTCTCCAACTGGCTCTCGAAGAACTACGTGCCAGTGGAGCGGGATCAATTGCGCGACTTTGTGAAGGCTAGACTTCGCACATTCTGCGAAGAAGAGCTCGATGTTCCACTCATTCTGTTCAACGATGTGATTGAACACGTCTTGCGCATAGACCGGGTGTTCCGCCAGCCTCAGGGTCACTTGATTCTTATCGGTGTGAGTGGAAGCGGCAAGACCACGCTCTCACGATTCGTGGCCTGGATGAATGGATTGTCAGTGTTCCAGATCAAGGTGCATGGCAAATACTCCGCGGAAGATTTCGACGAGGATCTACGAACTGTCCTTCGCAGATGTGGCTGCAAGGGTGAGAAGATCTGCTTCATCATGGACGAATCAAACGTCCTTGACTCCGGATTCCTGGAACGCATGAACACACTGCTGGCCAACGGCGAGGTCCCAGGTCTCTTTGAGGGCGATGAGTATGCAACGCTGATGACTGCGTGCAAAGAGGGAGCTCAGCGCCAGGGTCTTCTGCTCGACTCGCAGGAGGAGCTCTACAAGTGGTTCACACAGCAAATCGTCCGCAACCTGCACGTTGTCTTCACCATGAACCCGCCTACAGAGGGTCTCTCTTCCAAAGCAGCAACTAGTCCGGCTTTGTTCAACCGTTGCGTTCTTAATTGGTTCGGCGACTGGTCTGATCAAGCTCTTTACCAAGTTGCCTTCGAGCTCACTCAGTCGATCGATATTGACAAGGGCAACTACAACGCGCCCGACAGCTTGCCCATTGCATTTGACCAGCTGGAAATGCCGCTCTCTCACCGCGACGCCGTTGTCAATGCCATGGTCCACGTTCACCATTCGCTTCGCACTTTTAACGATCGCCTGAAGCGCCAGCAAAGTAAAACAACGTTCTTGACACCGAGACAATTCCTGGACTTTGTCGCTCAGTTTGTCAAGCTTTTCAACGAAAAGCGAGACGATCTTGAAGAGCAGCAGCGACATCTCAACGTCGGTCTTGACAAGCTCCGCGAGACCGTAGAAAAGGTTTCTGAGTTGAAGAAGAGCTTGGCGGAGAAGAAGACGGAGCTTGAGAAGAAGGACGCAGAGGCGAGTGAAAAGCTTCAGCGGATGGTTGCAGATCAGCGCGAGGCCGAGCAGCGTCGTGCTACTTCGCTCGAGGTCCAGTCCGCATTGGAGAAGCAAGAGAAAGAAGTCGCCACTCGAAGAGAGATTGTTCTGAATGACCTTGCCAAAGCCGAGCCTGCGGTTGAGGAAGCCCAGCGCAGTGTCAGCAACATCAAGCGACAGCATCTGACTGAAGTCAGATCCATGCAGAATCCCCCCGCCGGTGTCAAGCTCGCACTGGAATCCGTCTGTACGCTCTTGGGCCACAAAGCCATCGACTGGAAGACCATTGTCAGCATTGTGCGTCGCGATGATTTTATCGYGAGTATTGTTAATTACGACAACGAAAAACAGATGACTCCGCAGTTGAGGAACAAGATGACTGCAGAGTACCTGTCCAAGGACGATTTCACCTTTGAACGTGTACAGCGCGCAAGCAAAGCGTGTGGTCCGCTTGTGCAGTGGGTGCAAGCTCAAGTCGAATATTCTGCGATTCTCGATCGTGTCGGACCTCTGCGCGACGAAGTCGACCAGCTCCAGGAGGAGGCTTTACAAACGAAAGCCGAGGCCAAGACGATCGAGAACACTCTGAACGAACTGGAGGAGAGCATCGCAACCTACAAGGCTGAATACGCGTCTCTCATCAGCCAGACTGAAGCAATCAAGGCCGAGATGACTCGCGTACAATCAAAGGTTGACCGCAGCATGCGCCTGTTGAACAGTCTGTCATCTGAGCGCGGACGCTGGGAGGACACGAGTAAGACTTTCCAGGTGCAGATGGAGACGATTATTGGTGACGTCTTTCTCGCCTCTGGGTTCCTGGCATACGCTGGCCTGTACGATCAACAATACCGCCGTGCCATGTTGGAAGACTGGTCACTTCAGCTGTCTTCTTCCGGCATTGCCTACAAGTCGCAGAATGCGCTCTCGGAGTATCTGTCTACTGCAGATGAGAGGCAACAGTGGCACGAGAATTCACTCCCCGTCGACGAACTCTGTACCGAGAACGCAGTCATGCTCAAGCGTTTCAACCGGTACCCGCTCATCATCGATCCATCCGGCCGTGTTACGGACTTCTTGCAGAATGAGAGCAAAGATCGCCGCCTTACCGTCACCAGCTTTCTGGACAGCTCTTTCGTCAAGCAATTGGAGAGTGCTCTTCGATTCGGCAACCCCATTCTCATTCAGGACGCTGAGCACATCGATCCGATCTTGAACCACGTCCTCAACAAGGAGTACCAGCGAACTGGTGGGCGTGTTTTGATTCAGCTTGGCAGGCAAGAGATCGATTTCTCTCCCGCTTTCAAACTCTACTTGTCGACTAAGGATCCCTCGGCGCCATTCGCGCCAGACGTTTGCAGCAGAACCACATTTGTCAACTTTACCGTCACCCAGAGCAGTCTAAAAACTCAGACGCTCAACGATGTGCTCAAATCAGAGCGTCCAGACGTCGACGAGCGTCGCTCCAACCTTGTCAAGATGCAGGGTGAATTTACTCAGCGTCTGCGTCGCTTGGAGCGCATGCTGCTACAAGCGCTCAACGAGTCTCGCGGGAACATCCTCGACGACGAGAATGTTATCCAGACGCTCGAGACGTTGAAGAACGAAGCTGCAGAGATCACAGCAAAAGCATCCGAAACGGAGGGTGTCATGAACGAGGTCAACACCATCATGAACACGTACGAGATCATCGCCCGCTCATGCTCAGCTATTTTTGCGGTGCTGGAGCAACTGTACCACGTGCACAACTTCTACCAATTCTCTCTGCAGTACTTTGTCAACATTTTTGAGTACGTGCTTCGCACCGCGCGAGAGTCTGGAGAGACCGATCCCAAGAAGCGCAGCGAATCGATTGTGCGATCGCTATTTGGCAAGACCTACAATGAAACGTCTGCTTCGCTACTGCAGAAGGACAGGCTCACGTTTGCTGTTCTTCTTGCACAATCGGCACCGTTTCCGATGGACAAGAGCTTCCTTGATACACTCCTAGATGACAAGGTATCTGGCGGTGATGTCAGCTCCACTCCGGGGCAGAAGGAGCAGGCTGTGGCCATGGCATCGCGCATCAACGGCATCAAGGACTTGGTATCGAACACCGACTCGCCTGAGTGGGAGACGTTCTTCACCACCGAAGCAGCCGAGCTGTGCATCCCTGCTGTCGCTCAAATGGGCGGTAACGAAAACGACAAGGCGCTCAAGGAACTACTTCTCGTCAAGCTTTTCCGAATCGATCGTCTGGTACCGGCTACAGAGCGTTTCATCACTGCGGTGTTCGGACAATCATTCCTTGACGTCGCAGAAGATCTCGGTCGCATTGCGAGCGACACTGCTGCAAGCTCTCCAATTGCTCTTTGCTCGAGCCCCGGCTTTGATGCCAGCTACAAGGTTGACCAACTCGTTGAGCGTGTAGGAGCCACCTCGACCAGCGTGGCGATGGGCTCGAACGAGAGCTTGTCAAGTGCAGATGTCGCCCTAGCCGGCGCCGCAGCCAACGGTTCATGGGTTTTGATCAAGAACGTCCATCTCGCGACTGAGTGGCTACAGAATCTCGTCAAGCGAATCGACTCCCTCAAGCCACACAAGGACTTTCGCCTGTTCTTGTCAATGGAGACCAGCCCGAAGATTCCATCGAGCTTGCTGCGGGCATCGCGGGTGCTCATGTATGAGCAGCCGGCCGGCATTCGGGCCAACATGAGGGATTCCCTCACATCCTTGCCCGACAAGGCAGTTCATCAACCGGTTGAGAAGGCACGTGTACACTTCTTGCTGTCCTTCCTGCACGCTGTCGTTCAGGAACGCTTACGCTACGCGCCTCGTCTGGGGTGGAAAGGCTTCTGGGAGTTCAACGACGCAGACTTCGATTGCTCGGCGTTCATCATTCAGTGGTGGACTGACACCGTTGCACGTGGACGCTCCAACATCGCACCGAAGAGCATACCTTGGGAAATGCTCCGAGCGTTGATTTCAGAGATGTACGCTGGCAAGATCGACAACACCGACGACATGGAGCAGCTCAAGACTCTCGTGAACAAGACTCTCACTGCTGACGCGTTTGAGGAGGGCTTCAATCTCATTGGAGAGGTGGCCGAGGATTCCTCTGTCGGAGCACCTCTACCTGGCGGTACCGCCAAATCTGTCTTCTTGCAGTGGGTGAAGGAATTGCCAGAGCGTGAACCACCCACATATCTGGGACTGCCGGCCAACGCCGAGAAGCTCCTACTTGTTGCTCACGCGGAGGAGATGTTGAAGAATTTGAAGACTGTCATGGGTGTGCTCGATGAGGGTGAGCATGTAATGGCAGAGGCAGTGGAGGGGTAGTGGACTGTTACGCTGCAAGGAGTGTTTCATTTGTTGGTGCATTGGGAGGTTAGAAGGCCGTTGACGCATTGCACTGGAGTTTGCGTGCTCTTTTAGCGTATACCCTCGCAATTCTGTTGTTTGTGTTCGATCAGATATCGCTTGATAGATGCGTCGTGAAAGTTTGYATGTTCTGTTGCCTCGTACTGTCTTTCCTATTGTGCTTTTACTATTGTGCTTTTACTATTGTGCTTTTACTATTGTGCTTTATCATCTTACCACCATGTGGAAACTTGCGAATGATTGAAATTCAAACGGACGCCTTAGGGCAGCATAGTGAAGGAAGCATTCCAGACAAATTTACAAAATGGCTTATATCAGTCTCGAGGAGCGAAGTCCAGCGATGATGGCTTGGTACCTCCCTTGTCACTGTCGTACTCCGAGCATGTCAACGGACATACCGCGACCCAAACCCTAACCCTAAAAGTAACATCACGTCTCCATCGTCTTCGAGCCACGCAATACTCACGCAACAACATCAAAATGCGCATCACCGGCCACCATCAGGACAAAATTTGGCGCGATGTATCCATCGACGCTCATTCAGGAGCATGTCACGCGATATCTGTCAGAACTACTGCAGCGCAAGACACATTTGTCCCGCAGAATAGGCAAGCAAATCCGGCAAAGACACGATCACGATTAAACTGATATTCTGTAGGCCTGGCGATCAGCGGCGGAGTTGATTCCATGGCACTCGCCACCCTCTGCAGGGAAAGTCAGTCTGCGTGTTCATTCACAGGGTTCATAGTAGATCATGGCCTCAGACAGAACAGCAGCGAAGAGGCAATCAAAGTCGCAGATCAACTCCATAGCATTGGCATCGAGCCACGCATCCTTCGACTCGACTGGAATGCGTATGGAGATCCGAGGAACATGACCAATTTCGAGGCTGTTGCGAGAAGATTACGGTATCAAGCTATTGGGAAAGGATGCTACCGTGAAGGAATTCGCTCCTTGCTGGTGGGACACCATGCAGATGACCAGGCCGAAACAGTCCTTACGCGGATCGTTTCTGGGTATTTAGGTGCTGGAATTGCTGGAATTCAACCCGAAGCAGGAATTCCGGAGTGTTCTGGCATTTATGGAGTTGATGGCTCTGGATGCATCATCGCCTCTGATATGGAATCTGAAGGACAATACGAGCATCCTCATGATGCGATTGTGATTGAAAGTGGTGGTGTGAATCTCTGCCGTCCATTGCTACCTTTCACCAAAGACCAGTTGATTCAGGTTTGCCGGGAGAAGGAAGTGAAATGGTTCGAGGACCCAACGAATAAAGACCAAACGCTTACAGTTCGTAATACGATTCGTCACCTCCACGAACAAGCAGTATTACCGGCTGCTCTGCAGCGAAACAGGCTCTGTCCAATGGCACTCGCCACGAAGAACAAGAATTCCTACATCGACGCGGAAGTTGACAGGCTTTTCAATTCCATCGATGTAGAATTGGATGTGCGGCTCGGAAAAGTCACATTCACAATCGACTTCGAGATGATCGAAAGATGGACTCCTCACTCCACTACCATCATGCATCGCATCAAAGCGTCATTGCTCAGGAAACTCATGCATTTGATCACCAGTCGAAGCATTCTACTTCCAGACCTCGAAAGTGCCGTGCAGATGGTCTTTTCCAGACATCTACATTTCCAGGCGATGCAAATTGGAAAGGTCAACATCCAGCCTGCAAAACGCGATGACAACAACACTTTCGAAAGCAGCGGTTACAAGACGATTGTGCTCTGCCGCCAAAAACCTAGCACTAAAGATGTGCGCATGACCTCCCAACTCACGATCCTCAATCACGACAAACATGGCACAGATTTTGATGAAGCAGGTTGGCTGCTTTGKGATGATCGATATTGGATACGCATGCAATCGGCTCCGTTGGCTCCATCTTGTATGTTTGTCCGCTTCATCACACCGAACATGCTGGGCACATTGAGGAAATCTCTCAACAAGCAGCAGCGATTGGTGTTGCAACATAAGCTTGACGCTGCGAAAGAGCATGACATTAGATGGACCCTCCCCGCCATTGTTGCCCAAGAGGGCGACGAGGAGACCGTTATAGCGCTTCCTACCCTGCGATGGGAGAATGCTGCATTTCTGGATAGCTATGCCGAAAGATCGGGAAACGCTGAGATACCATTTACTCTGGACATACGGTATAAAAATGTAGACATTTTACGTAGCGAACGTCATCGAATCATTTCATAAAGACATATATACATTTTATTTTGTTTGCCCCTATTACAAGATTCCTCTAGAATCCTGCTGGGATGTCCTTCTGAGCATATGGCTTGATTGGGGGCTCGCTGGCGACCTTTGGCAAGAAAGTCAGGATGGAAACAGCGGCAATTGGGATCTGCGCGTAAGCGTTGAAGACATCCTGGAGACCGAGACCTGGAGCCGCGAATCGGGAGCACTCAGCGTGGAGATCAACGCGCGAGAGCTGGCCAGGACCATCGTGTGTGAGGGCATCTGCAACAAGAGCGTACGCGACAGCGCTGATGAGGACACCAGCGTGCTCGTTGAAGATGAAACCACCGGGGAGGACGGCGGTGCAGGCAGCCTGGAGCTCGGTGTTGGAGACGCCGACGTTGCGGGCATCCATCAAAGAGCCAGAGGCGTTGGGGTCCTGCTGAGGCTCGACAATCTCGTCGAAGATGGTGTAGACGTTGGTGGTTGGCACGTATGCGGAGTCACCACCGTTGTTACGGAGGGTGTTGATGAAGGTGCTGTTGTAGTTCTGTTGGGCAACAGCCGGCGTGCAGCCAGGGGTGACAAAGCCGGGGCACAGACCCTGGGCCTCGATGGTGCCGTGGTAATCTGGGCTGATGCCGWTCTTGTCGCTGAGAACAGAGCGGGTTGATGGCCAGTACTTCAGTGCCCACTGGCCGTCGAGAGAGCCTGCGCTCCATGCTACGAAGGATCGTTAGCAAACTGTCAGCCCACACTGCGGAGGAGGCTGTACGTACAGATGGTGGAGACGTTCTTGTGGCCGGAGATTGCACTGATGTAGTTGATGGCATAGGCGGTGTACCTGAACAGATAGGTTAGCAATGTATAACAATCGATCTTCTGGGTATCTTCTTACTCAGCAGCCACCTGGATATCGGCCAAGTTCTCGCCTGGGAGGTTGACGTATACGGGATCGCCAAGGTTGTTCTGCTTGACGAGCTTCGCGAGGTTTCCTGCAAAGTTGGATCCAGCACGGGCACCGGTACCAGGGAGGAAGAGGACTGGCTTCTTCTTGCCGTAAGTGAAGTCATCGGGAATGTAGATGATCTTACGGAGATCGGCCTCGCTCAAGCTGTAGGGAGCATCCCGTGGGTCCTTCTTGGGGTAGATGCCAGGCGCTGGTCGAGGGTTGTTGTTGTCGGCGCTGTCCTCCACCAAGTACCCCTTGATGATGTCGGCGTAGTCACCACCAGCGAATCCGCCGGCGAGAATCTCGGCWCCGCTCCTGAAGATGTCGCCGGGGTTTGCGGAGGTGATCTTCTGGACCTCTTCAATGAGTTCAGGAATTTGAGATGGGCCCGGAGCTGGAACGATGTTGGTGAAGATGGCCTGTCCAACCGAGACGGCAGCTGCAATAGATGCCAAGTCGGCACTGAAGCTGCCAAAAGCCGCGTCAAGCTGGTTCTGGTTGGTGATGGGAGTATCCAAAATACCCAGAGGCAGGAGAGCAGCCTCTGTGACATGCTCCTTTTGGGCTTGTGTAGGAGTAGGAGTTGCCAAAGCTGAGGCGACGAAGCAAGCGCCCACAACGGCGCGGACGGCGGAGTTCTGCATGGCTGCTGATGAATTTGACAAAGACAGCAACTGCTATGTTGTACGAATGTTGTTAGACGGACAGGGACCGAACTCGTGAGAACCAGGATGTTGGTGATACAGTTTATATGTTTCCCCAATTGAACTCTCCCCGCAATATGGCGCCGAATAGGCGCTGTAAAGTTCAGCTCATGTAACGTCGTCCAGCCCAAATGACATGGTGTATGGAGCGACGTTGGAAGGAACCTTTAAGGCCGAGGCAGAATGCGTGTATAGCAACATGATCGACGACGATCGACAGCCACCAAGCTTCCAGCTCTTGCCCGAAGTAGATAAAGGCTTGCTGACTGTTGTGATGTTTTCCAAATATTCAAGCACTTCCCCGGAGATCGGGAAGCCATACAACGTGCTTGAGATGTTGCAACGCACGTGCGACACGACCACGCACGTTGAAAGGAGGAGTCATGGTCAGGCCTATGTAGAAGAAATATCAGTGCTTCCAATTATGTTTCTGGTGCTTTTCTTTCCACTTACGCCGTGGCTGTCCGCAAATGAGCTGAATGGTAGAGCTCATTTGGAGAGATCTTCTAGCTCTAGATGCGGTCCGTCAGGACTATTGTCATTGCTAGCGTTGTAGATTCCTTCTGCGACCGGCATTTCGGGGCGCCGAAAGCGCACAGACATCGCAGTTCCGGCCTGAGGTGAGTCTTGTTATGTGCCTACTTTCTCCTTCCTCCTCGGGAACTCGGTAAGGYAAGGAAGTGAATGCTCTTGAACATCGAATGCCGTCGTTTGCACTGCCGCCCGATGGCGTCGTTGAGCCCAGTAAATCGCGCACATCGCGCGGGTTTCCCAGGCAATCAAGCAGGTGAATATGTGCTCAAGTCTCGTCAGCTTTCGCAGTTGTAGTATTATGTCTCTATATCATCGCAACCCGTGCACATCTTCTGCATAAACATTCGTCAATCGGTCGTAACTTTACTTTCTCTTACCACTCGGGCTAGACTGCCTGAGTTCCTCCAGTAACTCTCGTGCTTTGCGATCTTTCTTGTCGAAACCGCTGTTGTAGAAGGTCGGAAGCACTCGTTTGGAATCTAGAAGCACTGATCAGCATATATACAACAACAAGTACGTCCATCATGGTGAGTGAATGCATACTTGCGTGCAAATCGTCAAACTCCAGTCCTTCGGCCCCCTTCTTCTTCGCTTCCTTGATCGCATCTTCCAGCAATGCACTCCCCACGCCCTTGTTTCTGTACTTTTGTCTCACCGTCCAGGCCTTGATGAATCCTCTCCATGCCTTCTTCCTCTTCTGTCTGCTTTCCCCGGATACCCACTCAATCACCGCGGTCCCGATGACCTCGTCTCCGAACTTGGTTATCAAGAAATCCGAATCACCAACCCACTCCCAGTTGATCTCTTCGGCAGCATACAGATAATCCTTGGTCGCAAACCGCGTCCCGGCCATGAAAGTCATGATCAAACCCAAGCAGGAGCTTGCAATGACAAAGTGATCAATCTGCTTATCACTCATGTACCGCGCCATTTGCGCCAGAATGCCGACTAGTATTGCAAGGTTCAATGGACTGTAGAGTAGAGCTTTGTTTGCGAGCTGTCGCTGTTGGGCAACGCTGTCTGCAACCAGCTTCAATGCTTCTACCCGTTCCTCCTCGTCGGTCGTGAGATATGAGGTCAGCTCCGGCACTCCTGCCAGAGGATCGTCTGCGACTGGAACATCGACATTGTCCATGGCGGAAAGCGCGGGTTGTGAGAGAGGCGATGGTGGAGGGAGAGAGCTGGTCGATCCTTGCATGGAATTGGGAGTTGACAGTGGACTCGGTGGTGGAGAGGCGTGGAGACGTAGGTTTGTTCGTAGAGAGCCGAAAAAGGCTGTGGTGGGAGACGTGTGTTAGCTCTCTTGTCTCCTCCACGCGTGTGTGTATACAAGTAGTATGGAGGTTCACAATGCAAAATCAAGCTATATTGTGACGTACCAGCCGAAGCCTTGAAACCCGGAATGGCAGCACTAACGGGAACCTTTGCGTGTTGCTCCCTTAGCCGCTGTTTCTGCAGCTGGACTCTAGTGGGCTCGTCCCTCGGAGCCAATCGCAACGGGGTGGTGCTAGAGAGCAGCGAAGTGGTGACGGGCAGGTAGTTGGCGGAATTCACAGTGCTTGTCGTCGTTGCGGTGGAGGACGAGGAGGAGCGAGAATGGCCATTGGCAAGTTGGACGTCGATGAGGGAATGCGAGTACGTCTTGAAGTGCCTGCCCATGGTAGGAGGAGTAGTGCAATAATAATAATGCTATTACTGGTTATCTCCGGCGGGCCCCACGACCTGCATTCTACACCAACCTCTGGCAGACTTTTGGCGTCGAAGTATTATGATTGGGAAGAACGGAAACGTAAAAGGCGTCGGTCCGCCAGCGGGCGACGCAACAACGTGCGCGGGAGCGTCTATTATATTGGTTTGGACGGGCGCGTGGTTGGGGGAAAATGATTCGATGAAGAGCGCTAGTACTTCGTAGCGAACGATGCAGCAGCCCTTGCACGGGCGTCATGCGTAAGTTCTTGAACGGCGCCCCAATCGCTCGTCAAAGGTGAAGGATCCGATCAGATTCTTCCCACTTGTCCGCTCGCAAAAGCAAGGAATTGCATGTGTGTTTGTGTGTGCGTGTGTGCTGTGGTGTGCTGCGCCCTTCTCAACCAACGCCTCCAAGGACATGCCTCTGATATAGCTCCTGACAGCCGACAAGTCTCGTTGGTCTGAATCTGGCCTTATCGCGAAAATGCTCGTGCAACCCGTTGGAACGGGCACCCCCAACATGATGATGACCACCGATAGCGATTGATTGCAAGCAGCGCATCCTAGGCTAGCAAAGCTCTTGCGCCACTGCTGTGCCGCCGCCGCCGTAAGAGCAGTATTCGACTCCCGCCATCCCGGGAGCGAATGAACATCGCGATGATGAAGGACTTGACCGTGGACGCGCCATAGTTGACGTGTATGGACGAGGGGCAAAGGCCTTCCCCACAACTCACGCGGCTGGTGAAACACGGGCAAGATCCTCCGCGACTTCACATCCCGCAGGCGAGCTGCAGCTGTAAAATGCGCTGGATCCGTCTGTACGGCTACGAGCCACGGTAGCGGCAGGATGCAGTGTCTTACTCACATATTCATGACCCGCTCTCTCACATTGCGTTTCCATATCCCAAGCGGTCGATTGGAGAAACAGATATCGTCGACTGTACAACACCATCGTGATCCTCATTACTCGCCGTTCATTCATACTCACACTCAAAGACGAGTCGTCCACCATCAGGCTCACACTCAAAGACAAGACGAGTCGTCCTACGGCTGCAACCACGGTCATATGATCACAATCGCCCGCTACGCGTCCGCGCCGTCGCCGAGTGGACGAGGCCAAGCTCACCGCCATGTTCGTCATCACCATTGTCATCGTCTAGAGTGTCCGCAAGTACAGCGTGATGCGAAGGAGCTGGGAGTCATTTTGTTCATTATACACCCATGGTATAAAGTATTGGCATTCTGCCGCGTTTGTGAAAACAAATATCAGCCGCCGTGCAGACATCGCATGATATCATTCCCCCACAAACAACAGTGCAACAAAGTAGAGCGCCGCTTGAACGCCATGCAAACCACCCGCCAAGCCCGTCACCATAGTTCCCCCGCGCCGAAAAAGATCCGTCTTTGGTATTCTGCTCACCGTCTTCGCATCCGGTTGCTGAGTTGCTGCTCCCTGTAGAGTTTGCCCACTGTTTTGCGCCGAGTGTATTGTCTGCCAGTCTCCAGCTCGACCAGTTCCATCTCAATTACCAGCATTGCTGGGCTGCAGAGTATGCGTGTGATTGGGCGCCCTGATTATCACCCCGTTTTCTTCCTGTCGACACACCAAACTGTTCTGGACCCACGGATCCGCCAATATCTCGTCCATGGTCGCTCGCTTTTTGGGATCGAGCTCGAGCATGCGTCCGATGATACTGCGGGTCTCGCGTGGCAACAAACGTAGCAAGCGTATGGGCCCCTTGATGGTGGGCTGCAGGGGGTCCGATTGGCTCGCTGTTGAAGCGGTTGACACCGACTGGCGGTGTTCTTCCTTGTGGTGGGAATGATGGTGATGCTTTGACTCGGAGCCCTCAGAGTCCTCGCCGCGACTGGGATTCCTCGACACCGGCGCCGACTTTTGAGAGTTCGAAGCGACAGACCGCCTATGCTGCTCGAGCATTTTGTCCTGGTCTGGATCGGGTGTTGCAACGAACAGTCTGTAGGAGTTGTCTGAGACTCTGGGTGCTTTCCAAGGAAATCGTCGCAGCGTCATACAACAAAACATGATGGCCATAGACCAGATATCTGTTGGACGCGGGTCATATCTCTGGTTGTCGTACACTTCAGGCGCCAGGTATGGGTCTGAGCCAACGACGCCTACAATCATGTTAGCGCGGGTTTCTTGACGAGACGTGAAAACGGTTCTTACCCGTTGCCAGCACCACATCCTGCTCGAATGGGTACCTGAAAACCACAGCACTGCCAAAATCAATCAACTTCATGATTCCTTGGTCGCTGATCACAACATTGTCCAGCTTCAGATCACGGTGTGCCAAACCCATGCTGTGTAAGTAGAGTACTCCGCTGAGCACCTGCAGCGTGGCACATGTGACCTCCTCTCTATTCATCTTGCCTGTCATGACCGTGGCGAACAGGTCGAATGGAGCATACTCCATCACCTCGTACCATTTGCCCTTTTCGTGTACAATGTCGATCGTTTCAATCACGTTTCCGTGGTGCAGAGTCGATCCAATGCAGAACTCAGCCGTCACCTTCTTGCTGTATTCTCGCTCACTTTCATAGGCATGTCGATCTCTGAATTGCTTGACCGCAAACACCGTGCCATCCCCGCTGCGCTTCATAAGCCGCACAGAGCCACCGGCGCCAGAGCCAAGCATCTTCCCGAATTTACCGTACTTGGATGCGAGACCGTGATCATCTGCGAACGGAACGCTGGGCTGATTGCCAGTGATGCTGCGGGTAGGAGTTCTAGTACCATCTCTCGACTTTGACCTTGCGGAATCCTTCTCCTTCWCTTTGTGCTTGTGGTCACCTCCGAATTTGAAGAAGCGCTTCAAATTTGACTTTGAGTGCGAGTGAGTCTTTTCATTCATCGTAGACGATGAGCTGTCATGGYCCGCATCTTTCTTACCGCCGAAGAAGCTGGCTCGCTTGTCCGGTTCACCACCGAAGAAGCTGGCTCGCTTATCCGGTTCACCCCCAAAGAAGCTGGATCTCTTATCCTTGTTCTCTTGGACGGCTGGGAGTCCACCAGAGCCTTGTCTCGGCAAGATAGCTGCTGGAGGCAGGCCTGGGCCAGAGCCTGAACTTGCGAATCCAATTGAAGGATCGCGGTTGCCGAAACGAAAGCGCGACTCGCTCGTCTCCAAGGTTGCCTGCGATTGCCGCTTTCGACTCGTCTCGGCAGCGGGGGTGAAAGTTCTGGGAGTGCCTGGGGCGGTGCTGCTAGGCGTATCGTTTGGACTGACATCTTTTGAGGGTGGCTCGGAGTCTCCGCCAGGACCCAACAAGTGTGACGCCTGAGGCTTCGGCTGGCTTGGCACCGGAGCGGCGACTCCACGAGCTGGCGAAGCTGACCGCTGTGGGGTCATTATGTCTTGTGGAGGCCGCACCGCCGGAGCACTAGTAACAGACTTTCCGCCATCTTGCGTGAGAGTGACGGCTGGCGTCAGCGGTGGAGAGTGCACCGTCGAGGTCGGAGGAGTCGATTTGGGGGAGGTGAAATTCGAGCCGGCGGGCATTTGTGGCTGCTGCTGCTTGCGCTGGGGCGTAGAGGAGCCAGACGGTACCTTTATCAAGACAAGCATCGGTCAGTGGGTAGGACACAAACATGGGGTGCGGTTTGCTTACCCGCGACACTGGCTGAGAACCAGGCAGAGAAATTGGTTCAAAGGCATGGTGTTGCATGCGTGAGGACTGGATATTGTTCTGTAACGTGCTTCGCAGTTGCTGCAGTTCCTTTTGATCCTCCGGCCTGAGATCATCGCGGTCCCGCTGGCTGGTGTCTGTCGCTTCATTCTTGCTGGTCTCWTTATGTTTCTGACCCATATTTATGGATCTGTCCTGGGACGGGTTGGGAATGAAGACCCGCTTGATCGTGTCCATTGCGAGCCGTCTCCGAGTACGCCTATGCGCACCAGATTGTCGCTGGAGTGGGTTGGTGGTGGAGGCCCGCTTTGCGACCGCCCGAGTCCGCGATCAGTGTCTCAGACAGACTATTCACACGATATCGCTATCGGCAGGGTCCAGCGTGGCTGAAATGCCGAGGGTTGGTAATGCGAATTCTGGTCGCTTTTGGGAGGAGGTGATTGAACGGGCGAGTCGTGTTGCGGCAATGCGGTGTAACCCAAGCGTGGACTGCAGTGGGAATGGGTGTCGAAATGACTRTAAAGCTGTGCAGAAAAGCCTCGGAGCGAGCAGCCGGTCTTGCGGCTGCTGTTTCTTCCAACGATGCTGATGACGATGATATGCCCAAGTACTTATCCAAGAGGCGCTGGCTAGCGATGCTGGGATTGACAATAATATGCTTCTCACTCGGATCTGGCTTGTCGGTTACTGTCTGGACGATGTCGGAGCGTACAGACCGGCGGCCTGCGATATGGGAGTGGTGAGGGAGAGTGCGGGTGTCACAAAGACCTTTGCTCGAAGACCGACCAAAGATGTGGGGCATGCCGTCCTGATGTGCGATCTTCGCGTTCAAGTTCTTCATGCTTGACCCCATTTGTTAGTAGCGGCGGCGGTCCCGCAATGGATTTCTCTTTCTTCCATCATCGTTCCAACATCGCCCGAGTCTCGCAATTCCGCGCTGCAGTGAGATACATCGATATCCTCCCGAGCAAACTCCGTCGGTACAATGCAGGAAAATGGACGGATCACAGCATCCAATGCTCACCAATTCGCTCGCCGTCAGATTCTACTAACATCCTGCAGCCAGATCGCAGCCCGAAAGTAGTCTAGAAATCACAGATGTTGGGCTAGCCACGCCCAACAGATCCCCTGATGACGGCAACGGTGCGATCTTAGGTACCGTAACCGCCACGTGCTCCCAAAGTTGAAAGGCCACACGACGCTGTCATCAATTTCGTGCCTGTCCCGCTCGGCTGCCCTACGCCACGCTGCGAATCCTGCCAAGAAACAAGGAAGCTTCTACGGATCAACGTCTTCCTTGCCGCTCATCTTCTGAGGTACGACCTCGGAAGAAACAAACTGCTTTCATACCTAGTACCTTACATTCTCAATACTCCCATGTGTCTCGAATGTATCGTCAAGATTGACGTTCCGAAACATTCTCGCGACTGTGTGCAATGAAAGATTCTCAAAGGATCGACGTTTGGTACGGCCGGATCGTTTTCGCACGCACCCAATGCTACTTTCACATGTCAGTGAAGCATGGGTCGATGTGTTGAGGTAGGGATGCAAAGTTTAATCAAAACACCAGCCACCAGCCACCTCGCAGGGCACATACAGTCCTTCCGCTTAGGGTATACAACGTGGATGACTTGCCTGTAACGCGCGGTCTCACTATGAAGCGGTACTTCCATGCTTTCCTTGGCCTTCGATCTCGAGCGCTAGAAAGGGCTCTGCAGTCCACTCGAATCCTAGCTGGTTTGGGAGAGTGTGACTGATATGCAAAGACGCTGTATCATGCTTGGAATACGAACTTGCTATTGTGAGATACCCAAAGCATCAAAAGATCCCAACTTTGCCAAAAAGAATCGGGTTGCCTTCTACAGCCAACCAAGCAATACCCGCATACACAATAATCTTCGTGATGACCTCCACATCATACCGTATCCGCGGCTTCTCCAGCGCCGAAAACATTTCCCGATCAAGTCGCTCGTCTCGGCGGGACTCGTTTCTGTCATCGGCTCCATCCTCGCTTGAAGTTGCAGTGTCATTCTCACTTGCCGGCGGGGTCAGGACGTCTCTGGCGCCGCTGAATGATTGGATCTTCACATTCGGTCGGACGGAGAGATGTGTCGTCGCATTCGGCTGTCCCTCTGATGTCGGCATCGCCTGGTGGTTCTTGGAAGGTTTGGATCGATCCGCACTGGAAGATCTCTCGTCCCGCCGGGTCTGCTCGCGGTTTGCAATGAATTCTCTAGCGTCGGCTTCTGATTGTGGGCCGATGCTGATGGTTCGTTTCCGCCGAGTGAATGTGGACAGCATTCCAGGAATGTCTCTGGCTGGAGGAAGAACCTTGTCATCCTTTCTCAAAGTAGGGACCGTGTTGTAGTCTCGTGATTGCAAGAAATAACGTCGAGGTATTCTTAGTCCAAAGGCTCCCACGAAGCGAAAGATGGGAGGAAGTGTTTTGAGGAGCGTCCTCTTCGCAGTGGAGCGCCAGATGAATATCATCACGATGCCTACAACAAGTCTTCCGGCCACCTTTGCAATGTCCGAATTCGAGGTGACGTACAGGTCTGCAATTGCAATGTCCGGTCGAGACAGGCCAGTCATGAGTTGTGCATAATTCCAAGTCCCAATGCAGATCCCCATGACCACACCAATAAAAGCCACGCTGTCGTCGAAGCAAGGACAGTTGTCTGCTGGCTCAGGATGGAATCGAACACCAAGACCCAAGACCGCAATGGAGATCAAAGGCCGCATCCATCCGCCGGAAATGACCCAGCTGTCGAATGCAGGTCCGGCAAAGACTCTGACGGCGGTAATCAACACCCCCAAGATGGCACCAAACAGCACATCAAAGAACCCGTGCATTCCGCAATACATGCGGCCGATGCTGATGGAAGTAGCATAGCAGAGACAAGCAGCGACCAGCGCGCGGTAGTGCCAGGTGGAGTAGTCATCTTGCGAGGCCCAGAGTGAATGCAGACAATACACCGCTACGGATACAGCATTTGTCGTGTGAGTAGACGGGAATCCATATTCCAGAGCGGCAGATCCACTCATAGTGATTCTCTGCAAGGGAGGACTCAGAGGCCTCGGTAGGCATACCAGGTCCTTTGCATACCCACTCAGATACACGCCTGCGGCTAGCATTTGTACCAGTGCGATGCCGAGCTCCGCGTAGCCACACCAGAAACAGATGGGAAGAGCGGTCATGAAGAACGTGTGCGTTCCCAGATTTGCGGTCAGTGCAAAGTAAGAGTCCAGAAGTGGTGATCGCATGGCATGTTGCATTCTGGCGAGGTAGGGAGTCTCCCAGCGAACGACAGGAATCAGCCATTGCCGCAGCCTGTACCGCCAGGGCGGCAATCGACGCTCATAATGGCTGACACCGCGCAGACCAGCATCGGGATCAGGAGAGGGCGTCCGAAGATGGGCCTGGTATCGCAAGTTGAGTCCGGGGCTGGACATGGAGCGTAGAGTGGAAGCCGAAGCTGGACATTGATCAATCGATTCGCTCTCCGATGTTGGATTTCTTTGGCAGGTCACGTCTCTCAGCGGATGACAATCCTGCGCAGGCCTCTCTTGACACGCGGAGAGTCAGGTAGCGTGTGCAGAGGCCCATCAATTTGCACGTGATAACGTAATTCGAGCTGAGCTCCCAAGGTGAGGTTGAGGCTTGGGGGATTTGCATCTGATCGGTCATGCCGAAAATTAACCGGCCGACTAGCCAGATCCCCATCAATGAGTAAGGTAGGAAACACCGAGCATGMCATCCAGGTTCTCCCCAATATATGGATATGACTGTGAAGACATCGTGGCAACCGGGTCGCTGGTACTGCTAGAATCCGATGATTCTCCAATTGCTGTGCTGTCTCGAGCTTAGTGGCGCGCGCAGACCGTGGTGCGGTCGGTGGCCGCGTGAAGTGACGGTACTCCACGTATAGCTCAGGTCCGGTTGCTAGGTGACGACCCTCGTGATGTTTATCTAGGTAGGCGGGTACACCAACGCTCCGAGTCCGCATTCCTCGCCGCAATCCCACTCCACATTCTCAAGCAGCGAGCGTGCAGTCTAACTTACCATGTCTATCAATCCCGTCCCCAACTACGACCACCTGCGGCGCAAGAACAGCAGCAAGTCCTTCCTCGCCCGCAACGACTCATACCGACGATCGACCCGTGGCAGCGACGGCACCATCAACTCCACCATATCTTCGGCTGCCGCCTCGAGCGCTCGGACGAACATCACGGCGCCGCCAGAGTACAGCAAGAAGTTTGTCGTGGTCGGCGATGGCGGCTGCGGCAAGACATGTCTGCTGATCAGCTACAGCCAGGGCTATTTCCCAGAGGTGCGTATGTCGGCGGGTGGAAAGAGATGTCTTAGAAGATACACATGAGCTAATGGCGGCGACAGAAATACGTCCCGACTGTCTTTGAAAACTACATTACTACTGTTGAGCACAAGCCTTCTGGCAAAGGCGTCGAGCTCGCACTGTGGGATACTGCAGGACAGGAAGAATACGACCGTCTGAGGCCGCTCTCATACCCAGAAACAGATCTGCTCTTCGTATGCTTTGCGATTGACTGTCCGAACTCGTTGGAAAACGTGCTTGACAAGGTAAGGCGCATCATAACAGTGTATCATCCCATCCCGTCTAACACATTTCCAGTGGTACCCGGAAGTCCTCCACTTCTGTCCTACAACACCGATAATCCTCTGTGGGCTCAAGTCCGACCTTCGCAACAAGCGCACATGCATCGAACTGCTTAAAACACAGGGTCTCACGCCCGTAACCAAAGCCCAGGGAGCAGATGTTGCGAAAAAGATGAGCGCCATGTACATGGAATGCTCGTCAAAGGAGATGACGGGGGTGCACGAGATCTTTGACACAGCAATCGACACGGCCGTACGGGGAGGTTCATACGACCACGGTGGCAGCGGCAGTGCACCTGGAACAAGAAACGGCGGTGGAGGCGGCATGACGACACTGAACGGTGCGCAAGTGCGCAGGAAGAAGAGGAGTAATTGCAAGATCCTCTGATCGCAGCCCGTGTAGGGTGCGTGTCGGAGTCTATTGTGAAGATCTCGACTGTGTTGACGTGTTGGTGCATAGCTCTTGACGATTACTGGGCCGTGCAGAAACGGCCTGCAGCGAATGTCGCTGCTGTCCAGCTCCCGACACCGCTGCAGCGGTTTCCGAGTACGGTCAAATTCGTCTTGCGCGAGTGGAGGCATTGGATCTGGAAGTAACAGAGCCAGGCATGAGAGGATGGGAGAAGGAGGCGGTTAACGAAGCGACGGCCTTGTGATTCCGAAGCATCGAGGGTATTCGAGCATACAGCACAGCATCTTACGTTTTGGGTCCAGACTTCCAGCGAGCGGGCGTTTATTGGATCATCGTCCGGAATTGGCATTTGGTGTCGATGCACAGGAAGCGCTGGCAGCATCCAGATTTTGTTGCACGCCGGACTGTACGATTGTGTGTAATCAGAATAGAGACGCAATTTGTTCAAACAGATCTTCCCCTGATGTCAACATTCGGGTATCATCGCATCGTATCAACACCTTGAACGCCGCTTCCACAGTCTCAATCCGACGGCTGCTTCACGAGCGCTCTGCAGCGCCAGCCCTTGAGCTGTTGAGATCGTCCTTGTCGGCCTCCTTGGCCGCCATGACATTTTCGAATTGAGACCAAAGGCCTTCGACCTGACTGAATTCATTGCCGACCTTGCAGGCCATTAGCAATGTCTTGATGTTGACGCGTCTTTAATTGACATACTGCTATCACACCTTCCAGACTCCGATTTAGTTTGTTGATGTTTTGCAGAACATTCTCTAGACTCTGCGGTCATGGTCAGGGAGATGGATTCATGGTATACAGGTTGATGACATACGGCCGCTACATCTCCGATAAGGAGTTGTCTTTGCTGTTCAAAGTAGGTCTTGGAGTCGGCGCCGTTGGTGGCCATGATGATGCTCTCTCTCCCGACGATGGAAGTGTTTTGGTGGAGGGAGGAAGACGCGCTTGAGAAAGTTCACAAGCCGAGGCTTCGCGTCCCATCCCATCACCTCACCTCAGCCGTGAAGCAGGTCAGGAACATCCATATCCACAATATAGTCATGCTGTCGAGATAACACCTCCCTCCATCCCTCACAATGGAGTTCATGGCAGCCGTCCAAGGCGGCTACGACGAGCAAAAGCCATCGTTGTTTGAGATCCTCTCCGAGCACGAGTTGAATGGATTGATCCCGCCTTCCCTCCGCTACCTGCTCGCCGTCGCCACGCACCGCAACCCTCGCTATCTCCTCCGCATCCTCAACAACTTTGATGAAATCTACGCCCTGCTCTCTCTTGTAGTTGAGCGGTATTATCTGCGAACGTATGGAGGTGGCTTCACCGAGAACTTCTACGGCCTCAAACGTGAGCGCGTGCTACGCATCAAGACCGGCGAGACCCCCCGAGCACGTCTTGGTGCTGCAGGCGATGTCCGCGAGGTGTTGAAGTTACGAAACAGCGATGTGTGGAAGAATCTGGCGATTATGGTGGGCATTCCATATATCCGTCGCAAACTGGATGAGAGCTACGACATCCATGCCGCCGGCGTGAACATGTTGGGCCCCGCGTATCGCGCTAGAGAACAATATCCATCGTCGGGAACGTGGAAACAGAAGCTGTTGTGGGTGTACAAGTGGTTCTTGCGGACATTGTACCCCTCCATCAATGCCATGTACTACTTTTCGCTGCTGGCCTTTAACCTGGCCTACCTCTTCGACGGCACCAAGTACAACTCGCCATTCCTCTGGATCATCGGCAGTCGGGTGAGGAGATTGAACGCGGCGGATGGCCGAGCGATAGCGCTCGCTACGACTCCAAAGCCCGCGCCAGCATTGAGGCCTRGACAGAGCAGTTCGATTTTCAACCCAAGGACATTCTCAAGGACAATGATGCCACATGTACAAACCGGCTTGCAATTGCTGCTTCCTACGAGCATATTCGCGTTGAAATTCCTGGAGTGGTGGCACAACTCCGATTTCGCGAGACAATTGGGCAAGAAGGCGAGCGAAGGGTTGGAACTACCTCCCCCAATCATTTCTGGATCACCCCCTGCGGCTGCTCAAACTTCCACATCCGAGAAGAAGACTGCAAGTTTTGAGAAGGAAGGCAGTGCCCCTCCCAGTCGTCGGGATTCGGGATTGGGAGGACCACCCATCTCCTCTCTCACATACCTGCCCATCCTCACTGTTCCTGCTCCTGCATATGCGAGCGGAGAGTCGGTCAACACGACATCGGTGTGTCCGATATGTACGGGAGAGATCAAGACCGCCACGGCCTGCCAGACGGGCTATGTGTATTGCTACACTTGCATCTTCAAGTGGGTTGAGGGCACACATCCTCGACAGGAGGCCTTTATGGAAGGRAATGGAGACGAGGAAGGTGCCCAGGGATGGGTTGAGGAGGGCGGTGGAAGCCGAGTGGGAAGGTGGGACAGTGGGATTGGAAGGGATGCTGTGACCGGGAGGAGAGTGCTGGGTGGAACCAGCGGTTTGAGGCGAGTGATGGTGTAGGACTGCTTTCATCACCAAACCAACGCCCTACTTGGCCTTCATCCATCAGCCACGCCTTGATCTTCGCAGCGACCCCGGATCATCCATCGCGTAATTTTGCCTGGAGTAGCAGGATGCTGCAAGTATACAGTACTGCACGTCGTTCTGACCTCTGAATAGCCTGGTCAGTCCTGCCGCGAGGCGGTGCCGGTGGATGGTCTTGCCAATCATGGCCATGCCACTGCTTTCGAACAGCACCTCACAACATGCTCACGACAAACACGCCGCTGTCCCGCTCGTATTACCAGGACTATTGATACCGATAGAAGTTCTAATACATTCTTCGATATCGGGAGAGCAGCTCAAGTCTGCCTCGCCCGCCTCTTGCTAGCTACTACTCTACCAAGCGCATGCCAACATCAAATCATGCGTCCCAGGTTTAACCCACATCGTTACATTGGCGACCGCCGCTTTTATCATTACGATGTCGAGGACACCGGGAGAAGCCGTTCTGCAGGCCCTTCGACTCGTCCTTATCACGATACCGACCCGGATTACCACTACCCTTTCCCCTCTGTTGCAAGAATTCTCCTTCATGATCGATCGTTTCCTAGAACCCGCGTCAGCTACACGCGGTCCTTGCCGGACCGCAAAGAGCAGGTCACCGAGAAGCTGGACAGCTCCGGCGAGGAGGACGGAAGGGAAAGCGAGGAGAGTGAAAGTAGCAGCGTGCATGACGAAGATGACATCGGAGACGACGAGGGCGACGATTGGGATGACAACGGCAGTGGCGGGCATGACGGAAGCGACGGTGGGGATGACAGAGGCGACGGTGGGAATGACGGAGGCGGCGACGGGCAGCACGCAGGGGAGGATAGGGCCGTTCCTCTTGATCAGACAGCCACGGGCAGCAATATCTTTCATCCTGTGTCACCGCCCTACATGTGCACGAGTCCTACATCGCCGCCAGAGAGCTTGCATTTCCCAGAGATCGACCCGTTGGCGACACCACAGCCACCGCAGCCACCGCAGTCACCGCAATTGACGCCGATACCATCTATGCTCGTTGAGGACTGCGATGACCAATCCAAGATACCACCGGCGCACACTATGGCCCCTGAAGCACCGCCACAGAGCTGGCACGAACCAGAGATAGGAGAATCGGCGACAACGCGGTCACCGCACTGGCCGTTATCGCCGTCAAACGACGGGGAGGAAACCAGACCTGTTGCCAGAGTGAACCTCCCGCCTCCCCCTCCCACTCGGAGGCGTCTTTCGGGTCTGCTATTGCAACAATTCGCCGGAACCATGGAGGTTGCTGATAAGGATGCGGAGATCGCTGCCATGAATGAGAAAATGGCTGCTAGGGATGCGGAGATTGCTGCCATGAATGAGAAAATGGCTGCTAAGGATGCGGAGATTGCTGCCATGAATAAAATAATCACTGCTAAGGATGAGCTAATCGCTGCGGGGGACATGTTGATCGCTACAAAGGATGAGGTGATCGCTGCAAAGAATAAGGTGGTTGCTACTTTACGTGCGGCGCGGTCTTCCATACCACAGCCTCAACTCCGTCAGAGTAACGATGCAACGCCTTCGATGCCCTCAGAAGCTGCGGACCAGTCATCCAACGCACAGCCTCAGCTCCCTGAGAGTGACGATGTCACGACGTTAATACCCTCAGAAGTTGCGGAGCAATGCTCCATCCCGCAGTCCCGGCTTTCTGAGAGCAACGATGCAACGCCTTTGATGCCCGCAGAAGCTGCGGAGCAGTCATCCAACCCACAGCCTCAGCTACCTGAAAGTGACGATGTCACGACGTTAATACTCTCAGAAGCTGCGGAGCAATGCTCCATCCCGCAGTCCCGGCTGCCTGAGAGCAACGACGCAACGCCTTTGATGCCCGTAGAAGCTGCGGAGCAGTCATCCAACCCACAGCCTCAGCTCCCTGAGAGCAACGACGACGCAACGCCTTTGATGCCCCCAGAAGCTGCGGAGCAGTCACCCAAACCACAGCCTCAGCTCCCCGAGAGTGACGATGCACTGACTTTGATACCCGCAGAACCTGCGGAGCATGAAGAAGACAGGGGGTTCACGCCGCTGCAACAAGCTGGTGATGCTCAAGAGATGAATGAGTCAACACAAATTACACCGGCTGCTTCGGGAGACGAAAACTTTGCGCTTGCACTGCCGACCGAGCCGGTTGATGAACATTCGCAGAGCATCTTGGAAGATGGAGTCCGACCAAATTCTGCAGGACATCTGGGCCAGCAACCTGGTCGACATCGAGACAAGAAGGCCAAGCGAAAGGAGAAAGCGCGAAAGAAGGCACAAGCCGCCGCAGAGGCACATGCGGTATCCGCCGGAGCATCAGAGAACGCTTTTCTGGGTGCCCCAGCTTATGCCAAAAGGTAATCTCAAGTCGATGACCCATCCGAGCCGCACTCAACCATAAAAGAATTTCCTTCGAATTCCGAGGAAATTCCTTTTCCAAATAGTACTTTCAATCTCGATACACCACCTATCATGTCGCGAAAGCAGAGGAAAAGCAAAGGCAAAGGCAAACAGGGTGCAACGACGTCGGAAGCGTCTCAAAGACAGCCTGCAAGCGACGAGTGTGTCCCGGGCGCCTCGAATTTATCAGCACCACTTTCGTTGCCGAACAAGTCTCCAACAGTTTCTGGCCCCGAAGCCGCCCAAGCCGAAGTAGATTTCGCTGAAGGATTCGCGATTCTTCCTTCGAAAAGTAACATGCACGACGGTCAAGATGATCAGGTACGGGAAGCAGAACCATCACACTCATTTGAAAGCCCATCGCAAGTCTTTGGAGACAATGACCACATCGAAGACGCCGGGGACGCGGCGCGGATTCAAGGCGATGAAGGCGATGAAGGCGATGAAGGCGATGAAGGCGATGAAGGCGATGAGGGCGAGGATACATGTCGCGAGTCGGCCACCTCCACCACCTCAGTTGCCGAAAGAGCAGCACCGGCACCCAAGTTGTCCGAGGATCGTGGATGGGGCCGGTGTCTACCACCAGTCGAAGGAAGTACAATCGGAAAATCTGCAAAATTGTCCACAACCGAACGATCGGTCGACCACATTATTGAGAGGCCCTACGATGTGGAGAGGCCTTACGAGGTGCCGTCTGGCAGTGCGAAGCCAACCAAGGCCAGCGCGAGTACCGCGAATCTTGATACGGCGGGGTTAAACTACCCGCAGAGCATCCCATCGCGACCGGACTCCGCCATCAACAGGGTCCATGGCTCCGAGAGAAAGCCATCCGTGATCGTACCCCCACGGCCTATCCCCAAGGGTACAAACACCATCACTGTGCGGCGCTGGAAGAATGTAAACCCTCCCTCACTAAAGTTTGACCGTGGTCCTCTGCCACGTCCCGGGGCGAGCCAAAGTTCAATCGTTGACAAAGATGCCCGATGGCGGGCGTTGCGCACATCTTCATTGAGCGCACTCAGGACCGTGATCCACCATGACACCATCCTCGACTCGACTGTCTTTGGCCCAGTGCACGATKGGAAAATCACGCCATGTCCCATCAATCACTCGGCTACCATAACTGATGTCACACCGTGGTGGTGCACAATCAGACTCGATAGCTACCAACACCGTCCTTGGGTAGCGGCCTACTCGGCAATGAAGGACCATGAATGGCGTGCGCTTAGACGACCTCCTGCTGTAGGCACCATACTGGGRAACTCTTATCGGTATCGAAAAGCAGACGTGCCAGCTGAACAGTCCAACCAACAGACAATAATAGATGTGGAGCAACACCTCAACCGTGCGAAGGCATGTATTGACCATTTGGCCAGTACCCCATACTCTCATCAAAAATTGGAACAGATTGGTGATACCCTGAAAGTGCTATCCAAGGATGCATACTTATTAGCCCATGCAAATCTTGAAGAGCACGGCGTCTCGGGGGGAAGTCCGCAGGGTAGCGAGCAAGGCCAGCACTCTGATGAAGAGGTTGCACCACCTAGCAAATCGTATGGCCACGAAGACGAATTGGAGGTTCAGGATTTGACCGGGGAGCCAAGCTCTGATGCTGAAGATGGCGTTGATGGCGTTTGCCGCCAACGTGACGTCTCGAGCCTAGGCCCAATCCCGAATCGCGAGACCCAGGCTTCTTCTAGCGATCCGACAAAGTCCAGCTCGAAAGCGATGGGCGCGCCGAAGTCGACGACTTGAAAGGATGTGTTGAGCTTGCGTACCCATTTGGTAACTTGGGATGGGCTGAATGGCCTTGAGATACATGTCGTAGAGAGTACGTGAGAGTATGATGAATGAATCAAACGTTGTCAAAGTCTTCTTCATAGACGTGCATGTGACTGATCAGTACCGGAACCTCTGCTATATGCTCGCCGTGACAAAATGGCACTCGCATCGCTGTGTCAGGGGCCACGCTACGGGCTTCCGATCATTTGATGTTATGATATCCATGCTAACAGAGAGTGCCCTCGGTGGATCATAGTCGGATGATCCAGAGAGAGCGACTTCTTCATTTCCTGATGTACCTAGTGATCCATGATCGCGCAGGCGCTTCTCACAAAATCTATTGCAATAAGGGTAGCTCGTTTGATCAAGCGATCCACCACATTCACGCAGCTTTGTCACACGAGGTTGGTTCACTTGGAGAAACAGGCGGAAGATTGTTGTCGGTGAAGACAATGTACATTGCGACGACTCAGTATATAAATCTAAAGACTCGCTGATACTCTTCATGGCCCCATATACCAATCAATGATGATTTCTCATGGCATTTCCTTCCAAGTTCAATATACATTTTCTATGCCTTGACGACATTCCAGGCCTGGTAGTCGTTCTCCAAACTCTTGTGTAGAGTGTCGRCGTAGTCTACCATGCCGCCTGCCCAGTTGAGTGGCTCGACTTTGCGGCCGGGAATATTGGCGCCCTGGTACCAGGACTTGGCTAGGGGGAACAATGAAGCATCCCACTTCTCGTGCATCTATTTGTTTGACAAATCAGCAAACACTCTGTGTCTCAAGTTGAAATCGGGACAACTTACCCTCTTTGTCCAGTCTTCCTCGGCTTCAGGCTTGGCATCGATGCGGACAATCTTATCCTCAATCACCTTCTTCATCAGCGTCTCGATCCACYCGGCCTGGAACTGTGTGCAGCTAGGGCCGTTTGAGAAGGCAGTTGGAGCTTGAGGTCCGTAGCAGAAGAACATGTTGGGGAATCCTGGAATGGCAATTCCCATTGATGTCTTGCAGCCATCCTTCCAGTGGTGAGCGATGTCGTTTCCGTTGGTGTCCTGAATGTGAAGCTGGCCGAGAGAGCCGGTGACGGAGTCGAAGCCAGTTGCCAGGATCAAGACGTCAATCTCATCAAGACCCTTGTCGGTGACAATGCCATTTTCTTTCACATCTGTGATGGGGTTGGCGTTGACATCAATGATGGTGACGTTGTCCGAGTCGACGACCTCGTAGAAGCGTTGCTCAAGCGATGGTCGCTTGGTTCCCCATGGGTGCGGAGGCTTCTCTGGAGCAAGGAGCTCGGCCTTTTCGGGGTTCTTGACGCGCTTCAGGACCTGCTTGCGCCAGAACTTGTATGCCTCATAGTTTGCATCGTGGTWGAAGAACAAATCCTTGTAGCCATTCAGCCAGAAACGGAAGCCACCTTGGTCCCAAAGCTATCAAGGTGTTAGCACAAATATTCTTGGGTTCATCCTCATGGACATGTGTACCTGCTGGTAGAACTTCTCACGCTCTTCTGGAGAGTCATCAAATGTGTCCTTGTCGATAAAATCGTATGTGAAGCCGGCGAATGTGCTACGGGTGTCGTTGATCAACTTCTCGTAGGTTCCATCCTTCTTCTTCCTCTCCTCCTCCGCTGGGTCCAGCTTGTGCTGGTTCATCGGTAGGCACATGTTTGGAGTTCTTTGGYAGACGGTAAGGTGCTTCACCTTCGGGCCAATCTCTTGGATGGTCTGGATACCAGAGGCACCAGTGCCAACGACTGCCACGCGCTTGTTCTTGAGGTGTGCATCATGCTGGGGCCACTTGGCAGTGTGGAAGATTTCTCCCTTGAAGTTTCCGAGACCTGGGAATGGTGGGGAGTAGTGCTTCGAGGCGAAACCGATGTTCGGCATGAACCACTTGCAGCGAATGGTAGACTCGTCGGAGCACTCGACAATCCACTCGTTGGCCTGCTCGTCAAATGTTGCGGTGTCAACACATTTGTTGTAGACGCTGCATTGAGATGTCAGCTTGCCGAGATGTTGAACAACAAGAGTGACACGCGGCTTCCTGGTGGATACAACACCAGCGAACGACCTGCGTTGATTTTTGGTCGTAGGACTTACGTGTGTCCGCTCACATTCCACTTCTTGTCGACGTAGTCAAAGTAACGACGAAGTTCTGGGCCGCCAGGGTATCGCTCCTTGTAAGTGAAGTCCTCCCACAACTCTTTGTCGAACAGCTGGTAAATGGGTGTATCGGAGTCAACTCGTGCGCCGGGATAGCAGTTCCTTTGGCCACATAGTCAGCGACTGTGATAAAAAGACACMCATATCGATCTGCGTACCAGTACCAAATTCCACCAGCAGAAGCTCCCTTCTCGTAGATGGTCACTGACAGACCAAGCTTTCTCAGGCGGTTGAGAAGTCTAACGCGGTGTTAAAAGGTGAGGTTTGAGTGTCATGAGGTTGTGCTCATACGTGTATGTGGCAAATCCTGCTCCAACGAGGAGAACGTCCCTATCTTCAGTCAACCTTGTGTTATTCCCCAAAATCTTCCAACAGCTACACACGTCTTGGGGACCTCTGGCTCTTCAACAGACCCCATCTTGTAAGGGGAAGACTTGGTTCGGAATGTAAGAGTTTGCGAGGCCAGTAGTTYGCGTTTAATGGTGGCGACTGTGCTGTTGTCGAGCGAAGGCAGGGCCGGCGAAACCCAGTGGGTGCCTCGCGCATCATATACTCCACGGCTATGGAGTCGATCAATGGCCGTCTCCGTCTGGAGCTTGGGGAGGGGAAGGGCAAAGCGGCCGAATGGGGTGCACGAGATCCATCCGGACGCGTTGATAGCTCTGGTACGCTATTCTATCACAGTGCGTAGAGCTGCTTCATTTGCCTGACGGGTCAGCCGAAACCGTCCACCGACTACCCCAGATACCCCGCCAACGTGGATCCTGCGGGGCGTATCGATATKTGGCCAAGCCGATCCACAGTCAGCGATTCCAGGCAGGAGGGTGTTAAAGAGGCGTCAAGCGGGGTGAAAGACTAGCGATCGGCGAAACGGAAGAAATTTGGAACCAAACCATCGCTCGGCGGACTTCTCTGAAGGTTGACTTACACTTTTCGCAGAACGTTATCCGTCTTGACGGACTGATGACGGGACGACAACTTCGTCGCACTTCCATCTCAGAACTCCGTTAATCCGGGGATCGCTCCGAAAATCTTCGTTCTCAATACCAGTATCATCAGGGCTAAGGAGAGCTCCATGACGCGGCCGTGATCCGATCACAAGCGGGTTGGCGAAGCTACATACGCAGTCAAAGCAGATCTGTCTACGGCAAGCAATTGGAACCCGAGCGATCGGACCTCCAGGGGGCAGCGGCTTGCCGACATGTACCAACAACCAGTTACAGTATTGTAGGGCTGAAATGCTTCTATGGCTGTTTATGGCTTTGGTTGTTGTGTGGAGCATTTCGCGTGCTCAACGTTGTATGCTTAATGCTAAGTCCGGCTTGACGGAAGGGTTGTTCGAAGGACTAGGCAGTGTTCCGTCCACGCGCGCCGGAATGATTGCGGCGACTGCGCGGATCGAACGCCATTCGCTCTCATGTCTTGCGCAACATCAGATGATTGCTGACTGGTAGTGCAGGCCAACCACGTGGTGCATCCAAGAGTGGACGCTGTATCGAATCGGTAGGCTTCCAACGGGACTGGGCACTTTAATCGGCAACATATCTCGAGACGAAAGAGGAGAGATGACATCGCCGTGGAGACCAGTGCCAGAGCCTTCATGGAGCGCGAGGCTGCGAAGGCATTCTAAGTACTAGTCCGTCGCACAACATCTCCCTGCTCTCAGGACCTTTGACATCATGCTAAGACGCCAGATGAGCTGTTAGCGCACTGAATCAGATAAGTCCCTTAAATTCGTTCACACCAGGGCTCGCTCAGATTTGGGAATGCTCTCCTCTTGAACCTGGGTGCTTGCTGGTCAAGAGTTACGCATTATGACAGCATTATGCTCCTAAAGAACACCATGAGGCCCCGAGAGTGTGCAATAATTCGATCCAGAGCTCATCAATTTGACCGGAAGCTWTGAATGGGGCTAAGCATACCCCCCTTAGAATGCATGAAGTGAACAACCCCGGCATTGTTGGCCATCTTAAAGGGGACTCATTACGTCAGTCAGCGACCATGTTCAAATCAATGTGGGACACCTAGGAAGCTGAGATGCCACTCTTTTCCATTTGCATCTCTGCCAGAATCGTGTGCTTTTCGTACGCGTCGTGAAGTGCCATCCATCCTGGGGTGATACTCTGCGCGGTTGAGTAAGGAAGGTGTCTTTGTCCAGACCCGCAGCGTTCACAATCCGACGTAGCGTCGCATCAAATTCTATCTTGTCACGTCTCGCTTCAGCATATCGAGAATCTTCTGCGGATCTATCTGAACGTTGGTTGCAGCAGCCGCGTCATGGTGTCGCATGCTTTGGTCGGCAGCAGCTGGCCCTGCTTGTTTGATGGCGTCGTTGAGCTCCTCTTCCTCGTCTTTGCGAATTCTGATATAATCTTTCTCGAGTAAGTATTGCGGAGGAAGTGATCCCGGCGACTGCGGAAGGACGTAAAGTGTAGGGTACTCTAGCACTGTCTGGTCCCGCAATGAGTCGGTAAGAGTAGCTTGCGAGTCAAGTGGTATGAGAACCTTGGAACTTGATGTTGTACCAGGCTTGAGCAGGTAGAATGACGAACAGGCGGAGCAATCACTCTCAGCAGGCTGCCCGACAACTGTCGTCATTTCTGGAATGTGTGCGTCTGCGTTTGGCTCCGGGGGAACCTGTGAAACAGCGCTGCACTCTGTCTGCGGAGCCGACGTTTGCCKGACGGGATTGCGAGGCTTCTCAGCATATTTGCATTGGTCTTCGGTRTCCGCCTGCAGCTTCAGTGATTTGGTTGCGCGGGCATCATTTTGATGGAGTTTCTTCCGTTTCGTTGTCGACGATGCTGAATGATCCACGGTCAGGGCACGCGTCGAAGCATTGCGCTTTTGATTCAACGCCAGCTCGTAGGACTCTTGCAGCGAGCTCGACGCTAGACAATCGGCTTGCACAACTCGCGTCCCTTCATCATCGATCCACTCCACCGTCCATAGTACGTTCTGGCGTCTGATAAGCGTTAGCAAAATGGCATAATCGTTCCCGCACATTTGCCAACGTACTTTGTGAAGCGGGTCTGATTGGTCTTTTGGCGACTCATTCCCTTGGGCGCTCGCTCTATGCATATTCGATTGGCGCTGAAGTAGCGTTGCAATAAACTCTCGGGGTGCAGTCCACGGTCAGAACCCTTTGCATTCGATTTACCACCAACACCACGCTCCGAGGTCTCACGAGATGCATGCTCAATACTGCGTTCCATACTTTTAAGGTAGTTGTAGTCTTGGTCGATTCCTGTCGGTGTTGCAAGTTGACTTCTCTTAACGAACACGGCTGGGTCTCTTTTTCCAGTACACGATGCGCGCTGTTGATGGCGTTTGTAGCACGGCAGTSAACACGTCTGGGCCTTGCAACCCGGGCATCGATACTTGGGCTTCTGAGTGTAGCTATACGCGAGTCAGTAAGCGAAAACGAATTTGGCAGCCTGAGCGCCATCGTCTTGTCACGGGACATGCCATATGCCGCATAGATCGGAAAGCGACGCTTGATCAGCCATGATGAAGATGCTGCGAAAATAATGGGCGGCAGGGCGGGTTGGTTTGCCTGGCCAGAGAAGGATTGGAAGATGGTGGTGCAAATTTACTCAGTCCAAGGTTCGATCTGCGCGCGGGATCATGCGAACCATCAAGTTGAGTCGGCGCAGTTTAGCACGGTTAATCCGGGCCGGGTGTGGCCGAAGACGGGGTTGGGTTGTGATAGGGTTGGAGTGGGGTTGTAATGGAATTTGGAGATGGCGGTGCGGGAGTGAACTGCGCGATGCCGCATTGCCGCGCCTCTGATCGCCGTCTTCTTGATGGTGCCTGTAGTGTCGTGGGCTGTTAATGGCAGGGCAGGGCGCAGGTGTAGGTATCATGCACATCAAGCGCCTCTCGCGAGTCACGAATGCGACGCAGGAGCTGCTGCACCCAAGCTTGGAAGGTATCGACAAGGCTGAGAAGCTTCTGAGCTGCGGGGCAGAATTAATGCTCAATGGAATGATGGAAATCTCCACCGAGAGGTGGCACAACATCTTCACGCGCGGGATTTGTAACCGCTAGGCTTCCTTGGGGAAGTGGGTCCATCAGCCACGCGAAGAAGAAAGGCACCGCCCGGGCATGCACTGCAGCACTACTGTGATGCTACGATACAAGTTCACCAAACGCTGTAGTCCGAGGAAAACTCCCAGCTTGCGCGCTCGCACCCGATGCTGTTTGTACTGTGCAACAAGGGAGCAGGCAGGAAGTAAGTTAGGTACCTGACAGGGCATGCATCATGGCTGTCGTCCAGGGCACATTGACCCCATTTGATTGCTGGATCGTTCTTATCGGCCTCCCAGTGATGATTAAGCTGCACAACTTACAACGGAGTAGGTACGCGCTCTCCCCTCTACACGTGGCGAGGTTCCGCGTCGTGCAAACACTTCCAAGTTGCTTGCCTAGAGGTAAGGTACCTACCTTAGCCACATACGGCGATGCGGGCGCCGCGCTTGACTCGCCCATCATCATCGTCTCGCCACGCCGCAAGGAGTCGGGTTGGGGCAGCTCGTGATGCTCGTGGTGCCCGTCGCTGCCGATCAGTGCTGGCGGGCTGGCTGGTCTCTGACACGTTGTCACTGTGGTCGACCACACGGTGCATGTCGATTTGTGTCCGCGACTGCTCATCACAGTGCTGGTCCGCGAGTCGGATGATGATCAACATCGCGATCGCTGCCAAGATCAATCTCGTCTTCTCCTATTCTGAGGTGCTAGCGTCAAACAAGTCCGCCGCCGGAGCAGTAGCGCTGCCCGAAAGCAGCGACTCTGTCAAGGAGTGCGCGGGGAGCGATTCTGTGGCAGCGTGACCTGACTTGGTGTAATGAGTGATGAGGCTCGACCGATGGTGGCGACGATGCACAGATGTAGAACAATCGGTAGTCATCTGGAAGAGCCGTTTGCTCAACACCACCACCGAGGGACGACCTTCGCCGCAGTGCTGTGCACCGTGGTACGGCGGGTGGCCGACGCCTTCCGGTTCGATGGTCGCCCGGGGCCGGCATCACGTTGCTACAGACGTTAGATTGACCGACCAGCATGCAAGTAACGCGCGCATCGCTAGTGCCCGAGTCGCGAAGCGAGCAGCGGTTTCATAGGTCGAGCCCCCCACTCAGCTGCAACGGCCAGGGCAAGGTTCAGGGCCACAGCCGCCAGTTTTCCTGCCCCGGGACATTCGAGGCTTGGAGTGTACCGTTTGTGCTCGCGCCGTACCTCTCAGCGGGCAGAGCTTCCAGATAATCTTCCTTCCCAAGACCCTCTCCATTGCACCTTGTACGCAGTGTGCTGCTGCTGCTGCTGCTGCTTCGACTTCCTCCTCGCTCCCGTGCAAGAGTTGCTGTCGACTGGCGCGCGCAACGACACGGGAAAAATCTCCTCGACGCTCCCTCAAGCTTCAACGTCGCATGAGCGCCTAAAGGACTACTGCACAGGGGAAAAAACGGTACAATAGTCTCCGCGCCGGTCCTCTAGCAAGTCGGGTATTATCACCATGGCCCCGTCCTTCAACCTCCATCCTCACCCCGTCGAGACTGGACGACCTGTCAGTCGCGAGGACGAAAATCWGGTCATTCCCAATCGCACCTCGTCGTTACACTCGCGCATCACCCAGCCACTCCCCGGCGCCATGATGCAGCAGAGAACGGGGAACCGGGCTCCCAAGACCCTCACGCATGCCTACATGGTATGCGGCGTGGGCAGAGAGCCTTCGCAGTGGGTCAAGGCTCCATCGCCAGCCCAAGGCAAGATTGGCCATCTCAAAGGTGCCGTCGGCCAGTTCTGGCTCCCCGAGATTCTGGGCAGCAGCCCCAGACTGGAACAGGACAACGAGATAGCGCGTGCTCTACACGCTGCGATGAGGGTACGTGCCTCGCTGTACAAGTTTGCTGGCGCGAGATGTTAACAATCTATAGGCATGTTTCCCGCACGACGTCGAAATTTGCACGGGTGCCAGCCAACCGCACTGCGTCCACCACTCCTTCGTACTGCAACAGGACTCCTCCCACACCCTCTATGGCATTGCTCTCCGGGTGTGGTCCAGGGCGGACGAGAAGCGTGCAGAGACGATTCGAGATCTGCGCAAGCGGACAGAGCCCGATTACTACCACACTCCTGGCGAGACTTATTGGATCCCATATTGTTTGTCTTTCCTTTCCAGATATCCTCTCTACAATCTTCTGGGTGACTACCTTCGCGGCATGTGGATTCACTGGAACAAGGCAACCAACCTCTTCCATGCTGAGGAGGTCTCCCGAATCCTAAGCTTCCCGGCTCCACGCTTGAACGATCTCGTGCGAATCGACATGAAGGACTATGCCCTCTGCTATCAATTTCCATCCTCCCCCACCGGCTTCCAAAACTTCGCCATGTGGCCGCTCTTCTCCTGCCTGTCGATTCCGAACATCGTCGGCGTGCTGGAGGCTGCCGTGTCCCCGACTCGCCGCATAATCTTCATCTCCCACTATCCCGCCATGCTCACCGTCGCCACCGAAAGTGTGCGCTACCTTGTCCGCGTATACGAATGGAGTGGATTGTACGTACCGGTCGTGCACGCTCGCCATGCAAGAGAGCTAGTGCAGGAGCCGGGCCCATACATACTCGGTATGACCGCCGAATGTCGAACCTTGTTCACTGCGCCTTCGGATGCGCTGGTGGTAGACCTCGACCGAAATTTTGTCCTCACATCGAGCCCACCGAACGCTTGGACGACCAGACAACGATCAAAATTGATCAATCGCGTTACACAGGCTCTCAACGGCGATGTGGCCCCATCTGGTGTACCCGCGCATCTGCGTTCGGCCTACGGGGGCGGGAAACTCATCCCTGCTGGTCAAATAATAGTCATGCGAGGTGAAGTGGAGAGTGTTCAGGATCCGGGCTGGTGGAATCAGGGCGAGGTCATGAAGGTCATGGATCACGCATGCGAGAAATTGGTATGTTGTTCGCGACCCGGTGTAAATCGCATGCTGACTTTTCTTTTCAGGGCAAGAACACGGGCGTAAGAGCTGTATTTGGCGGTGCTCAGAAGAAGCCACTCATGACCAAGGTGTCGATGAGACATCTCAATGAGATTGTTCGCGAGCGCAACCAATACTCCCGGGACGCAATGGAGGCCTGGCAAGACTTCATCAACCTCAAAGGACGAATGGACACCGAGCTTACCAAAGTCTCGAAGCGCAACAACTTCTTGGTCGAAGAGCTCGAGAGCTGGAAGCAGCAGTTTCTCAAGTTCCAAGCGTTTGCTGAACAGCTCACAAAGGAGACGAGCGAGCTCAAGATCAAGATTGAGGGCCACAAGCGTGAGAACAGACGTCTCACTAGTCTTATGGACCAACAAAAAGATGACGCTGCTCGTCTCACCGTGCGCTTGTCAGGTACGGAGAAGCAACGAGACGATGCTCTCGAGGCACTTGTGCTGCAACAAGAAATCGCCGAGGAGCTGGAGAGAGAGCGCAAGAGGAACAAGAAGGACCTCTCTGCTCTACAACACACCAACACGACGTTGCTCCGACAACGTGACGAGGCGCAGCGTGTCGTTCTCCACTTGCGTGCCTTGATTGACGGTCAAGCACACCACATGGAACACATCGTCAAGTCTCTCAGCTATGTGCCCGAGACTCTCGAGTTCTTGGACGCTGAGGATGACTCAACCGAGACTGGCGAGACAGAATCGAAGGAACAGCAGGGAGTTACTCACACTCCGGCCTCAAATCGCCCTGCCAGTGGAGTTTGGTCAAGGGCTCCTTCACGCGCGAGCACACGAATGTCACAATATCGTGTGGATGGTGAGGACTTCACTACAGTCTCGGACTCTCGTCTCCTGATGACAGCGGCTACTCGCAAACGCCTGTCTGAACACAGCATGGCTGACGTTGCAGACCGTCACCTTCGAGACAAAACAGACGCAATCGCCTACATAATCCGAAACATCTCCGAGCAGTGCGCTGCCGCGGTGGAAGGCTTGGACCTTGCTCGTCGCGCCGACACCGGCAGCAGTGAAGGCGGAGACGAGGACCAAAGGTCGGAGTCGGGCAAGAAGAGAGGGAAACGCGCCGTCAGGAACTCCCGCGCGGACTCTGTCGACGTCGACGTTGACCAGCAGAGCAACGGCTCGGAGTCTGAATTCAGCGATATTCGCTCTGAAGCAACCAACAGCTATCTGCACCCCAAGCGTGCATCCTCCAACGTGCCTCCCACTCCGGAACTGGTACACGATCGCAGCYCTACCAGCATGAGCATCGCCAGCGAAAGCACGGCGGCCACGCCACAGCGAGACAGCATGCAAAGCCAGTATCGCCATACGGAAGAGGGCATCCCAGAGATACCCACCCACATTGTCGATCACGACGCCCTCGAAGCTCYCGAAGAGGAAGAGCCAGTAACAAAATTCAACTCGCGTGGACTTGAGCGCTACACAACGGCCGAGCAAACACGATGACTGCCACGCCCCATTTCGAAAAGACTATCGCGAGGCAGGTTCCCCATTACGATTGATTGAAGGTGCATGCGATGTATGGAGGCAGTTTGTCTGGATGTATGTTGAAACTTGCTCTGCGTTTCCGCCAATTGCACTAAGCGAAGGAAAGGAGGGTCCGCGTTTGCGATTTGTTTTGTTTTGTATTGTGCGAGATACTCCCCCACCGCATCTCCTTGGTTGTCGCTTCCCTTCTGGTGGCCTAGCTAATAAACCAGTCGACATGAACCTGGAAGAATTGAAGACATTACTCTATCCCCTCGCCGACGAAGCGTGCTTGTTTGTTAGCCGTAGGTAGTGCAGGGCCCACTCCCTCCGACAGCCTCGACCATACCATCTTTGGATATTCGCATTTCATCCTTGAATGGCAACTGACGTGAGATCTCAAATGGAAATCGTGATGGGAAGGTAGGTACTCATAGTGCCTTCCCGCTGCTCAGCGGTGCCAGAAAGCGAACCGACTACTACTTACACCTCAAACCATTGACTTTGCTCAATCCATGCCATGGACACTTCGCTGCATTGCAACGACCTCTCCTGCCGGTCGGTCTGCCCAGGCCAAGCGGTGGTGACGACCTGCTCCCACATCTTCTGCCTGCCTTGCGCCCAACGCCTTGGACTCAGCGAGCCCAAGGATGGCCAGCGCCAGTGCCCTGCATGCGCAACGCATCTGGACAACCTAGACGACGCCGTTGTGACGAGTCTCAATCCTACAGAGGACTACAAGACCAGCATTCTCAGCGGCTTCAGCCCCGCGGTTATCATGGAGTGTGCCAGCCGTGGACTGTCTTTCTGGAGCTACCAAATGGCACAAGAAATGTGCGTGCTTGCTTGTGTGCATTGCGGCTCGACGTGACTCGATGCTGACTCAAGACAGCACCTATCAGGCCTACTTGGCGCGCAGTCTGACTGAAAAGTATTCCGGGCTCAGTACTCATCTGGACAATACAGTACGGGAGGCGAATAGCGAGAACCAGAAACTCAACCACAAAATTGACAGTATGTGGTTTCCGGGCCTTGGGTCAAATGTCAGTCTACTGACTGAGCATCGTCAGCCCTGAGTGCAGACGTGGCTCACCTTATCGAAACCAATCAGCGGCTCAATGATGAGGTCCGCAAGAAAACCAAGCTTGCCACACATCATCATACCATGTACAACAAATTGAAGGAGCAGCAGATTAGTCTTGACATTGGTGCCGCCGCAGGCCAAGATGCGGACAATGTCTTGCAGGGAGCAGCACAACGACCTCAGATTCATCGCCCAGCAGATGTACCACCTCGTCGAGGCAATAGTCATGGGAGCAGTGGGAGTGGCGAGCAGCACCGCCGTATGACCTTGCCCTACGCTCCTGGTAACAGTCAAGCATACCGCAATCAAAGTAGCCATGCTGGGGTGGAGACCTCTCGTGGGTCAAACTCGGAATGACAACATATTGCACTTCGCTAACGTCTTGCAGAAGGTTTTCTTCACGCTACGCCAAACCGTGGCAACCGGCAGCATCTTCCCAATCCCACGTACGGACAGTATGCCACGGGTGTCACGGAGGGGTTTGGCGGGAGGAACGACATGCTGCGTCAGGGAACTCCTTTACTGAACACTTATGGCCATGCGAACCCGACTGGTTACAGACCCGCAGCGAATGCGGGCAACAATTTTGGGTTGAGCTCGAATGTGAAGGTTGGCCGGCAACAGCAGACTGCTCCACAGCGTCGAATGGCCGGCGGCTACAGCACGTTGAACATCAGGTGACGACTGTTGCAAGGATGGATTGCACGGTACAACATGATGCAAAGACTGGGCCTTGTGCCTTGTTTCGCTGGGTCAAGCATGTTCTGCTAGCAAACATTACCGACGCGCATATTCACACGGCACTACTCTCGCTTTTTGCTCAATTTCGGTAAGCACAACCATAGCAGGAATATTGCTGCTAGTAATGCCAAAGCAATAGGCTGCAGGACCTGCACTCCCTTGGCTTGTGCAATTGCTCCTACGGCGTATGGGAACAGCGCTCCTCCCGAACTGTAGCACAGCATTAGCAAACTTGACACAAGCATGGACCTTGTATTTTGCATACCCTCCAAAAGCTGCTGCGAAACCGATGCTGGAGACGTGCAAGTGTCGTGGAAGGATCTTGGTGCAGACTACCACTGCCACTGGGAACATGGGTCCCAGAAAGAAGCCCTGCAGTGCGACCGCTACTACTGAGACGTAAAATCGGGGTACGAGCCAGAAGATTAGTTGCAAGCCCATTGCCACCGGGAGGTAGATCTGCAAGAGACATGGTTAGTGGCATGGCACTCATATGTTGCCGGACAGGAGAAATACCATGATTGCCAGTTTCTCTCCTATTCTCGGTGTTATGAAGCCAAGGACGACACGTCCAACAGTGATCCCGAGCCAAAATCCCGTAGCACTCATTCCACTTGGGAAAGGCTCTGCATCTAGTACAGTGTCAGCGTCGAAATTCATCGAGAGTTGATTTGAATGGTACTTACTCCTTACGCGGATCATGAACTCGACAATCCAGCCTCCGAGAGCAACTTCAACTCCAACGTATCCCAAGAAGAACAATGCACAAATCCATGTTGTACGTGCCGATGGCATGGTGAGGGTAGCTTCCTTGAGCCGCGAGCCAGCGGCGTTTGATGTCCGAGGATTATCGTCGCGAAAAGCAGAACCACTCGCAGCCCAGAAAGCATGGACGGCGACGGCAAGCTCTACAGCGGCGAAACTGACCTGATGAAAGATGAGCTCACAAGTACTGACATTATTCTAGAGTCCACCGACCATTGCGTAGTACCAGTAGAACCAGGGCAGATGTCCCTTGGTAATCATTGTCGTCGCAATGAGCGGGGCTATAGYGGCCCCAAGCCCGTAGAAACCGTGGAGGAAACCAAGCATTTCGTTGGCGTGGGCCATGGAGCCGAACCATGCGTTCAATGCTGCATCCAACAAGCCATTGCCAAAGCCCGCGAAGATGAAGGATACGATCAAGACGGGATAAGGCCTATGGGAATGTTTAGCAAAAAAAGCTCATGATACCATTCAGTTGTTGGAAGTAGCTTTGCACTCACGGATGCAGAGCTATCACAATGTATGCGATGAGATGGCAGAGAGGACCGATAAAGGCCACTCCTCGCTGTCCAAACTTCATATGTATCGCATTGTTAAGTAGAGCAGACAAGTTGTAGCCCACGAATGGCGAGAGGAAGATAAGCGAAACGATGGAGTACTTGAGATTATAGTAGGTCTGTAAATAAGGGATGATGGCGCCATACGTAGCCTACTCTCGATATCGAAATATCAGCTTGTGTGATGCTTTGCATGGAAGTTGGGGGGAGATACATCGTTCATTCCCATGATGATGAATGACCAAAAGGAGACGGAAACACGGTACATGTTGATCCGTGGTGACTTCCATGTCTGCACTTGCTCGGAGGGTGCAGTGGTCGGAGATGGCAATGTCTCGTTCACATCGGATTTGTGCTTTGCTTCATGAGCACCAACACTTCGGCCAGACGATTCCGTGAGAACCAGTCCTGTCTTAGGGTGAGTTGAGGAGGACAGCTCAATTGCTTCCGTTTCCAGCACAGTCGTTGTCGTCGTTGTTGCCATCATGTACGTTGAAAGAGAAGAAGGTGAAGAAATGTCTCAAGGTTGAGATGATCTTTAAGAGTAGGAAAGTGAATAATAGAAAGGCGAGATTGTTGGCGCAGAGTTGCCAGATTCGGCATCATCGCGCACACCCCAAGCAAAAGACGTCGCATGTGGGGAAGGAAATGCAGTGACAAAACAGGCCGTGCCGCCGCCCAAGCGGCATGTACATTTCGGCGAAAAAGGTGACTGACACATGGCCTCGGCGGACGCCAGGGAGCGGGCGCGGGCGCGGGTGCGCTTGCCGAATGACGGACGGGTGTACTTTCTTTCGTTTGCTAGATTGTTGCTCTCAACATGATTCGACTGCGTTTTCCCGGCAAATGTTGTCAATTCACTGTAGATGAGGAGGGAAGTGAGTGAAGTGAAGACGGAAGAATTAGATAGATGGTGGCGTTGCGTCCCCGTTCCCCAGCCTGTCTGTCCCAAGGAAGAATGGTTCAACAAATGGCAAGCTTGCTGCTAACTCAAAAGATGTGAAACGGCTTGGTSGACAACATTCTTTCAACAGCACTTCATCGTGCATGACCCTCACGACACGCATGTGCACCTCATCTGGTGGAGTGACATCGACATGAATGCTGTAGACGCCACCGATCGCAGCGGACAGCAAGATAATGGCGAATCACCGGCACTTTTGACAATCGTCCTGGACACCAATCCACATGCCTGGAACTTGCTGCAGGACTCCCTCTCTCTATCCAAGGTCGTTGTCAATCTCCTCGTCTTCATCAACGCGCACATCGCCATCAACCATGCAAATCGAGTCGCTGTTGTGGCGAGTCACTCCGAGCGCGCCGAATGGCTGTATCCAACTCCCACCCCCAACCAATCTCACCACCATGGGGTTCATAGCGAAGATGTCGACATGACCAACTGTGGCGCAAACACGAATGGAGGTCCAGTGCGACCGCCTCCGGACGATCCCAACAAATACCGACCTTTTGCACACATCGAACATGCGCTCACCACCAATCTGCGGAGACTAATGGAGACTACATCTCCAGAATCACTCTCGGCTACTCCAGCAACCATGATGGCGGGAGCTCTAACCATGGCTCTGGCTTACATATCGAAGCAATCTGCCGCTCTCCCGACGGCCGCTTCAAGTGCCCAGTTCAACTACTCCGACCCTTCATCCACGGCCGGAGGCAACGACATGTCCGCGGATCCATCCAAAGCCAACAACCTGCTCGGCCTGACGTCTCGCGTCCTCATCCTTTCCGTCTCCGGCGACTTGGCAGACCAATACATCCCCATCATGAACTCCATCTTCGCATGTCAACGCCTGGCAATCCCAATTGACATTCTCAAACTCTCCGGAGACACCGTATTCCTACAGCAAGCCGCCGATGCCACGGGTGGGATTTACATGGCATTGGATGAGACCTCTCGCGCGGGATTCTTACAATACCTCATGTTTGCCTACCTCCCAGATCAGACGGCACGCAATCATTTGATCATGCCTGGCGAAAGCGAAGGTGTAGATTTCCGTGCAGCATGCTTCTGTCATCGAAGAGTGGTGGACGTCGGGTTCGTGTGCTCCATCTGCTTGAGCATTTTCTGCGAGCCAATGAACGATGGCTTGTGTTTGACATGCGGTAGCCATTTGAGCATGGCAAACTATGGGCAAAAGCCCATGGTCGTGCCGAGGAAGAAGAAAAAGAAGCGCAAGGCTTTGGATGGTACAGACGCCCCAGATAGTCGAGCTGCAACACCGTTGCCAGTGTGATTGCAGTGGGAGGAGCTTTGCGCATGACATATCAGATTCGTGACATAACTTAGCACAGGCGCTGCAGGCGAATGAGGGATCAATAGAGAAATCTGGACAAGTTGTGTGTTCCGTTGTACACCGCAAGTTACTCATTCATTGCTACATAAAATACAATCCGTTGCTTGCAAAAAGGGGTATGGTAAGTTTACACTTTGTAACGCATCGTCAAGAAGTGCGAAAATCAGCGTCGCAGTCGAGCTAGCATTGGTCCGTACTGCTTCAGAAGCAAAATTCGCATATGTTACAACCTCGAGTCCCTGACGCCTGGCGGGATGCAGCGATCGCGCCATAAAAGCCCGTTCCGTTTCATTATTGCGTGTAGTAGTATGAGAGCGCGCTCTTCGTAGCCACTCTCGGGTGTAAGCCAAGCTCGGTAACTTGCTTCTCCTAGAAGCAGTTCAGCCCGCTCTTTTTCTTCTTCTTGTTGGCGTTGAGCTCTTGCATTCTCAGCTCGAGCGCTTGACGAGCCTTCTCCGCTCGCAGGCGCATCTCCCTCTCTTCCTCCACGGCCTGCATGCTTGCCCGGGAGTTGGTGCGCTCCTTGCGCAAGCTGACAAGCTCGTCTTCCAACCCGGCGCACTTCTTGCGCCAGTTGTCCATTTCAGACTTGGTACGGTTCGCCGAGGTCTCGAGATCCACCAGCGCCTCTTCCAACGTGGCGGTAAGCTGCTTTTCTGCGAAAAGATGCTTTTCGATGGTTCGAATTCGAGCCTCTTGATCTTCGAGGAGCTGCGTGACTGCAGGGCTTGGCGGCACTTCACGGGAGCCGTGTCGTGAGTTTGGAGGGGAGTTCCCGGTCGGCGACATGCCTCGAGTAGGAGACACCGTGCCATCGAGGGCTTCCATCGGCGGGATGCCAGAGGTGGGAGACTGTGGGAGTGGTGGCAGCGGAATTGAAGGAGGAGGTGTAGGCAGCACGGCACCTGACTTGGGAGGGTTGGAACTTGAGCGTGCAAGAGCGACCGATGCGGCCTCTGGTGAAAGTGAGTCCCGGTTCAAGCTGGCAGAGCCGTTGGAGGCCATGGACATGTGCTTGAATGCAGCGAGTTGTTGCTGCGACATGTCAGTATCCCCATAGTGTATGTCAATAGCAGGTAGACTTACTTCCAGTTGGCTGTTTCGGTACTTAGCCTCCTTCAACTCTTTCTCAATTTCGATTCGAGCCTGACCAGACTCAGATTGCAACGTCGACAGACGATTGCTAGTCGCCTGATGCGTATCGAAGGTGGAGTTCAGCTGTTCCTCGAGCTGTTCACATAGCATGGAGCTCTTCTGGTATTTGTCGGTCATCTTCTCCAGATTGAGGCTTTGCTCATCGTTCACCATCTTCAACTCGCCAATTTCGCTCTCCATTGCAACTGAACGGCTAATGGCGCTTTGAAGCTCCTCTTGAACAGATTTGAGATCGTTCGTTGACTTGAGATGCCGTCCGTGCAGCTCTTTGCCCTCATCAACCAAGCCTCTGATTTGCGTTCGTAGCTTCGATGCACTGGTCTCGTACCCAAGAGCCGCCGAGGCGTCAAGAAGTAGGTTGGTGACTTTGCCCTGCGCTTCGCTGAGCTCTCTCTCGAGATCGGAAGTGATTTTCTCGTAGTGCTCCTCCAGTGCCTCATACTTGGCTCTTGATTCTCGTTCAAGACTCTCCATTGATTCTCTGAGCTCGTCAATCTCCTTGGAATGCGAGGACTGTAAAGACTCCAGACTTTCCTGATGAATAGTGATGGCCGATTTGTGAACTTGGAGCTGGTTCTCCAAATTCGCAACCAAATCCTTGTGAGTGGCCAGCTCCTTTTCGGTGACGCCCTGAATTCGATCTTCATCTTGGACCTTCAGTGCGATCTGATCATAAGCCTGTTGGAGCTCATCGAGTTTCGCGACGCGCTCGTCAGCAATGGTCCGGTGCTTCTCAAGCTCAGTCGTTAGCGATCCAACGATTTCTTCGTGCTTCATGCGCTGCTGATCGAGTGCTTCGTCGATGTTGTCGACTGGACCCCGGGTTGCATCGCTGCCTTCCGCAATATGCAAAGATTCCTGCAGCTCCGCAATAGTTTTCAGAAGGTTGTTCTGGGAAGCAGTCATGCTTTCAACCGCCTCGCGGTGCTTGCTTTCCCAAGCGGCGACTTCACTTTGCAGCCTGGCGACAGTGTCGTCATCGTCGCTGGTATGCGAAGCACCTGCCGCTGCAGCGCTAGCCATTGCTTGGTCTTCTGACACCTCTCCCCCGTTGCTCAGAGGCAGCGGAGTCGCAGGGAATTCGCCAGGCATGTGTGCAAGGTCAGGGTTCGGCGTCGGCAGTGAGTCTCGACTGAACATCTTCTGATGTTCGGCCAGGGAAGCCTTGAGGCTGTCGACTTCTTCTTGAAGTTCCTTCTCTCTACTCGCGTGCTGCTCGTGAAGGTTGCGGATCTTGTTCTCACTTTCCATCAATTGGTCGCGCATTTGACCCACGACGGAGAAGTCCACCACATTCGAAGCCGCCATACTTGAGCGTTCGCGCGTGAGGCCGGCAATGATTGTCTGCTTCGTTTCCATCTCCTTTTTGACGGCGGCAATCTCAGCCTCAAGCGTCTGTACCCTTTCAGAACGTCCATGAAGCTCAGCCATGACGTTGTTCAGGTTCTGATCGAAGGTCGCCCGTACATCCGCTTGCCCCTCGAAGTTGTTGTACACAAGTGCTTTCAACGAGACAAGTGATCTGGATGCACGATCGGTACCCCCACTGAGCAACTCTTCTGATCTTCTGCGCAAATTCTTTGGGTAAGAAGGAGATCCCGTAGGAGACGATGCCCGATGCGCTTTTTGGACCTCCTGCTTCAAGTCCTCAACCCTGGAGAGGGTAGCCTCGTGTCGCTGAGCCAGACTCATGTAGTTTCTGGTCAGCTCCGTGACTGAAACCTCCTTTTCGGCGTGCAGCTTCTTCAACGTCTCCATTTCCTGGAGCATGCTATCCTGGTCGACTGGGGAAAGACCACTCAAAGCCTCTTCCCCATTTGGGCTTGCAGCCTTTTCAGGGGTTGGAGGATTTCGCTCCTTCACTTGATCTGCGCCATTGCTCGGCAACTCCTGCGAGGACTGCTCCTCCAACAACGACCGCGAGGATGAAGGCTGTCCACCGATAGCCTTTTCCTCGTCCTTCATCCCCGCGTCTGCTAAAAAAGAGTCGTGGCCATTTTCAACCGTCCGTGAAACTTTGGGATCATCTTTACCGTATTCAAGCTTCGCGAGGGTCTCCAACGCCGTGCGGTATTTTTGCTGGAGGACATCGTAGTCGGTGAGAACAGTTTCATGCTCAGAGCGCAGATCGAAGAATTCCTGTGTGAGATCTTCCAGCTTCTCGGCCATGAACTCGTTTTGGGMTGGACTGCGAGGCGGTGCTGTGGTCGAAGACTCCCTGTTCTGGCCAGCTATCTCGGAATCGCTACCCTCGATCTTTTCGAACTCGTCACTGCTGGAGGCGGTGACTGTGGATGTTCGATATGGATCGTAGTGGTCCGGGCCTTGACCATTCGTCTTGAGCCCTATTCGCGGAGATTGACTTCGCTTGCCATTCATCGTTGGCTCGCCGCCGCGGACGCCGTCGAGCTCCCCAAGGAGATTGTCCAATCTCCCGATGCTCCTCTGCCGTTCAATAACGTGCTCAAGTCGGTCGATTTCGCGCTGCATGATTTCTTGATCTTGCTCGGCCTCGGCGAGACGTTCCTCGAGCGTCGAAATATACTCCTCTGCGCCCACTTCGCTGTCTCGAGCACGAGCGACTTCCTTGCGAAGTTCGGCAATGAGGGTTGCGTTGCGCTCTTCTTCGGTGGTCGCACCTTCCATCTTGTCTTCAAGATTGCGAGTGTAGTCGTCATTGTCAGCCTCTCGCTCCATGTACTTGGACACGCGGGATTGCAATTGCTGCTGGATGGTGTCCATGTACGCAATGCGAGTCTCCTTTTCAAGCAGAGTGCTCTCGGTGCTGGCAAGCGATGACCTTGTCTTGGACAGCGAACTTTCTAGGCTCTGAATGGTCTTTTCGTACTCCAATACAACCTGCTCGACAGCCTCCGCGAAGGAATTTGACCGCTTGATGCGCTCACTAGCGTGCTCACCAATCGCCTCGTTGAGCAAGGGTGTTTCACCTCCCTCGCTGTCCCTGCTTTTTGATATCTCTGAAATTAGTTTGGCATGTCGCTGGCTGAGCGCATTGYAGTTCTCTTGCATGTCCAATAGTTGCGAGTGAAGCTCCGTTTCCCTTCCGCGCATTCGGTCAGACCGCTCACTCTTCTCCATGGCCCTCCCACCGCTTGTGTCTGAATGGCGAATTTGATCGCGGAGGAAAGCGACTTCAGCACGCAGCCTGTCGATGGCAGCTTGCTTGTCGCCATCTTCGTGGGTCTGCTGGATCTGCGGTTTACTCTGTATATTCCTCGCGCGCTGTGCATAGTGCACAGTGTTTAAGGTTTCGCTCAAATGGAATGATGCAGGTGTCACGCAAGCAACCATGAACGTTATGGCATTGCCGCCGAGAGAGTCTTGCAATAACCGTGTAAGCCTGGAATCTCGATATGAGATGTGTGCGCTGGCATTTTTGGACAATTGGGAAATGACTTTTCCAAGGCTTGCAAGACCAGCGTTGATGGAGATTCCTTCTTTTGCTCTGTCTCCGGTTGCGCCCGTGTTCTTCAGGCGCTCACTACCGGCCAGATCGACAAAGTGCAACTTGCTGTCAATCGTCACAACATTCTCCACCCCAGCAAGCTGATCAATGGGTACAGATCTGCGCTTCTCGGCTTTAGGTGTAGGCAGAGGGGGGACATCCGTCCTCTTTTGAACGAGGTTCAAGCTGAAGACGGCGTGCGAGCGGGAGGACCGTGCGTTGATGGCTGTGGAATCAGTCTGTCTGATGGAGGATCCAAAGTTCAGTGCGTTCAGAACATCTTCGGCGGAATTGATCGGGACCTGTGTCAGGCCAGTAAGCATGATGCGGCCCTTGGTGTCCTCCCGAATGGCAACCTGTCCGCGTTCTTGCGATTCCGGCAACAAGAGATCACGTAGCTGCTCATTGTAGATCTCGACGTAGGTCGCCTTGAGCTCCCAGGTCTTTGGTGCACCATTCGCGCCTCGCGCCACGCCCGCAATGTTCGGCATCTGTACTGAGTATCGCTTGGGGGTCTGAAGTCCTGAAGGGCGCGCCGCCGGCCCATTCAATTGTTCAAATAATGCTTGGGCCGCTCGAGGTACGATGCCCTTGACATCGGGATCCTCCTGCTCCTGCGGTCCAGAAGTGCCCATGGTGTAAGACTTTCCGGCGCCGGATTGTCCATATGCCAGGATTGAAACATTGTAACCCTTGACAAACGACGTCACGCTGTCGCTCAAGTATTCCCACACGCCCTCTTGCGTAGTCTGCTCGTCAAAGATGCGGTCGAAGATGAAATGCTCCTTGTCACGAGTACCCTGAATATAAAGATTCGTCGGGTCGACCACCTCGCAAGTGCTCTCTCGAAAGCGCTGGGGAATGAGGTCGAATGCAGGGTCGGAGGGCTTCAGCGGCGGTCGGACTCGCACAGCTGTTTCGTTCGACGCATGTTAGCTGCTTAGCCTCCGAAGGTGAACTTCTCCGTACGTACCAACTTTCACGGCCGTGCGATTGACGTCGTCGTCACTGGTCCGACTACCCACGTCGGCCATGCGACTCTGACTGCGGCTGTGATTGCGCATATTTGCGGTGCTCGGCCGGTGCATGGGCGAGTGGACACCAGGTGAGGTGGGAGGTGTTGCATGGCTCGCGGCAAGATGGTCCATGGTGGTGACCAGCCCCTGCAGTTGTGGACTCGACGACTGCCGTCCGCGAGTGGTGCCGCGACCAGGGTGCGTCGGCGTGGGCGTTTCGCTAAGAACTCACCTCTCAGCGCTCGTTGGCCGCGCGGATGGGGCTGGGGTGGTTGGTCGCTGATCGCCAGCTATCGAGCGCGCCAACAGGGGAGGTCAGATATGAGCACTGGGGCGCGGTGCGGTGTTGTGTCAAGCTTGTCGTTCGCTTCCAGCCTGCCAGATGAGCGCTCTGCGCGCTGTCATCCCAGAGCGCGAGTCGCGGCGCATGCAAGTGCAATTGGGTGAGGTGAGAACAGCGCCGGTCTCGATTTGGCGGTTGTCAAAAGCGGCGATCGTTGGTCGAGATGGATTCCCGCTTGGACTGCAACTCCACGATTCCTCGGTCAATGCCACCAGAGGTCAAAGATATTCTCGCGGTGGTCGCCCGGTAGACTGGTCGTCGAGGTATTTGGACGTGAAGGGACTGGAAATGGACACGATCAGACTGCAAAAGTGGACGCTCCCCGGAGGCCACCGCTTCGCTGGAACAGGGGGCTATTTCGACTAGCTTTCTGTTCTGCAGGGCGGACGGGCGATCTCGAGATGAAACGCTCGCCTGCCGTCGTCCCTCCTCGGTCTGTCAAGCCTCCCTCACAATCACCACCTTCACGCACTTCACAAATAATGGCACGTCGCGAGTCCTATTCGCATGTATGTATGTATATACAACCATTTGCATGATTCACCAGGATTCGTTGTAATCCAGAGAGCTGCTGCACGGTACAACCTCTCCATCAACCTTCCGGCGTCAATCCAGGAACTCCGGCCCGCGCTTTCCAAGAAACATGGAGTGAGAGCAGACCTCAACCTAGTCACGATTCGCCAAACCGTGAAGGAATTGACACGTCAATGCTGGGTCCTTTCCCTCCGACGGCCCAGCACAATCACTGCCCGCGGCCAGGTACCGCTGCATCACGTACTCGCAGCATCCCGTTTGCCTGCATGTGCTTACAAGTTCCCGCAGCCCAACCCTGCGTATCTATTCTCAATTCGAAGATTTCAAGGGGCCCAGGGTCAGCAAAGCGAGGCATCGAAATTGGAACTTCGACGTTTCGGCCAAAATACTGCGCCCTAAGTTAGTTCCTGGCCGCACACCGTGAGTTCATCGGATTTTGGTCTCCACGTGTGAACGGTGAGGCCCTCTCTCCAATTCTGGATTCTCAGTTTGGTAAATACACATCGTCGGGCTCACGTGACTGGCGGCCCCACACTCGGAACACCAACCAGAATCGCGGAATTTCGACATGCTTTCGATCTACCTGGGCATTTCCCCATCTTCGAAACCCAATCTGAGACGGACTGGGAGGCTATTTGATTGCTGAAGCTTGTGAAAGTCTAAACCGCTCGAGCTGATGGAGATTTTCTCATCTACTTGCAACAAATCAACACTCGGCAGCCGGCATCGGAATCACTCCCCCATCACGAGACTTTCCAGATCATCATATCGAGATTGTAAGGCAGAGCGTGCAGTGGCGCCATCAGCGTGCCGATCGTTGGTCGGAACGATGGAAAGGGGCACATCACTTGATTGTGTAATCATGTCGTAGAGCACGCCTTGACAGTAACGCTCTATCGCATTGACCAACAGAATGCAAACAGGTTCGTTTTACCGCCATCCGCGCTACTTCCATTGCAAGGACGATGAATTCGACATGAAAACGTAAAGATGCAAAAAGGTCATTGCGAATCGCCCCCCAGTAGGACTACCTAGTACGGAAGATTGTCAGCTGTCCGCAGCGTTAGAGGCCACAGAACACTTGGTTGAATTCCGTCGGCTACCATGGCCGAATGATCCTCCGCCACGCCCACTCAGACGGTGTTGCTTCGTAAAAAATAGTGCGGTGCGTGCACCTCATCGGCTTTGGAGAAGATGTTGCTTGCAAGAGCTTGTACACATGTATCCTGAACACATGCTACACTCCTTTCAATTGTGATCGCAACTTGGATGCTCTACGACCATACCGTATGCGTCGAACATGCGCCTGCATGCTGTATGAATTGCTCAATATGCGTGCCGTCCTTAGACTCCTCCTTCAGGCTTGGCCGCGGCTTTGACCGAAGCGGCACTTTGTCCGCCACCGGCATTCCCTCCGCCTCTACCACCTCTGCCGCCGCCTCGTCCTCCCCTGAATCCACCCCGAGCTCCGCCGCCACCTCCACTGCCTGCGTTTCCACCACCATTGCGGTCTTTAAATTCCAAGAGTTCAACGCTGCCATTAGCTACAGGAACCTTTTTTGCTTCCAACGCCTTCTTCAGCCCGTCCGGTGATCTGAATATGGCAATTGCGGTACCTTTTCGAGGGTCTATCGTCACATTTGCAACATCGCCGTACTTAGAAAGCACCTGTTGGATGAGGATCTCTGTCATGCCTTGACTTGGGTTCGCATGTTTGAGATACGCTTTCGTGGTTGAAATGTTGCTAGACGACTGCGCAGCGACACTGTGCTGTGCCTGCGACTGCTGCTTGGGGCCGGTGGGAATCTTAGGGGTGTTTCCTGAAGGGGTGTTTGGCGCTGTTGAAGGTTTCTCTTTGTCTCTGGCGCTCCCTGTAGCAGGAGTGGCAGGTCTAGCTCCAGCGACTGTGCCCTTCTGTCCCGCTGGTGTGGGCTTCGGTTTGATGCCGAGATCTTTTTGCAGCATCTTTTTGATCCCCTCCGCGTTGTTCCCACGTTGACGCTGGCGTTGTGCCCCAGGACTCTGGGACGCTGTCGCAGCTGCGGGCGCTGTTGGGATTGCTGGTTGTGGCTGAGCGGCTGTTTGTGCTTTGGAACTTGGACCCGCCTTCTTGGCTTTCCCTGCTACTGCCGGGCCCTTGGCTATCGGCTGTTGAGGCGATGCAGCTCGCTGCTGTGGCTGCTGTTTACTTGCAGCGACCTGCTTATTCAGTGCTTTGACAGCCTCCTTTGAAGCTTGCTCCACCTTCTGCTGTTGTGGCTTACCACCTTTGCCTTCTTTTGCCACAACAGTAGCCTCCTTGCTGTCCTTTCGCGCATGACCCTTGGCATCCTTCTTGTCATCCTTGGTCGCGGCTGCCTTTGCCTTGTTGGCTTTCTTCTCGCGAATGGCATCGATCAGCGGCGTTGTCTTGACTTTAACTTTCTCCGTGCTATCCTTGTCCAGGTTGACGCTAYCGAGCGCTGCGGGCTTGACGATAGGCTGGGTCTCGGCCTCAAGGAATGCAATGAATTCGGCATCAGTGTCAATGGTGCCCTGGCGATTGTCTGCACGGATTTTGCTGTTCGTCGGAATGCGCTGCATCATGGCGAATCCCATAGTGGGCGGAAGATGTCGGAGGTCCGGATTCTTATGCGTGCCCGCGCTGTCATGAAAGGTGACGGCGAGGAATCGTGCCTCCAGCTCCTTCACTAGAGCCTCATTGACGACATGGAGGTAGCATCTGCTCTGCTCTGCGACTTTGCCCAGGCCCTGCTTGACTTTGCCTTGTCGATATTCGCGCCAGTCGACCTTGCCGTTGCCCAGCTTCCAATCCTCGCCCATGACATCCTCGAATTCACTCAGCGTCAAGCCGGGCGGCAGACGGCGTATTTCCAACTTCAGTCGCGGGGCCGGTGCCTTCGCTGCAGCGCGCGCCGTAGAGGTGACAGGTAAGACACCGCGGTCGCCATTTTTGGTCAGCACCTTTGGCGGCATCGTGGTTTGTCCGATATGGTCTGAACGATCGTGTGGTGAGATGTTTGTGGAGGCGGAGTCCGTTCCGCGTGATGAACTTTGGAGCGCGCGTAATGAGGGGCCGATATAATTCATTGATTAACACGTCGGCCACCCCTCGTTTTTTTAGCTGGGCTAGCTTGAGGGCCTTACTACTAATATTAGTACTGCAGCGCCCTCTACTACCCCTAATTCAGTCCTATATCGCTCTAGATTATATCGGTAAGTAGTCCGTATAAAAGGTGTTGTTTTTCTAACCGTTCGAAGGAGCCGTACGAGCGTATTACCGCTCCGCGCCGCCCTAGCGAGAGGCTCGAATTACTACTCTATAACTAGCTCCGTAAGGCCTTCGAAATAACGCTCTTTAGTAACCGTACTATTACGCGTACGTATAAGGTAGCGCTATCTACTATCGCCGCTATAAGGCTAAGCTACGAGCTATTCGGATTACCGTATCCTCCGCTAACCGTACGTCGATATAGGCTAGCGAGGCTTACGCCTATATAAGAGGGTAAGTTTATAGAGTTTATAAAGAGTTAGCTAGATATATACCTTAATAAGATAGCTTAGTAGATATTCGATAATACCGGCTATATATATATAGACTCTAGCGTATTTAGGCTCTTAAAACGCTATACGTATTCGAAGAAGGTAGCTCGGCGGATTACTAGAGAGCGTAATGCTACTCTAAGAGCGTATTAGCGTACGAAGCTAGTAGATTAGAGCCGTAACTAACTAGTGTTTATCGACGAGAGCKCGTATAACGAACGGAACGGTTAGCGGCGCTATTCGTAGAGTCTAATTAGCTATCTAGCGGATACTAGTTCGCTAGTAAAGCGCTCTAAACGATAGTTCTTTATACCTATAATAACTATTAACGGTTAGTTAAATAAGCCGCTATTAAAGTAAGGCTTAATTACTATAGAGGACATTCTAAATTAGCTAGTTTAGACGGTTTTGCCTTAGTTACTAATAGGCTCTATTATTATTATAGACAATATATTAATCTACCGGAGTAACTACATTATTTATGCTATATTAGATGCTTACTACTTCCTCGAATTACTACTACCGTACTTACCGGACTATAACCCTATCGAATAGAGCTTCTACGTTTTAAAGCGGTAGATTAAGCGATATAGAAACGAGGTAATAATTAGTAACTTTAAGAGCTTCCTTATTAATGTAGTTCGCTAAGTAAATAAGGAGTTAAAGTATATAGCGTAGAAGTACTTTAAGAAGAGTAGTTATTATCTATAGCTCTTTATCCGATAAAATCTCTAGTTCTATATCTATTACCGTTACCGTTGCCGTTATCTAGTCGTATTATATATACGTAGGAAGCTCTATATCCTTAAGTGTTATAATCCTATCCTTAAGTCTATTAAGCCGTATTATAATTAATAATATTATCCTTATTACCTGCTCTAAAGTCTCTTAAATTGCCGTAAGCTATTTATCCCTAAAGATAACCGCGAGTTCTTCGTACGTTAGTAGTATAGGGAACGGTAAGGATGCCGTAATTAGTAGTAAGGACGGTAGAGCGCGTAGTAATAATATATTAACCTATAAAATTCGAGTTATTAATATATCCTAAAGGCTAGACTTAGGGGCCTACTACGGTCGATAAGTCGTAATAAGTATTGTCTAAATTACTTATATATATAGCTAAAAAGGGACGTGCGTTACGTAGGTAATTATTTAGAAAGATTAGTAGCGCTTATATAGTCGCGCGTTAGGCGAAGTTAGTACCGGCTTTACCGCGGGGATACTAAGAATACTACTTAGACCCTAAATACCTAAGATCTACCTTACGGCCTATATAATTACGTAATAACCGTACACTCTAAATTTACTAAATAAATACTTAAAACTCGAGCTTATTAAGAGCTATAATTTAAGCTATCGTTAACTAGATTTAGTTAAGTACTAGTAGCATAGTAAATTAAAGACTATATTAGGCCGGAGGGCTAGCTTTAGCTAGCTTTATCGACTTTATATATTATAAAATTTCCCTACCTTATTATAATAACGTAGTTTTAGAGCAGATAATATATAATATAAAACACCTTCTAAGAGAGCTCGATGCGCTAAAGAAGCTCGACTAAAAATCGTAAGAATCGGACCGCTAGTTTAAAAGCTATTAGAACCGTAATCTACGCTCTCTCCGCTTCTAATCCTTAAACTCCTACGTAAAGCGAACGGCTCTAATCTTATATCTAATCCGTACGCTAGCTCTAGTCTATACTACATTACTTACGCCTCTAATATTAACGATAGCGATAAACTCCTCTATTAATAACCTCCGGATTAGTTAAAGCGCTACCTACTATAATTCCTCTTACTATTCCCTCCGCTTATCGTAGTAGCGTATAAACTTATCGATTTTATCCTTAACCTCCGGCTATAATAATAGAAGCAATACGCCTTCGTTTAGACCTAGTGTTAGCGTAGTAGATAGAGCTAAGTTATAGGTAATAATTGTATTACTACCGTTCGAGCCTCGTTCGTTCTTAATCTTACGAACACTATTTATTCTACTATCTTCGCTATAGAAGCTACGCTCCTTCGTAATAACTAGGTCACGTATAATTATAGGGCCTAGATCCTCTATAGTACGTATACCGTCCGTAATGCCCTTTTACTATACTATAAGCTATAGTTTATATATCTAAAAGTGCGTAGAAGGATAATTACGAGCGTCCGGAGGTATATAGTAGTTATAACCGTAGTTCTTATAGTTACGGTTATCGTATGTCTAGCGGCTAGTTATCGCTTCTAAGAAGTTACTAGTAATACGTATACTATCTTAGTTCTAAGGAAGGCCTATAAGTTAAATAGTTATAGTAGTTCGCTATATACTTAGAACCGGTATTAATAGTAATATAATAGCAGGCTTAAGCTTAATATCTACCGTTACTCTAAGTTCCGATCTCTTCGCCTTATAAAACAACTCTAACTATTTAATAATGCTATACTAGCTACGCTTATCCCTCTATATAATCCTCGCTATATTACTAGTAGCGAGTCCTTAATAGGCGGCTATAAGTTTAGCGCTCTTTATAACACCCTTTATATCGATAATAGTCTCGTTAATCTACTTACTAACTTACTAAGCTATATCCTTATTACTCGTTATAATCTACGTGTTATTAACGCTCTCTTTCCCTCGGTAATAATATAGGCTAATTCGGTATTAGAACGGCGGCGGCTCCGTATCCTTATCTTCTAACGAACTAGCCGAAGATAGAAATAATAATATAGAACGCCGCTATAAGGGCGGTAGAATAGTTTAGCTCTACCGTATAGAGGCTACTAGCGATACTAATACGGTAGTTTTCTTCTTCTTCTTCTTTACCGGCGGCTCCTTCTTAATAATACTAATACCGGTAATAGTAGCGGTCCGTTTCGGCTTCCTTAGATTACTAAAGTGTTTCTTACCCTCCGCTACTAGCCTCTAGTTTAGAGCCCTAGTATTACGCTTATTCTTATTCCGCTAATACCTCTAATACTATCGCTTCCGTAACGCTTTAATTTAATACTATCTTTCCTTAGCTTCCGTAGTAATAGCCTATTCCTTATCGGTATTAGTTACGTAGTATCGCTCCGTAGTTCTATCGGTTATATTACGCTAGCGGACGAGGCTAGTAACTTATAGTAAGAGCTCTTTAACTAATATCTTTACCTTCTTAGGCCTATCTACTACTTCTACCTCTACGCCGTCCGTAATATCGTCCTCTATAATATCGTCTAATTCTACCGAGTCTATAACTACCGGTTCCGCCTCTTTTCTTCGCGACGGCCGTAGGGCTCTAATAGCGGCTTTATATACCGGCCTACGTAATCTAGCGCGCTATAAACGGCGCGGAGGCTCTATAGTTAGTAGCGACGAAGGAAGAGCGCTCTTAGGCGTAGGTTCGGTATTATCTACGTAATTACTATTATTCGGAACCTCTACGACCGGCTCTATATTAAAACACGGTAATAACACCTTTTAGAAACGCTTAGCAACAACACGAACGGATATGTCGTCCTAATTAAGACGGTTAGGAGTAGTAGARGCTAGTACAGTACTAATATTAGTAGTAGGGCCCTCAGCAAGCCCAGCTAGAAAAACGAGGGGTGGCCGACGTGTTAATCAATGCATTCTAGTTCGGCTTGACCCTGCGCCTGGCGGCTGTTCGCGCTTGCTTCGATGACCGCCTCTGATACAAGTTACAACAGAGTATTAAGGTAGCATATGATCTTGGAGAAAAATTACAGATAGAAGGTCAACTGCCTATGCGAACGACGCCGGACCGCCTCAAGCGATGTGATGTTGAACTCATGCAGCCTTTGCCACACAGCTATTATGCGATCAATGCTTGATGTAGCAGTACTCCAATATTTGACGGAGCGACGGGTGCATATGGTGTTTCAAATGAGCTACAAACGTTCTACGCTATACAGTTGTTCGGCACTCATGTCGACGTACTCAATGCTACGCTAAATGGATGTCTCTTAAAATTGCAACCATGGTGAAGTCGCGCAGATTGCTGTTTGTAATGGATGCACTGTGATTGTTTCGTCGTCGCAGTACGAGATGGGTATGAACAGTAGTGAAATCGTCGTCAAGTTCGTCAAATAAAGGTAATTTTCAAAAAGTGGCTTCGGAGAAGTTTGATGTGGTATGAGCGCGCGCCGGACAGTGTTCTTCTCGTCTATCAGAGAAATCCTCCTGGCTGGTAGACGCCTTGCTGCAGTGTATCGGGTGGCATATTGGCACGAATCTCCTTGGGGTTGCGGTATCCCGTGCTGCTCTGGCTGCGGCTTGGTAATGTGAAGGGAGGAATTGTCATCTCCTTGAGGCGCCCGTCCGAGCCTGGCATTGGTGCCGGGGGAGGCGGTGGGGGTACAGGGATTTGGTCTACATCCTCTGCAGCCATGGCCTGCTCATACGGCGACTTGGCGCGAGTCAGACTTTCATGACGCATGTGGCCATGATACATTGGCAGAGGTGGCAAGACCGTCTCATAAGGCGATGGGCCGGACCGATACTGCTCCGCGGGAGTAGGCTTCGCCCGGCTTTTGGAGCTGCTACGCATACGATCGCCAAAGCCACGGAATCGAGAGCCAAAGCTATCACTGCTAGGTGCATTCTTGCGGTGCTGGCTGGGCGATGCTGTAGCAGCACGCGCCATTGGCATAGGAAGCATTGGACCTTGAGGGTCAATGGCATTGCTCGGACCATCTTCGTCGATAGCAATGTGAATATCACCGAGATTCCCGCGTGGGGGCTGGAACATTGTTGGTGGCGGGGGCGGAGGCGGAGGGCCGGCAAGATGCTGAAGCTCCGGTAGCAACATTGGCGGCGGCATGGCCTCGTCCTGCGGGACGATGATAATTTGATCCTCGCTGTGAAGAGCGGCATCAATGCTGGATGGCAATTGGTCTTCCGACAGCCGTCGAAGGTCCGGCGGGGATATCTTGCGGACATGGCCACGCCCGCCCGAAAGACGACGGTTGTGTCCTGGCATCCCAGATGTGTAGGAGGGGTATAGCGGCCCATTCTGCTTCTCAGGGGGTGCTGATGCCGCCCGGGAGATGACACCCTGCGGAGRCTTCTGTCCGAAAACCGTAGATGGTAGCAAGGGCCCAATAGAGTCACTGTTCTCAGAAAACGTGCCGGAACCTAGGGGAACCGAGTTCTGGCTGAGATTGCTTCCCATTGATGACAGTTCGCTGAACCTTCCGGGGATTTCTGGAATCGGCGGAGCGCCACCTTCACGCTCGTTTGGATCGGCGCTCATATACTTGGGATGTCTCATCGCCCTTGGTGTTGCGGGAAGTCCGATCGGCGCCGATGGGGTCGAAGTACCGGTGACCCTGTTGCTGCTGCCGCCGTACCTCGACATCGACTCAGGACCCACGGTGTGGCTTCTTGACAACGGAGGACTGAATGAAGTAGGACTATCGCCAAGCTCCGTATAGGAGCGCGCGGCTAGCGGCGGCCGACCGGCATTCAGGAAATCAGCAGGAAGAGGAATGGACGGAGCTGATGGTCGTCTTGCAAGAGAGCGTCGCCGCGCCTCGAGTTCTTGCGCAGCAATTTGTTTGCGTGTCATGGTCCTTGCTCTGACCTCTGTTGTAACGAACGCAGCGTCGTTGGTGTCAGACTGAGGCATGTCTGCCAACGTCATTGCGTTATCTGTAGGTCGGCGACTGCTCGATCGCTCGCGACGCCTACGATCTTGCAAGTCTTCACCTCCAATTTTTCGACTGGAGCTGCGATCTCGCATCCGGAATCCTTGACCCTCGCTTTGTGCCTCTGCAACGTCTTCGCCGAAGCGTTTCGATGAAAGCATCGGTAGTGGCGGTGAGGGAGGTGCTGAAGCATCATCACGAGACGGACTCCTTCCTCGATCATCGTTCAACATCAAAGGAGCAAGGCTCTCGATCCTTGCTACTTTTGATTCTGATGGCCTGCGACGCCGATTCTCCGAGTGGTGGGTCTTTGCGCTCTGGTGTGAGTCCGTCGGTGAGGTGAGCTTGTAGAAGTTCTCGTCGTCAGTCGTCGCGGGCTCCGCAATCTGCGCGAAGCTAGCTTGTGCGATCTCCTCTGGCGACATTGGCACAGGCGATGAGGGCGATCGTTTCGCCGCCTTGATATACCTCACGTTATCCCTCCCTCGACTTTCGGACGATTCCCGCATACGACTGCTCGCACGACTCTCGCCCCGCCTCCGACTGGTGTTTCGTGATCGGCTCTCGTTCCGGGGCCGACTTTTGGCTCGCTCCTCTCGAGCTGCCTGCCTGGCCTGCTCCACGCTACTGATGTAAGCATCCATGGCGCGTCCTTTACCACTCTTCATGCTACCTCCTGTCAGTGGGCCAGGACTGAATGCCCCATATCGACTCCCTCCGACGTAATCGCTCGCGCTACTTGCATGCGTGCTGGGGCCAGAAGAGAGTGCGTCAATGTATGCTGTCTCCACGATCTGAACAGCCAGTCCGTCGGGTTTCCGCTCTTTTCGTCTGCGAGATTCATCTCGAAGTCGCGTGAAAGCGCCATGTGCTGGTGAAGGCAGATGGTCGTCGTCCTGAACATCCGGAGCGAGTCTGGAGTTATCATAAACCGTTGACGGTAGAGCAGTCGATGGCTCCGGGACGCTGCTGGCCACAGAGGTCGCACGGCCGCCTCGACTAGAGGCTCTGGAAGGCTTGTCACGAGCCGCTGTGAGAGGGGTCGCCATTTCTCTGGCTTCCTGCTTAGCTCTCTCGATATCTGATCTCGAAGGTAGGCGCTGTTTCCTCGTGTATCCCCCGGGCGTTGCAGTTCGGGCGGTAGATGGTTCGCGACCTTCTCGCATTGACTTCCAAGGTTGATTTCCGCTCGGAGATAGCGCTGACTGGGCTATAGGTGTGACACCGACCGCAGTGATGACCGGCTTGGTCGTTGCTGGTTCGTCTGGAGACACTGCTGCTCCCTTGTCCCCAAAAGTAGTGATCAGCTTAAGCGAAGCATTCATGGCGGTGAGCCGTCCGGATCCTGATCGGGACGGTGGAGACAGAGGCGGGCTCGAGACACTACCGGCGCTCTTGGGATCTGCCAGACGCTCTTGCTGGGCCGCGTACACCGCATCTTGAGCCCGCGGGGAGAACCAGGGCTCAGAAGTCTCGATGCTGGTACAAGAAAAGCATCTCACCGCAAGCTCTGCTTGCCCTTGTGCGACTGCAGTTTCGCCCCACCTTCTGATGAGATATGAGATGCGCTGCCAGTCAGACGGGCATGTCAAGCACGTTAACAGAACGGCTTCGATCCAGTAACCTTGCGAGACGTAGACCTCGATGGCATCGTGGTTTTCACCAAGACCAAGAAGGATTGCTACGGCAGGATGAATGTCCCCTTTCTCGAGCAGTCGCTGCACGAACGCTTCTCCAACCTTTTTCTGCGAGTCCGCCCCAATCGAGCTCAAGGCAAGCAGCATCCAATCGGAAGAAGTCATGGACTCTGACCCGACCATAGACGCCATACTGTCTGCGCCCATGTCGCCGAGCCACTTGGCAAGAAGAACACCGCTTGCAGACCCAGGTTGATGTCGTGACAGCTCATCCTGCAATAGACTTCGGATATCATCGTTCCAGCCGAAGACGACGCTCAGCATCTCCCTTTGCAACAACTCCGGGGTACGAGCGGAATGGCCATAATGAGGCGTCCGAAATGCAACATCCTTGAGTCTCGCTTTTGTGGCTGGCAACAGATCCAAAGCTTCTGGATCCTGAGATTCCCTGGGGTTCCGGAGCACGTCCTTACGAAGACTAGAAGTTCTTCTCGAATGGCGTGCCTGTGAGGCAGATTGGGAAGCCGAAGCTATTGACGAAACAGATCGGATTGACATGCTGTCGTGACCCAGCTTCGGCGCAGTGCCGAAAGAGAACTCTGTGCCATCGTGGCCTGAGGCTGAGGACGCCCGGGAAGAGTCTGGCTTGTCGTACAGATACCTTCGGCCGCCTCGACGCCCCGAGCTCTTCGAACTCACGGATGACGCTCTGCTCGAAATCGGGCTAAGCGGCATGACCTTGTCCCGGAGTTCGGATTCCAAGGCATCGAGCGAGTCCATCTCTTGCGCAATCTTCTGCAGAGGAGATAGTGCTCCGGTCTCATCCTCGGTGTTKCTTTCAGTGTCGGTATATGTGAGAGGAATCTGGTCACCGGACGGCATCCGCGAGTATGGATTTTTTCGCTCCTCAAGCATGGTTGGCGGGGTGGGTGGTGTATTTGCAGGAGCATGTTGAGCGTTTGCGACCTGCATGGGAGAGGAAGTAGGAGTAATGTCGTATTGATAGACGGTGTGATTACGACCAAGGGCGAACAGAGTCGCGGTGGGTCCATAGCAAGCAATTCCGGTAACGCCATCTACCGTGGGTATCATGTCGTAGGTTACCTTCTTGGTACGGACGTCCCATGAACGTGTTTCACTGTGACGATGTTAGTCAATGCCATGAGATACCACACCACCGTAACAGCCTCACCCATCTGCGTGTTGCACAATTCGACCGTTCTTAGACCACGCAAACCAACATGGTCGACCAGTGTTTTGCGACTCGGGCCTTTGTAGAACACGTATTATGTTTGGTGCTTCTGTATGCGGTACTTTGGGCACGCTCCAGACACGCAGATCGCCGTCTGACGTCTGCGTGGCAAGCATGTCCGTTTTTTGCTTCGAAGAGGAGCCATGCCAGGCCAGGTCCGTGATTCTGGCGGGCGACCTGGTAGTATTAAGGGTGTGCAGTATGGTGAAGGACGGCTGCAAGGTTGCGATCAAAATGCTGCCGTTGAGATATCCAATGGCAAATGTCCTACAATCGGCAGCCGGGGCGATTGAAGTGATGGGGTCGAATATCGTTCGTGCTGACACGTGCTCTGACGTTGCCGGCTCGAATAAGATGATGTTCCCTTGATCGTTCGCTGCAGACTTGTCAGCGGCTTCGTGATGGCGGGATACGCTGCACTTACCAAACGCGATGTTTCCGTTGCGCATGAAAGTTGCGACTCGCATATGCTCGTACGCAGAGAAGCGTGCGACTTCGCCGCCGCTCAGGATATCCCACACAATGGCTGTTCGACCAACATCGAAACTGACCGCCAGACGACCTGAACCTCTATCGCTAACGTTGTCRACAGCTACCMAAAGGACGTCTTCTCTATGCTTCTCGAACCGCCGCTCGATTGACAGCGTATCGTGGTGCAAGACCAGGATTTGATTTCGCTGTGCATATAACAGAAAGGATGCCGTAGCTGCACATGGCTCCAACTCTTGATTGTTTTCCGGTGTGAGGCTCGTTGGTGGTGGAGTTGGCCTCGCCGATGCAGAATGCTTGGATGCTGTTGATCTTGTGGACTCGGATCGCCGTCTGGGAACTGGACCGACAGACATGTTGCAACTCTACAAAGACACGGTCAGTCGGACATGCGTCGAGCTCATGGCGAGCGTGGGTCAGGTCTCCAAGAAGGTCTGGCGCCAACGGCACAGACGAGGTGGAACGCTTTGTAGATGAGAAGGTCCCGTCCGACGTACCAAACATGCGCGCTAAAAAGCTGAAGTCACACCGTGTGTACCTCGAGCGGCGAGAGATGCGCTCTACGAGCTCTCGTGCGCCAAGGGGCCCACTCTGCYTCCGCGAATGGAATCCTAGACAATGCTGCAGGACACGATGCACGAAGCCGCGTTCCAGAGGCAGGGCGACGGCAGGCTGAGGGTGGGAGAGTGAAAGAAGGAAGCTAGAGCGGCTGCAGGAGGAGTGCAAAGCAAGAGATCTCTCACCTGGAAGCAGGAAGGTCGGGCGCGTAGCGTGGATCTACTGCCTTTTGCCCAAGCGCAGCAAGAAGAGGAGCGGCTAAACGATGTGTATGAACGGCCAGGGCATCGGACCTATGAAGGGCAGAATGGGACGGGCGAATGTACCATTCGTCGACTGAAGAGTGAGCCCTAAAAGCGGCTAGCTGGGCGCGAGAGCCGTCGAGGGCCCTTCGGGCGGCCATGAGCGAGACGCGTTCTCGACGGCTTCTATGCACCGCGGTGTGTGTTTCATGTGCGCTGGCCTGCAGCTTTGCTGGTAAAGGCGTTTCTGTGGAGTGAGGTGAATGTGCGGGGCGGGATTGCTGCTTCTCATTGGCCAGCTTCGTTCCGCCCATCACACTTTAAAAATATCCAGCGCCTACAGCTCTCCAACCACCTCCATAGATCGGTATGGGCCGCACGAACCTCATCTCTCTGGAGAATGAAATCATTCAAAGCCCCGCCGAACCCTAGTCCGAAAATGCCTTCATAACTCAATCTGGGACTTTGAACCACATGTTTGCGGCACATGCCAGCCTCTAAGCAGTAGGAGACCAGGAGAAAGATCACATGCTGTCGAGGGCGACCGACATGCGGCCCTCCTTGTATGATCCATCATCTCCCAGCCCACTGCCTCGGGTCTCTTGCGGTTCACACAGAGGTCTACGGTACCTTACCGCGACCGGAAGTCGTCGCACGACGTCAAGCATGCCAAGTCACACCGTATCGAACTGTCCGTATTGGGCAAGCTGAACAGGTTCAATGGCCGAGCATCTGCACGCCCCGGCCCGGATCCTGATGGGCACTCGTGTCAACCGACCGGAGGTCAATGTAACGAAATGACCATTATGCACTTTGCAGTAGTTCAATGCTGTCTGATATCACGAAGTCACATACTGAGATGTTCCCGCCAGTTGGCGCACTGTTAACCATATTCGTGGCAACCCGCTCGCCTTATCAACAACAAATCGCTGAGACAAAGAAACACTTTGGGCAGAATGAGGTTCGCAAATTTCTTGCTTAATCTATGACGTTCTACAAAACCAGGGGGCTACATACTCAAGAAGCACAGTAAGACAGGCACCCATTGAGACCCCAATACTAGGCGCCTGAGCTAGACCCGCTTCGAGTGATGTGCAGGTTCCCAAATGCCTGCATATGTACTCGAGCGTGCCAGCGTTCGCCTTCTGCGGCAAGTCGCTCTGCGGCATCGACCCGTAGGCGCATGCACATTCTCATATTTGACAACGCTTGCATCGTCATCACGCTGTGGAGTGTCGCCATTCTTGCACGTGTCATGCGACCTTGTCTGCGACCCATCGACTTTTTCTTGGGCCGCGGGCTTGAGGAGGTACGCAGCAAATGGAGGTCTCTTCGTTCGCGGACGGCATGGCTGCCCGACCACTATCGGGAGGAAAGTGATACGATGGCATTGATGTATGCTCCGATGGACCTTTGCCGGAGTGTGCTGCTGCATTACGGWCATGGTCTCCTTGCAACAGCTGACCATCACAACTCGACACACACGTGTTTGTTGAGGCAGTCCAAGCAATTGCGTTCCTTTCCCGGCACACTGTTCCCGAAACTCTCATTCTCGGGAGGTCGTCTTTTTCAGAACAGCGGAAGAGCTCGCGGCTCCACAACTTGTTGTGTAGCACGAGAACATGCGGATGTGTAACATTAATGCTGTTGGGAGAAGTCTGTGCAGCCTGGTGCAACTTATTCCAAGATGCATRGCAAGTCTTCTGATTCCAGAGTTGCAGTCTGCTTTACTGTTGATCTAGACTCTAGATGATCTTCAGCTCTTGGTTGTGCTGCCGTCGGAGTTGCTGTGCCGTTTCTTTTTGGCCTGCGTGCTACAGGCATTCGGCTTGTATTGAACGACAGGCGGGAGCAGAGGACGCGCCATCCAGACTTCGGCAGAGCGCGGTGGTGGCGGTGGCTCGCTCAGATATGCCTCGTCGTCGTTCCCGAACAGGTCCTCGTCGCTGACGTACGCACTCGGCTTTCCAGAAGTCGACGTAGCCCACATAGAGTAGCCGCAGGTTGAATATGGGTCGGCAGTCGTCATTGCTGAGTTGAAGCTTTCGCGTCGCGAAGATGAACACGAAGAAGACAAAGTCATCGCAACAGGTCGGCTAGTGAACGATCCAGTTGGTGATGTTGGCGGTGTGCGATGTTGATTTGAGGTCGAAGCGTAAGACATGTTGTATTGTCGTTTTGGCTGTGCGTTTGGTAGGAGCAAGCGATACAGAAGMCGTGGAGTCTGCTTCCGACTGCGTACTTGTAGTGTGGTAGAGATCTGCAACAAACAAAGGGATCGCTACTTGATACGTCGCAGTGGCGGATGATGTATGACAAGCGACTCATGCATGTGATATGAAGTGTCAGTTGGCAATAACAACATAACAGCAGGGCGACCCGTCTGATATACCACAAGTGACCACGAGCCGAGCTCTTTTCCCGGGATTGAACGAATCTGCACCCGGGGTAGGTCCGAGAGACTCGTCGGTGAAAGAATGGCGGTCATTTTTGGGTTTTTCCCCATCCTGGTTTCCCCCCACCCTCCACCCCGGGCGGCATCCCTCTTTTATGTTGGCCCGGACGTACATATACCAGATTACCCTGTGACAATCCCGCCTCGTGGTCATCGCCGGTGGCCGAGATCTTGAAGGCAAAATCAGCACAGAGTAATCACAGACTGCTGCATCCCACACGGCGACAGCGCCCACGAGCACAACATCCATACCCCAACAAAGACCCAGACCGCTCCTCTATGCCTATGAGGGGTGCCACTCAGCCGCAACCGCGGTCAGCAAAACGCGCCAAACAGGAATCGGTACCACAGTAACCACACCGAGGTGCGTGTACAACATCTCGGGAAAATCAGGAAGTCGAAAGAATGATCTGCAGCTTTAACGATCGGTGCGACAGCCTGTTGTTCGGCAAATCAGGCTAAACCGCTCTTCTGGCGACTACCTACACGCTGGCGGTATGCGCCGGCTCCTTTCTTAAATCTACCATGCACAATGTGCAAACCTGTATACGAGATTGCTCTGCTGTGGGGATCGTCACCAGTCAGTTCCTCGTCTGCTGTGGCGAGGCGGGCCGCACGCAGACAGCTGTCACGACTCACTTTCCGTTCGGTTGCCGACGATTGACGCGCGCTTTCGTATGTAGACGTGTCCCAGCAATCGTTCCATCCTCTGTCCTTTCGCAGCAACCTCGCGGATCGGCGTAGAACCCCAGCACTCTCTGCTCCCGGGATGGTCAATTTCACACTCATTCGCGGATTTATGCTCCGATGTGCGAACATGCTAGAGAAGGATCCCTTCGAACCATGTCCATGGACAACTCTCGGAGTCAGATGCGAGATGTAGGTTCGTCATGTCACAGAGTCCACACCATGWTCAATGATGTAGGCGTTGGACGGACTTTCATCCGCTCCAATGATCCCTTGGACGAATTTCGAATGGGTCCCAGTTGTACCGGAACTGTTGGCACATCATGAGACATACCAGACGCTGGAGTCTAGACCGAACAAGCACTGTCAGGGCATCGACGAATACTCCCGGCACGTCTCGAGTATGCGGTTTGCCTTGTGCGGGTGATGACTCGGCGCCGAGATCCATCAAGAAAAATGTAGTTCATGTCCCAATTCGAGCCGTTTTGGGGAAAAGTTGAGTCTCGACACGAAGATCACGCCTCTTCTTCATGGAATATCCCAAGGCTAAATCCCGGGAATACCGAGCATGAACGACCAATCCTGGGAGATCATCAATAAGGGTCTGGTTGTCTCTGTCCATTACGCATACTGCATACAATAGGCTAATCCTCGCTGTCGTTATGCTGTGCTTTCACATGCTAATCGGGAATCCCGATACTGCCTTAGACGACACAAGGCGAGTGCTTCTGTTTCGGATCCGCATGAGCATATCACGACAAGCGTGCCATGGGGATTATCGTTGACAGCGTCGCCGCGTCTTGGTATCAGAGTAACCGAGATGACGTGGAGTGTACATGGGTAGGCGACTGAACTAATGATGATTCCTCCTGGGCTCCGCTCCAGTGGGTACTTTAACCAACGCAAATCCTAACTCCTAAGTCTCGGATCCTGATGGTGGAGCGAGCAGAGTCGAGTGACCTCACGCTCTCGAGACATTGTCCATGATCCGCAACGCACCTGCACGATGATGCATGACATGACAAAGTCGAATCGCCAATGGATTGTGTTGGCTACGGATCAATGTTGATGCTTGGAGAGACATTCCCACAGGGGCTGCTGCTGTAGTACACCATACAGCATACAGTAAAGGTGTCCTCGCGAGTTGTGACAGAGCAATCTCGGAATACATGGGAAGTCCCACGCCTACCATGCCTGTCGAGCGTTCAGTCCACGAGTGGCACGGTGAGTAAAAATCGTCATTTAGGGCTCGCTGCTATGCCCTCGAACTCAAATCCCGAGGTGGGGCGGGATATCCACGTTGCGCGCAGCCTTATACGGGGCTGACAGGGCGACTGGCCCGATGTGGGTGGAGTTGTCCCCGCGTGCTGTTGTATCCTCCAGGTGGATCGGGCACCGCAAGTGATTCGGATAGAGTTTTCCGATGCARACCTCTATACCTGCGTCACCAGGCGGATAGCTATTTGCGTTTCGGAGTGCGACACGAGTGGTTGAAGTGGACGCAGCATACTCCGAGACGTTGTCCTGCGTCCGCGTGGGATGCGTGCGTGGTTGGGTGAGCGGTGAGGCGGGTCACCACAAAATAAATGGAGGTGGGCGCAGCATTCTGTACGGCCAGCGAAGCTGCGGCTTGTTGATGAAGAATCAAGATACTGTTACGGACGACATGAGAGTGAGTGTAAGAGATCACGTGCGATAAATCCAATGCCGGATAGAGTTGCAAAAAAAAAACATCGCGCATCCCAAAGCCCCCACATTTCACGCCGCCGCCAACACGTGTAATCCAATACCGCCACCCCATGGCGTGAAGGTCTCTGCCCGATTGCTCGGCTGAAGGATTCCTCACAAGCTCAAGGCCGCACCAGCATCGCCCGTTACCGAAGCGAGTGGACGACCACCACCGGGTTCGAACTGGGCACATGTTGCCGGATTTGGACAGGAATGAACTCTGGGGAGGACGCGCTCTGCCAATTGAGCCATTACAGCTGCGAAAATCAAAATTCTTGGGATTTAAGTACGTGCGATGCCAACTCCTACCTGCTTTAGGCACATGGCAAATAAACAGCAACAAGTGTGCGTCAGGCGGTACTCCTGCGTCTACTTGTACGGATCGTCCAGCCGATCAATGCATCTCATCCCGGTCTTTCGCATTCCACCAACGCCGGCGCGCTCCATCATGCTGGCTGTACAGACGGCCTCGACAAGCATTGGAAACGCGAATTTATATCCCAAAAGTTACCTTCATCCTCTCGTAAACATAGAAGCTCGTCGCCACCATCGGCACCACCTTCACATATCCAATCCCGAGCCCCACAAAGAATCCGCGATATCCTCGCTCGCTGATTATGCTTCGTCCGACCTCGACCATGGTCAGCCGGTGTCCGTCACCAACGACTCCGCCGACTTGCATCCTTCGTCGTATCACCTCCAGTGGGTAGCTGAGTGTCTGGCTGACAAACCCCGCAAATGCGCCTGTTGCAAGTTCAGCCCACGCTCTCAAGGGCGGTGGTTTGCCGGGCGCTAGTTGCTTCGCCGATCGTTCTGAAAGTGGTAGAATGGTGTAGGGTGCTAAAGCGCTTCGACGCATAAAATCCCCGGCTGCGTCATGAGTGAGGAAAGAAGCTCCAGCGTATGGAATCATTCCCCATATCGTGGGTGTGAATCCTCGAAAAAAGTTCGCGAGGCCTGCAGTGGGTGTTATGCGCTGAATGGCCTCTGCGGTAGCCCCTGCCGCCTGTGGTAGTTTTCCAGCAGACGGAGTAATCGGTGCAGGCGCGGGGGGATGCTCCCGGTATATTATACCGCATATGTCTCTGACCGTGACCCGCTTATGAGTCTTGGTCTCCCACGCCAACCGCACACGGATCACTTCAAGTGGATATGTGCAAAACACCGAGACGACGCCCGCTAAAGATCCAGCAGCAAACCTTCGAACTGGTGTCTCCTGCTTCCGGCTTGGGATCACTACCGCGCGGACTTGCTCATAGGCAAGGAACTTGATTCCTCCGTAGGGGAAAATCCTGAGAAGTGTTGCACTATGGCCACGGAACAAACCCCTTGTACCATTTGCGCTATAGATATCCCCAATCGCTCTGAATGCCCCCGACCAGGTCCCTGTATATTTCTGGAATTGTGGGTTGTTGGCCTGGAATAGAATCTTRACCCGATCAAGGGGAGCAACCACCGTCTTCGCTGCGCATGCTGCCAGACCGCCCGCGGTTCCACTGCGCACTACGTATTCCCAACTCTGTTTGGGAATCTTCCTCTCGGTCGTGGTCTCCATGGACCTAGACTGCACGGGCAGTATGGTGGAGTGATCTGTAGGACATATGGCGGGCTGGTTGTTGGCGGCTGCCGAGCGCGGGGTTGGACTCATCTCATGTGGTTCGTCGGACGCTGTGGGCGTGGTCGTGACATGGCTGGCATGTCCTGGGGCAATACTGGTCATCGATTGGAAACCGCCTGTTTGCGCGTGCTCGCTTCCACTCGTGCTCACGGCAGCGCTGGCGACATCGGGTGTCGATTGGTGGAATTGGATGTGTTGCGGGAGACGTGTAGCTCGGATATAACTCTATGGAGTCCTGACACTGTCCGAGAAATATTGTATAAGGCAAGGTAGCTCCCGGGAAGAGTCCAGTAGTACACAGGTAAATTCCGGAATGCAGAGAAGATGTCGTTGTGCTCGTGCTCGGCAATAGCAGATGATGCTGTCGTCTCGGCTAACCGCACATGCTTTGCCGATTCAGACCGGGCTTCACACACAAACAATCATCACACTCTCTCCCCTTCTGCTCAAGATACACCATCTTCATGCGTCGGAGTAGAGCCATCAGAGACCCTACCTACCCTAAAGCTTTACCGTAAACATCGCGGGAAATCCTCGCAAATGCTCAACTACACCAATCAGTGACGACCGTAGGTTGAGATTGCCAACCTGGGCCTGACTAGTCTGATTTTACTCCGATGCGCGAAGGGGATGTACAACAACCCGATAAGTGGAACGAGCAAACAAGATCACTTGAGAGGTAGGAAGGCAGTGCTCCTCGGCGGCGTCACAGCCTCTACCGCCATGACATCTCCTATTCTATGGCGGAACAGTGATGACACTGTCTGCTTGATGGACGTCCCTCGATCTATCTCAGCAGCGCAAGGTACCGCAGAATGCCCCTGCTCCGACGCACTTCTCTCGTGCGAAGCTGTGTCATCTCCCTTTGCTTCCAACGAACCCAAGTCAGCTGCCGCAAAGGCGAAGCTGCAGAACAACACTGTTGAAGAAACTCTGCACGCTGAATACAGCATCATCCTACAGCGAGCAATTGAGCAGGTACGGCAGGGCCATCAAGATCCATGGTGTCTCCCAAGAACTTTCATCACAACACCTGACCGGCCAAAAAGGAAACGGAAGCGAGAGAGAGATGAGAACGGCACAGGTCTTGAGACTCCGCCACATCCGAATCTCCCGGAGCTTCCAGATGATGTGTCTTTCTACGCCAATGACTCTGCAACCACTGAGGATTTCTGCGTCGCACCCAAGAGTGCCGTTGGGGTAGAATCAACGTATCGTATTCCACCTTATTCAACATTCTCCCTCTCCGATTGTTCGAGCTCCACGTCCTTTTTGAACTCCATCCGGAGTCAAGCTCAGGACAATTCGACACGCAGGCATTTTGACTTGATGATATTTGATCCCCCTTGGCCAAATCGCTCCGTCAAGCGGTCGCACAAGACTCCTGGGAGCACGTACGCAACATCCACAACTCTCGATGACGTATTCCAGCTTGTTCTAGGCACGGATTTGGACATGCTGATGGGGAATGATTGCATTGTAGCGTTTTGGATAACGAATAAGCCTGCTGTACGCGAGTTGGTGACCGGTGAGGGCGGCATTTTCGAAACCTGGGGAATCGAGCTGGAGGAAGAGTGGATCTGGCTAAAGACGACTGTAGACGGTGAGCCTGTGTCGGTTGTCGACTCACTGTGGAGGAAGCCATATGAGATCCTGCTTCTTGGACGAAAACGTCCCTCTGCACCAAAAGGGGGTGTCATTAAGCGAAGGACTATCATCGCTGTGCCAGATCTGCATTCGCGCAAACCATGCTTGAGGTCGCTGTTGGAGCCTATGATGCCAAATTCGCGAAACTACAGAGCACTAGAAGTGTTCGCGCGGCATTTGGTCTCGGGATGGTGGAGTTGGGGCACCGAGTGTATCAAGTTCAACTACTCCAAATTCTGGTGCCCAGATGTTGAGGCTACGAACGAGAATCACGATGATGTACCAACACACYAACAGTGCAAATAATTTGCTCTCCTCACGCAGAGTGTAGGAATGAGGCCAATACAAGCGAGTTACAGACAGTATTAAATGGAGAGCATCCGATAATCGGTGCCAGACACTACCCCAACACTAACCCTAGGCACCGCGCCAGTTTGTGGGAAGCGCTTTCGTCGCGTGGTCGCTTGCCAGTCAAAGAGAAAGACAAAGTAAGCAGAGAAAGGGAAGTTGGGACGCAAAGCAAAGTCATGTATGTTTGGGTATCGTGCTAATCGTACAGTGCATCGATGCTCGTCAATTTACTCTCATTATCGTACAGGGTCGTTCAATGCACACCAGAGCGCAGTTCCCAGCAAGTCAACAAATTTACACCCATCGAAGCGCCTGTCTGCTCATCACAGCCGCGACAGTGTCTGCCAGAAAGTCTACTGTCGCTCTACAAGAAATACTCCCCTCTGCCTTGCCTCCCTGCAGGCACGGCTCTCCTATGGTCCGGAACGGCCGAGAATATCTTGAAGTCGGGCTCGGGTGGTGCGTTCTCAATACCCTGCCCCAGTGTCATGATACTCGCAACGTTACCACATCGATAGCAGTAGTTTGGTGCTGACCAGACCGTAACGACATCCTGCGACGCAAAATGGTACTTGTAGCCTTCGTTTACAAGCTGATGCGCGCGAGCGATCAGCGACAAGTTGTTGACATGATTGAACTAGAGACATTGTTAGCTCCAAAAAATGAGGAGTAGGGAATAAGAGTGGCAAACCTCTGATGAGACCTTGTCTCCGAATAGCCACCCGGCCCCTCTAGGCGACACAGCCCATGTTTCCACGTCTTCTGGATCACTCCACACAAGATCGCAAAAGGCTCCCTCGTGCGGGATTTCCTGTGCTCTTGCGACCACTCTTATCTGGTCGAGAGTGCGAATTTCCGGCGAAAGTCCACCGTGCACACATAGCACTTTGCCATCAATAATGGCGGCCAAAGCGAGAAAGTCAAAAACCTGGCAACAAGACTTCCAGACAGCAGAATTGCCGTACTTTTGCTGGCATTCCTCGTAGAAGCCGTACACCTGAGTGATTTGACGAGACTCGTGATTGCCACGGACTAGAGTGACCTTGTCGGGATATCTTGCAGGGGCTGTTAGCATGGTTGGACTTCGGTGTAAGACATGAGTGAAACATACTTTGCCTTCAAGCACATCAACAATGTGAACGTCTCCAAAGAAAAGTAGCCCCTGTCGACGAAATCGCCGAGGAACACAAAGTTCTGGTGTCCGGTTGCGAGATCAGGTCTGGAACTTTGTGCGGCGCTTTTGCTCCGACTGGGTTCAGGACTCCGGACGCCAACACCGCTGTCCTCGCTGCCATCGTCATCTTCGTATGCTTCGTCCTCAGTCACGCTGCGACTCCGCACTCGTCCTCGCTGCTCTTCCTCTTCTTCTCCACCACCCTGCTCCGACCCATCGTTTGACGCAGCCGAAGTGTATGCACTGTCTTGCTGAAATCTCCTCTTCATCTTCTTCCTAACCTTTGGATCGGAAATCTGAGTCGGTGGCTCCAGATCGGCAGCGTTGAACCCCGCCGCGGCCTTTCCCCTTGGACTCATACTTGCTCTCGCCGCCTTGTTTCTCGCCCCGGCCGCCGCCTCAGCCGCGCGCTGGTCCACCTCACCGGGCATGCCGCCAGCCACGTGGAACAGTTCCAATAGATCGTAAAATTGCCCGTGAATGTCGCCACATACAGTCACAGGTGCCTGCACAGGTTGTATGTTGGATTCTTCCATCAAGCACTCCTTGACGATTTCACACAGGCGCTTCATGTCGGCCTCGGGAAGGTACCGACATAGTTTTGCTTGCTCCAGCCATTCATCTGGACCAGCGTGAGCTGTCAAAGTCGCCGGCCCGGGCTGGGGGACATCAGTATCCGTCTCGCGCGGCATACTGAATGGACGTTTCGAAGTCGGGGTGATTCCAGAAAGGTCACGAGGGCGAAATAGGAGTCGGTCTATTGTATGGCGGGTACTGAAGCCGATGTCGTTGTTTTGTGCTCGGAGGTAGGCACCGTTGAGATGCGTCTTTGGTCAGCCGGTGCGCGAGACAGGCAGCTCGAGGTCTGGAGTGGGTCTCGCAGTAGTGCACGTCGTGTCAAGTCGCCTGATGGGCGTTCCCGCACGCGCTGGGTGGACCCGAATCCGAAGCCGATCTGTTTCGTCATTCGAGTCGAGTCGGGCTAAAGCAGTTGACACTTCTTTCCATTCATCCTACTTAATCAATGTTTGGACATCACAGTTGTGATCTGCTCGCCATCGAGTCACCATGGACACAATTTGAAGATCTCCCTGGCCTCGAGGCTCGCGTCACGGCCATTGGTGGGAAGCTTTTGTCCGTGTGCTTGTCGGCATATACCTTACACACATCTATTATATTTATCACAAATATGTAAATGTCTACTACCACAGTCTTACGACAGAGAATAATCCTAGAGCACGAATGTGTCACGATTGTGGCATGCACTTCTCCAAGATGCTCGCCCCTACTCTCTAGGCACCCAATTCTTCCATGTCGCCTCTCTAGCCTTTAAATAGTCCCGGCTCTGGATGCTCTTCCGTAGACCATATATTCCCGCAAACGGCCACATCTCCCGAACTCTCTGCCCAAAGGTTCGGCTTGCTCTCGCTCTACGCTCAGCCTCGATATCCACACGAACCTTTTCGTACACAGTCGGGAGCGTTGTAGCTCCATATTTTGACCGAAGAGCATCATACCAGCTCTTGTCAAAGTCTTTCCAAAAATCCGGCTCGTTGAAGTATGTCTGCGCGTACAACCATTTCATCCCGCCCAGTTCTTGCAATACGGACTCAATCCTTCGATTGGTCGTAATGAAGGACTCGGAGGTTTGGGGAGGCGGAGACCGACCCCAGAGACCAATGTTCAACATTTGCTTTTCTGTGTTGCCGCTTTGCTCATGTGGATGCATTGTTTTCCCAGGACTTTGCTTCAGTGGGCAGAGCCACAACGGCCAGATTCCCGTCAGTTTGTCCATTCGTTCGACGAATTCTGCAGCGGTATCGTAGGGTAAGGCGAGATCTTGAACAATCATTTGTTCGCTTCTTCCGCTGGCGTGGAGGGCGTTGTAAAGCATTCGGGTGGAGAGGAAATCATCTAGCCACCATCGTGTAAAGTTGTTGAAGGGTATGCCTGGAAAGTAATCGAAAGCACCCTTTCCAACCCAGAAGCCACCTCGGTCGTAGCGGAAGAGATATTCTGGGAGCGGGATCGCTTCTGAGACAGGAGTGCTCGATTTGGAAATACGATCTTGAACGTGGAGATAGAACCAGGGGTCGGAGGCAGCTGAAAATCTTTGTATGTGCAGGTTGGATGTGTCCGTCATTCGGCCTGTGACAATAGCCCCACTGGTAGGCGAGAACATGATGCCATCCACGTAGTCGAACTCCTCGGGTCGAGAAGTGAAGTCGTGCAGTTTTGCAATGGCATCCTCCATACCGTTCACGGGATGGTATGTTGTTTCAACGAACTTGGTGGCTTTGTGAAGGTTGAGCTCTACCATCGTTGTGACACCAAGCGTGCCAACTGCGCCTGCTGCACCATGGAATAGATCTGTGTTCTCCTTCTCGGAGGCGGTGATAACTTCTCCATTGGCGAGCACCATCTCAACAGAATTGAGTGTTCGATCAAAAAAGCCATGCTTAAAGGAACTGCTTTCGCCAGAAGTGCCAGAGTAACCTCCGCCTACTGTGATGCCTGGAAACTCCATGCAAACAGGAGGCACCATTCCGTACTTAAGAGTTTCCTCTACTAAGCGATCCATTGGCACATTGGGCTCTACAAGTGCTGTTCTCTTTTCTGTATTTACCGATACGACATGGTTCAGTCTGCTGGTGTCTACAACCTTTTTGGGATCTTTGCTCATCGCTGACTTTCGTGTAGAGTTTGTAGAGCCATGAAATATCCTGAACTTCTCCTTTCGCTCATAGAAGCTGCGTACACTCTCGGAAATTCTTGCCACCTCTTCTCGATGTTCCGCAATGGTAGTAGGCGCAGTACCTCCGGCATGGACTGCTCTCCGCTGTATCGGCATTTGCTGTGGGCTATTAGTTCTCAGATAAGTCCTCGGAGGCATTCGGTGTGGGCTCATGGCGGTCGAAGCGCACGCGGCTCGACGTGTTATTGCTAAGCCGTCTGGCTCAATGTGGATGTTTCGACGAAGACATTGAGAGCTCGAAGCCCTGCTCGTCCAGAGCTGCTCCCAAATGAGCGTTCGCTTCATCGTGATGGCCAGATAGACCGATGATCCCAAAAAGCGACACAAAACAGAAATGCAACGGCAAATCAACAATTTAATGAAATACGTGAAGATGGAAGAAACATTTTGGCCTTGGAGTACGCGCCATCGGGTGGTCTGTATTCTACCAACGTCTAGCCCGATTCGGCCAATACGTACCCAGGTAACGGTCGTTATGTGGTGTGAAATGAGCTCTGAAATGGGTTAGCCTTACGTTGTAGTGGGCAACTAGTCGTTAGTGGATTGCAGGTAGAGCTGTATTCCACTAACGTGTCGCTCGTATAGCCTCGTATACGCTGGAGTTAGTAGAGTTAGTAGAGTTCGTAAAATCACTAAGTTAAGTCGATTACCGGTATAAGAGCTGCTTTCTTATCTACTACTATGGATTGTTCTTATCGCTGTTTCCTTAGCAAACGCACTGCCCTTACTACCTCTAATATTACTGCCCTTACTACCTCTAATATTACTGCCCTTAGGTCCTATTACCCTCGCTACCTACCTTCGTGCTATTCGTATCTAATTACTATCTACTATCTACGCTCTTTTAGTAGTGTTTACACGCCTTCGCGACGCTAGTAGTCTCTTACTAGGTCCTATATAGCGAATTACCTGTTAAATTCGACAACCTCCGGAGGTAGTTTATATAGTAATAGAGTTAGTAACTACTATAGGAGCTAGCTCGGCTACGCGGTAGATTTATCGTTAATATTAGTAACCTATCGAAGGCTCGAGTAGCCGTAGCCGTTTCGAATACGTGTTAGTGTTTCGGTAATAAAGTTACGGCTTACTTAAGTAAGAGGGAACTCGTTTATAATTGCTACCGTTAAGGGCGTGTCGAACTTACTAAGCTCTATATTAGTGTCTTTATCTATTAAATGAGCAAGCGTATTGTCGATAGCTTTACCGAGCGACTCGGTATTATCGCCGCCGCGCTACTCGGAGATAGTAAGAGCGCTACTTAAGAGCGCCGCTTCGTAGCTATAGGCGAGGGTGTTAATATATTAATTGCGCTCCGCCTTCGTAAGCTCTATAACTATAACGTCCGCTTATCGATAGAACGTCTCCTTAAACTGCTCGATAATTGCATATATTAAAGTGTAGTAATTACGCTCGAGCGGCTAGTATTAGTATTAGCGCTGCTTTTAATAGCTCTCGTCGTTAATACGCTCGCTCGTTCCCTCCGCTACTAGTATATCGCTTTCGTTAATCCGCTACTTATAGTAATAATGCGTAGTGTTAATGCTAAGGAAGCGGTTAACATACGTAGCGGTTTAAATAGTAGTAAGCTCGTTACCGTCGTAGTAGGCATTAAACTATATATGCTTACACGGCATTCGCTACTCGAACTAGAAGTAGCAGTAGTAACGTAAAGGCGTTTCCTTATCGTACGAGGCCTTAAACCGGAACTACTAAGGTATAAGGTTCTTAAAGCGCTTCTTACTAAGGCGGTATTACTCCGTAATCTTCTCTTAAACGTACATAGGTAGTAGCTCGAACTAGCGGTAATGTAGACGAGTCTATAGGCTAAGCTTGTCGTTCTTTAGAGCCTTATTAGCGGCGTTGTTATTCTACCGCTTATCCGTTTTAAAGCTCTTAAGCAAGCAACCGGCAATTAAGAAGCTACGCTTAACGAGCATATTGCCGCTCTTATAGTTAGAATGCTATCCTTCTACTAGATTAGAGGTGCGTATCTACATTAATAGAGGATTGTCCTTACGGAACTTAGTGTACTATATATAAGCGTAGTTAAATAACCATTCGCGGCGTACGTAGCTATATAGCCGGTCGTTTAATCTACCTAGTAGTAAGTTAATAGCTAGCTGTAGTTTAGCCTTAATTTTATCGTCCGTTTCGTAATGTAGCATTACATACTATAACGCTTAGTTAGTAGCCTTATATCCACCTTTAATAGGAAACTTAGTGCGTATCGTTTAACTAACGTGTCGTTAGTAGAGTAGTAGCTTTACGTTGTCGCCGAAGGCTATACGGACAGCGTTCTATTTACTAGATAAGTCGTCCGTAACGGTCTACTATAATATTAAGCCGCTCTCGTTATTACTAGCCTATAATCGTAACGCGCGGAGTCCTTCTATAATAACTACGCTATACTAGCTCTTAATTACTATATAAGTAACCGGCCGAAACGAACCGTTACCGTTACGTACTACGAGGTTAATAAGGAACTACGGTAGGCCGAGTACTTAATACGTAGCGTCTATAATTATAAGAGCTCCGTATTGCTTCTAAACTGTTAAACTATCTAGTGTTGTAACGACGATTCTACGCCTTAATCCATCCTTCGTTCTAATAGCGAATAGCTAGTAGTATTATCTAAGGGCACTAGCACGGTTATCCGCCTTAATAAGCTATACATCTATAGTATCCGCGCCCTTACGGACGTATCGCTTATCTAAGTTATAGTATAGTAATAAACGCCCTTAGTTGTAAGCGTGTTAGTACGTTAACTACTTACCGCTAATATTACTATACTCTTCCTTTAATACGTCTACTATTCGAGAGGCTCGAGGGCTATTATCTATACGCTTACGTATTAGGTCCTTTAGGAGCTTGTTCGTACGGCGAGAGTTATACTGTTCGAGGCTGTGTAAGTGTGGTCCTTTATGCTGTCTACGTACTAGTTTAATTAAAACTAGCTTATTATTACCGTCTAGTTAGATTACCGCTAAAAAGGTAACCTTATACGGCTCGAGCAACTAACCGAACGACTTCTTATTCCGCGTACCTACATCGTCCTTATCTACTTAATGCGTAGAGCGGCGCTTCTTAATACATTAGTAGTAGAGCTTTTACGTATAATTAGTATCCGTAGGCTCTACCGTCCGTATATAGTTCTATACGTTGCTAAGTAGCTTCTAAGCTAGTTTGAAGTCCTCCGGTGTAAGAACAATCTCGCTATCTAGACGAAAGCACCTATCTCGAAGGAGGGCAATTTCGGATGCTATTATACGTAGGTCTTAGTAGTGTGTATAAGTGTGCGTAGGTAGTATACGTAGGAAGGATGCAAATCTTAGCACGGATTGTATTTGTTTAGAAAGATTTGTTTTAGTGTACGGACCACTATAAACAATCGAGATCGGCAATTTCGGATGATACCCGAGTTGTTCTACATCCGRCTAGACGTTGGTGGAATACAGACCACCCGCCATCGATCGCTCGCGTGGTGACTGTTCGGAGATCGGCCCGCTCATGACTCGCGGGACAAAGACATCCGAACTCCGTGCGGACCTCAGTATCGCAAGCGTATTGGCGGATCGACGACACGCGCGTTGAGCTTCCTTATTGAGTTACCCCGAGTGTTGGAGTCGGAGAGTGTGGTTCCAGCATGGCCAACTATTTCTTTGATGCTCGGGTGCGTTCAAAGTACATCCAATCTGCTCACGGTCCTTGCGACCTGCCATTGTTCGACCCAGATCCGTTGGAAGTCCGTCCGTCAATATGAGCAGGCCAATCGGCAGCCCTCGCCAACGTAGCGAGTCTCCTGCAGCCACTGCAGCCACCGCGTCCCGCAGTTTTGGAACCAGCTACAGGTCACAACATGGAGCCGATAGCTATATTGCCTCCATTGCCGAAGAGTCCATCCGGAAGGATCTCGAAGAGAACGGAGATCTGGAAGATGACGAGCAGTTGGACGATGAAGAAGTGGGTCTCAGCAGGACGACCACTCAAGACAATGGCATGCCACCGATGGGCAGCCATTCAATGACGGGATATTACCGCAGACCCTCATGGATTGGTGTTTCGCCACGTCCGTTCTTGGGTTCACAGCAACCAGAGAGCGTCGTACCGTCGGATTGGGAAGCGGCGATTGGAGAAGAGAGGAGTCTGTTGCGGGATAATAAAATCATTCCTCCCAAACATCCACGGAGGAGAGAAAGTGGCGACGAAGAAGGCGGTGGAAGCGGTTTACGGAAGGTGCTAAGCATCTCTGGTTTCAGCTCGCGCAAGAAGAGCGTCCCGGCCCTCAGCGAAGAGGCGGAAGACCAGGTCACTCCAGGCGAAACGACTGCCCTCTTGAGCGGCCGCGACCCCAATGCACCATATGGCGGCGAAGGTTCTCCTGAGAACGTTGCAAAGATATGGGAGGAGGCCGTTGAGAATGGTCAGATTCAGACCACTTGGCAAAGAGAGATGAAAGTTCTCTGCCGGTACTCCGTACGCACAAATGTCTACAAACCTTCTTATTTGCCGCATGCTAACCTCTTTTTGCAGGGTATGTTGGATGGAAGGAATATACAATTGCGTGTGACGCAGGCACTGACCATACCCCAGCACCCCTGATCCTAACATTCCTCCTTCAAAATAGTCTCACATTGACTTCGGTCTTCACGGTCGGCCGCATCGGGAAGATTGAGTTGGGTGCTGTATCTTTAGGAAGTATGACTGCAAACATTACCGGTTACGCAGTCTACCATGGACTGGCCACATCACTGGATACTCTCTGTGCTCAAGCTTACGGAAGTGGCAAGAAGAAGCTCGTAGGACTGCAGCTTCAACGTATGGTCTTCTTCCTCTGGGCGATCACAATCCCCATCGCTGCTATATGGCTGTGCGGAACAGAAATACTCGGAGTTATCGTACCAGAAAAGGAGACGGCCGTGCTTGCTGGACAATATCTCCGGGTCTTGATCATCGGCGCACCTGGATATGCCTGCTTTGAGGCTGGAAAACGATATGTACAAGCTCAAGGTCGATTTGATGCCACTCTCTACGTGCTCCTGATCGCCGCGCCGCTTAACGTTTTGATGCACTACGTTTTCGTCTGGCATTTCAAATGGGGCTTCATAGGATGCCCCATCGCCGTCGTGATCACGGAGACCCTGATGCCTATCTTGCTGTTCCTCTATGTCCGATTCGTCGGGGGCATGGAGTGCTGGCCTGGATTCTCCCGAAAAGCATTCATAAATTGGGGCCCCATGGTCCGATTAGCCCTCCCTGGACTTATAATGGTCTTAGTAAGTGACCTGAAGGGCAAAAGGCATGGAGGGTAACTCGAAACTGTCTCTCGAGCGACCCAGGCCTTCGACCTCCATTGAACTTGACTGAGACTTCGCTAACCTTTCTACTCTTCGCAGGCCGAGGTAAGCTTTGAAGACAGACTGAAAGGCACAGAGCGTATCAGCCGTCACTTGTGAACCATTGCTATGGTGAACGCCTGAGATAAGCTTTTTATGTCTTGCTCACGCCTGAATCTCACAATAGCCAGGACCAGGCCAACGGACATCCTTCCGTGACATAACCTATGCTAACGATACTTCTCTAGTTCCTTGCCTTTGAGGTGTTGACATTGGCATCGGCCAGAATCTCTGCTACGCATCTAGCAGCGAACACAGTGCTTCAATCTCTGAGCGTGCTGACATACCAGCTGCCATTTCCCCTATCCATAGCCGCATCTACACGTTGCGCGAACCTCATCGGAGCAGGGCTACCAGACGCCGCGAAGGTAACCTCACGAGTCACTTTTGGCATTGGCATCTTCCTTGGAATGTTCAATATGATAGCCCTTTCGGCCCTTCGAACGAAGATCCCCTGGCTATTCACCAACGAAGCAGATGTTGTAGCCTTGGCTGCGGCGTGTCTTCCTATCAATGCAGCTTTCCAGCTCTTTGACTCGCTCGCTGCACAGTGCAACGGATTGCTGCGAGGTTTGGGTAAACAGGAGATTGGTGGATATGTCAACCTGTTCGCCTACTATGTCGTAGGTTTAACTTTTCTGGACGATGCCATTTCACATTACTAATTGCATAACAGATTGCCCTTCCTCTATCGTTCGTGTTGGGATTCGCCTTACACTTTGACCTGATCGGTCTCTGGGCCGGTCCAGCATTGGGACTTGCTATCGTGTCTGCCTTTGAGGGCATCTACATTTACAGAATCTCGTACGAGAAAGCCTCGGAAGAGGCGGCGAGGAGGAACGCTGCTGGCTAGCAAACGATAATCGGCTTTTGAGAACATTTTGAAGGGCTTGTTGAAATGAAGGCATGATCTCAATAGAATGGCTAGACTGATTAGAGGAATCCATGGTTGCATCCTCTCACCGGCCGGGTGAGGGTGACTTCCGCCGGGCGGCATGATTCCAACCCTGCATTCGGGGTTCGCTTGGTAGCTGAACTCTAATCGACGTCACCTCCCAAATATTCACCGAGCACTACGGAGCCCCGTAGTTTGTCGCAAGACTCCGCAGCGGACGGTCGAGGTTGTCTGTCGGAGTGAATCCTTCGTTCGGGTACGCCTCGATGGGCCAGCAGGAGCTCTACTGCCGATTTCATCGTCCCGCCGACAACAGCTGGGTGATTGCTTTTTGCGACCTAGGAGAGGAGAGTTCTTTAGAGGGCAGGTTTTTATCCTCGAATTAGCCCGTAGAGTGTAGAGATCTCTTCAAAGAAGTCTTAAGATGAATTGTGACAAAGTATGAAGGAGCTGATTTTTGATCGAAAGCTCACCAAGATTTCGGAGAGTGCAATGTGAGCTTCTCAATGCGAACAAGGGAGTCTCTCTCACGGTGGTTGAAATTTAGCATGCTAGAGTTGTTCCTAGTACTGGGTCGCTCGTTCGTAGTGCAGAGGACAGAAGACGAAGGGAGAACCACCTCAGTTGGGTGAGTGGCGCTAGCGCTCAAACAGAACCGAGCTCCTTCGTATGACCAATCAAGACGATCCACATGAATTACAATGTAATTGATGAAGCAGGAATTCTATCCACCAAAAAGCTTTTCGAGGGCCCACAGCCTCATCCCGGGAATCCCAGGCCCTTGAGACGCGAAGACAAACCCTTCTTAGACTCTGACTTGTCCTTTTCTTTCACAGCTCCCTTGTCTTTTTCTGTGACTGGCTTGAGCTTGACGTTTTGCGCACCACCTAGCAAGAATGTCAGTGAATGTCGCGAGAGTAGAAGCACAGTAGAGTAATGCAAACCCACCTCTACCAAATACCCTCAMTTCACTATCGGGTTTGATCTTTCCCCTCATCGAGCTACTTTCACTCCCCCCAGTCAGACTTCTCTCGTCTGGATGGAGCGGCTTCGTCTTGTTAAAGACCATGTTCGCATTGGAACGCATGCTGGATCCATTCATCGGCTTTCGACTTGAGCTTTTCATCGACGGATCGCTTTTGACACTGGATATCGGTGGTGCAGGGTCTTGATATCGTTGTGAAGTCGGATCACTAGCGTTTCTGTACTCATTCTCGTGCTCGCCAGCGACAGAGTAGATACTTTCCAGAATGCCTGGTCTGCCCGGCAATGCGCCGCTCATCATACTCCCAACGTCACCAGCCGAAATAAGGCTGTTGGCACGACTTGCGAGAGATTGACCCTGAAGACTCGCCATCTCCAGTTCCAGATCAGCATTCTTCTCCATAAGGCGTGAATGAATCTTCTTCAAGGTCGCGAGTTTTCCCTGAGCATCAGCCAATGCTTGAGACATTGCGAGCACAGCAGGTGAGCTCTCCACGGAATTCGATGAGGCGGCGAGAGAGCGTTGATAAGGCATCAGACTGTCCCGCGCCGATGACTTATCGTTGTCACACTGGCTAGAAAGATCACGGTCATCGTCGAAGCGTTGTAGCTTCGCCTGCAAGGTCGCATTCTCGTTCGAAAGGAACTTCGCCTCTCGCTGGGTCTGAAGCATTTCGAACTCACGATATTCAAATTCGCGAATCTTGTGCCGCGCTTCCTTGAGCTGATTCTGCAGGTCGTCCATGGAATCAATATCGCGCTGCATCATCTCCAGTTGATGCGACTTATTGAGCTCGCGAGCTTCGGAGGCAGAGAGGAGATCACGATAGTGCTTCATCTCGACACGAAGCCTGCGCAGCTCCTCCATGTCGGCCGCCCACACTTCTTGCTCTCTTTTCATCTTCTGGAATCGTTCAGTTAAATTGTGCTCCAGATTGTTCGCTTGCTTCCGCGTCAGATTGGCATCCTTTATCGTGGCTTCTCGAGCACTGCGTACTTGCTCCAGCTGTTGTTTCAGCGCTCGGTTGGCGTTGATGAGATTTAGGGTCTCAGCCTCGGCCGTCGCATCTTTGACAGCTTTCCGCATCAGCTGTGCAATGTGCTGTGAGTATTGCGATTTGTGCCAGCGCTCAAAATTGAGATCATTCCGCAGGAGTGTCACCTCGCGTTGTAAGTATGCGACATTGGTCTGTGGCTGGTCCGCGACCTCCTTGGCGGACTTGCGCGACCCTGCATGGGCACCCGGCATTGGAAACTCGGCGCGAAGGTCGGATATCGACCTTTCCCTGCTACTTTTGCTCCGTGAACGGATGTGCTCGCTGCCATCTTCCGGTGCAAGGATGGGACTCTCAGGATCAAACGTGGTGCTCGAGACGCGTACAGAACTGCCTTCGCGCCAGCTGCTGCGAGTGCCGGATCGCAAGCTCGCATGACTGTTGGTCGGCGACAACGTGCCATTGTGATTGAAAGGTGTAGGTGGCAATGGAGGAAGTCTTCCGGTCGGCGGTGGACCAGGGCTCACTATTGGGGGATGTGCATTGACACACAGACTGTGGCAGTCGGCGACAACGTCGGCTGGATCCATTTTGGGCCACTTGGGATCATTCTTCTCATCATCGATGGTCATGTTGAGAAAATTAGGATGCAGCAAGTGTGCTTGGCGAAATTGGTCGCTTCGGCTGCGAATGACCGCGCGGTCCAAATCGAAATCGTCTGCTGAGGGGAAGTTGGCGATTTTCAGATATCTTCTCGGCTTGCGGATGTAGTCCATGAAGTTGAGTGGGTATAGTCCGTAAAGGTAGGTATAGTAGGTCATCAACTGTGGCGTTGTAGCTTCTACCACTGCATCTTGTGGACGGGCCTTTTCCCAGCTTAAATCGAGTCCAACATCGCCGTTGTCTCTTTCATCGTTAGCCGGGTAGCGATCGTCCGTAACCAGGTTCTTCTCGGAGAGTGAGCTCAAGGCCGAGAAACGCTCCCAGCAGAGTAGTCGGCTGTAAATGAGGAACAGTCGTGGCAGTCGTGGCGTAAGGGAGCCTGGAATGTGAGGCAGCAGCATGATCAGCGAGGTGAGCGCGACGGAGAGAATGGTGGTGGAAGTGTCGTTCATCAAGCACTTCAGCAAGCTGTCGACCAAAGGAGTGTGAACGACTGTGTAAAGATGCGGTGTCTGATTGCGCAGGAATGAGCTGAGTAGTGTCAATCCTTGGAGGCGAGTATCAGCACGCACGACCAGGTCATCGAGGAGGTGGAAGAGCTGCCTGGCCATCTTCCTGCCATATTGGCACAGACAGTGTTCCACCTGCTGAACCACCTGCATGTTGTCCTCGGCGACAAACCTGTCCTCCTCGCCCACAGCTCTCGTACGCTCGAGGTAAATCCTGAGTAAGTCGCGGCAAATCCAATCCGAAGAGCCCTGCTTTTCGCTCTGCTCTTCCTCATCATGAACCATGAGCTGCACGATAAAGTCCTGTGCATCCTCTACAGCATTCTTCTTGAAAGAAGTGCTCGTTATGACGACTCTCGCGACATCACGATACCATGCCAGAGCTTCATCCTCTCCATCTATTGCCGGCTGGAGTTCTCTCAATACTCCGACAAATGCGCCCAGTTTCTGCTCGCGACCTGCAACGTGCTTTTGCCAGAAATTTCTCAGCTCGTGGCTGGCGCGCACAGCCTCGTCGTGTTCGATTTTACCCGCATGGCTGTCGATGAAGGCCTGTAGCATGCGCCGGCTCTCAACGGGTAAGAATAGCGGCGTCTTCGGCCCGGAAAAGTGAACTTGCAGCGATTTTGTCGCATCCTTGAGTGAACTGTCCAGCGCCGAGCTGTCAGCAAGCTGCGCGAGCGTTTTTACAAGACTGTAGCCTCGTCTACGTCGCGGCATAGCAGCGAGAGTAGAAGACGCGGGGTCTAGTGGGAAATTGACTGACCTCGAACCCATCTTAGCGGGCCGTCCACGGTCGGCCGCGCTGGCAGACCAGGGTCGCYGGAGCGGAGCAGTGTGTTGTTGCAATTGCCAGTAACCATACAGGTATTAGTGCCGTGGTCCTGGTGTTTTTCCAAGTAGCGGTGTCGTGGAGGTCAGGTTGATCCTAGTCTTGAAATGCGCGATGCGGTGGAGCTCCGGAGCCGGATGATGAAGTCGTCCTAGGAAGTGGAGGGGCTAGAGGGAAATCACATCTCAGAGCAGAGTGAGGGCTGGGAGAAAGTCAAGGACACAGGCGTAAGGTGGAAGGCAGAATGGATCTTGTTGAAGACGAAAGAGCTTTCTCGTGCAAAGGCGAGCGACCTACCAAAGTCATCTGCATGCGATGCCCTGGCGGAGACTCTCGCGCATGCATGCGTGCAGACTGCCGGCCGCGCCTCGCTAACTTTCCAGCAGTTGACGTCGAAGCCGCTGCGAGGAGCCAGGGTGCCGAAGGGCACAGTTGGAGACGTTGGCGAGCGGAACGCCGCCATTGGTGCTCCTCGTGCGAGATAAGGGGATTGAGGCTGAAGCTGTCCCGCCGCATGCACAGGGAGTCCGACGCGAGCACGCCGAGAAGCAGGGGAAGCGACCCGAGGCGAACGCGCCAAAGAGTCGGAAAACCTACCAACTGTACTGTGCTTTTCCTACACGGCAGTGACTGTACCGCATGGCCCTACACTGGCTCGCGGCACAGGCGGAATTTCTGCCATCTCCCCCAGGCACATCATCATGCACACTTATCTCCACTCCAGAGGCCAGTCAAGACGATGGCAGGTTTGCAAATGTTCTCTTTGGGCTCAGTTGCTGCCCATCTCATTCTGCAGCTCCATAACGCAACATGACCCGATAGCTTGCATCCTATCCATCCATGCATGTCTGATCGTTTTCGTAGCCGGGCGCTCAACCCACCCTTACCGAATGCGCTTTTGATGGGGCTGTCTTGGGACGATGGAGCTGGATTCGGTCTGTCGCACAGATGGGCTTGAGACTACATCAGCGCGAGGCGGTCCCGATGCAGCCTCATTATTTTCCTTTGGGCCATGCATGTGACACTGCATTTCGACAGCTCTATGCCGTCCTTCCGAGCGTAATGGTTGAACTAAACAGTTCCAACGACACCTTTACTTTGCAAGCTTATGAAATTTATGAGATGGTGACTGCTTGTCAAAAACCCTTACGCATGATTGTCACTGGGTGTCTGAATGTCACAAACATTGCATCGTGAAGAATATCGCACACTGTTGCTTTTGGCTCTAATCTTCCGCAACTTGTGATATCCCGAAAGAACATTGCCTCCCAGTGGGGCTGGCATTTCAAGCCATCGTTCTCTGTAGGAGAGGAGCTGTGACGCCCAGAGTTTCTGCCACCGACCTTTACTCACCACTCACCGCCATCAGCATTCACCTTGCTGGCACCGGTTGCGTCCTCTCCCTCAGCATCCATCCTACAGTCACACGAGAACTTGCTCCGGAACTCGAATGGCGCCAACCCATCCAGCATCTCCAGAGCCCTCTTAGCCACTCTCAACTTCGAATACCTGCCGCCCTTTCCACCCGCGCTAGCGACAATTCTATCGTGAATCATCACAACTGCCACGACATCCCTATTCTCCAATCCGTCTACACCTGGCAACTCCTTTGCCATGAGTCTGTAGTCCATGCACCCGAAACCAGTCTGCAGACGCTGATGCAAGTGCGTGCACGGGTGATTATTGGCGAATGTGTCGTAGATGCTCATATCTTCGAAGAACCAGCGTACGTGCTGCTGGAAGAAACGCTGGACTTGGCCGTAGTCGAAGTCCGAGTCGATGAACATCGCCCCGATGAAGGCCTCCACAATGTCAGGTAGGCACTTTGGAGGATCGGGGACCGTAGTCCAGTAGTCTCTGCTGCCCCCGGACGTGGCTTTGGCTTCGAGCAGGTCTTCGACGTAGTCCTTGATTTGCTTACCGAGCTTGGCGTGCTGGTGGCGGAGGTGCTTATAGAACCCGAGGTTGACGCACAACGCGCCGAGGAATTTGTTGGAAACCATTGCCATCTTGTGCTCTGTGAGCCATTGCGGATCGGCGTCGGGATACTTATAGAAGAGGTAAGCAATGCTCGCCTGGTCCAGGAGCGCGTCGCCTAAAAACTCCAGTCGTTGATAGTTGGGAACCTGCTGCTGCATGTATGCATTGGAGGGGTGGGAAAAGGCGGAGAAGAGCAAGCGTGGGTACTTGAACGCGTAATCGTGCTCACACTGGACCCTCTCGGCAAGATCAAGTTGCACTGCCGTGACTTGACCAATCTGGTAGGCCGGCTTTTCATAAGTCTTCCTGTAATCGTCCATCTTGAGCATTACGTGATCCGGACTCGCCACGAATTTGGTGACTGCCTGGATTGCGGCCTCCCAGTGATTCGGCTGCCATGGCTCATCTGGTCTGTCATGGGTGAGGAAGGCGGCTCCAATGAGAGCCTCGCAGACWTCAGCAATCGTCTTTTGTCCAAGGACGTGTTTCGTGTCAGCGTGAAACAWGACCTTCTCTTGGCCATAGACAACGCCAGTACCCTTCAAGAGCTTCATGCCTTCCGGGTACCATGTGCGTCTGCTGAAGGCCAGGCTGCGAATGTACTCGTAGAGTTTAAACTCCAACGCATTCTTATAGAGGTTCTTGTTGCAGAGCATCTGCATGCGTCGGACGTGGAACTCAAACTCGTTCTCATCAGGGTTCATAATGAACGTGGAAATGGTCGTGGCAGTCTTGAGGAAGGTGTCGCCGATGAACTCAAGGCGCTCATAATTATCGCCCATGCCGCGTTGGAAATTGACACGCTCCTGGCTCCCATGCTCGCCCTGGTTATCGGAGTCCTTTGTGAACGCTGCGAGCGCGTARTCTGGCGCGCAGGCGACACCGACCGAAGTACAACCCTCGATACTAATGAGATATGACTCCAGTCGATGAATGATCGCCGGCCAGTAGAACAACGATGCAGCGATTGCAGGCGTCAGGGCCGAGATCCTCAATGGCTCGAGGCAGATGTATGCTTTGGTGCCCCCACTAACTTCGTTCTGCTCAGGAGCGGCGAGCATGTTGCGGCGTAGAGAAGCGATCTCAGCCTCAATGACTGGTTGTCCTTCGGTGAACACTTTGCTGAGTTTCGTCTTTCTCCAAGCCATGAAGCTGTACTCAATAATAGAGCCTGTCCATTTTCTATTAGGCGGCGTGACCTCAAGGGGCACAGGATCCGACATGTTGCGCGAGTGGTCGATGCGTTTGGTGTAAAATCTGCGAGGAGCCCACGGATCGGTCACAAATCGGTTCACTAGATATGATTCTTGCATGTCGGGTGTCCAATGCCTCTCACCCTCGGTGAAAACCGTCTCGAGTAGGTCCCAGTCGATGGCTTGCTGGGGACCCGAGGCATAGTGAGACCGCTCGTTGCTCGCATCGAGAGATACGGTCGCTGGAGCTATCCAGTACGAAAGGTTACTAGCATCCTCTTCGTACGTCTTGCCGAATACATCGCGAAACATCGTCATTGTGAAGGTGGTGATCTGCTTAAGCAGTGCATCCGTCAGCGTCAAAGGTGTGTTGAGCGTAGCAGATAGCACGGGAGTACTATTGCCATTCTCAAGAAAGACAGGAAACGACGGCAGCTGGGGCATTGCCTTCCTTGTCATGAACGCGAAGCTCTGGTGAGGTCGTCCAAGGCCCTGTGGGAAATCAACGAGTGTGATCCAGAGCTCAAGTGGCAGTGTTCCTCTCTGCTCCGCCCAGATCTTCGGCTTGACCTGCATGTCGTATCCCGTGCTCTTGTGCATGCCTGCAGCAAGAAGGGCGTTCCGCATTGCAGGAAGCTTTTTTTGATAGACTGGATTGAAGTTGCCGTCCAGATACTGCTTCTTCCGCAATTCAATACAAGCGTCAAAAGCCGCAGAGCTCTTGGCAAGCCTCTTCTTCGATTCTGGGCGGCCTTGTGCGGAGCGAATTGGGGCATCGCCGGGAAGGATGACTTCAGCAACAAACTTCTGACCAGATCCGATTACAACATAGGTCGGGTGCATGGGCTCATCGCTAGCGGTTGGGATTGCTGAGACAAAAGTCGCCAGTGTGTTCATGGCATTGCCATATGTTAGCTTGGCTCCTGTTGACTTCTCCGTGTAAGTGCGGATGTTCTTCTCCTTCTCCATCAACACCTCCAGAGCGTCTTGGTTGCCCTGCAGTTTTCGATTCTCGGGAAGAGAGTCGCAGAAGTGTTTCATGGCTCTCTCCGCATATCTCGCTTCCTTGATCAGGCCCTCCTGAACTGTGTTGCCGCTTTCCAACATGTGAATGAAGGTTGAATTGGACTTTCGAGCCCGGCCGCGCGACTGCACATACTGTATCATCRTCGAATACAGATCGAAACGAATAACAAGGTTACAGTCTGGAACATCGAGGCCCTCTTCTGCAACTGAAGTTGCGAACAGGCAATTGATGATGCCCTTCCTGAATTTGAGCAGAGTAATAACCTGCTGGCGAATCGAGAAGTTATCTTCAAAGATGTTCATCCCGCCTTGACCGACGAGATATCCGCTATGCATGAATTGCGTTTGCCGCCGTTCAGCCAAATCGTGTAGTAATCGGGCTGTAACCCTCTCACTGACAAAGACGATGCAGCGTTGATCGGCCTCGCGCTCGAATTGGCAGGCCAAGTAAGAGAAAAGACTGTGGACCTTGGTGCTGAGGTCAGAATCCAGGTCAACCTTTGCAGTGGCAACAGCGCCCTCCTTCTGGGTGAACTGGGCAGCCTCATTGAGTTTTTGGAGTAAGCTGTCCAGGGCTTTTTGGCGCTCCTCGGGGTCTTGTAGCAGCGTGCGATCATAGAAGCTGTTTTCGACTTTGCGCTCCAGCTTCTTGAGCTTCTCCGGAGACAGGGAGATCTGCAGATGACGGTCAGCACACCAACGGCCGAGATGGCGCGCAATGTCGATCGCACTGGCGAATATGGTGGCCAATATCTCCAAGTCACCGTAGCGTGCCTTCAACTTTTGGAGTAGCGCAGTCTCGAAGCCCGTTTGGGAAAGGGCTTTGTACGTGCGAACGTTCTCAGTCGGTTTCTTGATGGCCTCGGCTAAGCTCATGTCAGAGGTTGTGGCAATGTTACAATGGAGGAGATTCTCAAGGTCCGACGCGGCCTGCACCACATCGCTCTTGGCATCGATAGGGCTTGCTGTCATGCCAAATATGCGCGGCCTTGAAGCGTGGTCTGAGTCAGCAATATAGAAGTCCTTGACGATTCTGTATCCTATTAGCAATGATCATTATTTTGGCGGCGAACAATGCAGACCTGGCGTATGAGTGGTTCTTCTTTGTGTGGTGTGCCTCATCGAAGACGAGTAAGTTGATCTGCTTCATGCTGATGTAGCCACGGGAGAGGTTTTGGAAGAGGATTTCAGCCGTACAAACAATGACCTTGTTTTCTGAACACAGTGTTTGCCATTCTTGCTTGTTGTTGCTACTTTTGTTGTCAGCTCCACTCAGACGGGCGATTTTGTGATCGAGGTTGACGTCCAACACAGAGTACTGTTGATAGACAAGGTTGACAGAGGCAACAAGGAAGAAAGAGATCCGCGGTGGCTTGCCTGCTGCCCGGCCCTCGATCTCATTGTCGATGGTCCATCGAAGGAGCAGCACCGCAATGAGAGTTTTGCCTGAGCCGGTGTCGAGAACAGCAATTGTGTTCTCCTTCTTAGCACGTTCAAACAACTCAATTTGATACTCGCGAGGGTTTTTGACGATCTGAACCCCTTGCGACTGAGCTACAAGCGCATGAACAGTCTGCTCATCGTCTTCTGTTTCTTTGATGGTGCCGTTCTTGGAGCGCGATCTGAACGCAGTCGCCACAGCTGCTGGAGATGAGACGAAGGCTTCAAAGATGGACTTTTGAAGACGTCTTTTCTCCTTGGAGTTGACAGGTGCGCCGGACGGTACTATGTCATCTTCAGTGCCCGAGCCGTAGTGAAATTCGTCATCCATGGCGAGTGACGATGTCGCAGGTGAGGTCGCTCCAATAGCTTGACGCGTGTCTGCCTGGGGACCACCCATGACGGCGAGCTGTTGTGATTAGTCAAAGGCAGGGTGATACAAGCAGATGGTGTGGCTAGTTGAGAGGCAAAGGCAGGCTTCGACGACATGCGTCGATAGCGTGCGAATACTTATCCTCGCGGCGATGAGCTTGAGATGAAGTTGTTGTGTTTGAACGGCAGCAACATTTGCCTGAGGTAAAGATGAAGCTAGGTAGGTAGGTAAGGCCCCGCTTTTTCGTGGACCCTGCAGATCCCTGCAGCGCACGCTTTCATATGCGTGCAACACAAGCGCACCTGCAAGCGTTGATGGTTATGCACCATCAACATGGCAGAGGAACAACGAAGTCTTCGTGCCGCCTACGAGGATGCCGAGGCAAGACGCAACATTATCGAATCCAGCTTCGACAGCAATTCATCCGCCTTCCAAGACAATCTCGTATCCGCAATCAAGCTGTATGAAGAATGTGTCAAGATCGCGGACCAGGTAGCACTTTTCAGTCCGAACGAGACGCTTGAGGATATAAGCTCGGTCGACCTTCAGTACCTGCTTCTCAACTACCGCATCGCCGAGCTCATACTCCGGTTGAACTCGCGCGATGAGCGAAAAGAGAACATATCCCGCGCTCAGCGCAGCTATGAGAACTTTCTCAAGCAGCTCGACAATTACGACATGCTCGCGAAAGCCGACGCACAGCTGCTCGAACAATACCTCGACTCTCCCACCACGTTCTCCGCCGCGTCCACCACAGATCCCGCCTCAAGACGAGATACGAAGATTAAGCGTTTCAAGGAAGAGAAAGCATTGCGGCAGAAGCTAGACTATCTTCGCCAGAATCCTCTGGCAGTACAAAATGACGATGATGCCTACCGCGAGCTGCAGGTGACAAACATTGCTTTCGCGACCCACCAGACCTTCGCCGCCTTGGAGTCCATTGCCCAGGAGCTACATATACTATCTATGGCGCCTCCTGCACAGTCGCCATCTGCACAACCGAGGATAGAAGACGGTCGTGAGAGGAATGGTAGAAGTGATAGATATAGCGAACGTCTGGATGCCCCTCTTTCCCACATGTCAGCAGGTATGAAGGGTCCTCTGCTTGACAAGTCTGGCAAGCCCCTTCGCCCATTTACTTTGACCGGCAAGCGAACGGAATTCCGTGAAGGTGTATTCAGGCCTGATCACAGCTTACCGACCATGAGCATCGATGAATATCTCGAGGAGGAGAGGAAACGCGGAGGCATGATTGAGGGAGGTGGAGCCCAGAGTCAGGTTACCCCTGTGGTTGATGAGGACGACTTGGAAGCGGCAGATGCTGCAACTATGAAGGCCCGCGAATGGGATGAATTCGTGGAGGCAAATCCGAAGGGGAGTGGAAATACTATCAACCGAGGGTGAAACAATATCTTCGAGGACAATAGAGACTAGATCATTGAACGTGACAGTGTGTCGAATCAGGCTTCAGAAAACCTGCTCGCTCGCGTCCGTCTTCCTCCGTCAAGGTACCTTCAAACTTTGATGCTTGCTGACAACGGCCTCATCTCATCAACCGGGATGCCGTGGTATTGGGCGCAGTTCACTCAAAAGTATCAACCCCACCAGCCGGGGCCGGAATCGCCGCTCTCTGCGGGGAATATGATCCAACAGACAACACCTTTCCATGCGTCCATGCCACCGTCTCCACGCCTAGGATTCTGTCTTCAATCGGCTCGATGCCGCGCAGCTGCTGTACATATTAATCGCTCCGAAATCTTCCATCCAATCCGCCGAGCCACGCATCGAACAGCAACCCTACATGCGAAGAAGGTGATGCCCGCCGGAGATAGTGCGGCGGCACAGACGTCAGTCAGCCAACACGACCCATATCCACACCCGACGGCGGTCAAGCTCAATGTAGGAAGTACCAAGTCGCTGGCCGAACAGTGTGCGCGCGTGCACGAGCGCGTGTATGCATTCCTTGCACGACCACCGCGTACAAAGCGCGTGGAGCAGGCGCAACGACAGACCCGGGAGAGCCTGGCAGTGATTGGGGAGGCGCTGCAGCGATACAGGTGAGTGGAGAAKAGGAAGGAGTCGTTGTCCCATGGAGCACGTATCTGATGGCTCTCAATCCCAGCCTCGATGCCTTGTCGTTCTCCTACAACGGTGGCAAGGATTGTCTCGTTCTATTGATCCTCTACCTCGCCGCCTTGCACACGGACGCTACCACGACGCAGAATGCCCTACCTCCTACCCTCGAAAGCGTGTATATTGTCACTCCTAATCCGTTTCCTGCTGTGACGACGTTTGTAGAGCGCACAGCGGCGGAATACCACCTCTCTCTCACCCAGTACAACCAACCCATGCGAGAGGCCTTCGCATCTTATCTCCAAGAGCACCCACATATAAAGGCCATTTTCGTTGGAACACGGCGTACAGATCCACATGGAGCGAAACTCACACACTTTGATCCTACGGATCACGGATGGCCGGCTTTTGTCCGGATACACCCCGTCATTGACTGGCATTATGCGGATATATGGGGCTTTTTACGGGAAGTTGGCGTGGAATATTGCGAGCTTTACGATCAGGGCTATACAAGTTTAGGCGGGACGGACGATACACACCCCAATCCGGTACTCCAGGTAGAGGGTAAAGAGGGCGTGTTCAGGGCTGCATGGGAATTGGTAGAAGATGACGAAGAGAGATTGGGAAGAGATCGATGATGAGCCAGCAGGCGGGTACATATGCTAAAGAACGATTCGTTCACACGGCCACATTCCAACGCAACGATCCATTGGGCATTGCTGTGTGCTGATCGTTCACAGTGTCTGGGCAGCGAGCGATAGCGGGCCTAACATACTCGTATCGATTCGCATTTGCAGCCTTCCATTCTGCTGCATCTACACCGTCTATCTCTATAAAATCTACCACGCAACTCTCATCACTGCCGAGGTTCTCGCTGAACGCGTTGCCATATCTGGCTTCCAGCCAGTGTTGTGGATATGGTACTAGCAACACCCACAACAAGAGGAACTGCCAAAGCAGACGGACTCCAACCAACAGCTGATCCTGGAATGAGAATGTCGCAGGAATCGATCATGAGCTGTATGTAGAGCTTGGATCTAGCAGTTGAAGGCTGCTTTTCTTGTGAACTAGTCTCAGTTCTCGACTTCTTCTCATCCTTGCCAACAGAGCTTGCGTCGGCAGTTCTGACATTGTCCCACAACAACTCAACCATTGAGAGCAGAATCGAGGCTATGAGCGAATAGACCCAACATTTGTTCGCTTCGTGTTGCACTTTTGGACCCCAATCGAATTTGGTGATCCCCATTGCGTTGGTCTGAATAGTCTTAGTATATCACGGTCATCAAACATCTATCATGCAAATAACACTTACAATGGTAAACATTTCCAGGAAAAAGTACAAGCTCAGAAATGTCCATTTGATTGTGTCTAAGATCGTGCTTATGGACAACCGTTCGGCGCTCACCGCATTACTTGCTTTCACAAAACAGGGATACCATTTCAAAAGCCTGAAGTATCTCCTTCCTGTCCAACTGAGATCAGCTTCTCGCTATCATAGACATGCTCTTCCAGAAGACTTACCAAGTGCAAATTGTCCACGCGTCTTGGCCCACAAATCCGCGTCTGCTGGTGATACGGCCAAGCCGACGGCAATGGTACAAAAGCCTTGAATAAGACGGAGCGTCTTTTCTAGACCGGCTGCGTCGTCTGTGAACTTCACGACAGAGCGGATCATTTTGAAGGATGGAGATGTTGGTTGATTGTCGTGCGAATGTTGAGCAATTTCGGAGTTGGAAAGGGATAGTTACTTCTAGGGCGAAAGAAGAAGCGAACTGCGAAAATGAACAAACCTGCACAAGCGATTTTCCAAGCATCCCAGCATTTGCTACCTGCAAATCAAGTGGCCGAAACAGGATCCTTCTCGATAGACGGTGTGCTGACGGCGAATACTTGGTCTGGTCGTAGGCTTGAATACCCACTTCCTTGTTCATGGCGCGTGGTCGCCAACAACGTCGAACATTAGAATACGGTAAGATGAGTCTTTGGTAACTATTTGCGGGCATCGATCTTTCAATTGTTCCAACGCTGCTTTTGAGCTCTAGTTCATCTAATATGAATATCGAAAGTTCGGGTTCTCAAGATCTGTCCTGTCTTCCATAACCTCCATCGCCACATCTCCTGCTTCGGGTGCCGGCCCATAGAGAGCGTCTCGCCTCTTGTTTCTCCGGATTAACACAGCTCGTAACACGAATGAAAGAACAACTTGACCAGAGGCACATGCCATTGTAACAATGCAACCAGTCTTGTACGTTGGCGCTTCTGAAGCGATGAAGGCATGAGGTCCTGCGACAACATTAGGATACAAGTAGGTGGATCTGATCATGGCCACCTACCGATGATATTGCCCGCGCAGTAAGCCAGGAAGACAAAAGCGGTAGAGGTGACTCGCTTGGTATACCCTCCAACATCTAAGGATATGGTCAGTCCAGTCAACGGCTACGAGAGGCGTAAGATCGACATACTATTCGCAGGTAGCTGCAAGGCAATGACAAGAGACGCCACGTAGCTGCCAGCAATGTAATTACACTAGATATGAAATGAGTAAGTGTTCTACTTATAGTCATCAAGCCTCTTCGTTGACTTACCACCAAGAGACCTTTGTTATGCTCAGCAGTATGTGGGACCTGCCAGAGTAGGGCCGTCGCAAGAATCGTTGGAAGAACATAGGCCGCCATAACATAAGTGCGGATGTTCTTGAACCTAGACGCAAGCCATGGTCCACTAAACACCCACATCACCTGCCAGGCTCCAGTTGGAATGCCATAAGCAGTTGTCAGGAGAGAGTTACCATTCGCGATACCCTTGATGATAAGCTTGGAGAAGTTGGCGAGTCCACCATTCACGGTCTCGTTCAGGAGTACAAATAGGAACAAGAGCCAGATCTGCGGGTCGAGCAGTGCTTCTTTAACTTGAGCCAACTTGATGTTTGGGTTGAAGACGCCTGCGGGTGAGAGCATTTGGTCAGCTTTTGCAATCAAATCTTGCTCACGGGCGATTCACCTGTTTGGTTCTGTTGACTGCGAGCAATAAGAGTGGCCTTTTGCTGAGATGTGAACCGCTTCGCCGTCATGATGGAATCAGGGAGGAGGAACAGTAGCAGAATGCCCCAGCAGACGGTGAGGCCTCCGGCAAGAAGGAAGATTGTACGCCACACAGCAAAGCCTGTCGATTGACCCACTCCGAAGAACAAGATCCCACCCACTGAAGCTCCGACACCATTGAAACAGTAAAAGGCTCCTGCGCGGGAAGATTGCTCGTTACGTTGATACCATTGTCTACACCGAGGTCAGTCTGCAAACGAGGTTGATACACAACGAGATTTCGTCACTTACCCAACAATCATCATGAACGTCGGGGTTATGACAGACTCAAAGCAACCCAGCAGAAACCGACAAATCGCTAGCCCAGTGAAGTTGTGGCAAGCTGCTGTCAACATCAAGACCGATCCCCATGTTATGATGCATATTGAGACGACTTTGCCAGTTGGGAACTTTTGAGCGATGTAGGACGCCGGCCACTCGAAGATTAGATACCCGAAGTAGAAGATGGACACCTAGGACTGTCAGAAAAGGCTTCAGATATTGAAAGAACAGGTGCAAATAACGGACAAGCCATCCATACTCCCCAGAGCCAATGTTTGTAGACTCAAACAGATCAAAGACCGCCGCGTATGAAAGAGACTGCTTGTCAACGTATTGCAACAGGACTGGGAGGATTCGTCAGTGTCTACCCTTTCTATTACAGCTATCAGAGCTGTACATTTGCCTTCCGTGTTACTTACAAGTTCCACATAGCAATGGCATCAATGTCCAATCAACACGCCGCACCAACTTCTTCACTGCCTCCTCGTCTTCAAGCAATGTGGAGAGATCCTGATGCGTAATGTTATTCTCTCTCAAAAAGATTTCGGCCTGATCTAGCTCCTTAATTTCGCCATTCTTCAAGTCGGGCTCCGTAGACGTCCTCTCAATGGGAATCTTTTCATCGAGCTTCTTGTCGTTGCCAGCGGCCAGTGGAGAAGCCATAAATTAGCACCGAGTCAATAGCCTTGCAGCATTGACAAGAGATCATTGACCAGACGATAGATCTGGTGTTTCGCTCACTATTATCATGGGCCTCTCCACATTTTGCCCCGACGAGTTGTGCATTGTTTCGCCGATTCGCCTATCTCAAAAGAGCCGTTTCCTCCACGCCCTATCTTCCTACCTTGTCGCTGCTATCAATAATAAATCGCATCTTGTACTGCGTGGTAGACAACAATGCGGACTGCCTGAGTTGGACATGCCGCCAAATGGCACTGAGTTTAGGCAGATGGACGGGAGCATTGTTGGGAAGTATCGAGCCGAGTCTGTCGGCGGGTGAGGTTGAAGGTTGGGGCGTGTGCAACCGAACAGAGAAGGGTCTCGGTCTTGGCCTTTGCGTACAAGGTTCTTCCCGTTCTCTCACACTCTCAAAGCACACAGCACTTGCAGGTTGCAGGGCAGGCTCGAGGCGGGATTATTAAAGACGCATTCCTGCCTTGGCTATGCCGCCCGCGTCTACGCAGAATCTAGATCACTGGCGGCTCTGGCCGGCGTCGTCGTCGTGGTGGAAGCGCCTGCAGTATGAAGAAGCCGAAAACGATAACGACGGGCCAAGCCCCAAAAGAGAAAGTGGAGACCCAATGGCGTAACATTGTGTTATGAGCGGCATACACCCCTGCAACTAACGCATGGCACGTTTGGTCTCAGCAAAAATTCGACTTCTTCGTCTTTTGCTCGCCGACATTCACCAACAAAGATAGCCAAGATGGAGAAATCGAGGATACCAACGCCGCTTCGGCCTCGCAAACGACCATCGAAGCCAACTGTGAAATCTGCCATCTTGATCGTTCCGCTCCTGGCATTCCTGTCGTTATATAATCTAGTTCCATCTGCGAGACAAACTGTTCAATCCTTCTTTTCGCTTGAAGGATGGTCGATCGAGACTGCTCCGAAAGCCGAGACCTCACAAGGCATATATGTCGGCACACTACTCGAGAATGAAAACCACCCTGTTCCAATTGAGGCATTTTTGGGAATTCCATACGCACAGCCACCCGTTGGAGAGCTCAGATTCGCTCGTCCGGTACCAGTCAAGGCAAGCAATGAGACATACCAGGCCACCGAGTACTCTCTGAGATGCCCTGGAAAGCAATTGCTTCGGATTCCTGGAACGCCGTGGCTGGAATCGGATGAGGATTGCTTGACGTTGAATATCTTCAGATGGCGAGGGAGCTTCTCCACAGCGAAGCTGCCAGTCTTCGTCTACATCCACGGCGGAGCATTCAATCGTGGTTTCGCGGCCATGCACGACACAGCATCAATGCTCGCCTGGTCGGAAGAACCCTTCTTGGCAGTTTCGTTCAATTATCGAATTGGAGCTTTGGGATTCTTGAACAGTGCGCTCACTGAAAAGGAAGGCCTTCTCAACCTTGGTCTGCATGATCAGGTATTGTTGCTGGAATGGGTCCAACAGAACATCGAGGTGGGATGAACAGAGTGTCGTCTTACGTCTGACCATGCTAATTTATTTTAGGCTTTCGGTGGAGATCCGAACCATGTCACGATTGCAGGGTTGTCGGCTGGCGCCCACTCCATCGGTCATCACATCATGAATGTGAACGAGAAGCGGACACTGTTTCACAAGGCCATCATCGAGTCTGGCGGAGCCTCCGCACGTGCTGTACAYCCGGCGAACTCCAAACTGCATGAGGCTCAGTTCCAGCAGTTCCTATCCGAGGTCGGATGTGAGAGCAAGCCACAGGATGAGATTCTACCCTGCCTGCGTCAGGCACCCTCAAGTGTCGTGACAGCCGCCCAGACAACCGTCTTCGATGAGTACAACCCCTCCGTCCGCTGGGCTTGGCAACCTGTGCTCGACAACGACATCATCTCGCGCCGCCCAATGGAAGCATGGAAGTCTGGCGACTGGCACAAGGTGCCCATAATCACTGRCCACAACCATAACGAAGGCACGTTCTACGTCCCCAAAGCGATGAAAACGAGCGACGAATTCAGCAAGTTCTTTGCCACGCTTCTACCCCAGCTCAGTAAGAGTGATCTGAAGGAGCTCGAAGCGCTCTACCCAGATCCAGCCAAGATCGAAAGTTCGCCGTACGAGGACCACCGCAATATCGCAGACCTCGGTCTTGGCGCACAGTTCAAACGCGTGGAAGCTGCGTATGGACAGTACGCCTATGTGACTCCTGTGCGACAGACCGCCAAATTTGTAAGCGACGAGGGTACTGCGCCAGTCTATCAATACCACTGGGCGGTGAACAAGACTGTTGTCGGTGGTGCCAACCATGGAGACCAGATCTGGTACGAAACAATGTCCCCTCTGGTCCGCAACATCTCTCCTACCAACGACGAGATTGCCAGATACTTCAACTCGTACATCACTTCCTTCATTGTGACCAGAGAGGGAGATCCAAACAAGTTGATCGGTCGTAAGGCGATTGAGCGACCAGCCTGGAATCAATACCAAGACGGCGTAGGGACCATGGTCTTCGGAGCTGGTAACGATGAGCCCGCTGGCGGCAGCAACCCAGGAATTGCAGCTCAATTTGGCGATGATCAATGGGCTCGGGAAGAGAGTGCGTTTTGGTGGAAGGTTTCGATGGTGACTGAGGACTAGATGGTGAGCAGATCCCCGCCGCCCAACAGTGCGTTTCTAAAAGATTTTATGATCCGCACACAGTAGGTATAGAATTGCACGATTGATGAGTACCGAACGACTGTCCATTCGTAAGCCACTTTATTTACACATAGCTTCATCGTGTTCCGGGCTGCCAACGGCTTTGTGGCAAGACCCCGGACCCAGAAGAGAATGCCGTCTTTACAAAGTCTTGGATTTCGCAAACTCGCCGGATCGATGGGCGATGATGATGTTCCCAGCGGTGACAGCCTCCCACAGCAGAACTGGATAGACACTTCCGCGCTGCCAGCGGCCGATATGAGTCTCGAAATCCCACTCTCCCAAAGTTTGGAAGCGATAGAGGCTATAGAGTCCGAATACTCCAAGAAGTGCACTCAAAGCCCGATAGCTAGGAACACGATCGAACCCGCCGATTTGGTTGGGCACCACAGCGGCAACAATAGAATTCAAATTACCAGCAACGGCTGCCAAAGTGAGTCCAGTCCAGTGCCAGCCGATAATCTCCCAAAGTTGTTCTCGAGGACCTCCATGAATGCGGCCCATGAGTACCATTCCTGCAGCGTAGAAGACCGTGAGAAGCACTCTGATAGTCCGCAGAGGAGCTGTTCGGCTGGTCACTCCATGTCTTGTAATATACAACAAGGCGAGATGAGCGAGGCCGAAGAGAATGCCTGCTTGCTGGAAGTTGTAGTTTTGATAGTCGTGTAGCCAGGAGGTGACGGGGAAATGTTTCAATGGATGAACTTGGCGGTAATTGACCCCAAGATCGGAGAGACTCTCAATGCTCAGACTGTACTGTTCACACCCGTCAAAGCCAAGAATTGTGTAAGTCTCCAGCATTGGCCATGCAATGGCTGCTACAAGGAAGAGAGCGGCTGGTAGTAGCGGAAGTCGAGAGGCGGGTGCCGGGACTTTCGTTGCCATTGTGGCGCTGAAGATATTGGAATTCTTGCAGAGCGATTCGACGTGTGTATTGATGAGTCTTCTCTTGATTAGAGATATTCCGACCAGATGCGATGAAGGAGGTGAAAGTGAACAAGTGTTGCGGTCGTCGATCTTCTCCAGATGCTCTGCCATGGCACCAAACCCTCGGGTGGGTGAAAGTCTAAACTCCGTAGCCAAGCGAGTGACGAATGAGGCGTTGCCAGTTTGACTCGCTATCTACAATACACTAGAGTGTGAGTAGGTATGTATAGGTAGTGTGCAAGCGACGTCGAGACATGGGTGTAGCTCTTTACCATGAGAAGAAGACGTGGAAAGGGTGTTCCAAGCAAGATCATTGATCATATTACTCTCATAAATTCGTCTCCAGCTCTATACAACACCCTATTTCACAAGTCCAAGCTCCTTGGCAATAATGTCCGCTCCCTTCTCTCCAATCACCAGTGCAGTGTTGTTAGTATTGGCACCGACGTTCTCTGGAGCAATTGAAAGATCGACGACCTTCAATCCCTTGACACCATGAACATTCAAGTTCTTGTCCACGACACCATTTTGCTCGRGAGGAGCCATCTTGTTGGTTCCAAGCGAGTGCCATGTGGTGTTGATGTTCTCACGCACGAATTGCTCAATAGCCTTGTCATCCTCAGCGGTGTACTTGATGYTCGCAACATCAGCACCTAGTGGCGAGTCTCGTGGACCAACAGCCGCGTCCGAGCCCTCGGGGAATTTAGGGTGACCCAGTGCAAGCTCACCACGGTACATTGCTGTGCGACGCATGATTTCACGCTGGTTCTTGTAGGCCCAAATGTGCTTCTTGACGTCAATGTCATTGGCGTCGGTGAAGAATCCGAGGTCAAAGTCCAGGTCGTCGGAGAGGTTGGGTCCAGTGATGTGCATGTGTCCGCGAGAGTATGGGTAGGCGGTGTAGTTTGCGACGGAAACGTACTGACCGGGAGGAATGGTCGATTGATCGCCCAAATATGTGCTCACGACACCAGTAAGCATCATAGGCTTGTTGGGATGATCCTTGAAATCCTTGTCCCAAGCTGCCTGAAACTCTGGTCCTAGAGCAGCAATGTGCTCGTCAGTTGGGCGAATTTTGGAGCAAATGTCGATGGCGTTCCAGCCCAATTTCTTGCCGGCCTTGGAAGCGATGAATTCGCCACGGTCGACACGACCGCTAAGGTATTCATCAATTGTGTCCTCTGGCTTGAGTGAGGTGTGGTATGGGTAGAGGATCAGGTGGTGGTCCTGGTAGTCGTGTCCAACACCAGGGATCTCAGCGACCTGCTCCACGCCGGCCTTCTTGAGGACCTCGCCGCTTCCCAGGCCAGATCTCTCGAGGACTCCAGGACTTCCGCATGCACCACAAGCGACGACCACCAGCTTCCGTGCCTTGACGGTCAATTTAGGGTGGGCCGAAAGGGCGATCTCTGCTTGGTAGTCTGGGTTTGGAGCTACAGGGTTGTCAGCCATCAATCATTGTGAGTGTGGGTGAAGTGTGCATACTGTATTCGACGCCAACCGCCCGCTTCTGGTCATCAAACAACACACGAGTAACCTTGGACTTGACCAGAACGTGCAAGTTTGGGTGCTTTCCGTCCTGAAGACGTGGGTGAAGATACGTGTGCGCAGTGTCTTGACGCTTGCCGTCAGGAGAGACGTATCGCAACCAGCGCTCAAACTTGTTGCACTCGTCTAAGCGTTGAAGATCCTGAGTATCTTGGTATCCAACTTTGCCTGCTGCCGCGATGAAGTCCTCCATGCCGTCGGTTCCCCGGAAGCCGCCGTCAGAAATGTGGATTGGTCCGTCTTTGCCATGTGCGTCGTCCTTGCCTGGACCGTGGTATGTCTCCAAACTCTTGAGGTATGGTAGGATCTCGTCGGCGCTCCAGCCTTCGGTCTTCCAGTTGTCGAAGTCATCCTTCTGTGCTCGGGTGTACCTGTTGGGACTGTGAGCAAGCTGCATTTAGCAATACTTTCGATAACGTACATCATGAAGTTGATCGAAGATCCTCCACCAAGAGTGCCTCCAGAGGGAACGATAGGCTCTCTGCCAGCCAATGCCTCGGACTTGTTGCCCTTGTAGAAGATGGCGGTCTTGGAGTCTGGGAGCAAGTGCTCAAGGTACAGTACTGGGTTGACAATGTTCTCGACATTGTGGTTGTCGGCACCACCTTCAATGAGGAGAATGGACAGGTTTGGGTCGGCAGCAGCAAGTCGTCCAGCGACCATACAGGCAGCGGTGCCACCTGCGGAACAGGAGAGTCAGTGGGAGGAGATTGGACGGCGTTGTTTCGAAAGTCGTACCTCCTGCAATCACAACATCGACCTCGTCGAGGCCGTCAGCCAACTTCTCGTGAATAGGCATGGTGATAGTGTATGAATGTGGGTGAGTGTGAGGTGGAGGGACCGACGACGACCAGGACTGGGGCCCGAATGCTTATATCTRCCTCTCTCACGTTGCCTGGACAAGGCTGCCCAACTCCATCAAGGTACAACGGACATGGCCTCCAGCTCTCCTTCCATGGCGTTACCCCGCCTTCGTTCACGCGGCGTGCGAAGACTCCAGACACCATGCAGGGCAACCTTGCTGCAGGGCAAGATAGAGTGCGACTGCGAAGATCTAAGAGGGCCAGATCTAGTAATTCTTCGACGAGCCATGATCTTTGGTGCCGGACGTAACCCGGATTTCAACGTAATTGGCGTGTTCTTCAATATGCTGCGCCCCGTGATGTTGGATCGCGGGAACGCTTGTGAAGCCGTGGAATATCCTACCATTCAGGTGGCAGCGTGCCAGGTGTCGCCACAGTCTAGTCCTAGGGCAGTTTGTGGGGACTCCAACAGACCACGTTCGGAATCGGACTGTTCGAGCTCAAGCTCATAGCGACAAGGGCATCCGCTTGGCCGGCGGGATCCGATTGGCCGGCGGAGTCTGAGCCTCTCCCCCATCATGAAGCGGGGACGATGTGGGAGCTTGGCTCGAGGCAACTGCGGTAAACATTTGCCGTTGCGCGTGAGCCGGGAGAACACCGATCCAACCGTCCTGAATGTGACAGGATTTTGATATCGATGCCAGATTCGGGAAGACAAGGAAGGTGATGGAGCCTAACGAGGAGAAATTGGGAGGTGGGATGAGATGGAGTGAGATGAGATGAAGTTGGTGAAATGCAATGCTGAGCTGGGATCCCCTTAGAGGTTTGACGGTAATAAGGTTAGTGCGGAGGTGCGGTAACTAGTTAATAAACTATATAAACTAGCTATTAGCTTGCATGTGACAGGGGACGTAATTAGCCGTAAATTAAAGCCGGATTAGAGCCGTTCTAAAGAGCTTTTAAACATTACCTTCTTAATATAGCCTTACCGTCTAAGTAAAGGGAACCTAGAGTCTCTATAAGGGCCGTATAAGAGCCCTTGCAATAATAGGATTAATAGAGGTAGCTAGATTAACTAACCTTAGAGAAGGGAGTATAATATAACCTAACTACTTAGCGTAGGCTTAGCGTATATATA